CCATAAACGCGCCCTACAATTGTAGGGGCGACCGACGATACGGGCCTTAGTAATAGAACGTGTTTCACTGATTTCAACCCCCCCCCCCCCCTTTTAAGGAGTACAATTTTTTATATCAATGATTGGAACCCCTGAAACGTCAAAAACGGAGTTTCGGCAATTGTTACTTTTTCTTTTTTGCCTATAGCACCGTTGCCACTAGACTAAAACTATCAAGCTTTGGCATACTAGTAACCGCGTGTGGAAATTTCAAAGAAATCCGAGCGGTAATTTCCAAGTTGATGATGAGTGATACAGTTTTTCGTGATGTAGATGTCATATCTTATGGCTTAAAAAAACATAACATCTCATTTTAGAAATTTTTCGCGATTACAATACTTCGCCAATGACGTGGGAAGTAAAACGGCTTTAAAATCGAGGAGATATCAGCGATCGCGATTATGAGTACCTATTTGCAGAACGACTTATCTAGGCGATATTATATGAAATAGGGCCACCAAATTCTCTGAATACGTCCTTTCTTAGTCCGTACATTGCGCCGCAACGCTTGGTTTGGCAGCACGAAACAGTAGACAAAATTCGTCCAAAATACGATTTATAGAGGTTTGCGCGCTTCGAAATTGACGCTTTATTTTTTGATATTTTTGGATGAAATTTGTGAAAACAAAATCCCACAGGGTGTTATAGAGCCACTTGTTCATTTTTTTCACTAGGTTCTTTTTAAAAAAAATCGCGAAGTTGAACACAAAAAGTGCGCACTTCAACCCATCATAAAACTTGTGCAAAAACAAAATTTCAAAAAGTGCTCCTATAGCACCCTGGGCAATTATCTTCTCAACATACTGTATGAATTTCATTCAAAAATATTGAGAAATAGAGCGTCAGTTTTGAAGCAGCTGAACCCTTGTAAATGGCTTGAAACTCACTGCGTCGGAGCCGCCTTAATACTAATTTATAACACTTGCAACTAATTTATGACAAATTTATAACCATGTTGATTGAGCTTCGACATTCCGTATTGTTTGACTGTGACTTCACGGACGCTGTTCGTTGACACACTGCTTCCGCCATCTGTTCGGTATTTATCTTCACTGAAGATTACCAACTTCACACTTTGCGTCTTCGAAATCAATATTCGCGGAAGCCGCCTATACCCCAGTAGATTCATCTCCAGACGTGTCGAATGATCGCAATGCCGTCGCGAACGCTCCAGAACGCGACCTCCATATATGGTTGCGTAATTCTGGTTGCCTAAACGTTGACACTGCAAAGGCGCCCCATTACTCCTCAAGGTCCCATTTACGAGGGCGTTACACTATTGGGAGGATATCATAATACTAGCCGCTTCGCATTGCTTATCGCTTTAACAAGAAAACGCTTACTGCTTTGCTTAAAAATGCAACCCAACAGGCTAGAACTGAAGATGTGTCCAAATAACTACATAATTTATTTAAAAATGGCCGTGATCACTGATCAACAGCCAAAAAATATCCTAAATAAAATCAACAAAATATTACTATTTTTAATGTGCTAAAACGTGAATGAAACTTGTTTTTTCAATATTAGTTCAAGTTTTAGAGATACGGTAATTATATGTGTTCCTGCTGTGACAGTGTTAATATACTGTAATTCACAAGAATGCACGTGCTACGTTTTTATATTCGGCAAGGAAAGATGATGTAATCGGCATGATTGTGTTACGTTATACATACGTGTACATTATATTGTTTTATATTAGCCATTTTTTCCTCAGTTGGCTGACAGCGCTCATGCAAGATGTCTCGAAAGTGTGTAAACAATCCAGATCAGTTTTGTTACGTGTGTGGTGATGTGACTTTTGCGTCTCAGAGACGGTCTGTTACTCCACTAATAACAAAGGCATATCAGCTTTATTTCGGTTGTAAACTAGGTGATCAAGACAAACAGTGGGCACCCCACATCTGCTGTAATACTACATGTGCTTCAAGTCTGAGGAGCTGGTTAAATGGCAAAAAACGGTCTATGCGCTTTGCTGTCCCAATGGTTTGGAGAGAGCCCACAAATCATATTAATGATTGTTACTTTTGCATGGTACCTTGTGTTGGACAAGCCACAGGTATGTCCAAGAAAAAAAATCGGTTATTAACTACCCAAACATACCATCTGCGATGAGACCTGTGCCTCACAGTGACGAAAATCCTATTCCAAAACCCCCAGAATCCTACACTTGCGAATCAGAAAACGAATCAGAACATGGCGATCGAGTGATTTGTCAGGAAGAAGATATGCCATCAACGTCAAGAGATCCTGATTTTATACCGAGCACGTCATGCCACCAACCGCACAAAAAACACAGTCAGAATTAAATGATCTTGTAAGAGATTTAGAACTTCCAAAATGTAAGGCAGAGTTACTTGGATCAAGACTGCAGCAGTGGAACTTGTTAGAAGACGATGTTTCGGTATGTGTTTTTCGTAAACGCCACAAAGACTTAGAACCATTTTTCAATGGAGAGTTACTTGGTTTTCTGCAGTAACATTAACGGCTTACTGGCGGCTTTAAATATAAACTATAACCCAGAAGAATGGAGATTGTTTATAGACAGTTCAACATTGAGTTTAAAGGCGGTGTTATTACATATTGGAAATATTTTACCATCTCTTCCTGTAGGGTATGCAGTTCACATGAAAGAATCATATGACAATATGAAGTACCTATTGACATGCACAAATTACGATGAGCACCAATGGCATATTTGTGACGATTTGAAAGTTGTTGCACTTTTACTTGGGCTGTAGCTAGGCTACACAAAGTTTTGCTGTTTTTTGTGTGAATGGGACAGTCGGGCAAAGGCACTTCATTACACCAGACAAAACTGGCCTGTTCGTCAATTCCTAGAGCCAGGTCAAAAAAATGTACAGCATATGCCATTAGTAGATTCGAAAAAAAATTTATTACCACCACTGCATATCAAGTTGGGCCTAATGAAAAACTTTGTCAAGGCATTAGATAGAGATGGGTCAGCTTTTCAATACCTGCGTCAGAAATTTCCAAGACTAAGTGAGGCAAAGGTTAAAGAAGGTATTTTTGTTGGGCCACAGATTAGAAATATTTTGAAAGATACACAGTTTGAAAACACTTTAACAGGTATTGAAAAAACTGCTTGGAATGATTTCCGTCTGGTGGTCACTAATTTCTTGGGAAATAGAAAAGCTGACAACTATAAAACCCTTGGAAAAAATATGCTGTCATCGTATCAAAAGATGGGCTGTATTATGTCTCTTAAGATACATTTCCTACACTCACACCTGGACTTTTTTCCTGACAATTGCGGAGCCGTAAGTGATGAGCACGGCGAACGTTTTCATCAGGATATTTCAACAATGGAAAAAAGGTACCAGGGAAAGTGGAATCCTTCCATGCTTGCAGACTACTGTTGGACTCTTGGTAGAGATGCTCCAGAAACGATCCATAAAAGAACAGCAAAAAGACAGCGCATATAGTGATTCTTATAAGTATATGAATCTTGTTACTTTTTTTAATATATCCTTAAAAATAAAGTTTTTTTTCTAAACCACAACTAATTTTTTTATTTCATTGTCATTTTTGGATTGAGCGCCCCAAAATTAACAAAGAAGTGCACTTTTCCCACAAGATACAAATAAAAAACTAAAATTTGTTGTCCAGTGTTATTGGAAGACGGCGGAGGTAATCATATTCTCCAAGAGAGGGGAGAAGAAAGCCTAGTGAATAATGTATGAGAGATTTGTGAATGAATCTGGGTCCAGTATAAGTGAGGGACTGATTGAAAATATATTGATATAAATTCGATCGCAAATGGCCTTTAGCAAATTATTATGCTCAAAAGATCAAAGCGAATAACTAATGGAAAACTCATATCTGTAGTACCACATAAATATTGTATTTGCTTCAACTACTATAAGCGAATCGTAAAAAAGTGTTATAAAGCAACAAATGTGGCACTAATGTAAATTGAGAATTTTGTAATATCTATTACTGTATAACTTTACTAATATAATGTAACAAATAAAGTACACAATCTTACTCTTTTTGTATTTCACTTTGCACAAAGATCATTTATATAGGCCACATTCATAAAAACCATCAAAGGGAAATAGGTTAAAAATATATTGTTGTGCTTTTGGGAAAATACTGTAACTAAAACACCGTTTTACTGACCAAACACTAATTTATTACTCTACACTAATTTTTAACACTTACAACTAATTTTTGACATATTTATTACCATGGCGACTGGACCATTATCCCATCTTACCTCCGCGCTCGCTGTCCACTGACTGACGTTCTAGAGTGTGACTGGCTGCTTCCGCCATCAGGTCGGGTATGGCATCGACAAGTCGAGAAAAATTTCAGCGTTTTCGCGAATTTGCATGTGGTGTAGATGGCAGCAGATTCATCTTCAAACGCTCTATATTATGGTCGAGTAATTCTAGTTGCCTAAGCATCGATCCCACATCTGGCCACCTGTCGAATCTTCTAGTTGATGTACAAGGGTGTATCTCGCTGGTAACCAGAGCTCCAGTGAGTACGAGAGCGTTATAATATGTAATTGTGAGCGCCATAGGAAAATCCTGAACTTTAATTGTGCTAACTCTGCTTGATACGATTTGAGTTGTGGGTTATTCTATTTGCGTTACTTTAAGAACTTGAGGATACGTGTTTAATTCAGTTGATGTGGCGAATATTTATTTTGTTTCACGTAACAACCACTTAATGAACGGAATACCAAATGTGCCGCTAACGGGACCACGAGGATCCTGATGACAGGAAAAAGCTGTTGGTGACTATACTACAACTATTTAAACTAAAGTACCTCTTCTGTATACCTTTATGTTCAATAAAAATTATTTATGAATACGTCTGCGTTTTATGAGCATCAGCCGTTTGCAGCGCCAATCCAGAGTGCTCTGCCAGGAGCAGAAACGACCTCCAGGCATTTGCAATAGCAAATTGATAATCATGATTTCATTTCTTTTCAGCACATACTGTCGAAATATCCAGTGGAGTAGCTGGAGGGGTATTCATAGTAGTTTTGGTTATATCACTAGTACTGTACAGGAACTGGAGATACGAACAGGAACTGGATAGCTTGCTATGGAAAATTGATTTCAAGGACATACAGATGAGTGAAGAAAATTCCAACAACCAGAGTATGAAAAGCAGGGTAAGGGACACTTTGTAACCGTCTCAACAGTTTTAACCTAACTTCTACTTTTTACCCCTTATTCACAAAGATCTCGATTAAAAAAATTCACACCGAACCTACGACTCACGAATCCCAGCGTGGGAGACGATGCCTTACTTATCGCAAGAGAAGTCATGGGGTCGGATCCCAGAGCGCTGGCGAGATATTTTTTTCTTTTCTGTAATTCAGATATTCCCTGAAATTTTTTATTTTATTTGACTTTAACAGACGACGACTCATCCTTTGATCAGAACCAGCCAGGTGTCTCTGAGCTCGAATCCGGACGCTGATTTTAGATACACCACGATTTATACACATATTGGCGTGTTTAAAGGGCGCATTTTTGCCATAAAAAAGGTCAATAAAAAATCGATAGATATTACCAGAGAGATGAAGAAAGAACTCAAGTTGGTAAGTTGAGATAACGACGGGATGTAGTGAGGCACTAGAATTTCAACAACCAGTGCTGTGTTGTTTTTTAGATGCGTGACCTGAGGCATGATAATTTGAATTCATTCATTGGCGCATGTACTGATCCACCAAATATTTGCATTGTTACGGAGTATTGTGCTAGAGGTAGCTTGAAGGTAGGTATTTCTAACTTGCCACTTTTAGACCTATTTGGCAATCCTGTGTCGTATTGCAGGATATTCTGGAAAATGAAGACGTGAAGTTAGATCAAATGTTCATAGCATCACTTGTAGGTGATATTATGAGGGTAAATAATATATATTCCAAAAAATACAAACAAATGAATACATATTATATTTTAGGGAATGATATATCTTCACGAATCTGCTTTGAAATTCCATGGGGCTCTAAATCCGTCGAATTGTCTAGTGGATTCACGATGGGTTGTAAAATTATCTGATTTTGGTCTACGTGAATTCAAAAAGGGATCTGAGGACTATATTATGAATGATCCTGTGAAAATCAAAGAAAAATGCCATGGTAATCGAATTTTATTCCTTTTTCGAATATCACTACGAGCCCCTTGCCACTTCAGTTGGCCCAACTATTGAAATCTTAGTTTTTTTCTTATCAAACACAAATATAAAAATGTAGCAGGGTGTTATAGGTTTAAAATATTAACAATGAATATTTTGATAATATATAGTAGAAAACACCAACTTTATCACTCCCTAATCAAATTTAGGTACAGCATAAAAATAATACATGTTGCAATAAGAGCATATCAACCTATTTTCATTTCAATTCAAAATAAGTCTATAACGCAATTGTTTTTATTAATCACACCTGTCAGAATACGTTTAAAATAGATTTAGGTAGTTAAGGTTTTCAAAATGGGTAGAGGAAAGGTTATTAGTGAGAAAATTCGGTTACTGATAATTGAACTTTTTAATTCTGGGAAATCAAACTCAGAAATTGCAACTTTGTTAGACTTATCGCGGTACAGTGTGAGAAATATTGTTAGAAGATATAACGTAACTGGTTCAGTTAATATTAAGCCACGATATATGAAAAAAAGAAATATCACAAATGCCGACCGAAGAGCATTAAGAAGAAAAATCGTGAAAAACAGGCGTGCCAATTATTTACAATTAAGTGCTCTGTGGAGTGACGCTGTTGGAAGGAGAATTTCGAGGTCCACAACTCATAGAGAGGCCCACAAACTGGGATTTAGCACTTAGCAAGGTAAGTTTTCTTATAAAAAAAAGTGAAGTAAAAACCCTAAAGTTGCACAACTTGTTTATAGGCCAAAGAAAAACCACTATTAACTCCACTGCAAAAGAAAAATCGGCTTAGATGTGCTAAAGAACATAGACAATGGACACCTCAACAATGGTGTGCAATACAATGGATTGATGAGGCCCGATTCGAAGTTTGTGTTGGTGACAGTCGCAGTAGAGTTATTCGCAAAAAAATGAAGCATTCCATGTTGACTGTCTGAAGAGAAAAGTGAAATTTCCAGCATCCATTATGGTCTGGGGCAGTATGTCATCAAAAGGAGTAGGAAGACATTTTATTGATGGAAATGTGGATGCAAACAAATATTTTGCAATTTTAGAAGAATCGCTTCTACCAGTGATGGAAGAATGTTTGACATCCGGTCAAGATTTTGTGTTTCAGCAAGATGGTGCAGCGTGCCATTCCTCAAAAAAGGCTATAAAATGGATGGAAGAAAATAATGTACCACTTTTGGGTTTCTAGCAGTCCAGATCTGTCACCTATTGAAACTTTGTGGTACGAGATGAAAAAGGTTCTACGACAACATCATAAATTGTTTTAGAAGTAAATAGTTTCGTCATGTTTAGTTTATAAAGGCATATTTTGGTACAAATCTTGAAGTGGGCCAACTGAAGTGGGAAGGGGCTCGTATACTGATTATCACCACAAGGTGTTACAGAAAGTGATGAGTAAAATTGAAGTGCAGATTTTGCACATACGAGTAAGAAAAAAAGAGTCCATGATAGATGTGATGTCAGCGCTTTAGAAAATAATTTTGTACACGTTAATATGGCCTATGATAATTGCATTTTTGCGTTGAAAAGTATTTTCCTATATCGAGATAAACCATCAAAGAAAAACAAGGTCAAAGTTCGACATTGTGGAGACGAAGTATTCATATATTAAACTTTTTCTTACACTTAACGTGCTGAATTTACCCATAAAATTTTGTGACAACTCTCTTTTACAGCCAGTTTATGAATATTACACCTCGATTTTAGCTTTACTGTATAGAGCTCCAGAACTATTGAGAATCCAAGACTCGTTCCTAACCAAAGAGCAAGTTTTTGGAACTCAAAAAGGGGATGTATATTCTTTTTCTATCATTCTGTATGAGCTTCACTGTAGAAAATGCCCGTTTGGGGATGCAAAATTATCAGCAGCTGAAATTCTGAATAAAGTTGTGAGACCTTGTGATCCCCCTTTCAGGTAAGGATAACTTAAAAAATAATAGAATTGTATAGATATATTCAAGTACGTAGTTATACAAATCACACTTTGCTTCACACAATAACCCCTGAGGATTTTCCAGGATTTTGGGGCAGGTACACTTTCACAGAAAGTTCTCTTTCCGATAATCGACCCCACCCTGAAAGAAATTCCTGCATGCACACATGGGAATCATTTCAATCGAGAAACATTCCAAAATCTGGATATTATGTTTTTCGGAAGTTAGAAGGCATTTCCACACATCACTATAAAAATTGATTTTAAAAATTTACTAGTGGTGGCGGACATCAAAAAAATTCAGCACATTCTCAATCTTTGTTTTTCAGTGTTTCCGGAGTTGCTGTAAAAAAATTGTTGGATTGACCATAGTTTTTGAAAAAGTTAGTCGATTTTAAACGTTTTCAAATCTCTGGACGCGTTAGGTCTTGGTGAAAAAATTTCAGAGAGTCCAGAAATTTTGCAATTAATCGTCTCATATTTCGCTTATCCTTAATAACGCTTGAAATGTTCGTGTAGCGAGAATGTTGAGAAAATGTATGTACCTATATCAATGCGTGTAAAATACTTCATCTTTTTCGTAATTGTCGGACTATCTCACACATATTGGTAGTTTCATTCAAAGTCAAATATCAAAAATAAAGTTTAGATTAACTGTCCTTCCCATAGTAAAAGGTTAATTATCGAGCACACAAAAATAACAGTTAGAGCCACAGAAACCAAGATTCGCAACTCTGTGCTCACTATTCCTCATAATGTGAACTAACGGGGTAATTCAAAAACCAATAGCAGAAAGACTTAAAAAACAAAACCGTCCCTAATAATAATAATAATAATAATAATAATAATAATAATAAATATTCGGAATTGTTCACTACAGATCTAAAATATTAATTAGAAAGTTTTACGAGCATGTATTTTTCAGAAAATCGTAATTTTACTAATGACAGTTTATTCAGACTGTTTTTGACTTTACCTATCGGTTCAGCTAGTACTGGACGTGTCATGAGCTCTTTGAAAATTATTAAAGAATACCGTCGTGCTTCTTTGTCTGAAGACACACTCAACAACTTCTCTATCCTCTATATCGAAATATCAGTAGCTAATACACTCAATTTAGCTTCTGCGATGGAAGTGTTGCTGAACGAAAAGCAAGACGCGGAATATTAGAATAATTCTGTTATTTTATATTGAATAAAAAATGTTTGAGATCACAGTCTGTACTTGATTCAGGTTATATAGACATATAGTAAAAAACAGAAGTAACAGTGAGCAGCAGCTACTATTGTGCATATAATTGTAAGCCTCTGTTGATATGTGATATCCTTATTGCCAGCAAAATCTGTAGTTCGAACTTTATCTGAACAATTTAGATGGTTCTTACGTTATCAAAAAATTTTATATCCGCGTGAATACTGAAATAGTTGAATTAGCTGTTTTATTGGCACGTTGAAGCAGCATCAGATTAACTTTTTGCATCAAATTACTATTAAAAAACCGTTTGCACTATCCATGAGCTTGTTTCGGTTACTTGCGCAGGTCATTCTAATTTTTTTATTCTCAGTTTCCGTCATTAATTTGCAAATAGCGATAAATGTGGAGAATATCACTGTCGCAAATAGTGCCCAGTATATGTCCTGTAGTAATGCACGTTATTTAACGTATTTTAGTGTTGTTCACCAAGTTTGTATTCAATGAAATATTAATCACGGCAAACATGACAATTATCGATCATATTTGTTTTTTCTTACTTAATTTTATGCTATAAATACCGTGCACTCCAAAATTGACTCGACGCCCTTTACTTATCGGTATCATCCGTGAGAACTTTTAAACTCTATTATGCACAAGAAGTTTGCTGGTGAATCATCAAGTTTAATTTACTTCAAAAAATTACGATACGCATTACAACCTGTCCCGCGCCCGTGTGCACTGTTAAATGCAAAAACTAGGCTGGTGTACGATTGCACTAATATGACATTACGCATTAAATTTTGATATTAATCTCTGAGTTATCATGCAACTTTCAAAGTTTCCATTGCCGTATTTTATTTGTCATTAATTGCAGTAATTTATGTTATTCGCAAAACAGTTATAGTATATAGTATATATTTGCCGTCTGTCCCCGATCATACCACTGGGCCCCCCCCCCAGTGCATATTGCTGACCGGGCCCTTTTCCTTAAATCCGCCACTGGTCCGTCAAAAAGTATTTTTTATTAAATTTGCTCACAGCTTAAGTGCGCGCGAAGAATTTTTTCCTACGTCAAGCTGATCGCATAGGCAACCAGTCTTGGGCTATCATCTATGAGCTTACAGTTAAATCAAAGTTGAGAGATGCAGTGCTGCCAGTGTTTAGTAGAAGATACCAGTACGGCATCCATTTAATATGTGTGCATTACAGATTTATCTGAGAGATTTGGAACTTTAAAAATTGGTGGTCGAACTAAACTCGCCTGGGGGGGTCATGACCTCCATGAGCCCCCCCCCCCTGGATCCGCTTCTGATACATAGTCTACAAAGAACTAGAAACGGTTCTAACTACTATGAAATCCACTGTTAAAATGTTCTTCCTGAGGCACTCAGAATATCTGGCCCCGGGCTCATTCAAGTATAGAATTATTACCTTATCAATAAAGTTTATAGCATCGAAGAATTTTTAAATAATAACTCTTCGGATCTCTTATAATGGTGTTGTAGTGTGCTTGTTTACTTTTGTTGCTTATTAATTTGTTCTTATGTCCTTGTTCTATAATTATAATTTTGAATTTAATTTAAATTCATGTTATCAAATAGGTATTATTTTAAGTTTTTCTGTTAATGTTGTTTTTTACAGTTTTCTGTTTCCAACAAATTTTGTTGTTCTGTGAATTTACACTTTTGTAATTTAACTTCTACTTTGACCCTAGTAAGCACGCAAGTCTATTAAGCATCAGTAAAGAAATGAAACATCCAGCCCCTAAAGCGATAAGCGAGCATGATCTGTTGTTCTGGATGTACCAGACACGCAAACCCCTCTGATCACATCAAAAGCGCAAAACAACCTCGAGGACTCGAAAACCCCCCAATGTTGTTGCTCACACCGGTTGACTGTTATCATTCGGTTAGGCAATCTTCGTCTACAACAGTTGTGTCTTAGAAATATTGCTATTGTTTTTTTTTTTTGTAATACTTTGTATAGTCGTTCGTACTTTATTTCTTTAGGCAGACCTATAATGTTCCTCATGATTTTGTGAATTTTGTATATCTTTCTACTTTTTCTTAAATATCTTTTCTCGTAGGCCGTCACTTGAAGCTTTAGAAAACGGTTCGGATTTTGTCAAAGAATGCCTCAAAGAATGTTGGGCAGAAAATCCTGAAGAGAGGCCAGATTTTAAAAGTATCAGAACCAAACTCAGACCTCTAAGAAGAGGGATGTAAGTTCGACATGCATTGTTAGTATGTATTTTTATTGATATAAAATTTCTCCTCAATACTCTTATTTTCAAACAAAATCGTTTTGATGGATTGATATTACACGACTCTGAGATACATTTTACTTTTAGGAAACCAAATATTCTAGATAATATGATGGCAATGATGGAAAAATACGCCAACAATCTAGAAGTTCTAGTCGATGAAAGAACTGATCAACTTCAAGAAGAGAAGAAAAAGACTGGTATATATCACCAAATCTCATAAAAAATGATTTGATTATATTTTCAAAAATTGCAGAAGCTCTATTGTATGAGATGCTACCCAAACCTGTGGCCGATCAGTTGAAACTAGGCAACAAAGTTGAAGCTGAAAATTTTGAAAGTGTCACCATCTATTTCAGTGATATCGTTGGGTTTACGGCTATGTCCGCTGAAAGCACACCTTTGCAGGTTACAATATTTAATTGTGAACGTAATTTTCCACATTTTCAAGATATCCAAAATTTTCAGAATTCTAAACATTCTTCTGTTTTTCAGGTAGTTGATTTTTTGAATGACTTATACACCTGTTTTGATTCTATCATCGAACACTATGACGTATACAAAGTTGAAACTATTGGAGATGCCTACATGGTGGTAAGTTAGCCTAATTGTTTTTGCCCTAGATTCTAAATTGTGGTGGTCAATCAAGTTTATATTCAGCTTATTACAGGTATGCACATAACGAGAAACATGTCACTCACTTCCGTCGGTCTCTCGGTCTGTCTATCTGTTTGTCTGCCTCTCTGTCTGTTGAAAACCGAAAAACGAAAAACATATAAATCGCTCAAACTTTATTATTTGACGCTTCAGAGGCTCCTGATTATTTTCAGATTAAAATTTTGTGCTGATTAAAAATTGGTGGTTGGAAGTTATGGGGGGGGAGGATGTATCGCAATTTTTTGATGTTAGTTTATTAATAAACTTCCAACCCTGATAATTCTACACACATGTTAGACCTATTTCACACATCATAAATTAACCCCTATATTTGCCCTTAAAACGACCCTGCGTCTGCTGTTCCTTGCTTCTTCGGCAACTCATCAGCATGGTCTAGGCTTGGTCTTTGAGACAACGAACGTAACCATAAAAAACTATCCTCTATCCAGGATATAAGGTCCAGCCCGCTGTCTTATCTCCATAGGGTTTAACTTGTGCTGAACATAATTATTTATGAACTGATGATGGCATTGCATGTGAGAAGTTTAGAGTTAACCTACTTGACAACATATTCTTAGGTCAGCGGTCTGCCGATTAAAAATGACATTCATGCTGCTGAAATTGCTACAATGTCATTGCATTTGTTATCAGAGGTGAAGAATTTTGTGATTCGGCATCGACCAGCTGAAAAAGTTAAATTGAGGATTGGCATACATTCAGGTAAAAAAACATTAATTTGGTATCATTAATCTAAGATTCAGATATATTCGAACTTTCAAAATATTTCGAGACTACGATTTACTATTCCATATTACTTTCTGGAGAAAAGAATAACTTCATTTTTAGGTCCAGTTTGTGCAGGTGTTGTTGGTCTGAAGATGCCTAGGTACTGTCTCTTTGGGGATACAGTAAATACTGCCAGTAGGATGGAATCAACAGGAATACGTAAGTAAGCACAGTTTTTTCATTGCGAGTAGGTAATGTGAATAGTTCGTTTTTACTACAAGCTTATGTCTTCTTAGTAATATTTTCTTTCGTACAACCACAGACGGCCAACCAAGGTCAGCTGTTTCATGCTATTTGGCAACTCGTCAGCATGGCCTAGACTAGGTCTCAGGTAGGACAACGAACGAAAGCTGACAACCACCGTCTATCCAGAGTATAATGTTTATCGAAGTCAGCACAAAGTAACATATATATTCCCTGAATCTAGTACCACGAGAGATATAACATATAATAACACAGTAGGCTGCTTTCGTTCGCCCGACTACAGACGGTGAACCATGGACATACACTTTGTGCTGTCTTATTTCGATAGAATTATGTCTCTTTTTTTAATTTCCAGCATCAAAAATCCACTGCAGCCTCCCCTGCCGTGACCTACTCGTCAAACTGGGCGGATACCATCTAGTAGAAAGGGGTGTGGTCTCTCTTAAGGGTAAAGGCGATCAGCGTACGTATTGGCTGGTAGGAGAAGAGGCAAGAGCGAGGGCGGAGCGAAGAGAAGCAAGGTCAAGAAGAAGGGCGGGATTAGCGACCAATGAGGAAGAGACGGGAGCGAATGGGGAGCTGGGAGGGAGCAGATTGAAGAATAGGGGAGGAGGAGTTGGAAGGAGTTCGTTGAAAATACATGGGAGGAAGATCAGCAGATGGAACTCCGTGGAGAGTCCTAAGAAGTTGAGGTTGGTATTTTCGCATCTTTGGATACAGAGAGTTCTAAGTTCTAAGTGGCTCTCTATCAGAATGTCATTTTCAAAATTTGGTACCTTCAAACTATTCTAGGTCATGCTAAAAAATAAGCACTTATTAAAAACATGCATATTAATTGTTTATATACTGATATGATAAAGATCTTCACAACTTGTACCCACCTTATTTCAGGTTTGCGAGCGGCGAAAACCTAGAAATAACCCCATCAGCAACCTGCCCACCTCTCAGACCGCAGACTCCACCCAAATTCTACCTATACACGCCCACTCACCAACATGTTTGCTGTCGCCCCGCCTCCACTTCATGTCCCTGCATAGAAAACCTCGCAAATTCTGCAGCTACACTAGCCAGGACGTTTCTGGAAGAGGAGGGAGGCTCCAACAGCGTTCCAACGCTATGTTACAAACTTAGCGTCCCTTTTCATCATGCAGTCTCTGCCCCTGCGAGTCCAGGTGGGCATGGACTAGAATTGGGCGGAGTTACGGAGGATTTAGAGGCGGGGCCATGGGCGGAGTGTACACCGTTGTTGAAGGTTACGAAGCCGAGAGATCCTGAAAGCTGTGTATAGATAAATAATTAATTATATAACTGTGCCAAGATAAGCCACATTAGTTGTGTAAGTTCAAAGGTACAACTTTGCTTGTGTATACAAATAATGCATAATTTATTGTTTTTTAAGTAAGAAAGAAGGGTGCAACTCACGAAAACGCTAAGCGTCCTACGAGATAGCAAAAAACCCACCCTGAACTATTGTCACAACATAAGGACTAACTGCTATACACTCTTCGTCTACTAATGCTGCATGTATGTTACGAGAATACGAGTAGTTATGAGCAGTTTTTTCACGCTCTCGGAGGGCGTTTAGCTTTTTCGGGATGACGGTCGAGGTGGCGTATATGGCACGTTGAAAAAACGACGGATAACTTGCTTGACGTTTTGGGGGCTGTATGTGTTTTGGGAACGGGAATGTTTACCAAAGTCGATCCTGGGCCTGGGTCATTCTGGTTTTAAGCGGTACCATTTTAAAATTATAATTATGGCTTCGTGCGATCTCAGCATTCTACAGGGCAGTTCAAAATATTGTAGCAACACACTGCATAGGAAAGAAGAAAAGAAAAAATAAATGAACTGTCACCTGTGAGACTGAAATAAAATTATGTCATTAATTGTGGTGGCCGAAATGTCGTAAAATAAATAGAAGTTAAAACATATATGTGATTTGATTCGGCCAGATAATGGAGTCTTGAGAGAGAAAAAGTAGTTGATCAGTGACTGAACGTGGATAACCATATTATGAAATAGGGAATACGGCATGTCGTTGTTAATTCCAAAGTGTAGTCTTAACCACTGTTAAAATAAGTTAAATGACAAGCTCTAGTCAGTATGCTAAAATAATTTAATGAGAAGAATGTTACTTTTCCATCCCTTCTTTCCCTCCTTCCTTATAATCTCAGTTTATATTCATCAACAGATTCAACTGGTGAGAATTTGTTATGTTAATTAGTGGTGATACTAAATATGCCCAGAAAATAAATCAATATGAATCCTTAACAAAAGGCTCGTGTTTCTTTGTTTTAGTAAGGTCCTTGAACGGTTGAAGAAAATATTGAGATAAGTACACTATTTTCAACTATACTACAATACACACCGATCTATTGAACTATCTGCTTGTGTTAATTTTCTGTTGGCATCAATGAATATCAAAATTTATTTAATTTTCTGTTGACTTGAAATGTATAGTCCTGATTCCTGATCGTCAGCAGCCCCACTAAAATATTATTTATTTTGATTGTGAACAGAATCATTCATAATAATTGTTTTATGCAAAACAATTCGCGCAAGATCAGCGGCTTTGTTAAGAAGTACATATTTTGAATAGGGGAACGTGGCCCAAAATGATCCCCCTAAGGTGGAAAGGCGCAAAAAAAGCAACGTATACGAAAGAAAAAAATCTAGTATATTTTTTTGGAATGTCAGTCTACTGTCCTTAAATATGTCCTTATCGATTTTCTGATTTAACAGCTTATTAATTTTTTGGCAGATGTAATGCAGATCTTTGTAAAAGGATCAGTTTACCCTGATAAGGGTGGGCAAAATGATCCCCTAAGGTAAGGCAAAATGATCCCTGTTTCTTGATAGTTTTTAAGGGTTTACTCTTAATAAAACACGAATTAACGACAACCTAAATTACATTATTGAGCAAAACCAAATGGCATTTAGTAAAAATAAACTGAAATCGATGTGTAATAAGTTACAAAATATAAAAAAAGCGGAAATACAAAAAATTGTATTCAAAACGAAAAATGAGTGTACATTACACGTCATCTACTAACTATTTACGCACTTTCTTCACCTTTGCATTATCAATTCAATAGTTACAGCAATATGGATCGCAGTCATCATCGTCAATTCCCGCACACTCATCATGCGCCCAACGATAGCATATTGAGCACTGCACCCATCCTTCTTCTGAATTAGACTAGAAATGTTTCCGTACAAATAAGACATTCTGTATCTTCTTCTTCTTCGGATTCCTCTGAAGACGCTTTGTAATTTTTGTCCTGTTTAATTTCCTTATTATGCTTATATTTTCTTACACTTTGCCTTCTAGTTTTTTTTTAGAACGTTTTTTTCTGCTAATTTATTCTTGTTCTTTAAATCGGTTTTTTCGGCCTGCTTTTCCTTCTTCTGTTGTTCTTCTAACAATTGATTTTTATACGGACTACTTGTCAAAACTACTGTGCCTCCAGACTTCCTTGAATTTGAGCTACGCTTTTCTTGTGCCATTTTAGGGAGTGGATGAACATCACTTGGAAGAATGTTAAAACCACTTTTTGATGTCGAAGGTTCATCAACCAAAGCTAAGTAGGATAGAGGAACAATTATTGTTGGTAAAGCGTCATTTTGCTCGTTGTTTTCAATACTTTTTTCACTGACCTCATCATTTTCTTCATGGGCCCCATTATTTTCATCTATGACTTCTTCGATTTGTTCGTGGCCGTCACCATGTTCCTCGTGCACACCATCATTCTGAGGTTCGTTTTGCTCTGTCACTTCAGCAGGTACGAAATCAATGTCTGTGAAGTCATCGGGATCGTATGGAAAAATTCCAGTCTTCTTAAATCCGTTAATTGCGTTAAGTGGTGTGCTGGGCTGGATGTAAGATTCATTGAAGATTTGTGAAATTTGGAAAACGGTTACAACTCTTCCAGGGTGATTGGTAAGCCACTTCTCCAATGCTTTGTCGTGGTAATGATTAAGCGGGTACATAAAACTCACGTTTAGTGGTTGAAGCTTATCAGTGGTGTGTGGAGGTAAGCATAAAATGGTCACGAAATTATTTCCTGCCTTTTCAATTACACTTACACAAGTTTTTTGTGTGCGAAAGGTGGCCATCAAGAATGAGAAGTGCAGGATCTTCTTGGGAAGGCTTAACAAAGGCAAGAAAATGATCAAACCACACCGAAAATACCTCAAGTTTTATCCAACCAGATTCGTTGCAATAGAATGCTGTGCCTGGTGGTGCGCCATCTTTTAACTCTTCTTTCATTCGCTTACGAGCAAAAATAATCATAGGAGGCACATATGAACCAGATGCAGACATACAAATCACGGCAGTAGTGGACGTACCACGTTCTGTAGATACGACTCTGCCAACTTGTTTTCTACCTCTTTGAGCTAGAATTTTACAATTTTTACCTGGGACGGTACTCAAAGAGGTTTCATCGACGTTATAGATCCTATGTGCTTGAAACTGTATTTTGTCATACACAGATGTTAACATGAAAAATTTGGTTACGACAGGCCGGTTAAAAGCAGGAGCACGAACGGCTGACGTTGACTCCGGTGATCTTAGTGAGATCTGAAGGTGCTTCTTGCGAAAACCGATCCACCAATCTTTGCCAGCTAGACATGTTACCTTGGAAAACGGATGGACAATATTATTTTTCTCTGCGAGCTGATAAGCGATCGATCTCACATCTTTAGTGGTGAGACCGTACATTCTGCTTTCCATATTAAGTATATGAGCTACCAACTCCTCTTCCTGTTCCTTAGTGAAAACCCCTATTTTGCTTCCCATTTTCTTAACATTATTAACAGCTAACTTGTTCATTCCTTTACAGCGTCTCTGTAAACTCATTAACGGAACACCGAAATTCCTGGCCGCCGTTTTGTAAGCTAAAAGCCACGGCGGACCTCTTCTATGGCTTGTTGCATTTTGTCTTCGTCCCATAACTACCTCTGAGTTTTCTTTGATATTTTTGAACCATTTTCTTCTCCAAAAAGAAAATAAAACAATAACACGATTTTATATTCGATAAGCACATCGCCTATACTATGGATAGGTAATAGCCCAATAATGATCTCATCCACTTCTATTTTGTTGTTTTAAATGTTTGCAGTAAGAAAAATGTAAAGAATATATTTCAGCGGGCAAAATGATCCAGGATCATTTTACCCTACCCAGAGAGGGATCATTTTGCCCTGAAAGTATACATATTGCATAAGGTTATGGTAACTTGATGCCGGCTTTGTTTATATTCTCGTAAACTCGTGAAACAATACACAAAATTATGTGTTTTCATAAAATTTTTTGCAATTTAATGTTCCTAATACTATAACACTGCGACTACAATATCTTAATAGCACTTACCTTAGATCAAAGAGCACAAAAACCTGTTTTCACAAATATTTTTATTAAGATGTTCCCACGTTCGCTTTCAGTGCTTACGGCGACTCAAATGATCGTAGACACCCACTCGAATCAAAGAGGGCAGCATAGCATTGGTATTAAAAATAAAGGGAGGAATCATTAGGCCCGCAGGGATCATTTTAGGCCGGCCACCTTCCCCTATAACTAAATGATCAACTTATATTTGTTGTCAGATTTTGATATGTTGAAGTATTGTGGAAAATTGTGTAAGGTATGACTAAATTTTGTATTTATAAAAGCTAACAGCTATATACCTTTAATCGCAAGAGGTCTAATGATGTAAGTTATTATTTAATTTAGTAGATCTTATTTATTTTATTCTTACGATATGCCCAAAGAATATACACATAAAATGTTCAAATATTATGTTATAATACGTATACTGAGTTACATCATTGATTAACGTATCATAGCTGGACATAACCAACTACATATACCGTATTCTGGCATCCAAATAGGAATATTATGAAATATATTAGCGCTATCTGTGAGTCAGTATAGCGGAACGCAAAATGAATTTAGAAATCTAATTTGAAAAGAGTTAGTGTTTTGTCCTGCTACTGTCTCATAGATGGCACGATGATATTCAGTTCTTTTTAGTTTCTCTAACGTCCAGTTTAATTGAGTATCTTCAGTAGGAGTACGTGAATCAATGGTTATATTTATTGTCTATAAACAAATAAACATCTAAAACCCCATTATGACGTTTATTTAGACCACCAAAGAAATTCATATAACCCTCTGTAACATTTTTAAATCGACGCAACGGTTTGTGGATAATACGATAATGCATGCAAGAATCTCAAGGCATTCTTGAATGTAAGAGAAAAAATTATTTGATAACAAGGCGTCTCATTTTCAGGGTAATGTAAAAACAATGCCGATATTTATTAGAGCAGAAAATACGATAAAAAGTTACTAGATATAAACATTAGGTCTTAAAATGTTCACTTGCGGCTATAGGGAGATGTAAATCTCTTGAATAAAATTGCGAACTATAATCAAATTCAAGCGAATAACCAAATGAAAATGGTATTTACCATTTTGGATTGGTATTTACCGATCCGTTCAAGCGAGTGTGGTTATCAGTTTGGTTATAAGATCCGTGACGTCACGAATCAGCTGTTATATATCATAGTTATCACCGCAAAATTGTGGTATTTACCCGACTCAGGAGTAGTTTTATATTTCTGGTTATTATTTGAAATGTGACAAGTTAGAATTTTGGTGGGTATTGGATATTTTTGTTGTACTTCAGCTTCATTTTTGGGAAACTAGATACAGGCTGACTTCAGTTGTAGCACAAAGTAGAGCACCTTATTAGTTTTACTCATTACTGTTGTTGGGGACACTTTAAATCTATATCCTACAAGAACATTAAAATATGGCCATATAAACTCACTGGATAATGTCCAACTGTATACTGTTTTGCTAATACCTGTTTTCATCGCTTTTTCCCATCATTTCTTCTTAATCAATAAATGTTTTCTTTGACATGCGGAAAAGTTTAGAGAATTGAAAGTTATCATAGCTATAAAGCCATGGTTCCTTCATTAAAAATTATTTTTGAAAAAAAAAACATTTCTCCCATTGATATTATGAAAGGCTTCTCTCTTAAATTTTCCATATACTGTTGTAAACAAAAAAGCACCGATTATTAAGTGATAATAAAAATAATAAAAAATTATACACGCGCTTTTCTAAAATAAACAACTTGCAACAAAACCGCGATTAAAACCAACGCGTTCAAGCGATTCGGGTAACTGACGTCATCAACCCGTGTATTATCTTAAACCATATTATAACCCCGGTACATAACACAGAAATTTTGGTTATTCGCTTGGATTTGATTTATGTATGCTACATACTATTTTTGAATTCAATCTTCAATAGCATTAGCGTATTTTCAGAGTAGAATAAATTAAATTTTTCCATACGAATTTTACCTCAATATTCATTTTTTTCGATATACTTTTTCAAACAAGACAATTCATATAAAATGCAATATCCCTTATTGAAAAATGCGATGAATGTTTAAAAAAAGTCAGTGGTGTAGAAAAATTGTTCTCCTTCCGTAGCTTTCAAAATATCCCAGATTCTATGCCACTGGCGTAGCTTGAGGTACGAAAGTTTTTGTGTGTAAGCTGGTCGCAGAGTTATATCTCTCATTTGGGCATAGTTTCTGCCCTAGTACCCGTACATGATATTGAGCTATTTTGGAGGAAAAAATAAATTTAATTTTTTTTCATTCTATTCTGAGTTAACTTGTGCTTATCCGTCAAAGATAAGCTCAATTTGCAAAACTGACACTTTTTTAGGCAAAATGGAACACCCTGGAATGTATTTCAACGCTCAGGATGAACTAGACCGACTATATATCCTAGGTGATGAAGCCCTACCCATCCCCATAGTCCGCCGCTACAAATACAACCTTGACACAAATATAGTCTCATAACAATAATTCATGACCCATGCTGTACTGAGTCTGCACTGCACTGTTTTTTCATTGCATCATGTGCCATCTTTCGCCCTCACTTTCAACAAACCTATATCTAGCTTGACTATATCACGCTAGATGGCGCACCACTTGGCGGGTCGCTGTAATCGGAAATGTCCAAAGTCAAATGACATGGGATCATTTGACAGAGGCTGACAGAGGCTGAAAAACAATGGCTGCCTAGCAAAGGAAACCTTCGATCGATTTGAAGAATGATTTTCGGTTCGAAAACCGCGGTGAAAATGTGAAAAAGTTCAAACGGAAAACTGAGAAAATGTGGATTCCCACCAAGTTAAAAAAGTACGGTGTCGGTAAGTGCTTTATTATTAAGCTGTCATTGAAATAGAGGCTAGTATAGGGCCTTGATCTTGAAATCTCGGAGTTTAATGTCTTGTTTTTAAGTATTTCTCGTTTAAATTACTATGTTGAACATAACAGGTTGCCGAGGTGCATTTCCTATGACCCCAGCAAACTTTATTTTGCGCGTTTTCTTAAGAAAATGCATAGTTTTGCAGTATTGCATTCTGTATTTTCTATAACAACACATTATTTTCAATTGTTTTCTGTTTTGGCATCATGTTTATAAATGTGTAAATATGGAGCATACCAACATTCCAATGCAGTATAATGTTGCTTTATTGCATTTTTCATTATCAAGCTTATTTGTATAGGGTGCCTTGATGGACGTGAGATAGGGTACCACAGAGACGGACTTAGCCCAAGTTTTAGCGATATGCTCAAGGCAATTATAATTTATACTTTGGACACGAAAAAAATACACCGCATTCATAAGATGAAAAAATAATTATTAGTCAAAATCTTGAAAATCATGATTTTAAAAGCTCAAAGAGAGCGCTTGGCGAGAAAACAAGTCGTGAGAGTCTATTGTAAAAGCTTCCCGAGAAAGCTCGGTATGATACTTCAACGTGAAAACGCCTTACGTGAAGCGCTGCATGAAACGTTCACGTAAAAGCTCCGCGTTAAAGCTCAACAAGAAAGCTTTGCGTGAAAACTTGACAATAAAGCTTCAATGAGAAAGATCAGCGAGACAGGTTGCCGTGAAACTCCTATGTGAATGCTCGGCTACAGAGCTTCGCGTGAAAACTCCGCATGAAAGCTCGGCGAGACAGCTTAACGTGAAACTCCAATGTGAACTCTAGGCGAGAAAGCTTTGCTCGAAAGCTCTGAGTGAAACTTCGGCGATAAAGCTTCATGTGAAAACTCTGCGATAAAACTTGCGAACACACAGAGGAAAAGCTTACCATGAAAGATTGGCGAGAAAAATTTGCGAAAAAGCTCGACGAGAAAGCCTGTTTGAAAGCTTAGCATGAAACTTCGACATGAAAGCTCAGTGAAAAATCGGCGAGAAAGCACTAACGAGCAAGCTCGGTTAGAAAAATCGGTGAGAAAGCTGTGCATTGTTGTTGGGCGAGAAGACTCCGACGGAAAGGTCCGCGAGAAAGCTTGGCATGAAAGCCTGGCGAGGAACACGAAAGCTGCGCGAAAAATTGATGAGAAGGCTTCAACTAGGAAGCTCGACATGAAGCTTTGACGTATACTCGTAAGCTCTGCGAGAAAGCCTAGCGAGAAAAATTGGGAAAACTAAATTCAAGTTCGGCGAAACGGTTTGATGTCTACCTCCGACGTAAAAGCTCAGCGGAAAAGTTTGGCGCGAAAGCCCTGCACGGAAGCTTATCGTGTAAACCTTGAGCCATGCCGGTACTTTAGAAGATATCTGGAGAGCTTGTAAAAATTGTAGTCAACATTAACCCATTAACCTTTTTGGCTGACATGTAAAAAACCGTTAAAAAGCTTATTCAAACGACTTTTGTCATCCTTTCAAATCTCGAAACTTCCAAAAATAATGTTTTACTTCGCTCAAAAATTACCAGAAACTCCAGAAACATAATTGGAAATGTTTTAAAATCGTTTGCCCATTATTGCTCCTACATGAGAAGTTATGCATTAATTACTTGTTTCTCAATCGTAAAATAATTCCAAATATAAAGTTCAGTTGCTAAATTGAAACAATAAAGTTGACTAGCAGGGGTATTATGTAACAAGCCCAAAAAACGTCAAAAATAAACGACGAAATGCCAACTTGCAGATTGGGTAGTTTTTAGTGTGCTAATAGTTCATTCCATGTTTGCTCCCCATGATCGCTGTTCGCCTACTGTTTAAGCAACACGTACAGCTACAAAACGACTTCACAACAAGTATACAACAACTTGTGCCAAATTAACATCTGGTAGAAAAACCTACCTACCTGAACCTGTCACAAAAAAACCTACGAAATGTAAAAAAACCGACTAAATGTCACTTTTCAATATACGTAATACCCGTGCGGATAGAATTTTAGATGATATTTACCTAGATATTTTTTTGTTTTCATTATTTACCTGTAGAGAGAAATGTTTCTTCTAAATAAGGCATTGCGGCCAATAAATGCGATTTCTCGAATCCGTAGTGGCAAAACGCTTATTACAATGCATAAAAAAAGTTTTCTACGACCGACAGGATAAATGAAAAATTTAGAGTAACCTTCAGGTGGACATAAAAGCAAATACATTTACGGGAATTCACCAGATGCTGGTAGTTGCAGCCGTTGCCTAGCAACAAACAAGTTCAGAGGCCGTAAAGTGACCTTACGGCCTTGGGACGGAAAAGTGGGACTTAGTGTGCCTTTTCATAAAGTACACTTTACCGCCCAGTCGTAGATAAAAATGCACTATTATGGTTTCTGCAACACTGCTTGAGTACGGTCCTGTGTTTGTGAGGGTGCCATAACCGTCGATTGGGTACAGCAAACGAAAAGCCACTTCCTGTCTACTCCTTAATAATATTTAAAAGAGCTGCCTGCCGTTTCCTTTCTGATTCGTACACATACGTGCATACAGTCGAACAGTCGTCAGTGCAACTCATCAGGCACCCGTGGATTGCCTGTTCCGAATGTATAATTAGAAAAGATTCTTGATGAGTATTCCATACCACAGTCCATACGAACCCACCATCATCGAGCGTTCTTTGTTTTGCATTCATGCTATCAAGACTACGCAAAATCCCGCACTCGTAAGAAACAATTTCAAACTCGATTTTTGTTCATATTATTACGTTTGTTGAATGCCAGTAGGCGTGGAAGTAAACATGTTATTTTTGCTCCGGCCAAAAATGTCCTTTTTTCTGAGGTTCGTAAAGTGACTTGGGTCCTAACTTGACGTAGAAAAATGGCGTCGAGTAGGTTGACTGCACTTTCCACGCAACGCCGTCATGTTCCTGAAGGATTACGTTCAGCAAAAGTTAGACCCTCTGAGAAAAATTTAGTTACGAACATGTATAATATGGAAATTAAACGGATCAAGTCAGTCAAGCAGTCCAGCGACCATAGACATTCTTTCCCTGCCCTACTGGTAGTCCATCTGGACACGTTTTCTCTCCCCGTTACTTGACCGCACAATGCGTCAGATCCGGCAGTAATTCCGGGACACTTATTAAGACCCGCACTCCCGCGGTGAACCCAGAAGCAACCGCGCGTACCCAAAGCATTCTGTCAAAGTTTTTAGGGCAAATGTACGGGGAAATTTATGATCTGTCCAATATGTCTAAGAAGTGCGTACAATGACCGATGTTGGGGGCGAATAAATTATCCAATAAAAAAAATGACGTCAAGTAGGTTCACTCTGCACTCCCTAAGCAATGCTGTCATCAATTCCTAAAGGATTATATTCCGCACGATTTAGTTCCTCTTAGAAGAAAGTTGGCTACTAACATGCATAACAAAGGGGTTAAATGGATCATGTCAGTCGAACAGGCTCATACAATTAATTCATAGTCTCAAGCGTTTTAACTCTTCTTTGGCGTCATCGTGGCCGCGGAAGCATTGACCACTTGAATGTTTTATTAACTTGGAAAACAAGTTATAATCACTAGGCGCAAGGTCTGGGCTGTCCAGTGGGCGGGACATGACAGTTTATAAAAAATTCTCGCACTTGGCGAGATCAATAATGGGAACCTCCAAATTCGACGGCTGTTGACCCAAGAATGAATGACGCTTAGTGTTGGTAGGTCGCGAACGATTCTTATGACTGAACTACGTGAACTAGTCCATCATTCCTCGAAAAACTCGTTCAATCGTTCACCATGAGCGACTAGTATTACAGGATCCAAGCGATCTGTTAGTTGTGTGTGAACGAATGAGATCCGAGATGGGGCACTACTGTAGGCAACCAAGTAAGCAGCAAGTTTATAACTGGTTGCTCGGATACGATCGTGGTTTAGTTTAAAAATACCAAATAGAAGAACAATATGAATTCTTACCCTACTGAGCGAGGGCCGTGGCAAATGCTTGTTCCCGAAGGTGTTGTATCCAGTATACAACTTCTTCCCGTCCAAGTGACTGTGCACGCGTTAAGGAATACCTCAGTACCGATTGCCGGGTGGCGGTACAAGTCCGCCAACGGGCCACTTTAGGTCTATTTAACATCACTAACACGTAAAAAGAAGGTGGTAGACAAGATCCAGTCGACCGAGGCAGTACCACCCGCTAGCTTTTCCCAGGGTGTCTTATAAATGTCCGCATGTTTCCACACCTAAGCTATGCAGTCGGTTATCTACCAAAACAAAGAAATTAATGATGATGGATCCCTCGAGCACTAAAAACTCCGGACGTAAACTCACTCCACTCTCGGAATGTCCGGGTGGAGGGTGGGCTCGAGGGAACAACATCGAAGATAAAATTTGTTTTTCGAACATCTGCAGGATCAACAGCAACATTGATGCTGTTCATCACTACCTGCAATCCAATCGTCCCGCCGTGCTTTTCTTGGCGGAGACAAAAATCTCAGAGACTGCACCGATTAACCATCTCAACTTCCCAAACTACGAGGTGCACTCCAATCTGAGAAAGAACGGGGGAGTTGTGGCTTTTGTCCGCAGCAGTCTTTCCTGCTCCAGGGATCTTTCTTTGGTATCAGACCGGAAGGACATTCTGTGGCTTCGCCTCAACTCCAAAACATCACCCAAATTTATTTGCTGCCTTTATCGCTCTCCCTCGAACCATAACTGGGATGACCTACTCGAATACCTCGCCGTCCAGATCGACTTCCTGAACATCAATCACCCCGACCCTTACGAACTACAGGCCTATAGCTCTGCTTTCTGTTATAAGTAAAGTGATGGAGAGGTGCATAAATCGCGAGCTTCTAGACTACCTCGAACGTCACAGCTTGATTAGCGACAGGCAGTACGGTTTCCGGCACCAACGATCCACAGGGGACCTCCTAGCTTACGTCACGCAACTGTGGAGTAAACTCACCCAGTCTCATGGTGAGGCTCATGTCGTTGCTCTTGACATGACGAAAGCGTTCGATCAGCTGTGGCACGCTGCCCTCTTAAGCAAACTTCCATCCTACGGCCTCCCAGAAAAGCTTTGCAGATGGGTGGCTGACTTTATCTCTGGCCGCAAGATATCCGTCGTAATTGACGGATTCTCCTCTTCATCCCACAACGTCAACGCGGGTGTTCCCCAGGGATCGGTCTTGGCTCCAACACTGTTTCTCTTACATATCAACGACCTCCTTTCCTGCACGATCATCCCAATCCACAGCTTCGCTGATGACAGCACTCTACATGCAGCAATTCAGAGTGACAAGCCGACATCTGCCGCTGAGCTGGAAAAAAGAAGACTAGCGACGACTTCTTCTCTGACAAGAGACCTGGAGGCTATCACTGCTTGGGGACGCAACAATCTTATACAGTTCAATGCTTCCAAAACACAGTACTGTACTTTGACGAACAAAAAGCGTCCTAGCGCTCATACAGTTTCGATGGACGGTCGAGTTCTACCAAAGACCTGATCTGGCACGAACACATCTCTTCAATAGCTGCAGCTGCTGGGAAAAAGCTAGGCTATCTGTTTATTGCTAAGAAGTACTTTTCTCCGCATGACTTTCTTACTCTATACAAGGCCCAGATAAGGCCTAGCCTCGAGTATTGCTCACACATTTGGGGTGCTGCCGCCCCGACTACATTGTCCATGCTCGATGCTGTCCAGAGGAGGGCGGTCCGACTGATCGATGACTCTTCTCTAACAGACAGTCTCGGGACTCTTTCGCACCGGCGGGCCGTCGGCGATCTAGCTCTTTTCTATCGCTACACCAACGGGCTTTGCTCCTCAGAGCTCTCTTCCATGATGCCGCCGCGCGATGTGCCTGCCAGACAAACCCGCCTGACTTCGGCGTCCCATCCTAACCGTGTCAAACTTCGTACATCCAGAACTGGACGATACGACCGCTCCTTTGTCCCGAGGGTGTCTAGATTGTGGAACAATCTACGGGAGGAATCTTTTCCCAGTTCTACTAACCTTAGGCAGTTCAAAAATCGTATTAACAAAATTTCTTTGGGATCATCATAGCAGCCGCGGTGTTCCGGCATTTAGGCTTCTGCCTGCGCGGCTGCTTCGATATAAAAAAAAATCCTGTTAGTTACAAAGGTTGAAACCACAGATTTCCATTTAAAAATATTTTTTGAACGTGATCGGATTCTAGCCTGCGATACTAAAAAAAGAGACCGCTCTCCCAAACCACTAGTTAAAAGTTTGTAATATTCATTACAAATCTTCTGAACTGGTAAAAACAAAAGGCTATCCCACATTGTTTGGGATTGTTAGAAAACGTGTATATCTCATAACTACATCTTGACAGAATAAAAAGGAAAACAAAAAAAAACAACAATACGAGTTGTTCCGAAGCGGTTACCCATCCAAATACTAACCCCGTCCGACGCTGGTTAACTCAGGCGATTGGATACAAGATTGAGAGCCGTGCTCTCACTAAAATCATTCTTATATGAAATAGTTCGTTTTATTGAGCGCGACCGATTGAACTAGTTCACCTAAATGAACTAGAAAGCACATTACTAGCGTGGATGTCCCATGCACACATGTTCCCCCGCTAGAGTCCGTGGGTCATCCCCGTTCCTCCTTAGCCTCACAGTACCCATGGGTGTTTAAGCCGTAGGCCTTCGCGGTGGTTTAAGTATAAAAAAGGTATTTCGAAGCGGTTATCCATCCAAATACTAACGGCGCGCGACGCTGCTTAGCTCCGGCTATTGGATGAAATGCGGCGTTTTCACTAACATGATAACGTGTTATATGGTATCGTAGTGTAAAATAGTTCTTTCGTGAACTAGCTCCTCAAACTAGTTCTTTTTGGTGAACGCGACCTCTTGCACTAGTTCACTCACAAATGAACTAGAAAGCACATTACTAGCGCAGCGCAACTGGGGGAAACGAAAGGGCCGTGCGCAGCGGTGTCGCCGAATTTCGCCTCGCAAATTCCGGTGTGGTTTTTGGCCACTATTGATCTACATTTTTTTATACTACGTTATTTTATTATTCTATTTTTCAGCAATCTACAATTGGAAAGCAGACGGCGTCAAGTATGGTCTGCCCCTGGAAATCGGGGACACCGTACAGGTCCTTGAGGAATGTCAAGGATGGTACAGAGGCTTCAGCACTAAAAATCGAGCTCATAAGGGTATCTTCCCGCAAACGTATATTCATCTTAAACCTTGCAAGGTTAGTTGTTTTAATCGATTTGATATCAAAAAACTCTCAACTTTGGCAGCCTGCCATTTTGAAAGTCACTTGGGCCCGGTTTTTCAATCGCTTTTAAGTTTGGTACTATAACTTGTAAGTTAACTATCAGATGTCCGTACATTCTTGTGGGTTTTGTGACACTTGATGCTTGTGTGTCGTGTCATCCGCGACAACTCATGTCATTGTCAAGCAAAAAAAGGTTAGGAATTGCGGTGTAACTACAACTTTCTAGTTAACCAGTAGCTGGTCTTCTGGTTAAAAATGACAACAGTTTTAGGAAAAACCTGACACTGAAAAACACATTGCAAGAGTTTACTTCTGGTTAACTGTATAATCACAGTTAACCTGGAATTGAAAAAACGGGCCTAAGTTAATTGTCTAGGGTTATAAAGTACATGATACATACCTGCAACTTTTTCACCAAAAATAAAAAAGTATTCATACCTCAATTTCATCACCTCCAAAGAGTGACCCCAAAGTTCGACTGTTTTTGCGCATTGGAGTCCGGCATTGGAAGTAAACATTAATTCGGATCATTGTCAAAAACCAAAACAGGTATTACTTTTTGTTTTTGTTCATTCGAAAGTTATTCATATCTTAAGCTCCCTTTTTAGTCCAGTTAAATAGCCGAAACTGGCGCAAAAGTGATAACACAGCCACAAAGGTTTGTCCGCTGGCGTAATGGTGTAATAAAGGATAGCGAATATTGTCGTAAGAGTTTGGTTTTCCGGAAACCAGCAGTTTTTTGTCATACAGCAAAAAACCCAAAAAACCTCTTTTTCGCTGAAACGGCTGAGGATATCTGGGATTGTTTTACACGTAAATTTTTATAATTTTTGGGTCATCAAAATAGGTCTGCAATTTTTTGCTAAATTGCTTAGTTTTCGCGCTACAGCTTGCTGATTGCTTTTGGCGAGGAGCTTGCGGATTGCGGGGTCAAGGACGTACATATATCACCAGCCGCCACACCGTTGACGCGGACGATCCTCTTTTAATATTTGTCGTCAGTGTCTCACTCTCAGTGATAAGCCAGTCGATTTCGAATAATAAGCACGTTTGTAGTTGTGACGTTCACCGACGTATGCATTTTAATGAATTTTTGAAATTTATGCGTTTAAGTAGATGCAAGTAATTTATCTTCGCCGCTTACCGATTGACTGGATAAGTGAGGTATAGTATTTTGATGTAGAATTGGAACAACGACAGAAAACCTAGAGCTGCAAAGAAGGTGTGAATGTGTATATAAATGAGTGGCAATGATAAGAATACATTACAGGATGTAGAAGCCCAATACTCGTTTTCGAGGCTCCCCGTTATTTTCATATTCATCCTCGCAAATCACTTTGATCACCGGTAGTTCTTGATGTACGACCACGATGCGAGATTTTGCAGTTCTACTACTACTTTAGTGGCGCCCAGTATCCAGCAAATTGGCGCTATCTGGCGATTTTTAGCACTCCTGACGCCACTTAATTTGTAATCTATTTTTGCCGATATAATAATAATAAATTTAGCATAATGCTACTCTGCCACTTAACCCCCCGCCCTCCATAAAAAAAGAAAAACTGAAAAACAATACAAAAAAATATAAATACATTTAAGTGAAGGCTATTCAACATTTCATGAGTTGAAAGTATAAAATTGTAAGTTATACAAAGGAATGCTATATTGGAAATATTTTTGTGTGAGGTGACAGATAAATTTATATATTTCTTTCTATGTATTCAAAATAAATTTCATCATCTGTCTTTTAAATTCATCATATGATAGCAATTTTGTGGATCGAGGTAAAGCATTGTAAAAAATAATTGTATAGATTAATAGAACATGAAACGAGGACCAGCGGAAGTTCTGGGCTCTAAGCATGGATCCGCCCCATGTGAATGAACTTATAGTTTCGTTCAGATTGCACGTATCTACCCTTTTTCAAGGAATTGTTTATTATCATATAATATTGTTATTATGCCTAACCTCCATCACCTCCGCTCTTCAGTTAACTGGCAGGCTACTACCCCCCAACCCCCACCCCCACCCACAAATTCATTCCGATCTCTAACCGGGCGTTTTATGACTCATAGTTATTTCAGAGATTGTCGATTTCTGGCGATTTTCTCATCAAAACTTTGCGACCAACGTGACTGGAAACCTGGCAACCCTGGTGGACGGTGCGACGGCAGTTTGGTGGTATGCAGCAATGCAGGTGCGCGCGCTCTTTCATCGCAAGCCCCTCACCATCAGCAAGCTGTAGCGCAAAAACTATGCATTTTAGCAAAAAATTTGCAAAGACCTTTTTTGATGGCCCAAAAAACTTACGTGTAATAAAATCCTAAATATCCTCAGCCGTTTCAGCGAAAAAGAGGTTTTTTGGTGTTTTAACTGTTATACAAAAAAACGGCTGGTTTCCGAAAAACCAAATTTATACAACAATATTCGCTATTCTTTATTACACCATTACGCCAGCGGAAATAACTTTGTGGCTATGTTATCACTTTTGTCTCAGTTTCGGCTATTTATTGCCGGGACTATTTCACATAAATTAATTGTTCTGGATTTAGGTGAAGTTTAATTTTGGCAAATGTATATAGTATAAAAGGGGAGTACTGGGGCATTTTAAGACTTATGTTTTGTTTGCTGGAACTTTTGTGTTATTCTTTGTTTTTCCATTAAAATTTCCATACTCAGCATTGCATGTTACTTTTTCAGGTAGACAATGAAGGCTTATTTGAAAGTGTGGTTCCGGTAGAAGAACCTGTAGTTAGAGAAGTAACATTAGTTTTGAGAGAATGGGGAAGAATTTGGAAAGGAATTTTTGTCGTAAGTATTGAAAATAATATATATATATAGTCCATGCTTTACATATTTTATATATTTTATTCACGTCCGGGCGGATGGCGTACTTTATTAGTAAGTTTTCTGGGCGTCAAGTCTCACTTTTGAGACCACTGACTGCGTGCAGTTACTGTAAAGTAACTTGCAGCGCTCGCTGTATATGGATTAGATAAACACAATGTGTCAATCACAGGGACTGTCTTTATTTATTCATTGTTAGGCAAAGGAGCTATGGATGATACAGTAAAACAGTCAATTTACTTCCCACACCTACCGGCGGGGAAGTATTGTAATCGCGAAAATTTTCGAAAAGCTGGTATTATGTTTTTTGGATGGTATGCGACATGTACTCGTATATCACGAAAAACCGTCACTCATTTCCATCGGTCTGTCGGCTAATCTTATAACCGCCTATAACTTGACAAGTACTACTCGTATTTCGATCAAATTTTTACACAGTGTTACTACTATGCCAAGAAAGCAAAATCTTTGTAGTTTTTGAAAATCGGTCCAGTGGCGGCAGAGAAAAAGGACTAAAACGAAAAACTTAAAAATCGTCCAAACTTCGTTTTTCAATGTTTCAGAGGATCCTGATCAGTTTTGAAAAAAATTAGAGGGGTGGGGGCTGTAAGGGGGTGGGCAGTTTTTTGAGGCTGGTACATTTACACCCAATAGTGGTAATTATACGCATCCATTAGACATATTAAAAACTATTCTCGGAAGACGGATCGCGTACCTATCGGCCGCGGCTACTGCTGGCGTCGTGCGTCGACCGTGATTAGATCTCGAATGGAATCACACGTATTTATGCCGCGGTGCCACATCTGCCCGAGTTAGGTATCGAGGAGAGGCGACGTGTCAAGATGCACTACCTGTAGGACAGGAAAAAGTCTATGGACTAATTATATGGATTATTCTGACTGATTCTCTTCTCATCCTAGTTAGTGCTGGACGTATTCCTTTATGTACTCGACGCAATTTTTTTATTTATAATTCTGCTTCAAGCTAATTTTTTATTTTTGCTGGTCATAGATTAAACTTTGCGTATATCTCGGGCATACTAAGTGTGTATGTTCTTTGACATGTTAAAGCCTTGATACATAGACAATCATTATTTTGTAAAGTCTGTTGGGTACTTTTCTAAATAGTATTTTTTTCTGATCAGGAAAGAAACCACTACAACTTCGAGACTGTGGGTAAAGTGATGCGAGATCTTCTAGAATGGAGACGGCAACTAGTGTCTGGAACTCTCACCCACGACCAAACTAGGGAATTGAAGACCAAGATCATACAGAAAATAGATTGGGGCAACCGGTAAGTCAGTTTGAATGTTTTATTGCATGACGATTCTTTAATGAAGCTTTTGAAAGTTTTTCAAACTTCAACAACTTTTGTTGACGATATTTGAAATCAGCGTTGGAGGACGAAAACGAAAATATTGCCTTGAAAAACTTTGGAGTTTGGGGAAGAAAAATTCTACGTATCTTCAATATTGGCCAATTTCCCTTGATGTCAATTTTTGATGAAATCTTCAGGAGGCACAAAAATTTCTTTTTTATTTTACTCTAAATAGTGTTTCGCCACACTATTTAATTTTTTTGTTTTTGATGACCATATTCCAAACCAAGTCTAAAGTTATCCCAGTGTATCGAGTTTCATTCACTTGTAGCTGCTTTGTTAAAGTCAAAGTCACAAGTCATCAATTTTAGTGTTGCAATCATATATGCACTATGTAATTTTTTTCAATGCATTAATACTGATTGAATGCAGCATCCCAGATTACACCAACGTAGTGAGCTTCGTTCAGTTGTTATATGGGTTATGAAAATGTGTACTTTGAAACATTGATATTTAAAGGAAAAAATCTCAAAAATTCTTGAGTATTTGCAATCTTCGTCTAAAACTGTTTTTTGGGTAAATCTGGATACTAGATTACCATTTTGACCTCATAGATCGACAGAAGACCTCTGAAAGCCTATTTTCCTAGTTCAACTAGTGTTTATTTTGATTTTTCTCTGCTATGGAGGATGAGACACATTATTACATTTCTTGAGTAACTTTGGGTCAAGTTGTAAAATAGTCGATACAACTGAATTTCGCCATTTTGTGACTATTTTTCCACAAATAAATGCATGTTAATATCATTATTATAATTGTTATTCAAAGGAAATATCATGTATAATCAATTACGTCTAAAAATAAGTAGGAAAAAATACAAGCATTTTATCGCTTAGGATACAATATAAAAATGAGCAAAAAGCTAAAAACTATCAACTAGTAAAAATTGTAGATCACATACATTCGATATCTCTACCATGGAGATCTATAAAAAACATTTTTTTTGCTTACCTTCTAACGTACAATTCTACATAGTAAATTGTTCCATTAAAAATATATTACTAATATTACTAACGTGTAAAACAACTAAAATTGTGATCGTATAAGAAACAAAATATCTCGTTGTTTGTAGAACACAGTTAAGACAGAATCTCCACAAAAAGTTGAGACTCCAGTTAAAGGGGTCTTGCACTTTTTATTGCTGCTTCTTTATATGCATAATTTAATGGTACTAAGCTTATTGAAATCTCATGAAATTTTTACGATTTTGATTCGGCAGAGATTCATCAACATAAAGATCTGATATATTTTGGTCATTGACCAGAATCTACCATGTGTGGCTTTCAAAGAATATCGAGATTCTGCTAGATAATACCAAATTTTAACATGAATACTGAACATTTAAAGCTTCGTTAAATTATGTCTCTGTTTCCTTATACTTTGTAATCTCTGGATAAATCGGACTCATTTCAAGAGTGCTCGGTGCTGAAGGCAGGTTACTGTTGCTGCCAAAGTTGAGTCTTCTAACGAATTCGTCCAAAATTTCTCCGAATACCAGTTGGTTCGTGTTTTGACCTAGGAGATGTAACACTAAGAAGTCACCAACCTGTAACAAAAAAAAATGTAGTCAAGCGGTTTACCTCAGTACTTCTTTTAGCTTTTAATGTTTTTTTTTTGAGATTATAATACTAAACTCGCCTATTGAACGCTTTACTATCAATGGTTTTTGGAAATCTGATTTTGTTCTGGCGCTGGATTTATGGACGGTAATATTTGGATTCACTGACCCAAGTTAGGTGATTTATTTAGACTAACTTTTGTAAAGTGTACCAAACTCAATACCTGCGTCTTTCTGATGATCGTATCTACAGCATTGGGTGCTCCAAAACGGAACCTTCTCTTCAAAATCGTTTCCCTGGTACTAGGCATAAGTACGACTGCCGCTGAATAGCATATAGCGAGGCCGCTCAGTACTGCCAATATAATAAACCAAAACCATAGAAAAATGTAGATTTTCTCGTTGAGAATGTTTAGGGCCAGGATACAGAGTGCATCGTGTTTTTGGATTGAGCCAGATGGACCTAGGAAGAGAAAAAAAGCATGTCATGTAGGTTACATACTACAAATACACAATCCAACGTTGCTCACGGCAGCTTTTCTTTTAAGTCTTATAAATATATTAAGGAAAAAGAATTGTTGATGAAAATCCGTTAGAATTAGCACGATAAAACTTCTTACAAACTTAGTTATTGGCCATTTTTTATATTTTTTAATGCTTTAATTTACTTACCGAATTTGTGGAAAGTACACTTGGTGACCCTAGGGAACACGGCTACCATTGGATCAGTTCGGTTTTCCTGATTCATATTTGAAAAATTCACCACGTCGGTACCGTAGGTCATGAAAGCCCCACCTAGGAACTTATCAGTGAAGAATATGTTGCCAACCTGTAAACAATATTTTAATAGAAATAATTCAATTCGAAACTATCAAAAACGTTATCAAACAATAAATTTTTGTATTGTCATGGAAGGTGCGCATTAATGGAAACGGTTCAAAATATACGAAAAATAGTCATATACATTGAATTCTAATTGTAAACTTCCAGTCTGATTGTCCATTTTGATGGCTCATTTTTGTAAATTTTCCAAAACATATATTCATTACCCAAGTTTTGGCCTTTTGTCTTCCAAATAAAATGCTCAATATTTTGTGCTCAAAACATATCAAACTTTGAATCTACTTGATATTATTTTTCGCATGTTTTCATCGCCACGGGTATTAGGAAATGTCGGGAAAATTTGAAAACAGATTCTTTACGTGAAATCGTGAAAAAGGTTTATATAATCATGGGTCTGGAGGTTCCCCTACGTTAAGCGAACAATTTGAAGCTTCTAGCTGTTGAAAAAATAAGTGTCCTTTTTAAAGCCTTCATTGATTCTGCTTGAAAAGTGCTTCTTGGTTTTTCGTTAAGTTCGCTAAAAAATTTCAGTTCCATTACTGTTTTTTAATAACGATAAATACATTGATGTTCTGCTTAATAAAATAATTTAATATGTGTGATGTGAGTTTTAATCTTTCCCTGGATATGCTAACATAGCGAAAAACATGTTGGGTATTAAAAAACGGATTTCATAAGTTATAAAACTCATTAAGTCTTAAAATAATTTTCATTCCAAGACTATGTTTATATGAACTCTTTTCATATTTAACATCGTATGTCCCTTTTTTCAACCGCCTGTCTGGACGAGCATGCTTAATACTTTTTGTCTGATTATTTCACGGTATGTAAAGGGATTCCTGAAAAACAATGTTATCAGTTTCTTTTTTATAAAAAAATGTATTTTTTGCGCATTTTGTATGCATTTTCTGTTCAATGGTAACTTGTTAACAAATAATAGTGCAGCTCTAAAATTGTATGTGAATATTCCACTTTTTTCCTTACCTCTTTCTCTCTTCAAAAGATCTTTGCTTTTCTTGAAAACTCAATTTGCTGCAAAATGAAGTTTCAAGAAAATCGAAAGATTTTTTTAAGAGAAAAAGTGATTAGGGTAAAAGTAACCACCCGCTCAATTCTACTCTAAAATTAGAATTTTGACATACATTTTCAGAGCTGTACTAATATTTGATACAAGTTACGATTGAACAAAAAATATGCAATAAAATGCACAAAAAATGTAATTTTTTGGCAAAAATTTGATATTTATTTATTCACACCATGAAATAATCAGATAAAAAGGATTTAGAATACTGCTCCAAACAGACAGTTGAAAAAGGGGTCAGATCGAGGCGCCCCTCCTTAATTGAGAGTGTACAGATGGAGGAGCAATCTCTATCAGAAGAGGCTTCGGTCGTTGATTACTATATTCCAACGAAATATACTCAATTTAATTAAAAGCCGTGCCTGCGCGAGGAAGGGGCAACTGTAGTCCACTGTCTTTATGTTAATAAGTTATAGAATTTTCCTTTTCATCGAGAAACCCTAATCTTAGGAATAATTAGGATAGACCTTGAGAGGTGATATTTCCTTGAAAGGTTGATGTCATGTTTAAGAAAAGACAACTTTCTTCAAAAATAAAATGGAGTCTGTTTTTATGACTTTTAAGGGAATTACTGTGATGCTACTTGACAACATTTAACGATGAGCATTGTATGTGAACGTCAAAATACAACATATAGTTGGGAGAATACGTAAATCAGTGATGTAACAAAATGTATTTATTAACTTACCACATTGATGAAGTTAAGTGCTTCACAAAAGAAGTACCCAAAAGCATATGTGTTATGCATATGCATAGTTTCTATCAAATATTGCACCAATCTGTTCTGTCTATGCTCCCGTTCTGCCTTGTCTCCGACCATAGAGCCCCTCATGCCTTCTGTCACCATCCTGATCTTGCCTTGTTCCCAGTTCTTCCAGATCCAGTGGGGCATGTAGAATAGAACACCCTGTAAAAGAAGTCCTTAATTAGATAAAAAAATTTAAAAAAGAATATATTTTAGTATGAACTATAACATCCACCATGACGAAATGTGTTAAAACGATACCGTGGTGAGGTGTATATGTCCTTTTCTGCGAGTCTTATATTTTGGGCGTATAAGAATACCAATTAAGGCCTCGCCTACAAAACCCTTTCCCTGACAAAAAATGTCCCTTAAATTGAGTCTATGCTTCCCATGCCTTCATTACGACAAAATTCAGAAAACTATGAGTCGAGTCTATTCATAAGACCTAAATGAAATTGAAATTTTATTGGGTATATTCATTTAAGTACGATATATCGTAAACCTCGATATCACAAACTCCGAGAACGTCTTAGGGACAATGAGCGGGGGTGACGAGTTTGGTACATCCAAAACAACGGATAATCTTATGCACGTTTGGACTGGACGTCTTTTGGGTGCGGGAATACCTACCCCGGGCAGTTCTGGGCTTTGTTGGTTTTACTCGGTGGTAAAGAAGCGTTCAGGCTGTCAGTAAAACATAATTGATACATTTGTTGTTTCGTTTGGCCAGAACAGCTCTATCATCATGAAAACCACAAGATACGTTTCAAGAGCTACATTAACCAGGCTTCAAGGGCAAGCGGACAGACAGACACACCAACGGAAATGTGTAACATGGTTTTTTGTGATGCAGAGAGTACTAAAAATTGGAGATTCCAGACTAATTTTCTAGTTTTCGCTCAAATTTTTAGGTAGTCTATATATATATATATATATATATCTATATTCCGCTGGTTCCTAAAGAGATTGGATAATCAAGAAAGTTTTTGAAAGATTACATTTTCTCAATGACAAAAATAGATTATTTACTTACCTGGAAGAAGAGCATAAACGGTACCCACTGGTAGTAGCTGTGGTACGTTTTATCTTGACTGTCATTTCCTAGACCAGGATGAGCTACTTGGGTCCCAATGCGCTTTCCTTGTTCGTGAGGTAGTGTGAAGGTATACGTTATCCAACAATAGGTGTTTATCACGTGACCAGGTACACCTCTGTCGTTTATGCACTGGATTGGATCTCCTGCAAAGGAACCAAATACGAATTCGTAACATTGCTCATAATTCAAAGAAAATTTAAATGGATGAATATGAAAGACGAAGCCCAATGCCACAATATAGGTAACGTGGCCATTTATTTTGTGAGTCAAAACGGGACCTCGATTTATTTATATCAATTAGTAGGGTATGGCCATTTTCCAAGATTCATGTTCAGAAAGATTTTCTTCCGACTGGACGAAAGTGAAAAGGGGGAGAGTACTCTTATTACGTAACTGTAAAACGGCATAATTGTGACTTTGGAATTAGTTATATTCACTTCATGTTCACTTGTAGTAGTGTGTTGCCTAAAGTCATAATACTTGAGCAATGTGCTGTGGCTCTCATGTTAGGTAACATCTACTCCAGACATGGCACTTGCGGAAGCCATTCTTAGCTTCTATGGCCTAAGGTGTAAGATCTTATCTATAGGTCGTTGAGCATGACGATCACATCGTTATCATAGTGATTATTTCATAATCTGCTATGATGACTTTGACAACTGATTCTAGCGATTTTCTTCGTTCGAATTTACATGGGAGTGTCGAAATTATGATTGCGGATCAAACGTTTGACGTCAAGGCGTCATAGAAATTAATTTCCGCGGTCAAAATTCAGTTAGAATCAGGTCCCTGATGGCCGTGTGACTTCTGGTAATCTGGTGCACGAGCTTGCGAGATAATGCAATCCAATTCCGCTTGATCTGTTTTAATTATTGGGATTCCCAAGGAATTAAGTCTACTCAAACAATCCACAGACGATTCTATTGACCAAACAACAAACATTTCTGAAGTTATTTTGTGTAATCGCACCAAAAGATTTTTTTAAAATTTAGTCGAAAAGTTGTCAACTGTACAAACAACTGGAGCTGGGGGGTGGTTGATATTTGGATAATATTATTTATAAAACATAAAACCAGTTTCCATCTAGCTGTCCGTTTTTGACTAAAGCAATGAAAATAAACTCAAAATATATTTAGAATCAGAATAAATACGACTATCATTTAGACTAAAAGAAATACGACTATCATTAATTTAGACTAAAAGATACAACTTTATTTTATTTCACTTTTGTGAGATGATATAAATTGTCTTAAAAACTGTATATTAGACCTTATATATATATATATATATACATTTTTACTTCTCAATGGTCATGCAAAAAAAGTTAAAGGCGTCAAATTACAGCATTGACCAACATATTCTTCCAAAAATACCCAATTCAAGTGGAAGCCGTGCCTGCGCGAAGATAAGCACACCAAACAGTTGTGCATGCAACTATACACTGAAAACCAAATACCACTGACGCCGTAACGTGTACGAGAGAGAAACGTGAGAAGCGTGCAATACGTGTGTTAGAGGTAGAATCACCTCGTTGCCTATCAACTCGAGTACGAGCACACGGATGCCAAAGGCACACTCTTCCTAACACAATTGCACGTTTCTCGTGCTTCTCTATCGTACACATTACGACGTCAGCTAAATTTGAACCTCACTGTATACGTATCCGACCACCGTCTTTAGACGATAACGATGCCGCAAGTTATGGAATTTCCTTTGAGGTCGTAGAACAATTTTGAGATTTCAAAACCTTAAGAACAGACAGGTTGATGTCATGCTTAAGAATCAACAATTTATCTTGGAACGGAATCTGTTTTTATTGCTGTTATGGCAATTACAGTTATCCTGCTTGGCAACATGGCTATATCGATGGTAATTGTATGTGAACGTACAAATATAGCATATGGTTGGGTATGTTATGGTAGAATATTTTGATAAATATTAGTACTTACCGATGAGGTTATTTGCAGTGACGATGATACAACAGAGAAACAATATGGCAGACGTGATCCTGTAATGGGCTCTGAACACCATGTTGTCAACTACAGCCTTATCGATGAGGTAGCGGACCTTGACAAAGCCCGCTACAGCGCTTACCATTCCAAAAACGCTCATTTTGAATCAGTCTTTCTGAAAAAAAAATGTATGTAATCACTTGACTAAACGCAAAAAGTGCTAAAAATCCATAAAAGGCGAAAGGAGCCCAACAACTGGAAACATTAAACACTGATAATCTTTTGAAATAAGCAAGTTTGCTTTCCGTCTCTGTAGCCATGACTAAACGCAGACATCAGTGTTTCGTGCTCATTAGCATCTCTGTGCATAGCGCAGAACGTCCAGGGGTTATGGCCCAGAGGACATAAGTGTCTTTATCGTCTTCATCTTATGTGATGAGGATATAAATCGGCTTGGCATGACATCGATAGGTGGCGATCTTCAGATTTTCACCTACTTGAGTACACCTGTAATATTTTATTGGAAGAAATATAGTGGGACATCCGACTAATGGGACGTTTGCGTTTGAATCTCATCATTTAGCTTATGCTGGAAAACACATGCTCAACTGATTTTTTACTTCCTACGCCACTGGATGAGGAAGTATTGTAATCGTGAAGAATTTCGAAAATGAGATATTATATGACATGTACCGGATACCATAATAAAGGTCGCCGGCTATATCTCAGCAACGGCTTGAAACCATCCGTTAAAAAAATTTATAACAAAAATGACCAAGAGAAATTGCTGGAAATTATTTTCAGCTTCCTAAAATGGTCACTAGGAGGCGTATTTTCAATATAAAAAATTCAAACGCCATTATTTTGCAAACATGCGGAATTAACGGGCTGATTTAATAACTCTATTATATATATATATATATATATATATATATATATATATATATATATATATATATAACTTGAGACGTGGTCATTGTCGTCTAGACCGGTTAGGTGAAAAATTAAAGCTTCCACCTTTTGTTGGGTACTTCGACAAAATTTAAGCAAGGAGGACTCTTTATACTTTTTTTATTCTGTCTAGCTTTCAATGGTCTTTGCCATCATCATCAGGCAGAGTAGTATGTGAGGATGTTGCTAATTGTTGTTTACGTTCAGGATGAGGGAAACATCCAGTAACATGGTGAAAGCTGGATAAATAGTACAATGGACAAAATTATATAAAATACACACAGCTGTATGACAAGAACAAGTTAAAAACAGATTAAAAAATTTTAGAAAATGAAAGCATTACATCGTGAAGCCACTTGATGATTGCACAAAATGGTGCATGCCCACCATGTTACTGGGTGTTTCCCTGATCCTGAACGTAAACAACAATTAGCAACATCCTCACATACTACTCTCCTAATGATGATAGCAAAGACCATTGCAAGCTAGAGAGAGTAAAAAAAGTATAAAGAGTCCTTGCTTAAATTTTGTCGAAGTACCCAACAAAAGGCGGAAGCTTTAATTATTCACCTATATGTTTTTGTTATTGTTTTTTTTTTAGGGTCGGGGAAGGGTTGAATGTCATTTCAGAAAAAGTAATGTGAATCCTGCTTCGAAAGATCGAAAGATCACCAGTAGCGTTTTATTTGTCACCGTTTTTTTTTTAATTTCTTCGATTGAAACCAAGATCGTGAAAATCGGTCAAACAGTTTTTTCTGAAGTTACATTTACCTTCCTCCAACCCTAAATGAAAAATATGGAAAAATTACATTGAGAAAAAAGTTCGAAAATTGACCAATAGACATTATAGCATGCATGCATTTTGCAAAGTAATGGCGTTTGAATTTTTGAAATTGAAAATAAACCCCCTAGCGGCCATTTTAGGAAGCTGAAAATAATTTCCAGCAATTTTCCTTGCCTAGAACAAAAAAGTTTTGTTGTTTTTGGAAACATGAACAAAATAAAAATCGCTCAAACTTAGTTTTTTGACGTTTCAGATGCTTCAGATCATTTTATGAAAAAAAAAGTGTGTTGAAATTCCGGGGTTGGGGCTGTAGGGGGTGGGGGAGGGTATATGAAATGTTTTTGATATTAGTATATTTATACGCTCCCAACCCCGTAATTCTATGCACCTATTAGCCATATTCCACATATGATAGATTACCCCATCTATGCTCACCTTTCGGCGTACCGGTTCGGTTGACTAATCTATCAGCACTGCTGCGCACAAAACATATGCACGGAATGAATTACAACTTGCAGCATCAGTGCGGCGGTAGGCGCTACCGAGCATATGTGGGAGGGACAATGTTGTCAGATGGACATTAACTACCGGTATGGGAGGGAAAAAATGCCTGTGGACCTGTTTGACTAACTTGAGAAATTGTTTGCGAAATATCGTTAACCACCTCAGAGTAACGCAACCTTGCTTTTTTTAGCGCATGAGAGAAACAGAAGACAGTTTGAACGATGTTAAAGTAGCTCTATATCATCACATTCGATTATATTAGATTTTCAATGATTTTATCGTCAGTTATGCTAGTATGTACGTAGATTGACGATCATGACGTTTCTTACTCATTTTACAAACAAACATCTAGTAGTTGTCAGACTTACAAACTCAAATGGATACAACATGAAGCAAAATTGGACTGATTCGTTTTCAAGTGAGAGTAAGGATAGAACTTGGTTGATTGAGATTTCATTCTGCTAGCTCTAAAAATCACATTCTAAGACTATCCCGATTATTGATACACTCTAGAAGGATAGCTAATTGAGGTGCTTTACCTAAGATTAGTCATATCCCGCTTGTTTTCCAGCAGTTCAGTTGTCCAAGTGGCATGATGAAAATAGCAGAATACAATTTTGAATGAAATTTGTTTATTGCTTAGGTAGTTTTTATCACGATTATTTACTTACGGAGAGAAAAAATACTCATTCGTGAAGAAATGGGGTCATTAATAGCAATTTCTCGAATTAGTGAAGAAAAAAACATGATATTACTATACCTTATCAAATATTACGTCTTTAAAAAATCAAACTGGGAATCCGATTTTACCAGCTGCGAATGTTGAATGGTAATATTCATGTGCGTTTTGTAAGAAATTGGCACGCGATACAGGAAGTTTTAGCGATAAAGCAAACATATTTAATGGACCTATCGCGGGAAGAAGCTAATAAATTTTATTGTCAGTTTACACCTTGTTTTCGGGATATCAAAAATTATTTAGTAGCACATTTTATCTCAAGTAGCAGTACTGTTAAAATGTAAAAATTATTTAATGCTGAAATTTTATACTTTCGAAAATATATCGCAAACTTTGTATTCATGTTTTTCACCTAATTTTTCGAGATTGACTGCGACAAAAGAGATTTAAAAAGAAAAGATAATATAGAATGTATTTTTGCAATATTTGTACACATATCATTTTTTCTTTAAGAATATAATAGACAACATATATTACAAATTAAATAGCTATTCTTATACTTTACGCTAACTCACTGTAGTAATGGTTTCATTAAGATACGATATAATTTTTTGTTCAGTTTTATTGTGTTTGGTAGAAATTCGTTTCATAACAAGCTAATTTTGTACCATAATAATCCGCATAGGACTTAACTATAATCACTCTATTATTGACAAGTTTTCTAGTCAGGTGTTAAATTTCAGGGTGATTCATAACGGATAAGATTAAATGTTAATGTTAAAATTTCTACTTTGTCAGGTTATCTTCATTGTCGATTAGCAGATTATTCCTTTGAAATGGTTGTTACTGTGTTTTTTATGGTCTATTCTGGAATGCCAGTTTCAAAGACGCGCGTGTGGCGACTATGATAGCGCCATGATAATACATATATTTGCTTCTTGCAATGCAAGCTCTTGATCTTCAGAATTTGTATCACAGCTCGTAAAACCATGCGAAAAACTGCGACAACAATTCGGCGAACAGCAAATTTTTTGTTTTTAGACCGATAGATTGGTCACCCAGATTGTGTGGTGTCACACCTCTAGACTTTTTCCTTTACGGCTATGTCTGCATAGATAAGATTTGAACTGAGGAGTTAGAGATCAGCAGTACTCGCGTTATTCACCAAATACTTCATCTTTAAAAAATTAAATACTAAAATTGAGCACATTTACCGCATTAACCAACATTTGAAAAATCAACTTCAAAAAATGAATGGCACGGATGCTTCTTTCGTTTGGTAATACATATAATCTGGCACAGTTGTTTTTGTTTATTATAATTTTTTTAAAGTACCTCTAAACGGATCACTCATTATAACGTAACAAAACAAATCTGTGATCTCCAGTAATAAAATTCCGGTACTTCCTATTACTCTGGATTTCAATAGAAAAAAAAAGCATTTATATGTATTAAGCTCTTTACTAAGTCCTCGTAGTAAACAAAACGTGTTTCTTTTTTCATACCAATAGATTAACATTGCTATTTACTCTCAAAGTTTGTATCTATTTATAGCATTCAATATTTTACAGGAAACGTGTGTACAGTCATTAAAAGCATGAATTTCAATAAATTCTCACGTGATTACCACTACCCACATCTTTTAGCTGGACATTCACATTGAGGAACGCAAGATTGTTTATATTTACGATTCCATGTTTGAATACCTGGGACACTCCACATGGATTGGTCGGAAACAGAGTACTTTATGATAAATTGTCAGAAAAAGTAAGCAAAATCGGACAATATCATTGATGAATACATTCTACCTGAAGACGACCAAGCTTATATACTGTATTTCGGCGTCTAAAAAGGATCAGTAGCCGAACATAAAAATGAAGCTATAATTCTACTTTGAAGATAGTTGGTTCTGCTACTGTCTCATAGACGGCGCTAGGAACTTCAATCTCTTTTTAGTATCTCTGATGCCTAGTTTAATTGTGTATCTTCAAACATTGATTGACGTATTCCACCTGAAGATATCCAATTAAAATAAACAATAGAAACGCCAAAAAGGGATTGAAGTGACATCTATGAGACAGTAGCTTGTTTCTAAATTCATGTGTGTGCTCTGGTTATGTGTCATAGATGGCGCTAGTATTTTTCGGGTCCTTTTTTAGACGCCAGAATGCAGGTAGAATTCGTTAATAATGACACTAGTCAGAAATAAGAAAACGAGGTCAGTCATTTTTCTACAAGCAGGCGAAAAGATACGTGCTATTTCTCGCATTTTGGCATTGAAAAATAATTTTTGTCCGAAGACCGTTCGCTAATGAGCGATTTACCGCCCTAGAGTGCCTTCTGGCATCCTTGTTGTCATGATCTTAATTATGTGAATGCTTACGCTTCGAAATATTGCCCTTATCCACTTGGCGTGTTGTGGATCAAAGCGGCAGTATGTGCCCTCAATACAACGTTAATTGTTTTCTTATGTGTTGATGACATGAATAGCGGAAAACACATATTATGCGACACTGCAGCAAGTTAACTTAGTTAACACTACACAGTTTTACTACTCACCAACAGGTGTTTTTTTACGTTACCATCATATTTGAAAATTAATTAATGAAAATACTGTCTAAATAACCGCGAAGATTTGACTAATGTACTACTAATGTACTGTTCAGTAACGTTATTGGTGCAAAACAAAACCTATTCGTATATGCGAGCATATCATTGGAAAAGCGATGAAATATGTGTCAAAGTTCAATTGGATGTCAATTTATTCATTTTATTTCTCTATTCCTTGGATTGAAGATACATTATTCTAAAATAAATCAGTAAATATGGGAGTTTTTATAAGTGTTCAGCATCACAGCAAACACATATTAACATCTGTATTTCATATAAAGATGTGAGAAACACCTGTTGAGTAATCAAAATATCCTGAAGTGCATAGCTCGGATAATTCAAATCAGTCTTTGGAATCATATTTCTACCCGAGTTCATTTAAGAAGAAGAATTCAATTAAGAAATTCTCCAATAGAATGTTTCATATATATATATATATATATAAGTAGTCATTGCCATTGCCAACGACTAGTTGGGCAAAAATACAATGAATTGTTAATTGGGAAATTGGCAAACTTTTTAGGCTTTAGTTGACTCTTTTGACGGTAATCTCTAGCTTTCGGCAATTCTTTATGGAGCCTTCATCAGAACTCGTCATTGAGGTTGCAGCCAAATGGTGTTTCAAAACGAACGCGGAGATGAGAGCACTTGTTAATTATAAAACCAATCGGACGGACACATTGGGCTTATTGATAACGATGGTGGCTGCAACCTCAACGACGACTCCTGATGAAGGTTCCATAGAGCCGAAAGCTAGAGATTACCGTCAAAACAGTCAACTAAAGCCTAAAAAGTTTGCCAATTTCCCAATTAACAATTAATTGTATATATATATATAAACTCGTATATACAAATGTTGGAATTTTGTATCAAATCAGTTTAAAAGCTTTTGGTTTTGTTTCATTTAAATACAAAATATTCAAATATTTGAGGAGTGATAAAACACAAAGATTTCTCCTGTAAAAGCAACAAAAACATATGTTAATTAACGGAAAATACTTTTTTGCCAAAGTTGATTTTCTCAACCATTCAAAAGATCACTTAAGTTTTCCACGAATCCTGCGCCTATTCATGAGAATGGCATGTGTTTTATGTTAAAACAGTGTTAAGCGTACGAACTCGTGAGTATCAGCTAGTGCAAAATAAAACGTTTGTATCGCTTAACGGTCACAGGTTGAGTGGGGCGATGACTGACCGCGCTGTTGCCGGGTTGACGCTGACGGTAGATATTTGGGTACCATGCATATAACCTTCCTCGGGTATCATTTTGTAACTACAAATTTATACGCCTCTCCGTATTGTGGTACAGACGTGATGCTGACATACTGGACACATCATATTTAAATGTAGAGAAGGAAGATACGATATTCTAGGTTTTTTGCAAAAAGTGCCCGAAAAACTTTATAAAAAGTAATGACTTCATTTAAAAGCTTTAATCTATATTGATAATTTATAGCATTTTCTTTTGGTAAAAAAACTGCTGCATATTTTATATTCTTTTGGCAAAAACAGTGTATATATTTGTTTTCTGGTCTGTACTTTGGACCAGTTTTTACGAGTACTCAGTGCAAAAATATCTCACGACCTGGAGGAGCTCGTGCTACAGTCAACAGTGTCAAATTTTACAGCTTTTACTTATGACTATGCATGCAACTAGCTTTTACAGACAGTTTTTCTCATGGATTTATCTCCTTTTATTCACAAACTTTTCAAAAACAGCAGATGAAAGGACAATGAAAAAAATATCATTGACAGATGATAGGATGAGACTCGAAATACCAGATTTTATATTCTTTTGTAGAACGAGAAATTTAGAATAAACCAGGGTAGAGTGTTTTCAGTTTTATCAAAAGAAAACACTATTAATTTACGTGATTTTACACCTGTTGATTCACGTTCATACAAGTTTTCGCCAAGAATTCTTTCATATTCAGGTAGAATGATTCATAGATGCAGAGCGGCATTTTTTATAAAATGTTTCAGTTCTGCTATATTGTCTTCAACAAAACCTTCAAATAGCTTCAAGTTTATTTAAATCATATACCTAAAAGACTGCTTTACAAACCTTAAAGAAAATCACTGCTTTCATATAGTTAGCCATTTGTCAAAGCAAATTTCCTTGAAGCTAAGAAATTAACAAATAATAAAAGCGTATTTACGGTAATGAACATAAAACGCATCCTAAATGTGTGAAGCACCTGAATGATTAACCTGAATCCATTGGAATGAAGCATATTGTCTTAGACAGTCGAAAGCTTTCTTTGTTTATTCATCCTCTTCAGTACATACCTTGATATAGAAGAATTCGTATAGGTTCGTAAATCGGTATTAACAAGACGAATTTTGTTGCAGAAATTGTGAGAATATCCTTGTGATATTGCTTTTTTGTGGCAGCATCTTAACTTACTTTTTATTTCTTCTCCTTCAAACAAAATACGGAATATCCACAGGTAATAGGAACGGTGGTGAGAAACAAGGTACTACACTAAGAAAAAACTTAATTTTTCGAAAGAATCCCACGAAACTATATCCGAACCATTGTTAATCCCACAGACAGACGCTTCGCGTTCGAACTAAAGCCTGTTTGACTTCGTTCTTCCCTTTCTTCAGCCTGAAAATATCTCCGTCTCTCTCTCTAACGCATACAACGCTCTGTCTCCCATCCTTCTCTACCGGTTCACGTTCCTTTTCAAGTTGTAAATTGTACAGTTGGCCGTTTCTGCGTGCGATTCCCGCCCGTATTCTAAGTTGGCCTTCGTACGATTGTTGCTTGAAGTACGACATCTGTTTGCAGTACCGTACACTCGCCGAGTGCACAAGAATGCTTCAGCTTTCAGGGTTTCAGAATATACCCAAAAGATTTTGATATTATATTAGTCATGATCGGGTCTCTGATATTGTATTTGTGAAAGCTTTGGTACCGCCCGTGTGCCGGTATTACCAGATACTTATGCGGAATATCGGTGATATTTTCGTTGATAAAGAATAATTTAGTCGATTGAAGCTTGATACGATATCAAGGTTGATTGAATCAAAGGTCGCAGTTACATAATATGCATTTTTAAAGGTTTCTTTATGCGTGTCGTATACTGATTGTCATAAAAATGTTTGTTACAGACCGAAAAATATGCGAATAATTGGAGTTAAGAAATAGGAAATACCAATACCAATAATAAATAATAGACATGGACTTGATCTACTACCAACGTATTCTGCCTTAGGGCGTGGGGGAATAGAGTGTGCTCACTTCTGGTATGACCTGACACAATATAAACAAAGCAGGTACCCTCGATGCACCCCAAATAAGCAAAACATTATCGTTACTATACAGGGTGGCGCATCGAAAACGAAACAGACGCATTTACTGGCAGCTCAGTTTTTTTTTTGATAAACGCTCAGACCCGTCGATTTTGTTTTCGGGGGGGACACAAGTTTGGCAAAAAATCACGTTAGCACGTGCAGCCCCCTAAGCGGGGGTGGCACCACCCCCAAAATCTTAAATGGAAAGGGGGGTCGAGTGATACCTTATTTTAAAGGTATTTCAATTCCCTTTATAATGATATAAAATTAATGTACTTCAGTTCAGTAGTTTTGAAGATTTATTGATTTAAAGCTTAAATAAAACTAATACATCATCATTAGTGGAGATCAATACATTTGGCAGCAAAGTAATTTAAAAATGAAGAATGAACTGACCCGTTAGGCAAGTAAATGTTGAAAATGGCCACCGCACATTTTGCAATATTTGAGGAGTAATTTGAAGGCATTCATTCACAATTCTTTGTCGCAGGTCTTCTAATGATGTTGGCTGAGTAGCATAGATTTTGCTTTTTAAATAACCCCACATAAAGACATCCAAAGGTGATAAATCTGGCGATCTTGGGGGCCATTCAATGTCACCTCTTCTACCAATCCATCGATCTGGAAACGTCCGATCTAAATATTGTCGCACACGTAATGCGTGCCAAAATTATAATATGCGTCAATTACGAGTATTTGGTATCCATATTACCCCAAACATAAAATGGCAATTGAGAAAGTGCATCTGCGCTTGTCGAAACTACTCGCTTACAAGAATTAATTTATTTGTGCCTTGTTTGAGAACTAGCAATACCAAAACATTCCATTGTGAGAGAGCTAGAACTAATTTGCTTCTAAAGACGTCAGTATTAACTGTGTGAAAATTTTAATTCAATTTCTGCTGTTTGTGATATAAATTTTAACAGTATCCCAAAAATACTGAATTGTGGTCGTGCTTGGACAGATAAATCAATTAATTAATATGTCTGGCATTTAATTTACATTATATGTTTATGGTAAATGTCTGCTTTTTATTTTTATCTAGAGGTTAAACATATTGATTCTTGCCATAATATCAAAAATCATATATTATTTTTTTCTATAATCTGTTGCACTTTCTTACGTCCCGCTAAGTCAATTCTTGTTTATAATTTGATTTTATCGTATGCTTATCCTGTAATAAGGTGACTTTTGGGAAATAAAGATTATTATTATTATTATTATTATCCCGTAAAGTACTTTGAGATTGTGTTAACGGATGTTTGAGGAATATTTAGAAACTTTGGCAGCATTATAATTTTTGTGACTTCATATTGCTTTTTGGGGTCGAAAATATTTCGCACTTTTTCAAATACTAAATCGTTTAAATCTTGAAAACCATCAACTTTAGTTCATAAAAACCCTAACTGTTCAGATCGAAAAATGCTTTGTCCGTAGCGAGAAAAACAGGTTTTGAAATTTATTAAAAAAAAAATTGTTGACACAATTTTGGGCCTGGCAACAATAATATTATGCAAAAATAAACGAAACAATATTTTTCCGAACAGATAACTAATACTTTTTCCATTTTCTATGGGCATATCGTATACACAGTGTTTGTTGATACTACTAGTTTATACTCCTATAAAAGTATAACGTTTATTTGTTTGTAGCAGATGCCATGGTTACGTGCCTCATATCCCCTTTATCGAAATACAAATGTAACGTGCTCAGCGGTGAATTGGATGATTTCATAGAATACCTTATTAAAATTCTATATTTGTCACAGTGCTTTTGTTTTCTGGAAAGTATAAACATCTGTATGACATACGATACTGTAAGACTTCGTATCTACTAGAATGAACACTAGATTATGAGCAATATACGTGGTAAATTATGAACGGTATAAAATAACACTTGCAGCGATAGTCAAACGAAATCTCATAGCGACCCTCTGTTGCGTGAGTGAGAAGACTACACAGTCGAGCAAGACGCAACTTGCACTGTGAACAAAATCGAAACGAGCAACTGAACATGCTTCTTCCGTACATTCGACCACATGGACAGCTTTCTGGCAACCCATCAGCTTGGTCTCTGAGACAACGAACGAAAAAATAGCAACTATGCTCTATCCACAAAGTGCTATCTATTACCAGAATCGACGACTGCGAGAGCACAGTCACCACTATCACTGCTAGAGGCTGACGATTCTGACGATATAGTAGATGTAGTCCAATCGCCATTAAACAACTAGACATGCCGCTATATCGCCAGAATCGTCAGCCTCTAGCGGTCACAATGGTAACTGTGTTATCAAACGCGAACTCAGATCTTTCCATTTTCAATCGATAACTGCTATACACTCTCTCAGTAATAGATGAATGGCACTTTGTGCTATCTTATTTCGATACAAAATGAGCTACTTCAGGACCAACCAAATTCAAAATTTGTTAGCAACCGACACACTTCCTCCTCATTGCTCTCCATCGTCCTCTCCTCCTAGTTTCCTTCTTTCTCGGATTTGTCTGATATTTGGACAAAACAGACCTAATAAGCCTGTTGACCCATTTTCATATGCTCGTATTGCTGACAGATTATTGAACTATCAGAATCCTACTTATGCATCGTAATGAAATTAATTAAACTGCATTCCTTTGTTTGGACACCTCTCGTTAATAGAAAACATTCAGAATATACCTTTTGGGCGCAAAATATTGATATTCCATTGAAGGAACAGTTTAATGCTTTCAAAAGAAAGTGCTGAATAACAAAAAGCACCTGAGCGCTCATCTGGTTTTGATGGATGGTCGAGTTCGACCTAAGAGCCGTTTATTTTAGCTGGTCGGAGTCCATATCGCCGAGAACTTGTTTTGGCGGCAGCTGCTGGGAAAAGGCTAGCCTACTAACGGGCAGTCTCGGGACCCTTTCGCACTGACGAGACGTCGGCCCTCCGGCTCTCTTTTACCGCTATGTCAACGGCATTTGCCCCTCAGAGCTCTCCTCCATGATACCGCCGCGCGATGAGTCTGCCAGATGATCCGCCTGGCTTCGCCCTCCCATGGTAGTCGTGTCGAGCGTTGTACATCCAGAACTAGCCGATACGACCACTCCTTTGTCCCTATGGTCGAGATTGTGGAACAGTTTTCTTGAGGAGGCAGTTCTACTAACTTTGGGCGGTTCAAAAATCGATTAACAAAGTGTCTAAGCTCCTTATAACAGCCGCGGTACGTCGATATTGAGGTTTCTGCCTACGTGGCTGCTTCGGCATAAAAAAGGAAGAACGTTTTTGGAAAGCGAACGAAAACCATTTTCATTATACCCTAGGGTCCGTGGGAAAAGCGTGGAGGTAAACATGTTTGTCCTACAATCGAAAAAAATATATAGTTCTATAGACAACAGTCGAGCACGCAAAGCGGTGGTAGGGCGAACGGATTTTTTTTTTATCTTCCAACTACCACGAAGGCCTAAGGCCTAAGCACCCATTGGGTACCGTGGGGCTATAGGGGGATACATGGGAAAGGGGGGACGCCACACGGACTCTGGCGAGGGAACACGTGTGCATGCAACATGCACACATTCTGGCTCCGCCTACGAGAACCGCCGGGTGGTACCTCCGCGTTCGACAGTCAGAGACCATCTACCACCTACGGACAATCACAACATCCATAGCCAAGAGAAAAATTTCTCCTGGGACGGGACTCGAACCCGTACAGCGCACGGCGACTGATCAGGAGACCGAAGAGTCTACTACTGCGGCCACCGCTGCTGCCTAAAACAAACACACAACATCCATGGCGAAGGCGAGATTCGAACTCGCGGCCCGGCCAGCCGGCTGATCAGTAGCACGACACTCTGACCCACGCGGCCAACCGAGGTCCCATGATATAAATCAAAACCATAAATTTTTCTGATACAAATAGTTATTTGTATCAGAACCTCAAAAAATAGCGCCGTGGCGAAACAGTGGAAAAGTATGAAAATGAAGGATACCATAAAGGCGTCCCACAATTGAGGGGACCAATGCTAGAACCGTCAAGCCCATTTTTTATATTTTTACAGGAGACCAAAACAATGTCCGGGCTTGACTTGTTTTTGCAACGTTTGAGAAAGGAGCCGACCACCAAAACATTTATAAATTGCTTATTTTTGGGGTTACATGTCTCATTTTTGTAAATCCCTATAGACAATTTTAAATCTTTAAATTTTTTTCAGGTTATTTAAGGGCTATTGTCATTTTCAAGGCCAACTAAGAAAATTTCACTTTTTTAAAAAGGTTAGTCAATGTCAATATATGACATATCATACATATTCAGAATCCGAATTAAAAACTATTCACCTAAGCAAAATCCAATATGGTGTCAATTATAAAAAGGAAAGTTGGTTATTGAGGACAAGAGACGAAATGTCAAATTGAAATTCTCGTTATACCATCTTGTAGAGGAGAAAAGGTGGCAAAGTTAATGTGCAATTTATTTCGAAATCCGACCTCAAATAAACTCAGGAAAAAATAAAAACTGTTATTGGAAAATTCACTTTTCCGTCTCTCTTCGGAAATATCCTCAATTGCGAAACTTTCTATGAGTCATTTTCTTAGTCACATCAATGCCCAACTTTTGCTTTAACCGACTTGTATCTATTGCCGTTTCCGAGATCCTAACGGAGAGAGTCGAATTTGAAGCACCCAGGTGCTACGACTATGGTTTTCAGCCTTCGCAGAATGGGTCAACGATCCTCAGGTTGGTAACTAAACAAGTCTGCAATGCGCAAAGAATAATGCTTTATGGATTGTAATAAATAAGGCATTTTCTGCGCTTACAAGCTTTCGAATTGTTTTCACTAACCATGTCGGGTTACTCAATTGTATACTTTTTTCGTAAAATTTTCTTGCACACCAAGGTTGATCAGTGTGAATCGTGAATTTGGACATTGCTCGACCCCGTTCTAAGGAAAAAGCCAATCTCTAATAATTTTTCATTATTAAGCTTCCGATTTTTGAACTGTAAGATTAGTAGATCTTTGAAAAACTAATTGTTTATACTGGCCAGATCTCGATCTAGTACAAAGCTTGGCCGAGTGAGAATGAGTAGCGGAGGCCTGACGAATTCATCTGGCAAGCTTATAATCCGGCGCCATCTTGTTGGAGAGCTCAGAGCAGTCTTCTTTATTAACCTTCGCATAGAACCTTTTATTTTTTGTCACAGTATTTTTTTAAACTTGTACAGCGATGGCATAAAAGTAAAAAAATAAGTCACCTGGCTGTTATTTTACACAGACAAATTCCATCCTGAGAATATTTGTAACCGCTATGGCTTTAGTATTACCTGGCTGTTAAGATCTACCTGTGATGCAGGTAGGCAAGGACTCATAGATAAGCTAGATGACTCACCATCATTATATGATTTTATAAATAGTAACTCTAGGGATAAAGGGGTACGTTTCATTGAATAAGGAATATTTACATTCATGAATATTCCCATGTTACTTGATATTAGCGCTCGCGAAATTCATGGGAATATTTTACGAATTTGAATATATACTTGAATAAAGTAAGAAGTATCGGTTGTTTTTGCTAGCAAAGCATGTTATAATAAACACAAACTTAATTATTCACGCATTTTTGTTTTGTTTGGTGTTATAAACAATAAGATATTTCTCATTAGAATACCGTTCATTTTGTTAACGAAGTGAGTCAGTCCAACAAATGATGAGACTATCAAATCTTTTAATGCCTGGCTCACTTCAGAGTCCAAAAAGGACAGCGGACCTAACCTTGATCAGAACATAACCAAAAATATGACATTTTTTAATTTATCATGAAGCTATATCCTATTTCACGAGTATCCATCATGATAGAATGGCAGCTGCTAATCTAGTAATATTTCAAAATTCCCCATATCGGCAAAGGACACAGAATTCTGACGGACCCGCCAATACCAAGTAGACAGAGCCATACTTTGTTTTGGTTTTTTGTTTGCTTCAGATTCATTTTGTACTTGCTAAAAGCTCTTTTATTTAGAAAAGTTCATTTGCATACTAAAAACAAAACGTTACAAATAAAAGTTTCCTAGATTTACACCCGATTCATTATGGCCAACGTTGCAAACTACCACAAAACTGTCACTTGCTGGTCAGCTGTTCACCTCAGTAGACGTCAAAGTGTGATGGATACTCGTGAAATAGGGTATACACTCAAGATCAAGCATTTGGATTGCTCCAAAGATATAATAGCAAACAAAGTTAAAAATCTCACAGTTTGAATTCTGTAGATTTCTCACTAAGCAAAATAAACTTGACCTAAACGCTGTAAGTGTTCTGGTAAAAAGAACGTGAAATAATCTGAGTAAACTGAAATCAAATTGTGTGTATAACGAATACAGCTTCAATTATGGAATAACAACTCCATCAAAAAAAACCACATACTGTTTCACTTTTATCAATCTTTAAATAAATGTACAAATAAAAACTACAATTCTTTTCTTAAGTTCCTTGTGTAAAAGAAATGTTTTTTAACAAACCAGATAATGATTTGCTTCTTCCTTATTTTTTCAAAATGATAATTTAATAGTGGAATAATAAACTTCGAAGATATAAGCGTGGCAGTATTTTCTCCTTCAGGTATATTTTGATGTCGTGTATAGAGAAGATAAACAGAATATTCAGGAAAAACATATGTTTCTATCACCGACCTAGAAGAACTTGTTATTGATCTCAGTCTGGCATGCACAAGTAACGTTTTCCAGTAGCTGGTTGCAAATGAAAGATTTACTAAACCAAAAAAGACAATAACTCATTTTTGAAATTTTTCGCGATTACAATACTTCCTCGCCTGCAGGCGTGGAAAGTAAAAATATGCCGCTCTCAAAATGTCGCGCCTCGCTTAACGTCGCCTCGATAAAACGTATTCACCGAGCGCTAAAGTAGCACTTTGCACATCTTATACATAAATAACTATTATGAAATCTTTCGGCATTAATTTTATTTGAACTAGAAACTATTCAGGTGGCTTTTACCTGATATATTTTTTTTTTCAGAAAACTGGGCCTGGACTTGGTGCCGAGGCAAGGAGCTCAAATGGTAGAACCTGATTCTATGTCCGTTGTAGAATTGTATCACGTCCATGTGTCTAGTGCTGAAAATACTCAAGGCGTCTCTGTAAGTATTAAAATTTTCACAGACTTGTTCAAATATGTCGCACCCAGAAATAATAATAATTAAACATTTGAATAACCTCTTACAAAGAAATTATATACGTCTAAGAACCCTACACGGAAACAGACAATTGCAGAATTTGAAAGTTCGAGAACAGTTGTGTGAATCTTTTGTTATCGATTTTCAATTATTCCGATCTAGTTTATCACTTATCTCTGTAAAGCCAATTTATTTACACTAATGTTTAGTTCCAATGTTCATTAATGATCTATCCATGACGCAACTTCATTAACAATGCTCCTTCTTAGTTCATCTCTTTTTACAGTCATTCTCATACAATGCGTGCGTGTTGTATAATAGCTTGGATTATAGAACACAAAGTCTGCCTATATAGTTTTAGAACACATTTAAAAGCTCTCATACTTAATTATGCTTATGTTTTTCTACAGCATATACTTTATTACTACGTGTTTAGGTGGTGATCATTTTTTGCTTTTTTCCCTCGTTTCAGTTATGTGTAGTATAGCTTTCCTTTTCAAATATTTTTAAACAGATGGTTAACTGTAAGATTAGCTGTTATAGCTAAACTCCGCCATTAAGCTGCACTCTAGTTTCATCATAGATAATACTCGTATTATCTGTAATTTATTTTTAATAAAAAGCGGTTTACTATTATTAATTCGTGTTACTTGAGTAGAAGTTAGGAAAAAATTGTATTTAGATTTTACGGGTAACTTCTGTTTACATAAAGTAATAAATCATTGATCTTACGGTTCTCCTCGCCCTACCAGTTCTGCAAGATGACAAAGTACTGATAATTCAAGCTGAAGAAAAAGATATTACAAAAAGTAGGTAGTCGATAAAGATTCTGAGGATTCTAGATCCTAGATCATTGCCAAATCTTTTTCAAACTTTCAAAACTCGCGTTCTGAAGCTTTTATTCGGCAAATTACAATGTTCCTCCAATTGTGTCTATATTGTGTATCTTTCATTTCCTTATAGCGATGTTTGTTACCTCTACCACGTTATCTGCAATCACTAACATGTATGTAATCGCGTAAATTTTCGAAAATGAGATATGTCTATCTGTCGGTCTATCTGTCCGCTAATCCTTGTTCCGACTATAACTTGGAAAGCACTGCTCGGATTTTGATGAAATTTTCGCACAAGGTTACTACTGCCCCAAGAATGAAACAGATCCAGCTTGATTTTTTGACGTTTGCGAGACTCCTGATCATTTTTAGAAAAAAAGATGTAGGGATTAAAAATTGGAAGTTGAGGTTATAGGGAGTGGAGGAAAGTATGTCTCAATTTTACTTTTTACTTTACTTTACTTACCTATTAGACATATTTCACACATCATAGATTTCCTCGTACATTTGCCCTTTAGGCCTTTCCTCTAAATTATAGACAAATATTTTCAAAACACGCGTCTATGGGTATACCTCCGGCGCGGTGTCACGGATAAGCGTGTCAAGTGGAAAAGTATGGGCGAGATTAGTCATAGCAATGTTGCCAGATGGTCGCTACTGTCCATAGTGCAGGAAAAAATTTGTATGGGTTAATTGTTTGGGCCTGTTTGACTGACTTGATCCGTTTAATTTTCTTGTAATACGGCTGACTTGTGCCGAACGTAATTATGAACTGATGATAGCCGCCCGTGAATATACGAAAATTGTATGTAACTTGTATCGCTGTTTATTTTTTTTCAAAACACTTATTTTACTCTAGGCAAGGGGTACGATAAAGAAAAAAGAACAGAAAAAAACCCTCACTCACCACCTGTACTTCTGCATGCGAGACTTCGGTCACCACGTTGGCGAAGATACCGAAATATATTTTTCGCTGTACGACTCCGGTAAACAAAAATACCTAACGGAAAGGTTCCTAGTCAAAATCTCCAAAGAAGGTTTCTCGAATTATATCGAGAAGCTTCACAGCAACTGTACTGTATTTACGGTAAGTAAAATCATTAATGATAAAAGCGTGAGCGAACGCATTATTCGATTTTGTTCGATCGTTGACGAGGCGCTTTTAGGGCGATTACCAGAAATATGTCGTTTGGATAACGAATACGATGACGCTTAATGAATAACAACATTTAGAGGCCACCATGAGCAGCCATCGCATAGGTCGCATATTCGGGCCTTTACGCACCTCTACACTCCCTGGGCCTTTAGCTCCGCCCTTCTAGTAAAGTTGACTATAGCCATGAGTCCCAGTTCCTTAACATTCTGGGGATCCAAAGTGTTTGACCCCAGTATAGTCTGCGTGTAGTGCTCTAGTACCTCACATCAGCACAGAGAATCCGCCGAGGGTTCTTTCTCTATCGCGCAGCGCTCACCCATGGGATCCTAAACGACTTCTTGCATGCCGATGGCGCCTCAACGTGTTATGGCCAGACAACCTTAAGTTTGCTCTATCTGGGCAAAAGCGTCCATCCTTAACACTGGGTCCTACGATGAGCTCCCGTGCCTGACGGAGATGTCTAGAGATGCTTCTCCATTTCTGAGAATGTTGTCTAGCCCACTTCTCAATTTTTCGCCTAATTCTATTGCGCGGGCACCCTTAGTGCTGGTTCAAGACCAACAAGCTTGCTCGCTGATCCTGCTTTCGCAAGAGCGTCCGCCATATCATTGCCAGCGTGCCCCACTATCACACTATTCAGAGCCTCCCTGCATTATAATACAAGGCTCGAAGTAATCTTGCAGGCACTTAGTGATGCCTTCATCGCAGCCTGGCTATCGGAGAATATTGTCATTTTTCTCCTAGGCCTTTCCTCCTCCGAAATTCAGGATATGCAAGTTAGAATCGCATATATTTTCGCCTGGAAAATAGTCGTGTATCCGCCCAGAAGATAGACTAGTTCTAGGTCCAAGGACTCCGGCGCCAGAGCCCTCTTCAGTAATCGAGCTGTCCATATACCAGACCAATCCACTCACTTCGGAGCCTTCCGGCTTTCGGAGTCCACATCAAACTTGCGGTTAAAGCGATAGTTAGGTGTGATCAGATTACCAAGCCGAACGCTGAATTTTATTGAGTTTGGCCTTGGTTGCCTCGGTGCCAATGTAGGGCCACCAAACCAGGGAGCCATACAAAAGAGATGGACGTATATAAAGACAGTGCACTACTTTGGGTTTCAGCCCCCACCTCACTTCGACAACACATTCTGCAAGCCTATTCAGTTTACAGTCTAGTCCTAAAGAAGGTCGGCAAGACAATCCCGTCAAGCTTCCTTCTCCTAGTGAATAAAATCACCTCGGTCTTTCCAGCATTGACAGAAAGAACCACCTACTTAGACCACGATTTCACAGCGCGCAGAGCATCCTGCATAATCGCGGAGACCGTTCTACAAAAACGATCCCTAACCACTATCCTTATGAGGAGGCTATGGCTCAACACCATAGCTACCATTGACGATTTCCTGGAATTTCTTGTAACCATAACATTCTCAGCTCGGGCTCTTATCTTGCTTCACGAACTATAAATATCCACTCTAGCCATAGATACATAAATAACTACTTATACTTGTTTATATCTGCTTCAAATGATCTACGTATTGTTTATAATTATTTTACTTTTTAAGATTCTAAAAATAATCGGTTGCATTTTTGACAATTATTATTTAAATTAGAAAAAGAAGTTAATCTCTTTATTTTTTTTTTCAGGATTTGGGCAATTCGGATTTGAACAAAGACGTGTATATAGTAGCTCATATAATGCGAATAGGCAAAATGCTGTATTCGGATAGTTCGAAAAAGACTGATAAGGCTGTTAATCAAACGCAAGTATTCAAAAGGCCGCATGGGGTAGCTGTGCAAAACTTGGGGGAATACCTCACCAGTAAAGAGAGTGATACGGAAGAAAAAGAATTTAGCATGAAGGTAAGGAGGAATATTTTAGGTTATTTGGTTCTGATTTGAATTTTATAATTCAGCGTGTAACATATTCCATCTCGCAGAGAGTAAGTCATGAAAGCCAAACATCAATTATTATGGAAAGGGGATCGATCAATCTTTTTTCATAATTCCCACAGTTAATCTATCACTCAAAAATCCTAATAATAATATTTATTCACTCACTGTACAAAAAAGCATGAGTAAAATAAAAAGAAGCCCAATAGGATGCATCATTGCCTGTGGATGGACTAATAATTTCAAGCTGTAACAGTAAAATATAACTCACAAAAAGGGCAAGTGTTAGTCACAGTGGATTATGTATTTAGTTGGTGTACGTATTTATGAGTTTATGAATTTCAGTCCTAGATATAGAATGTAGCCACTGTTTCAAATTCCTTAGGTATAATTTCATAAAATTTTAGAGTAACTACTGTACCACGAATTGTGTATCTTGTATTATAACGATTACTAGACATTATTCCAATTGATTGATTCTAACAGTCACTTATAGATGGAAAGTTGATACTATTATAAGAACTTCTGTTTTTCGTTTTGCAGGTGTACCAAGCAGAAGAAAAAGACTTTCACCAACTTCATGACTTCATCATCCGTCAATCAGGCAAATACAGTGCTTTGTCTACGCACATCAACTATGGCGTTATTTTTTCCGTCAAAATGCTCCATGGCGAACTGCGAACTATCAGAGAGGAGAACCCATTGCTATTCAAGAATGTCAGTTTGACAAGCAAGCTGGGATTCCCAGACGTTATCATGCCTGGCGATGTGCGAAACGATCTTTATTTGTTCTTGGACAGGGGCGAGTTTGAAAGGGGCGGCAAGTCTACTGGGAAGAATATAGAGGTCACTGTCGTTGTGCTGGATAGTGAGAAAAATGTTGTGAAGGTAAGATTTTGTCTTTGTTAGGAAGCATTCTAGGTCATGGAACAATGAACGAAAACAGAGAGGTATCATCTCATTGTCAGTCCAAGCAGTCCGTAGAAGCTTTGCTCTTGGTTAAAGTCTAACAGGTCAGTAGGTATCGGATATGGTTTCCCATATACCAGAAAATGTCAGGGAGAAAGAAGCGAAGAAAGCAAGAAGAGGGGAGAGTGAGAGGTGGATCTAAGATGACGCACTGTGCCTCGGGTCCCGTAACTTCAAGGGCGGCCCAGGACGCGGTTTATGGGGCCTCATAGTAGATAAAGTAGATGAATTTTGTCCCCCGTGTGATGGAGGTCATGAATATTAGTGATTGTATGCAAGATTCTCAAGTCGTACTAGATTATTTTTATAGCCCCACAATTTTCGAAATTCCCTTATATTTCGAAGTTGCTGGACTTAGATTCACTTAAAAAGATATCATTTTTTTCAGAACTGTCTTTGGGGCGCTTCAGGCATGGAAGGTGTTTCAGAATACAACTCAATGATTATATATCATCATAACTCTCCAGCATGGGCTGAAAATGTAAGACTGACGTTGCCTATAGACAAATTTGCTGGGGCCCATGTTAGACTGGAATACCGGCATTGCTCAAGTGAGTAGATTCCTAAACTCTTGTAGAATTTTCTAACTAATCTTAGGAATTAAATTGTGTTATGGCAGATTTGTATATCTATAGATACATGGATTCTAAGATTCATAAATTCCTAGATTCGGATATTGTACAAATTATATTCTCTTTGCTTCAGCTCGGGAGAAAAACGACAAGAAATTGTTCGGCTTTTCGTTCTTGCGGCTCATGGACAAAGATGGCGCGGCTGTTCAAGATGGCCAACACGAATTGTACATTTACAAGTGCGAAGATGCCCAAAAATTAGAGAATTGTGGATATCTGTCTTTACCTGCTTTTGCGAAGGATTATGAGGGAAACCACGAGGCTAGTGGACAATTTTCAAGGAGTCACAAGGAAGGAGTAGCTGTTAAAACGCTTTTGTGTTCTACTAAGCTTACGCAGAACGGTGAGTATTTAATTGTGAATTCTGGTATACCCCAAGAGCATGCCACATTCGATCTTTTCATTTTTCATTTGGTATCCCAGATAAGAAATTCAAATTCTTGTGGATATGATGATGTCTCAAATAAGTTTCTTTTGAAATATGTATCCCTCTATCGTTTTTGATTAATTTATCATGTGAACAAGGAAAGTTTCCAAGCTTTTGAAAACTAACATTAGTTATACCAAACCATAAAAGGAATGAAATGAACGACTAGGTTTTTGAGCTTCAGGCGAAAAAACAACTGGTAGATTCTTGCAGTAGAAATATGGCGATCAGCATGGTTTTATCAATGGTAATAGTATTGAAACTGCGTTGTATTTTGGAAACACGTTTCAAGTAAGAAAAAATGCCATGTCTCTATACCTAGTTCTATAAATCATTCAAACTATGAAGTTAAAACCGGAAGTGGGGTATGTAATGCCTTTGCTGATTTCTTTGCAAGTGTATATGTTAAATCTAAACATTTTGATTTAAACAAGGATGCTAGTCCTATTGATGTTACCTTAATATCCATTGAAAGAATATATCAACAAATAGTGTCCTTAGAAATTAAAATATCAGTAGGCCCTGACGGCATACCTTCTGTATTTATAAAAAAACTGTTCCGCTAGCTTATGTTTACCACTTCACCTAATTTTCAAACTGTCATTAACTCAAAGAGTCTTTCCAACGAGATGGGAAGAAGGTGAAATATTGCCTATTCATAAAGGAGGCGATAGACATCTTGTGGAAAATTATCGACCTATCACTACACTTTGTAATTTCTCAAAAATTTTTGAAAAGCTGATTTATGAGGCTATCTTAAACATTACAAAAAATATCATTACGGAACACCAGCATGGATTTTTCCCTAAAAGATCTGTACAGACGAATTTGATGAGTTTTAGAGAATATGCCTCTCACGCAATAGATGAGAAACTGCAGGTGGATGTTATTTATACCGACTTCAGTAAGGCTTTTGACAAGATTTATCATTCTATCTTGATGGAGAAACTTGCTGAGGTGGGTGTAGATGGTCCATTATGGCATTGGTTAGCATCGTATATAAGTAATCGTAAACAAGTGGTGACTATCAATGGGTATCGTTCGGAGACATTCTTAGTAACTTCAGGCGTACCACAAGGTAGTCACTTAGGACCATTTTTATTTAACATATACATGAACAACCTTACTTCTGTTTTTTATTTCAGCAAATATTTGTTATATGCTGATGATCTAAAGATATTTACTATTGTTAGAAATGTAAATGACAGTGTAAAACTTCAAAGCGATTTGGAATCTCTGCAAAAGTATTGCACTGAAAACAGTATCTTCCTGAATTTAACAAAATGTCATTACATGAGACTTACTAGAAACATAGCGAACACTATAGATTTCAGATATAAGATAGGGACGGCAGAACTGGAAAAGCTTCATGTAGTAAAAGACCTAGGGGTATACATTGATGAGAATAGAATAGAAAAATAGAACACTAGGGTTCATAAACAGGACGTGCAGAGAATTTACGAACCCTAAAACGCTTCTTTCATTGTACTACGCTTATATACACAACAAATTGATGTTTGCATTGGTAATATGGAATCCATCTTCCAATGTACATATAGCCAGGATAGAAAGAATTCAACACACATTTTTGAAGATGTTAGCACATAAAACTCACCAACCTGTTACAGATCATCATTATACGCAAATTATGAAACAGTTCAATATGATTTCCTTAAAAGATAAAAGAATGATTTCTGACATTTGCTGTGTTCATAAATTGTTGAATGGCCTCACTGACTGTCCGGATCTTTTGGCAAACTTGAACTTTAACACTCCTGATAGAATGTTTAGAACCTATCATCTGTTTAGAATACCGTTCCGTAGAACTAATCTTGGGCTTAATTCACCTTTGGTCAGGGTTCAAAAAAATCATAATAATTTCTGTAATATAGATTTTTTTAAAAGTATGAGTATTACAGCTCCATGACAGACTAAAATAGAAATGTTTTATTTTGTTTACATAACTAAAGTTATCACCTCCAATATCATTTCTGGTTTAATTTCAATTTAATTTTGATTTCAGTTTTAATTAAACGTAAGTAAATGTTAAATTATGTATACTCCTTTTATTAAAAAGGTTAAATTGATAGTTTATTGCTTATAATTAGAACTACTCATTAAGTTTATGTTGTTACAACAATATCGGAAGATAAAAAAAAGATAAAAAAATATTAATATTAAAGTATTCAATAATGTAATATATGTACTATATATGTATACGATATTTTATGTAAGTTTAGTTTTAGTTCACTGAGGGTGTGTTGGGTTTGCCTTTTAACACCCCAAACTGTATATAAATAAAAAAAATTAAAATTAAAATAAGCATTTGGAAACCCAAAAACTGTTCAAAGATCCTAGCGCCATCTTTGAGATAGTAGCGGAAATGAACACTCTAACACTTTTCAAAGTAGATTTCTATATTCATGATGCGTTAGCATCTTTACGATGCCTTGTTAGACGCCGGAAGATAGTATATGGTTGTTTACCTTGTTCATGAATTACCATTTTGTTATTACAAATGGTGCCGTATCTAATACAATTGTTTTATGTTTTTAGTTGACCTTCTAGCCTTGCTAAGATGGAAATCGCACCCAGAACGTATCCAAGAATCCCTACAGCGAGTTTTGAGACTGGGAGACGAGGAACTAATCAAATTTCTACAAGACGTATTGGACGCTCTGTTCGCTTTATTTTCTACAGAAGACGGAAACTCAACGGCTCACAGTGGTCTTGTATTTCATGTCTTAGTGTCTATTTTCAATCTCTTAGATGGGTCAAAGTACCAGCATTTCAAACCAGTTATGGACGCGTATATCAAAAATCATTTTGCTGCCGCATTGGTTTACAAGTAAGTTGATGGAAACTTGGATCATCATTTTCCATTCTATAATTGTAGAATGTTGATATAGAACACTTTCATACTTCTCATTATAGGAGGGTCGTTTCAAAACTGAATTACATTATTTTTAATCCAGTCTATTACGTTCTATAAACAGAGTTGATCTACTTGAGAACATTTATCTTTTTCAGAGGTCTTTTGACAAGTGTACAGCACTGCGCCGATTGGGTAGTATCCTTTGAAAAACAAGAACCGATACAGAAATGCTTCAAGAGCTTAGAATACATTTTCAAACTAATTATACAAAGTCGATTGTTATTCTCCAGAGCCACGGGTGGAACATTTGAGGATAGCTTCAGAAGGGACCTGTTCAATGTGTTCACATCTTTGAACAAAATGCTCACTATCAACGACAATCATATCATTAACACACAGGTGAATTGCTACTTAAAATCGCGGAATTTTTAAAGTGGATCTTTCAATCCTTGAATCTTTGAGTCTTTGAATTCATGAATCGTTGAATTTATGGATCATTGAATTTTCGAATCTTTGAATCCTTCAAACGTTGAATCTTTTTAATCCTTGAATCGTTGAATGTCTTAACCTCTTAATCCTTGGATCTTCGAATATTTGAATTTCTGAATTTTTGAACCATAGAATCTTTAAATCTGAATGTTTCAAATCTAAAGAGTTTGAATTATTGAATCCTTGAGCCTTTGAATCCATGAATCGTTTAATCCCTGAATATTTGAAGCACTGAATATTTCAATCATTGAATCTTGTAATCTCTGAAACTCTGAGTCTTTGAATACTTGAATCTAGGAATTTTTGGATCTCTGAATATTTGGTCTTTGAATTTTCGAGTCTTGAATTCTTAGAAATGTTATATCGTAATATATCTTATACAGGGTGCGGCAGAGAGGATGGACGGTTTTAAAAAAATCATAAAATAGTTAATTTTTACTCGAAAACAAATTTATTGATGGAATCAGGTTCACAAGGAAATAGCATTTGAGACAGTCAAGTGTGGAAAATCACATCAGGCATGTGGTGGCCGAAATCGTTGATGCAGTGCTGGAGGCGTTCTTGGAGATCCATATGCAAAATTCGCCTTACCGAACGATCACTAAGGCGAAGTGCAGCAGCATGTTTCCGGGCAGATCGAGTCGGACTGCAAAGACCTGTCGAACGCGTTCAACATTTTCAGGAGTTCGAACTTTCGCGGCGCTCCTCTTGGTCTTCTGTTGATCAGTTCACCACGCCTGCGAAGTGATTCAACCCAACGAAGGATGGTGTTTCGAGAGGGAACAGCTCTATTCCGATGAATGTTGAAGTGGCGACGAAACTCACGCTGTACGACGATGACTGACTCATTATTTCGGACGAAACAATCATAGGCGAAAACGCGGTGCTCCACCGTCCAAAGCTCCATAACGACAACTGGTAAAATAATACTAGGATCTCACGAGTCAAGCGGTACCCTTCCCACCTCTCTCGTAGACGGAGGCGGATAGTACTACCCATCCCAAAAACGTCCGTCCTCTCTGCCGCACCCTGTATAACATCCAAACCTTTTTTATATATCATACATAAATATTATTGCATTTCTAGGTTGCCCTGCTACTAGCAGTCAGTTCAGTCTACGAACAGTTGACAGAAGTTCTGCCAACTCTAGAAGTAACAAAACTAGCAGCCTCAATGGTAGATTCTTTACCCCCTCAAGTGCCCAGTATTATAGTCCAGGCAAAATTGTCGTGCATCAAGAACTTAGTTACCAGCAAATTATTTCAGGATGATGGTACGTTTGAAACGAATTGCTTATTTAGTTACTTTTGTGTTAAGAGCGACGTATATAATTTTGCCGTTCGATATACTTATGTATAAGTGGATGATCGCAACCTTTTTTAAGAGTTGGTTGAAACTTGGAGACAATGTAGTTAATATTCAGAAAGTAGCAGATATCATTTTTTTCCTTTTTTTCTAGAATCTCGTAATATTCTTCTGGTAACAGCATGTAAACACCTAAAATTCCATCTCACAAGAAGAGAAGAGCTAAAACTTTGCACGGACATTTTGGGCGAAATCTTGGGCTTTTTGTACAAGCAGAGAAAATATCATGATGAGCAAGGCAAAATCAACAACTGCATTCATCATGATGTGGACACCTTGTGTATAGCTGTTTTAGAGGTCTTGATACAGACTATCTTGACCATCATTGATAAGGATGTTAAAGTATTCGTGAGTATTTTTTCAAATACCTAATAGTATTAGTAGTAGCAGAAAGATTTATTTAGCTAAATTAATAATTAGAAGTAATACATAACAAAAATAGTATGTTCAAAACATATGGTGCATCATCATATTTGCAATTCTAACATAGAGTTTCTCAGTTTTGATATAAATCTTAGGATATTCTGTCATTTTATATCGGAATCTAATTTGTTGAAATCCTTTAGGCCTTGATGGATAACTGATTTCGTACATGTACAGCGTTTTTTTTTTCGTTTAAATAGAAATCATCTTTATGTCTGGTATTATAAAAGTAATAGTCGGAAATGTACAGAAGGTAATACAGTCGGCAATAAAATATTTTTCATTTTATAAATAAAAGGCATGGCTAGGTATTTAATGAAATGTTTAATTTTAAACCATTTTAACGTACTGAGCATTTGATAGATTGCACCATATTTATTTTTATTCACAATTTTTCTCATACATTTATTTTGTAAAATCTATAATCTTGGGTAAACAGAATAATAAATTAGCCAGGTGAATGATTTTCTTACTGTATAGAACTAAACCCTCGGAAATACGTAATAGATAGCCTACCTTATTACTAACTCTACTGATAATTTTTTCATAATGTAGTTCAAAGTTCAACCCACTGTCTAGAATTATGCCCATCTATTTGAAAGAATCTACAAAATCAATGTTTTTCCCGCTAATACTGATATAATTTTGCTTTATCATTTTTTACAATAATCATATATTTTGTTACGTTTGTGTTCAATTTTAATTTATTAGATTTTAGCTGATATAAGTTTTAAATCACTATTAATGAGAAAGATACCTGAAATTTTGAGTACTTTTATCAGCCGAAATTTGGATTTTACAATTGTTTTGTATACTGGGCAAATCAGTTATATACAAGATGAAAAGAAGTGGTCTCAGGATCCTACCCTGGGGGACTTCTTATTATTCAGATAATATGAAAACTATTTCAATACTTTTCCAGATACACCATATGCTTCCAATTTATTTAACAGTATGTCCCTATCTCTCCAAGTCAAGGAATACAGCTGTCACCACCCCATCAGCATCTATAGTTTTCAGTCACTAGTTGGGGGGCTGTTTCTGTAGTTACCCACTAATTATTTCAATTTATATTCTAGGGATGCCTAGTAGCTTGTTTGATAGGCACTCTACAACTCCTGGACGAATTCCACTACAAAAGACTATGGGAAGTTCTCATGGGGCCTCATCAAGACAGAAAACCACTAAAAGACTTTCTACTTCGAGCGTTTCTAGTGTTTAGAAACTTAGTGAGGATGGAGGTCTTCCCTCCTGATTGGTTGGTTATAAAAATGCTCACCAACAATGTCATTTTGAAAGCGTTGCAGGAGTTTGCTCAACCTTTGGCGTTCAAGTTTTTGGATTGTCGAGCAGGTTATTTTGATAAAGAGGTGAGTGCAAGAAATGTTATTATATTTCTAATCCCAATACAAACCATTAATTGGACATTCACAATTTCCATCGTCGCAGCCATGTTAAGTTAAATCGCAGTATTTGAAAAGAGCTAAGAATATATGCATATGTTTTTCCGAGTGGAAATGTCGTTTTATACTTCTCAAAAATAAAAGGATAATGAAACTCCTTTGTCTCAAGTTTTCAAATTAACGCATGTCACAATTTAATAGCAAGAGGGAAAAGAGGTGTAAACATTTGGATAAAATCTTGGTAACAAGACGGGTTTTAAAAGGACTTCAAAGGATACAGTTTTCTTATTCCCGTGTATACTTATTATGCTCTTTTTGTAATATTTGCTTCCAGCTCTGGACGAACTATTTCAACCTCGCAGTAGACTACTTGACTCAAGATTCTCTGCAACTAGAACAATTTTCTGATGTCAAAAGAGAGAAAATCATTGAGAAATATGGAGATATGAGGGTTTTAATGGGTTTTCAAATTTTGTCTATGTGGTCTCAGTTAGGTAAGATCGATATTTTAGGAACATATTTTGCTGTCTAAAGCCTTATCATTAGTCAAGTCAGAGAGCGGACCCAAAGGCTGAGCTCTCAATTGAAGGGCTTGGAGCAATAAGGTACCCAAGTCACATGGACTTTATTTCGAGAAATCTAAAGTTATAAGTTTTATGTAAATCCAGAAATCACGTTTCTTGCTTAATTTCGGTTTAAATGCCAGAATAGGTTTAAATTTGGAGAAAGATTTGGAACAGAATCGAAAACATATTTTATCATTTTTGGAATACTGTGGCTTGGTGCCTTATTGAAAAAAAAGTTGTATCCCAATGGTAAATTAAAAATGATTTGTTTTATGAACATAGAATTTGGATGTTTGTTGTTACGCTCACTAAATTTACTCCTCATCTACGTTACTTCCTTTTGGTGACATGTGGAGCCAAATGCCAGTTCTGTTTTTCCATTAGGAATATGTGAGATGCGTTCTCTCTTTCGAAAAAATTATAAATGTTCCAGAAGACTGAAGGTCACAAACCACATAGATAGGTTTATTTGGTCAATGGTTATAATTTCAGGTGAATGTAAACTCAATTTCATCCCATCAATGGTGGGTCCTTTCTTGGAAGTAACTCTTGTCCCAGAAATCGAGCTAAGGAAAGCCACCCTGCATATCTTTTTTGATATGATGGAGTGCGAACAAAAAGCTAGAGGAAATTTCAAGCAAGTCGAATGTGAGCTTATCGACAAATTGGACATTCTGATCTCAGAGAATAAGGGAGATGATGAGTACAGACAGCTGTTTAACACAATGTAAGTCACTACTAGAACTCTATGTTACGTTTCTGATTTATGTAACTATAAAATATTACCATGATTTTGCATGAACTATAAACATTTTTAATATTTTTTGTTTTTTCTGCTTTCAAAAGGGAACATTTAAGTGCAGTGTGAGTATGAATACAAAATTTTGAACGCACCATAACTAGACACAGAGTTATCTTGGCTTTTAGTTTCACTACAAGTATATGCTTATTAGAGACTATTTTTTAACAATAATTATGATAATAATATTTAATCCAGCCCCTTAGAGACTCAATTTGTTCCTACTCCAGGTCACAGTCTCGATTATGACTGCAATTTGATGCTTGATCAATCGACGTAGCTTATAGGACTTCGTATTCACAATTCTTTGAGAATATAATATTATGTAAATTTTATATGAACTTATCAAAAAAAGTTACAAGGGTAGTTATGGGATTTAACTGATGGTAGTTTTTCCCCTAGTCTCTTGGATAGAGTGCAAGCTGAAGACCCAACATGGAAAGACAGTGGATCTGCCTTCATAAGTTCCATAACAAGGCTTCTTGAAAGGCTACTAGACTACCGAAATGTTATACAGGGTGATGAAAACAGGGATAAGAGGATGTCTTGTACTTTTAATCTCCTGGTAAGTAATGTAGAACATTGGTTGTTACCTTGAACGTATAGGGTGTCTCAAACTATGTAGCTGGAGGTGAAAGGCTTAATGGTAAGAGCTAAGAGCTAGATGTTACGATGATACAGGGTATCTCACGTAAAACTGCTGCGACTAATTACTCAGAAAGCTAATATTACAATTCTGCTAAGGGATTGTCAGATTTGTGCCACTTTCAATTGTGCTGGATAGCAGATACCAACTTACCTATCTTAAATTGTTCAATTTTTCACATTTAGGTGTGATTCTCAATACATTTCATATATATTATTCTATACCTAAGTCTACTCTTTTTTGAGATATCTCAAAATTAGCGAACAACAAAAACAGACCAACTCATTACAACGTTTTTTGTCGTATTTTTTACTTTGTCATAGGATTTGTAATGGGTTTTTTTATAGTAGGGGACATACTTTGGTAGATTTTATTCCGGATTTGGATAACAAATTGTACAGAGTGGTCAAAAAAATAATGAGAATTTGATTTTAGATAACCCAGTCTTTTTTTCAAAATCACATTTTAATTTCATCATGTTAAAATAAAATTATTTTTTTATAAAGTTGTCTACTTCGCAGTTTCTAAGATATATGTGACCTCAGCCTTCTATAATAAAAAATAATGCTGAAACTTTAAACCACCATATTTACTGTTAAAGGCATCACACGACAATGCTCTTTGTGGATGACATGTTGACAGGGATGGGCTAGTTGCTACATTTTGAATATAATAGTGGCCAAAATAATTTTTAAATTAATGTTTCTTTGAAATTGATAAAATGAATTGTCTATTTCCAGAATTTCTACAAAAATGAATTCAACCGTAAAGAAATGTACCTGCGATATATCTACAAGCTCCACGATCTGCACTTGTCAGCAGAGAATTACACAGAGGCAGCTTTCACGTTCAAACTCTATGCAGATCAACTAGGCTGGAACAATAATCCTGTACAAGATCCTCATTATCCCAACAAGACGGAATGCCAAGTCAAAGAGCTGCTTTATAGGCAGATTATCAATTATTTTGATAAGGGAAAGGTAAGCGTGTTACTCCCGACCACAAAAGAATGGACAATGGATGAAATGAACATTTTTCATATTTTTTACGCGCTTTTAAGTTTTTTCGACATTGTTTAACACATAAATACAGTATATCACCCACTGAATCACTTTTCTACAATGAAAATCGATACATGATTTGAACGGTTCCACGTATTAATGTTTTAAAACAACGTCGGAGGGAGCTTTTGAAATCTTCAATTATTCGTTTTTAATTAATTTACAGTGCTGGGAGAAAGGCATTCCACTTTTGAAAGAACTAGCGACAATATATGAGACAATGTTTTTTGACTACAAGCAACTGAGTGATATTTTGAAGTGCCAAGCCAAGTTTTATGATAACATCCTGACGCAACTCCGTCCAGAACCTGAGTACTTCAGAGTTGGATTCTACGGGTTAAGCTTCCCTCTATTTGTCAGGGTAAGTCTCAAAATATCATTATTAGTCCATCGTTAAAAAAAAACTTCCCATACGTAAGTTTCACTTTCTAAAAAACCTCACCATCCGGTGAAAATTCTAGCGATTTCTTTTATGTTTCAGAATAAGCAGTTTGTGTATAGAGGATTGGAATATGAAAGAATTGGTGCCTTCACACAACGATTGCAAACTGAATTTCCGTCTGCACAGATCCTAATGAAAAATACACCACCTGATGACACTATCATCAATTCGGAAGGGCAATGTATCCTTTAACAAAATACTTCAATTGAATCTTTAAATAACCCATACCAGTTTGTATTTGTATTGCCTTCAAGCATCAAAGTAATAATTAATTTCAGAAATAATAAGGAGGCCTCCAATCAAAGGATAGCCAAGGGAGCACTATGCATTTGGCATTCATGTAGAATTTTATTTTCTTAATACTGCCTTTAGATATCCAAATTTGTAACGTGAAGCCCATACCAGAACCGAACCCGGTAACTCTGGCGACAGGGATACCAGAGAAGATTTCTAGGTTCTATCACTATAATGACGTAAAGAGATTCCAGTGTGATAGGCCGGTACATAAGGGAATTATAGATAAAGATAATGAAATCAAAGTAAGTAGGATGATTATGAATACGACTTTTAGATGCAAAATGAAGGGTATCTCTGTAGATACTCTTTAAATACTCTGTCAATTTACTACCATTTTCCGACGACATTTTGAAATTGTCACAGACATGTTTTCCTGATGGTCCCGTGGCTTCTCTATCTCTTTTTCATTGGGATTTGTCAACAATAATCGACAGGCGACTGATGACCTGAAATGAAGTATTTTTCAGGTTCTTTGTGGGTTTCTGCTGCAATTGTGCCAAAAAGAAACTGAAAATTTTAGTCGAAGAATGGTCATCTGTAAAAATAGTCAAAGAGGCATTTGGAGAATAATATTTAAAAAAAATAACTCTACATTGTGATTATATAAACAAAGATGATAATTTTCTCCAAAACTATTGGCTTTATTTAAAAACAAAATCTTGAAGTACATATATAGGACACCCTTTATATTTTACCGATGTATAAGATTTAAAATGTTTTTCAGACACTTTGGATCGAAAGAGTAATCATGGAAATAGCAAGTACTCTCCCTGGTATCTTGAGATGGTTCGAAGTTGTGAATAGGCAGACTGAAGAGATACCTCCTGTACAGTATGCTTGTGAGACAATGAGGAATGTTGAAAACGAACTGAAGCAACTGATTTTGCTACATTCTTTGGATCCCAAGAGGAATTTGAACCCTTTTACCATGAGGTTTGTACGTTTTTTAATACAAAAACATTTCTCAAAAATGCAAAAGTTGTTCGCTACAAACAGCAAAAGTTGTATTATTGGTATAGTCCAGTTAAATAGCCGAAACTGAGACAAAAGTGATAACATAGCCACAAAGTTATGTCCGTTGGCGTAATGGTGTTATAAAGGATTGCGAATATTGTTGTATGAATTTGGTTTTCCGGAAACCAGCCGTTTTTTGTAAAACAGCTGAGGATATCTGGGTTTTTTTACACTGATATTTTTCTAATTTTTGGGTAATCAAAAAAGGAATCTGCAAAATTTTTTGCTAAATTGCTTAGTTCTCGCGCTACAGCTTGCTGATGGCTTGTTGGCGAGGGGTTTGCGGGGACAGGGACGCGCGTACACATATCACCAGCTGCCGCACCGTTGAAGGGGACGATTCTCTTTTATTTCGGCGTCCTCAGTGTCTCACTCTCGGCGATAGGCCAGTCGATTTCGAATAATAAGCTCGTTTGTAGTTGTGGCGTTCACCGACTTATGCATATTAATGAATTTTTGAAATTTATGCGTTTAAGTAGAGTTCCAGATGCAGCAATGCAGCAATTCCTCTTCAGCCGCTTACCGATTGACGGGATAAGTGAGGTATAATATTTTCATTTAGAATTGGAATAACAATAAAAAACCTACAGCTGCAAAAAAGGTGTGACCGTGTATATAAGTGAGTGGCAATGATAAGAATACATTACAGGATGTAGAAGCCCAATGAGTCATCAAAAGACTCGTTTTCGAGGCTCCACGTTATTTTCATAATTATCCTCGCAAATCAGTTTGATAACCGGTAGTTGTTAATCTACGACCATGATAAGAGATTTAGCAGTTCTTGAGCCACGTCTATACGTTGGTCTGACCTACGCCAACGCAAATATGTAAAAAATAGACAATGGCCGATGGTGATGAGCATTTGACGATGTCTCCTCTGCCCACTGTCCTAGTTAGCTTGACGTGTAGACACGGCAGTATGCTCTGCTGTACAACTTATCTGCACAGGACCTCACACCATTTTTGTGGGGTTCAGAGATTTTTTTACGTTTCCAATTACATATTGATAATGGAAGGACTATAAGTATGTGCGTGTACATTTCAGAGTTGAAATTAAACATTATTCCCTTATATTTCAGTCGAGATAAGAAATTATGTAAAACCATTAATTGGAAGTTGCGTACATTTTTTATATTTTCTATTTTGATAGAGTAGGTATAACAAATTATTTTTGTGTTCAAATATGTTTGTATTACATTTGTTACTTTACATTTCATACATAAGGTGTACAACCCTCACTTGAGCCAATGAAACCTACAATAGCATGTAAGTGGAATTGAAAGTATATTCAGCTCAATGTTATATCCACCCCAATCTATTACAAGTAGGATAAATCATTGAAGATCAAAGTCATTAAAGTCGTAGCCGACGTCATTTTCGTTAATTTCGTCATCGTCGGTCGTTGCATCTTGGCCGCTTGATGAGGTCTCATCATCTTCTATTAAGTCATTATTATCGGGTTCTACGGTAGTTTGCCCACCGTTCTCCTCACATGCATCTGTAGTCGTCGGAGTTTCGCTATCATGGTGTTCTGTAGCAGTCCATCTCTTTGAGTTGTTGCGCGATTTTCCGCGGCATACTTTGCGAGCAGAGTTGCACTTTAGACCGGCTTTTCGGCAGTTGCATCGCTTCGATTTGCAGGGCCCTCGGCATGCATAGGAAGCCTGAAAAAAGGTTATTATAAGAATTATTATAATCTAAATATCAGTTGTCTTGTAAGGGAGATCAATGACAGGCATTTTATAGTACTCCATAGATCAGTTTAAAAATTTGTTATTTTGACTTTAAACTGGATCTCACATTTTTCAAAAATTATTTTAATTCCGATCAGACAGTACATGATATCAAAAGTGCGGTAAAAAATTAGTTATAGCAAGTTGTATTTAGTGCTTCAAATTGAATATATTTTACACATACCTCTTGTAACAGTTCTTTTGGTGCGGGATCTGCTTCAGACATGATCGGAATGAGAATATTACCCTGTCTTGTCCATCCTCCCAAGCAGGGATCCAATCTGTGTTGCAGCCACACCTGGATTTACAGTGCTGAAGCAAGGCAGGAGATGTTGGGGAGACATTCTAGGGGCGTTTCCTTTTTTGCCTTTGCTAAGTTTGTAGAAAACAAATTGTATCTGAAAGTCCCTAGAGAAGCAGACTGTTATTTGTCTTTGTATAGTGCGAAAGTAATAGTCTCTGCACATTGCAGCAATTCGTCTTCCAAGCAGTCCGGCTTGTAAAACTTCAGCGCCAGGGTTCTAATGCTGTCGTTCTGCATCAGCAAGTTCAACAGCTTCATCTTCCCTTTCACAAAAAAGAAGCTAGTAGTGTCGCAGCCCGCAAACGCATGAGCGAAAAGTAGAAATGTTTGTGATCCCGTGTATCGTACAATTGGTTCGCCTTGCCCCCCTGGCCCATCTTGTAATAGTACATGCTCTCTGAGGCTGGAGTGAGTCCAATAAGTAATATTAGGAGATCAACATCCGGGCCGACGACTATAACTCGTGATTTCTCGTGACGAAACAGTTCGTTAAGAGTCTTCAGAGCTGCTCTCACAATCTCAACATCCGCATCCTTTTTCGCATGGATCACTGTAAAACTGAATTCCTCATATGTTGCAAGAGTTTGACCAAGACGATAAACAAATTGAGCCTTGTTTTTCACGTTGGACAAAAATTTCCTTTGATTCAATGGGAGGAGATTGTCTGGTTCAATTTCAACGTCCACGCTACAATGTCTTTCTTGTCTACGGCCTCGCTCGTATGATTTGACAACTATATGTTCATCTTCATATCCGTCGAAAACAATAATGACACTCCGACCAAACCGCTTAACAAGAAAGTTCTTGTACATATCAAAGATTGCACGGTATGTCTTACTATGAGGCCAAACGAGGCTGTGAAGCAACCATCCTCCGCCTACAACAAACTGAGAATCTTCAAAAAATGCTCGCGAGGATAGGGTAGTAGTGAACATTTTATATAACTGTGACTTGTTTGTTTTTCGCATTGATCCTTTCTCGTCGAACAAACTAAGAGCCTTCGCACACTACGTCGTATCGTAATCGTACCGTAATACGCGCGTAGGACGAGAGCAAAACGAGCTCGTATGTGTGCTAACCAGTCCGCACACGAAGCGGTGTTGCAGCGAAGCGTATGAGATGTTCAGTCGTATGTTATTACGATAGTCGTAGCGGTCGTATTATCATCTTCTGAAAGTTCAAGTGCAGCAACAAGCAATCTTTTCTTCTTATTACTTGCGATGTATGGATGGGTCCAATGAGCACGTTGCCTTCTACTTCTACCATAATCAAACAATAAAAAATCCTCTTGGTCTGAAGAAAATGTAAGATCATCAATGGATACACCAGAAACATATGGTACCGTTGACGCCATGATTTCAACTGAGATCCCACAAAGCGATACGAGTACGTGACGATGCGTGTGTGGGACACTGGAGGTCTCGTAAGCGTTACGTCGTAACGATATGCTTACAAAACGATTACGCTTACGATGCGTGTGCGAAGGCCCTAAGTGGAACAGGAGACATTTCGTAGTCGAAAGAAGATTTACTCAACTCTTTTCTTCCACGTTTAACCACAGACAGACGTTGAAATAATAGACACTGGCGCTCCCACCCGGGGGGGGGGTAAAGGAGGTAATTACCCCCCCCCCACTAGATGACTCGAGCAGTCTTTGAAAAGGTGGTATAAAGTAAACGTCTTATAAAAAAATCTGCAACCTTAAGAAAGGATAGCGACAACACTGCGAACCCGCTCAGTGCGCATGCGACTAGCGGCTACTCTCCCACCAACAGCAACGGTGTGCGCTTCTTCCTGTTCTAACAGGTATAGTCTAGTCTTTTATGATCTAGTCTAGTGTCTAAATTCTGTACCAGTCCGGAGTCCGCAACAAAATTTGGCTGAGAAGTGAACAAGCGGAGTTTTGTTGATCTGGTTGGTATTAACGCTATTTTCTATGTTCTATTGATTTTTTATTTTCCACGCATAAGCCAGAAAACTAATTTTTGTTTGTTTTTAATTTTTATACTATAAAAGAATCCTGTCTAAAAAGTGACAGACGGAAAAATGGAAATTTAATATGATTTCAATTACGAGATGTTTGGTCCATACTCCAGCGATCATTATCATCTATGTCTATTTTGTCTCGGAAGTCCCTGTATATAAGCACTCCAGTGCATTTCGTTCGTCCGAGATGACAAATTATATATTTAGTTTTTGGAAATTGCGTGAACTTAAGAAATCTTGTTTTCCAAACAGAAAAGGTTCTTTGTTATGAGATACGTGAATGCGTGGAAACCAATAAAACCGTTTATTTGACAAGATTTGTGTAACTTTTAGTGCTGGTTGACGGCTGCTGTTGTCAGGATGAATAAAAGGAAACAGAATACCATCGACTGGTTCCTTTCTAAACAAAACAAACTGTCTGATCCACCGGCACAAGAATTACCGGAAAAAACTGATGATAATCCTACAATTCTACCTGAGCCTTCCACTTCAAAATTTCTTGATGTTGCACCGTATGCTGAACCAAGTATTGAACAGTCGGGTGTGAAACCTAAAGGATCCAATTTTGTTGAAGTTGCGCCATATGTAAATTTCAGCGGCAACTTGTCTTCCCATGAAAAATATACCTTATTGAGGTGTGCAATGATCCCTAATGACTCTTTCAAATATCCCTATTCTACACACTTGAAAAATGATAAAGAAGTGAAATGTTACTTACATAAATCAACTAAATTGGGAAAACTTGTTACAGTACCACTAAAGAAATTTTCGAAATTGTATGGCAAAACCGGTGATTGTGAGACACATGAGAACTCAATATATCATACAGAAGCAGTTTCAGATGCTACAAACTTTTTAAAGATTTACGAAAATCCAGATAATGACATAAGAAATATAATAGGTTCAGAGCGAATTAAGCAAGTATTAGAAAATCGGTAAAGATTGACTCCTATAATAGAATCTATAATTTTTTTAGGACGCCAAAACATACTATTTAGAGGGCATAGAGATAGGAGACGACTTTTTTCTAATGACATCACGAATGAGGAGGATGTTCTTTAATAATGAAGGGAATTTTAGAGAACTAATACGGTTTAGAGTCGAGAGCGGCGACAATTGAATTATTGAAAAAAAAACTTAGAGAACTCAAAGGCGCATGCTACGTACATAAGTAGCCGCATCCAAAATGAAATTATAGAATGTTGTGGCGAAGAAATCTTGGATATAGTTTCAAGTCGCGTCAGGCAAAGTCAGTATTACAGTATTATATTTGACGAAACTACAGACATTAGCCATAAATCACAAATGTCAATCGTATTGCGGTATTGTTATCAAACTCATATTTACGAGGACTTAATGGGATTTGTGGATTGCTACTCAAATTTTGATGAAGATAGAATGGAGTCCAAACTCACAGGTCAAATTCTTGCTCAATCAGTCAAGCATTTCATTAAAACCAATAACTTAGACTCAAAACTATGTGTGGGCATTGGTACTGATACGTGTAACCTAATGTTAGGTGAACAAAAGGGCGCTGTAATAGAATTGCCAAATGCTCTAAAAAGCCCATGCGCAAATCATGCCTTGAATCTTTCGACTTGTATCTGCCCCTCTGTGAAAGTTGATGGGTCTGCTGACACATTAAAAACATGATGACTTTTGAAGCATACACGTATATCTTTTCCCCCCATTATACTGCACTCAACTTCCTCACCGCAACGTTTTTAATGTGATCTGCTACAGTCCTTCTATCTATAGAGTCATCATTCACTAACTTCGACAAATAATGAATAACATTTTTGTCCTCTTCAAGAACTTGCCACACAGGTTCTTACAATGAATCGATTCTAGACCAGTTTAGATCTTCGATATTGTTTTTAAACCATGCGCTTTGAAATGAGACATGCATGTCCGGTGATATCTGCCTTGTACCCGAATTAAGCAAATGGTTTGTAATCTTTCAACAACGCTAATTCCCAAAGAGTCATTTCTTTACAAATGAAGCAATTATCTGCGTAATGGAAATCAGGAACCTCATCGCTTGCAGCTACGATATTGTTATCGGGTGCATTCAACGCAAAATTCTGAGTATACGTGCCACTGGACTATTAGTCGATAACCCCCACTATATAGTAAGAGATCGTCTGCGTCGTCAACGCGTGGACGGTGCGGCGGCAGGTTGGTGGTATGCAGGTACGCCGCCCCTGTCCCCTCAAACCCCTCGCCCACAAGCCATCTGCAAGCTGTAGCCCGAAAACTATGCAATTTAGCAAAAACATTCCAGAGACCTTTTTTGATGTCCTAAAAATTAGAAAAACTTAAGTGTAAAAAAATCCCAGATATATTCAGCCGTTTCAGCGAAAAAGAGGTTTTTTGGGTTTTTCACTGTTTTACAAAAAACGGCAGGTTTCCGGAAAACCAAAGTGATACAACAATATTCGCAATCCTTTATAACACCATTACGCCAACGGACATAACTTTGTGGCTATGTTATCACTTTTGTCTCAGTTTCGGCTATTTAACTGGACTAGTACTGGTTGCTGAGATTCGCATGGGATTCCGGCGGCACAGCTGTAAAATGTTGTTGACTCAGAACATTTTTATAAATTCCTAATATGTATCTTTTATTTTTCAGACTCCAAGGCATTATAGACGCTAACGTTCAAGGTGGCATTAGTAAATACCAACAGGCCTTCTTTACTAAGGAATTTGCAAAATTGTATCCAGAACACAAAGTATACGCTGATACTTTGAAGGAATTAATCATAAATGCAACTAGAGTAAGTACTATTTTTGATTATACCTATTTAAACTTATAGTCAACTTTTGAAGCATTAATTTTACGAGAGATTCCAAGTAGAAGTAAGCTACGTTTTCAAAATCAAATTTATTGGTGCCACTATACGTATGTACTTCCACAGGTCAAAAATAATGAAAAAAAACCTTAAAAAGAAGTAGAGACTTCAATACATCAGACAAGACGGTAAAAAAGTTTTAACATCTATGTCGGATTAAAATGATTTTATATTTCCTTTAAATTTATGTACAAGTACGTTTCTGATGTTTTTTGGCAGGTTGGTACTCTGGAGATTTCTAACATCCTGTTAGTCGGAAGCACTATGACTCTAGGTTACTTTTGTACCTTATATTGTGTTTGTGAACAACTCTATGCATTCTGAATATGGAAAGCTTTTTGTTCACGATGTGACTCCGCCGCGCAAATCAGTCGACATGCACCCCTAGGAATTTTTCAGATGGTGCATTCGTATTTACATCGCCTAGCTTTCGTAGTGAGAACACCATCTATTGGGTTAATTTAGCAGAAGTACATTTGCATCAAACCATGCCTTAATATCCGACTGTACAGCTTGCATCCCCAATATTGCTTCATCCAGATAATCTTCAGTCAGGAAGAGTGTGGCGTCGTTCACGAAAAGGGTTAAAGCAACATCTATGCTTGCCAAAGTACAACAGAAATAATATAGGACCCAATACTGCGCTCTGTGGAACCCCGATGAAGAGTTCCCTTTCCTGAGAGACCACCTCTCCCACCCTGACTACCTGAGTTTTATTTGCCAAATATGATGTAACGAGGGAAATAGCAATATAGGTAAAATTATAGTCTTTATGTTTGCGGATTAGGAGCTTGTGATCAACACAATCAAAAGGTAACTGCGGTTCATTTTGAGAACTCGAATGGGTTCAGTATTCTATTCACGAAATCTGTTATACCCAAAACTGTATTCTTATATTACAAAGCTTGCAAAACAACCGTTTTCTTCCAAAAAAGACAAGCCTCAAAGCACAGCATTTCTCAAGTATTTTAGCAATAATTATTGCAATACCGATAGGTCTACCTGTATAGATGGCGATATCATTCTTGTCTCAACTTTTGAATACAGGTATAACCGTAGCTTTTTTAAGAATATCGGAAAAAACTCCTTCCCTGGAATACAGATTAACCAGCTTGGTTAGGAGGATAATTATAAGTATATAATGTCTATTCGCGATCAGTATCAGATGTTTTGTATTATCTGTTTACTCGTAGTTCACTCAAAGGATTCGGATAAAAAAATCAAGGGTGGTGCCCACTTGATCTGATCTGAAACTTATCGGTTTTCCAGCTAAAACCTTTGTGAAACGCGTTTTCTGATAATTCAATGAACTCATTAAATTTTTGTTCTACTTTTTTGCTGGGTCCAATATGAAATCAAACGATATGGCTTCAACTATATTATTAGTTTATGAATTGAAGGATGGTGGGGTAAAAATCCAATGTAAAACAAAAGATGATAACGCGAAGCTACGTAAAGAAATAAAATCAAAAATGCCAGAAACATATACAGTGAAAACTTCAGAGATAAGTAAAAAACCACAAATCAAAGTTATTGGATTTTGTCAAGAATATGCAGAAGACGAGCATAAATACTATAAAATCACAAAATGAATCTTTTGAAATGAAAACTAAATATCAAGCAATTTTAGAAGTGGATGCTGTGACTTTTAAGTTAATGTTTTGCGATGCTATAAATGTACCGGATTTAACAACACAGCTAAATACTGCACAAAATCAGGAAGATGTATTACTTGTGGATTAGAAGGACATTCAACAGAAAACTGTAGTACCAGTGAAATGTACAAATGCTGTCCAAATTGTAAAAGTGCAAACCAGGATTTCAATCTAGGATTACTAAAAACATTTTGAAGCTAATATAACCTGAGTCCGTCCCTGTTACATACGCTTCCAAACAAAACTGTCTAAAATTGTTAATATTTTTGAATCCAGCATAAAAAACTAGGCTAGGATACCAAATTTTATGTCTTTATCTCAACACGTTTCGGAAATATTAAGGAAAACCATCTTCAAGGGAGCCCCTTTAAAAGACCGTAGCGCCCTTAGGGGACGTTTGTCGACCTATGTTTATATAAACTTTTCCTATTTTAAGCTCTAGAAACTGCTGGTAGAATATTGCACACGTTTTTCGGGACACCCTGTATATACTGGAATGTCTGATCCATGTAAAAAATAACTATGTTTACAGAACTCCAAAAGAGAATCACAAATATAACACAAGATTTAATAATGAATGAGTACCAGAATACACAAGACTAGCATCTAGATGGGGGAGCAATTGTTTCAGAGTAAAATTCTTTAATATTTTGCGCAGGTTTTGTCAAACACTCAACTCAATCACTTTTAAACAAACTGTGAAAACATATTTAGTGACGAAAGATTTTTACAACATTGACGAAATTTTAAATAATGATTTCACCGACTTTATCCCATATTTGTTGACTATTTGTTTTGTTGCTTTATGTTTATTTTCGATTTTGTCAATTTGTTTTTCAAATGTATGTGTTGTATTGCTCTTTTGCGTACAAACACGAATAAATCATTATTATTCATCACCAATTATCAAATTTTTTAAGGAATATGAGGAGGTTTATTTGTCAAAGCGGTTACAGTTGCTTCCTCGTCACCGAACGTGTTTTGTTTGAAAGTAGTTCACACAGAGCGTTGTTGCTTATCTCAGGAACAGATTTACTTTCATGAAGTTGTTGCATGATTGCTTTCTATTTTATTGTTATTATCATTGCTGTTTATTGCTAATTTCGTCTTGATATTTTTTCCATATCAGTATATCGTTTTCATAAGCTTATGACCTTCTTCTAAGCTCAACTTTGTGGACACATTTACGTCCACAGTATACCATGTTTTTGTATGACAACAAAATCCTTTTTTCTATCACTGCAACTCCGGTGATATACGTATGACACGACATAAACATAACTTTTTATTTTTGTAGCATTCAAAATGTATTCCACGATTTTTATTTTCCATTATTTAGAGTTAATTTGTTGCTGAATGCTGAGCTGGTATAATTTCGCTGGACTATGTACCTTTTAGATCTAGTATGTCTTAATTATGATTATTATTTTTTATAGGTAATGGAGGAAGGTCTATACCTTCATGGCAGACTAGCTCCTGCTACAGTCCAACCTTTGCATCAGAGGTTGTTGGAAAGATTTGCTCAACTTAAAGAAAGCCTAGGATCTTTGAATCAGCATAATTCTGGAAGCATTGTAAAGTAAGTGGATCGTTATGTGATTATATTTGATGCTTGCACATGGTTTTCATTGCTGTTTTGTTAGTATCATTTCAAAATCTAACCAAAATGTGTGGCCACGCCTAAGTTTGACCGCACATTGAACTTTGCCTAAAACATACATTATATGAATTCATGCTGCATTTGATAACACTTTTGTATATTCAGATTACTTGTCCTCCAATTGATAAAAAATTTCACGTTTCTAGTGCTCCATTACCCCCACTGCCCACGGACAAACGCCTATTGACAGAAAACGGAAGCAACAGGTCGTCAAATTCTAGTGGAAACTATGGACATCTAGAACATCAAAATGTAGATTATGATAACATCTACACAAAACCAATGGTTGGTATTCAAGCTTATCACAAGGAATGCAACTATCTCTGTTAACTATTTAGACGCTTATTATTATAAATGATTAAAGTTACTGTTTTTACTTCTCACTCCTAGTGGTGAGAAGGTATTGTAACCGTGAAAGATTTCTAAAATGAGATATTATGTTCTTTGGATGTCATATGACATGTACATCACGAACAACCAAGTCACTCATTTCCGTCGGTCTGTCTGTATTTCTGTCCACAAATCATTGGCCCTTCTATAACTTGAATACTATTGCGTGGATTTGGATGAAAGGAGGTGGGTTGATAAGGGTCATTTTTCGCCCATAACACACTCAAAAATAAAAAGTTCGATTCTAGACTATTATTGAATTTATTTGTGAACTTCAAGACGTGTATTTCTTCATTATATAATATTTACGGTATAAATAATGCAATATGCTTCAGAAATTATTTCCAAGAAATAGAGTGTTTAGCAGTTTTTGTGCATTTTTGTTGTTTTTCGATCTTTGAATCATGTTTTCCCTACGAAGCGTTCCATGAACCACATTAACTTTAATGCTCAGTGAGTCTACTTATTATAAGTTTGTATATGAGTATTTATTTGTTTTGGTTCAGTGAGCGCATCAATCCAAAAATACGTAATATATGATGCAGGACGCTGCAATCGCTGCGTGTTCAGACATGATCTTTCACACTCGAAAAGTATTTAGGTAGTAAAGGTATGGAAACTGTGCAGTGTTTTCGCGTTCAACGTTTATTGAAAAACTTGATAAAACAATTATGCCTGGATGCCAGTGTGATTGTTATAAAACGTGGCGAAAAACAAACAGTGATTTCCGTAGCTGCTCGAACAAAAACATTATAGCAATACTTAGAAAATCTAAAAATTGTGATCTGCAGATTGGTTCTAAGTTGTGTCCTAAATGCAGATCATATGCATTCCGCGTGGCTCAATCTCAAAAGACTCCCACTTCATCTTCTGTAAAGACAACAAGAGTTCTTACTTCAAAAAGTACCTTTAATGATACTACGAATAAGGGCCCTAATAGACATCTATCAGTACCTCGTTGTCACAACTCGAATTCATGTTGTGTAATATGTAAAAGTGAACGAAGCCTCATAACTGTAAGAAAGGCAGCTCGAACTCAAGCATTTATAGAAACTGTAAAAATTGGCACTGCAAGCTTTACGCTCTGTAAGTGACAATACATTAATGTATAAAAAAGATATTGAAAGTCTTTTAAATAATATCAGAAATGTCGCAAAGAAGAAAGGTCTCGATTTTGATACTCCACCACAACTCAACTGAAGTAAAAAGACCAAGCCGTGAATATGCCCATGCATTACAAGATGCAGCCGCTGAAGGATGGTCTGATAGTGATTCGAAAGAAGAAGACAAGGAAGAAGATTAGTAAAAAATATATTAAGTGTATGAAGACTGATTATCTTTTATTATTGTTTAATAAACATATATAATACTCAGATAATTATTTAATTTATGTATACCACGAATTTCAGTTTTCATTTGAAATAAGTATGTTTTCTTCTTTGTTATGTAGTATACTCTTCATAAATATATATGTCATATCTATTCGCTGGTGGGCGAAAAATGGCTCTTATCAGCCCACCTCCTTTGCAGAGAAGGTAACTACTTTGCCGAGGATGAAAATATTTTGAAAAACGGCCCAGGAACGGCGAAGATACGGTAAAAAATGACAAAAAAAAAACAAAACTCGCACAAACTTTGTTTTTTGACGTTTCAGAGGCTCGTCAATTATTTTAGGAACAAGTTGAGGGTTGGGGTTGTAGGGGGCTATACAGAATACAGAATGGTCGATACCTCCAGTAAGGACAGGGAAGAAGTTTAGAATAGGTGAGGCTATGGACTAATTGTATGGGCTCACTTGATCCATTTAATTCTTCTTTTATTATACATGTTCGTAGTTGGCAGCAGCAGTGGTGTAGTGGTAGACCTGTTGGGTCTACTAATCAGCCGCCGTGCACTGCGCGGGTTCGGATTCCGTCCTAAGAGAATTTTTGTCTTGGCTATGGATGTTGTGATTGTCCGTAGGAGGTAGGCAGTCTCTGACTGTCGAACGTGGAGGTACCACCCGGCGGATCTCGTAAGCGGGGCCAGAATGTGTGCATGTTGCATGCACACGTGTTCCTACGCCAGAGTCCGTGTAGCGTCCCCCTTTCTCCTGTATCCCCTATAGCCCCACGGTACTCATCGGTGTTTTTGACTTGGGAATTCGTCGTTAAAAAAAGCCTACTTGACGCCATATTTTTTTGTTACAGGATAACGAGAGGTCCATCTTGAGTAGAGAAAACCTAACGCTTCCGATGAACAATTCGGCGCCACCGATACCTCAAAGGGGTGAAATAAGGCCTAGATCTCAAGGGTTCAACAACAGTTGTTTTGCAGAGCTGCGGACACCTACGAGAGGATCTTTAGAATATAGTAGCTCTAGTTTACCTTCGATGAAATCCAGGTGAGGGAGCATCATGAATTATGTTTTTTTTTGTGAATAACGAAATAGAAATTTTTCATTGTGGAATTTTTTAACATCAACGTCTATGGCTCAAAAATTTAAGAAACTTCTGCTTATTTGTAATGTCGATGGTGGGTGAATCGGGTACGCAGATCACGAATCTGAAGTCATTTTGTGTTTTGACCAACAGAAGACGCAGAAGAAAACATTTTACTGTCTAAACAGGGTTTAGCCTTTTGATAAACCAAGAAAAGGATACCAGGGTACCTAATAAAGAAATTGTCAGAACTTATTTATTTTCAGAAGTCTATAATGCGATTGAGTACTTCTTCACTTTTTCATCCAAATTAGTGCAGTTTAATTTTATTATTTTTCAGAGATTCCGACCCATGTGACGTCCCTCTGCCTCCGAAACCAACCCATTCCAGAGAAAGATCTCTCACAAAACCACCGTCACCTAGATTGTTGCGCCATGCAATGTCTATGACTCCAACGGACGGTAATTCTCCAATGCGAAATTCCTGGCCTGAAACAGGGAATCCTGAGGAAGCGCCTCCTTTACCTCCCAGATCTCACAGTAAGTCATCTCCATAGTTAATCTGCAATCTCCACAAAACAGTGATCACATTCTTGAGGACATAACGCTATTGACTAGACTAAGTAAGCGATCACCTACACCATATAAGCAATACAGGTTCATTTCTATTTAAAAAAGTGGCAAATACACGAATATTTTTGAGGCGCAAACTGACTTGGGAAATGTATTGTAAAGGCTTTTTTGTATACCATTTCAATAGGACTCTCTATATCTCTCTTTAGAGTATTTTGACTGGAAATTGGTAGGAAAGCAATTTATATAATTTTATCAATGATTCATTATTAATTCAAAAATATTATTTAACTCTTCTTTTATATAATGTGCTTGCTATACCGAGTTAAATAACATTTTAGAAGTTCATATTAGTACTTTTGGTTTGTAGTAATGAGATTTTAAAGAAAAGTGGAATACCTATTCGCGCGAGTTTGAAGAAAGAACGTAATACTAGGAATATAAAGTGCTTCTCCCCACTCGTCCTCGGTTACTTAACAGTTCTTTAACTCCTGAGGATAATTATTGAAATAATTCCAGCTGTAAATATTTGCACACTCACGAGTAAGTAGTAAATAAAGATTATCGGTATTTTAGGTTATGACATTCAACAAAATGTCCCTAAGAGAGCACCAACGATGATGCGATGAATATGTTACTACAGTATATTCAGATAAGAGATAGACCGGACATAAACAAGACCACGTGATCATCGAACGCTGTAACATTCGGCAGGGACGTATTAAGAGTCACGCAGTACATATTTTAGATAGTAGATGCTGCTTTGCGTAACTTTGTAGTAAATTAGCACAATTCGATGTGTATACGATTGGTGATGGATATAGGATCATGTGGGGGTGGGGTAAGAAATATATAATGATGTAAATATACATAAGGGTTTCAAAATGTTCGCTTCGATTTCCAGCTTCGGATGCCGCCTGATGTTTGGTGAAATACAGTCGAATATAATCTCAAAATGGCGTTTAAATTAGCCTAAATTAAAAATAATCGTATATCTCTTAAAATTGCTTTTAGAATATTGATTAGTATATTTTTTGATTTCTAGGTAAATATGTAACCAAATTAAAACGTTCAAAACGTAAAAAAAATGTGCATGGTTGAACATTGTCAGAAAGTAGATTCTTGAATAGGTTTTGCCAAAATGGGTTCAAAAATGTCAATAATTAATTAAAAAATACAGTAGCTTTATAATTACTTATAACTTACCGAATTTGATGAACGACATCTTTTATTGGAAAGATGAGCTTGATGAGCTTTCATCATCGCTACTGCCTGAAGCACCAACGTCAATAATGAATGGCTCGACTTGTTCCTCTAAAATATTGTCCAGTTCCCACATTCTCTTTTCAACTTTGTCTTTCACGTGCTTAATACAGTTTGCCCATTTTTGCGCTGTTATTAATTCTAATGCTTCTTTGAAAAGTCCTTTGAGGTCACAAAATTTAAAAGTTGTATTGTGCTTAGCTATATATTTTTTAACCTCTGCCCATATGAGCTCAATGGGATTGAGCTCGCAATGGTATGGAGGTAAACGGAGCACAGTTTTATTTTGACTTGCTGCCATTTCGTCAATGGCGTATTTTTGATATTCCGCGTTGTGATCCTTGACAATTCTTAATAATTGTACTTTCAGCATTGCGTCTTCAAAGTTGATATTTTTCGAGCGGAGCCAATTTTGAACATCAACTTTCCTTGAAGCCGTTGTTGGGACCTTCTCCATTCTTCGAGAATGATAAGGCGCATTATCCAACACAATTACTGCGTTTTCCTCTAAGTTCGGTAAAATTTTTGAAAACCACTGTTCAAACGATTCGCCATTCATTTCCTCGTGGTAATCTCCAGTTTTCTTAGACTCAAAGCACCACAGACCGTCAACAACAAATCCATCCTCACTGCCAATATGGCAGATAATGAGCCTTTTCCCTTTACCTGGAAATCGAAGTACTAACTGGTGTAGATTTATTTCAATAAGCGAACCTTTTTCAAATGTTTTCATCACATTCAGCGAAAAAACATTGAGACATGAGTATCAGATTGCTATAATTGGGATTATTTAGTCATATTGAAAGAAAGAATATTGAACGTCGTATGATTACTCAGCGCTTCACAATTTAATTTAAAGTTATAAACCTTTAAAAAATGAATGATCAGGAACCTGAACTACGCGCAAATATTAATATTAACAAATTATAACTTTATAAAGCTTAAAGTATGAATTAAAATGATTAGAAATATTAGGAACGGTACACAATATAAAACTTAGTAACTTTTTTTAAGTTTATAATATTCGACATATTTTAAGATTATATTAAAAAATTATTGAAATATCGAAAACACATGAAAACATGGCTTAAAAAAGTTCTAACAAATGAAAATGACAATAAAACATCCACGCATTTTATCGAAAGTTATAAAAGTTTTGTTACTTGTAATATGTTTTATCTGCCCCCTGGAATTAATGTTTAGAACCTTGTTCCCAAGGTTTGAAAAACATCCGATTGTTGTCTATTACTCGTATTTACCTGCTGGATTTTTTAATCCGGTGGACAGTCCATCTAGAAAGGCCCTCCTGGATGAAGTTACAGAATCATCAACCCATACTTTACTTGTAGTGTGTCCTGCGTTTACCCACGTTTCATCAAGGTAATAAATCTTCCTGTTTTGATTTCTATATTTCCCAATTTTTGTTAAATAATCCCTCCTCCATAGCACAATTTCTTCTCTATCCAGTAGTAAACTATTACGACCCCGTTTTTTCCATTTGAAATTTAAATGCTTCAGTAACGCATGGAAAGTTGATCGTTTGAAATTTGGCAACGTTGTATCTCCATTTACCTCCTGCAGTACTTTATCTATAGTAGGTATTTCATTCCTAAAAAAGAATTCATGCACTTTCCTCCTAATCGCATGCTTATCAGCTTCATCCAATGATTTAACAATACTTTTGCGATGTTTACTGGTCATTGGCTCAGAAAAGGTGTGATTTTTTTTTGTATTGTCTTAACACATTAAACACTGATGCGCGACACACCCCAACTTTGTGAGAAACCTTCATAACAATTTCTTTGATGGTTGATGCCTCGTTCTCCTCGCGCTCGATCTTATATATATTCAAAATGACCTCTTTGATTTCTGCACTCAGGTGTCTTTTTTTAGAGCGTTTCCTAGGTGGACTACAGGAGTTTACAACTTCATCGGCAGTATCTGTACTACTGGGCATTTTGCGCAAGCAGTTGATAACAATAACAATCAATAACAAGGTATAACAATAACAACGACAAACTCAACAACTTAATAAGATAACAAACGAAAACGTCCAAAGAAATATCAAATTGCAATGATGCACACGACATACGTAACACGTCTGAACCTGAATGTGACTCTGCCTTGATACGACTGCTCTGCCGCTCGGCATAGGCATTTAATTGCGAATTGACCAATGAGGGCTCCTGTTTTACGTCGAGACGGCGGCGTTAGCGTGAAAATCACCCGAACCTTTTGTTTACATCCGGTCTATCTCTTATCTGAATATACTGTAGTTTCTTCAGATCCAGTAATCGCAAAAATGTTATTAAAATTAGAAACTACATATTTGTTAAATCTAACTTTCACTTGATTTATTAATACCTTTATTTTTTTTAGTTGTACCTATTTTATTTCATTCAAGTTTTATTAATTAATTCCGCACCTCCTTACAAAATTTCTCAGAATGCGATGCTTGTTCTGCAACATCCTGCAGATTGAAAACTTTTGTAACATATACTGAGTGACAAAAAAAGGTAAACACCTACGTATGTTTATTAGAATTCTAGAATTTTTTACATATCGATTTATCTTGCCATGAACAACAAGTGATAAAATGGTCAGGTTTTTTTACAGTAGCCTGGAAAGAGATACCCCAACAGAGGATATCGACCACCTTATCAGTACGATGCCCAGGCGTGTCAATGAGTGTATAAGAAATCGTGGATCCTCAACACATTATTGAACCAGCTTCTGCAGTCAGTTGACGAATCAAGCTGAAAATTTAATCATTTTACTAGTCAGGGACATTGAACATACATGCCAAAAATTATTAAAATCGAATAAACATACTTTTTTGTCACTCAGTTTATATCCCGCACACGTTGCGACTGTAATGACAACGTAGCTTAACTATGCTCAAAATCAGAGGCAACCAATCACAACAGACCTGCTGACATGCAAAGCTGTAACCTAGAGCAAGGTCCCATGGACCGCTCTGTTGGAAAATGACAAATAGAAGAAAAAAATCATCAAAATAGACGTTTTTTCAATTTTCTATGGCCTAGGACGTAGATGAAATGTTTGTTTTGATATTCTAGCTCCCGATAAGAGAGTTCAAAGCCTTCACAACGAAGCACCTCCAAATATTCCAAAACGAGGTCAGAAAAAATCCACTCCGTCAATGTGCAGCTTCGAGTACCTCACGTTAGATGATTCAACGTCAACATCTGAAGTCAATCTAACAGCATGTTCTGGCAGTTTGACAACGCAAGTTGATGGTCATGATCTCAGAGATTCAGGTAAATATTTTTTGATACATGCAGGATGTTCAAATAGTCCCCACATATCAAAATTATTGCTCAATCAAAAAAATGGCGTAGTCAAAAGGTGCAGGAGTTTAAGTGACCATTCCAAGCTAACTTTACAATTAAACTGTATCTTTTTGACAGGTATTAGTATGACTGAACCACAGTCGACCAGTTTCAACACAACCTGTTACGAGGATTTCGAACTACGTTCACAGCAACCAATGCCAGGTGAACCTGTTGATGAAGAGGCCAAAGGGGAGGAAAACCCGCCTCCCATCCCTCCAAAATGCAGTGTGAATTCTAGTCTAGATCTCAGCGGAAGTCTAGAGCGGCGCAAGAAACCTGGGGAAAACTCGGTAAAGTTCAAATAGCCTTACCCAACCGAAGATACCCAACCATATGCTGTATCTATACAATTTCCATCGTTACAACAATGTTGCCAAGTAGGTTCGCAGTAATTCCCTTTGAAGAAATAAAAACATATTCGTTTTAAATAAATGGTTAATTGTTAAACATAACATCAACACGTTCCCTTAACCTTCCTCGTGATTATTCCTAATGTTTCATATTCACAGAATCAGCGACTGACGCGGAAACGCTCAATCGCTGATCCGTCCAAAATGAGCAAGGGTATATAGTTAGGGCATTTTGGCATTCGTTTTCTTAGCTTGATTCAGGTTTGTTGGGTGTTAGGTTTTACTACAAGTATAACACTGTGAATAAATAGTTATTGGTTTATTTGTTATACAATCTTTAATAATGTTAGGCGGGTAAGATGCATTTAAAAAGCCGCGTTATTTGGGGCGTATGTACAAGTTGTTGAGAAAAATTTCATGGATCACTACGGTATTTGGGAAAAACTAAAATTTGGCCAAATCGTTTTATTTTCATCTCAGTTTATTCTAAAAAATATCAAGGCACTCCATGATGGTGTATTTAAATTTTGTGCCCGACGTTTCGTTTTTGAGAAACCATTATCAACACCGTGTATCTGATAGCATCTTTTTGCACGAATTCAACGATGTTACATTTGTTTTTTTTTTTTTGTTTTAAAGAATGTTATTTTTTATTTTTATGTAAGTAGGCGTTTCGAATAAATAAATGCTTAACGTAAGATTATGTGATTACTGACAGATGCATTTTGCATACTACAGAATGTTTTGATGGGGTAAAATTTTATAACATGATGCTTAATCTAGTGATATTCAGAATAACGAATACATTAACATTATTTTATTTACAATATCTGTTCAAATAGCTCGCTATTATTTTCTAAACATAAATATCATCTAACAGTAAAATCCAAATAGCACGTAACATTTCTGGTGTAATCATACTAATTGCTTCCATTATACATAATCGTAACTGTTGCTCAGTTTCAAAATTATGCTGATAAACTTGGTTTTAATTAATAAAACCCCAAACAAAACAGTCAAGAGAAGTTGAATCCGGGGACGCAGTGGCCAGCCACACCACTGGAAGTTCCAATCCACCTTCCGGGAAATCGCTGAGAAAGATACTCTGGAACTTGCGTAAAGTTATGAGCTATCACTGTATTGTTGACCCAACATCTATTAACCTGTGCCAAAGATGAATTATCCAGGCAGTCTTCTAGAACATGTTGCAACAATTGAAGGTACCACTCTGCAGTTAATGAGTTGTGATAAATAAATGGACCTAATATTTCGGTCCCTAGAATTCCATACCATATATTAAACCCAAAATGTTCTTGATGTCTGGATATGTTTAGCCCACAGATTTTCTTGAGCCCTGTAATGAGTGTTGCGCCGATTTAAGATACCATTATTAGTGACCATACTTTGTCCGGCAATACTACTTTTGAATGGAAATTAAAATCTTCTTCAACTATTCGTGTGTACCACAAAAATGCTGTCGCCATGCGCTATTCCCTGGTCTAAGTCCTTGGCAACTCCTGAATTTATAGGAGTGATAGCCGTTTTTACGCAAAATAAATTGGGCTGTGGATTTGGCTACTCGTACATTTTTCTCAATTTGCCTAGTTGATATCCCAGAGTTCTCAGCAACTGCTTGTAAAACACTATTCTGAGTTTCCTCTAGATTCATTTTTTTTTCGAGACGTAACAGTCTTTTTGAAAGAAAATGTTCTTATTTGGATGCCTTCTTTCGGGAAGTTTATCAAGAAACATTTCTACAGTGTTTTATATATATATATATATATATACAGGGTGACTTTGAAGTTGAGTCATTAATTTTCAGATAATGATTGTAGAAGGAAGATAAACCAAAATATGTGTGTAAAAATAAAAAAAAAATAAAAAAAAAATGTTACCTTGTTTTATAAAGTATCCTCCCGACAAGTATTTCAGTGCGGACCTGTATTTGATCGTGCGGTCTTGGAGCACCGGCATACCCTCCCCTGTGAGGTCTTAAGTCACCTGATTCACGAGCCCTTTGTACTACATTATCAAAGGCACGAGGGGTTGGTTGCACTCGATTGGGAAACCGATCCGCATAAATCCGTGATCCCGCTTAAATAAGAATCATGTCCACAAGTTCAGCATTTTCGTAAACATGTGCCATTTTTGATTTCGTTTGAGCTACGCAACAGACACCACTATTCACCCACGCGTTACCGACTGACACTGACTGTATACAACTGAATAAAATAATTGTAAAAACATCGTTCCAAATTCTTTCGCTTTTTTGTTTCCGATGCGATGAACCGATAAGGCGGATTATATCCGTTGTTGCCAAACACGAGCACATAATATTATTATTGAGACAGGGCGGTACTCAAACTTCCAAAGGGCTATAACTTTGTTACTTTAATTTTACCAGAAAAATTTTAAAGGAAAAAACATTTCTTTTGATCAGATCTACTCACTGTTAAAATAAATGACTCAACTTCGAAGTCACCCTGTATATATATATATATATATATATATACCATCATGGAGTGCCTAAAAAGGGCCAATAGAAAAGTTTTATTAGTTTTCCCTTAAAATAAAGCCAGAAAGAAATAAAAATGATTTGGCCAAATTTTAGTTTTTCCCGAATATCTCAGTAAGCTATGAATGCAACTTTTTCCTAATTTAAAGTACGCTATATTCCCATTGGTATTGAGATCCCCATCCATGGGATCCTTATCTTGAACACCATATAATATAATATATAAATGTGATTGTCTCCAGTCTCACAGCACACGTTTCATCCACAATATAAAGAAATATAAAATTTTGTACATTTGCTAATTGATATCTGAGAAAGGTTATAAGCATGTTTTTATCCGCGGATTCATCATCGACTTTGCAATCAACTGTCGTGGCAAGCATCAAAATGTCCACCATCAGCGTCAAGCCAGCAACAGCGTGGCCAGCTATCACCAAACTCAACATGCGGCCATCAAGCGACACAGACGTTTTATTTTGCACGAGCAGGTGCCCGCGACTTCTTACGCTTGAAACTGTTACTAACACAAAACATTGTTTGTATGTAATGCTATGAATTTTCAATAACGTTTTGGATGACATTAGTGAATTGACAGCTGACTCGCATGCTTGGGAAGTTTGGTTACGTTATTAGTGACGCCACCTACACTCTCCGCGGGTAAAACTGCAGGACAGAAAGCTAGTATAGTTATGTGCATATGTTTTTGGGTACCTTCTGGTGGGATATGTTAATCAATGATGGTAGTTATGCCATTAGTAATTTAATAATATCCTATGATTTATAGATTCGTAATTGTGAAGATGACATCGTTACCCCGCCAGAAAATTACTCTTTTCCGAAGTTGATCCGAGATGACGAGAATCAAGATGAGGAAAATGCTAATGGAAAATTGGGAGATAGCTCTGTTTTAGACGTTGTGAATTGATAAACAAGGGATTGTCTTTGCGAGTTAGGATATCACAGTAAAATATATTTGCAAAAATGTGGTGCAGTGCATTACAAACGTAGTTGTTGGAAAAGCGTTGATTGAAAGACTGGTTCATTTATCACGTATTTTATTCGGGGAACTGGAATATATATATATATATATATATATATATATATATATATATATATATATATATATATATATATATATATATATATATAAAATACCTTAAGGCTTCATAACAGTCGAATCAATTACTAACCATATAAAACTACATCATAAGATCTAGAATATACTCTATAAATATTTGTCGAAAAACCTTCCTATATATCTGTGAATCAAGGCCCAATCTAATACTGTAAATATCTGTTTTAGATTTCTTCCGTTAATTTGACGATCACGTGGTATCCTAACTTGTTCATATCTTTCAACTAGTGATATGATTATTGAGACTGAATACGAAAGCCATACCTTGTTGGTAAACAGTATTCAGTGTCTATAAAACAACACTTTTGAACAAAAATATGTTTCAACATAGTAACTCGTGTGTTCGGATCAAAAATCTAAAAATCATTTCTTCGTACTTCGTACAAGATATTTTAAAATTTCGCATTTTTTTATGATATTGGTTAGTATTTCTTCTCTTAATTGTAACCGCATTATAACCTATAACTCAAGTTGAAGAGGAACTCTGTCTGTACTTTATACCCACCCGGTTTCATTCTAGTGCTGTTTATTTCGGCTGGACGTAGTCCTGATCGCCGAGGACCTGATCTGGCACGAACACGTCTCAATCGCAGCAGCTGCTGGGAAAAAGTTAGTTTTTTCTGGGCTAAGAAGTACTTTTCTCCACATAATATCCCCCTAATTCTGTACAAGTGCCAGATAAGACCTAGCCTCGAGTACTGCTCACATTTTTGTGGTGCTGCCGCCCTGACTACATTATCCATGGTCGATGCTGTTCAGAGCAGCGCTGTTCGACTAATAGATGATTTTTCTCTAACGGGACCCTTTTGCACCGACGGACCGTCGGCGATCTGGCTCTCTTCTACGGCTATGTCAGAGGGCGTTGCTCCTCAGAGCTCTCCTTAATGATGCCGATGCGCGATGAGCCTGTCGGACAGACACACGTGACTTCGCCCTCCCATGATAACCGTGTCGAAATTCTGGAATGATCTGCCTGAGGAGGCTCTTCCCAATTCTACTAACCTTAGACAGTTCAAAAAAATAAAAAAGTGTCTTTAAGCTCCTTATTGCAGCCCCGGTGCCCCGGTATTTAGGCTTCTGCCCACACGGCTGCTTCGATTTAAAAAAAACACTGAATGGTTTAATACGTCGATAGTTAAGCCTTTGTCAGTTTTCAATAACAGACCAGTCTCATTGGTAAATGCGGACCTTTAAATTTTTATTTTATTTAGGTTACATTTAGAAGTAAAAATACTATTATAATTCTGCCTCCAAGAGAATCAAAATGTGGCTGATAAACTCAGTTTCGATATTAAGACAAACTGGATGACATGTTTGTAAATGGAGTATTAGAGATTTGTTGTGATTTTTAAGTGTCATTTTACCCTAGCTCATTAAATTTATAGTTAATTTTATATACCATATTATGTATTCACTTTCATTCCTACGTTACGTATTGAGATTTTTGGATATTTTTTAATTGTAAGAATAATCAATAGATTAGACATGATACATGTAATTACCAACCTAGAGATATTAGAAGATGCAAAAATATATATGTATGATGCGAAGATGTCTTCAGAAAATTCGTGGTATAGAAAGTAAACGGAAATTGATTTTGTCTAAACGTCCAGGAAATTTAAAAAAAATAAGCAACTATCAACAATATCTGCCAGATGCAATTGTCATATGGTAATTCCTTGTCAAATGTCGATTTTTGTAAAAAAAATTATTTTGCATTCATTTCCATTTACTTACTCGTCCATGATGAAAATAATTGTGCCAATTGTCTCTAGTGTCGCCGAGACTTCAGACACGAGGATCAGAAAACTTAACTTCAATGTTCTATAAAAGAATCAAAGTAGAATTTAGACATTTTTAATAGTAAAACGGAATGTAAACTTTCATATTAAAGTCGGGTACTTGCTTTAACCCACACTTTTGGTCAATTTTTAGAAAAAAGATCGGAGGTGCAATCATCTTCAGTCTCGTCAGACCGCAGCATCAGGGAATGGTGTGATCATAAAATACCATTAACGACCGATTTTAAACCTGATTGATGCAATCGTCGGGATTCTACGTGTCCTTTTTTAATTCAGGCAAAATGTTATTTCTAGAGTGTCAAGGACGAAGAACAATTACCAGTTTTCTCCAATTCCACGTAACTAATTCAACAGTTTATCTCTCTTAAGTCTCCTTAACTTCTTCGAACGTAGTACCCAGAATTTAAGCTTTGTCTTCAGTACATTGAGTTTCATTTTTTACAGTTGCAGGTACCCGAATTTTATTTGTAAGTAGAATGTCTTACCTTTACGAAGGACCAACATGAAACACTGTCAGGTTTCTTTTATCGTGTTTTTGGGAATTGATTTTTATCATAACTTCTGTGTCTGTACTACAGCGGTGTATAAAAACGCATGTTTGATACGTGAATCATTTTTACATCGAATTTTGTGTTTTATTGTATTGTGTATATATTGGTGCTAATTTTTATTGTATATCTTTCCACTCATTGCGTTACGTCAGTTCTTGAGAGACGACAAGGTTTAGCCCCACAGGGAATTTATTTTTCAGCCAAAAATCAATACTGGCGCCTTGAAAAACCACGAAAAATACACTACTGCCAGTATACAAATTTACAGTGAACTTTATCTTTTATGTTCTCTAAAGTGTAGAGAACTTCACAAGAACGTATGGAGACTCAAAAAATCTTTAACCATGGGTTTGAAAAATGTTGACGTTAGTAATATTGATATTTCAGGACAATTATCAAATATTATCTACTGGCTAAGCTAAGTTGTTTCTTAGAGAATGGTGTGGTGTATCATATATTTTTATTATTTTAGCACTGTACTAGTCATGTAAAACTAATATTTATATTCTATTTTATATTACCGATGGATTGTATTTTCTCGTACGTGGATATATCATCAGATATAAATAATAAATGAGTCTATCTGAGTATTTGTTTCAGTTCCTCCGTCATTTCCTACCTACTACAATGTGTAAGTTGGATCTTGTTGGGGACTTCGTGTGTCAATTTTTTTACCTCTCCATCTTCGTTTCCTCAGGTTACACCCGTATCCGGATGTATGGGCATGTGTATCTACTTTTGTGGTTATATATGTGCATTCATTTCGGACCTGATGAAGCCAATAAGCAGAAATACGTATGGCTCGGGTTACCTATCCTATTTTCTGTTCGAATCTACTTTCCTTCTTTTTGCGGATCTTGCCCGTTATTCTCCTATTTTTTGTTATATAACTTTTTCCGCATGATTATTTTCTCTTTGTAGATCCTTTGGGCTTGAAGTACCACAGCAAGTGGAAAACTTCCCAACCACGGATTTATCGAAAACCACTGATTAAAAGAAAAGACGTCAAAAGATTTGTCAAGGGGGAAAACCTTTTAACCAAAAACTACTTCACCCTCTGCCCCCGCGGGTCATCCCCTTAAAAAATTCAAATGACAAGGGGTATCGAGTAACAGCTTGTTTGAAAGGTCTTGCGAAGTCCTTTATTTTGACGTTTGATTTTTTAGAATCGGTCAATTTGTTTTCAAGAAATTTAAAAAAATCTTTATTCATGTTAATTTGATGGAAAACAAAAACACGAAAATATCCCTTTTTATTTCAATAAGTGTTCAAAATGTTGCCTGTTATTGGCCAAACAATGATATAGGCGATGTTCGAATTCCTGACGGACATTTTCAAAAACATGTGGGATATCATGGCAGCTGTTGATGATGCGTTGACAATGTTCATCCAAACTTTCAGGTTGAGTAGTAAACACAATAGATTTCAAATGACCCCATAGAAAAAAGTCTAATGGTGTTAAATCAGGAGATCTAGCAGGCCATCCTATGGATAGCCTCATCAAGTATAGGCTTTCCATCCTCTTCGATTTGGTTTTCAACGGTTTCAGTGATCGATGGTATTTTCGAAAATATCCAAATGTCTATTCAAATTTCCATTAATAAACAATTGCCCAATGACTTTGTTTCTTAAAATTGAGCGGCCTCATCCAAAACTCTCCGATGATCACGTTTTTTATTTGCAACAGATCCAGTTTGAGTAAATTTAGTAACAACGTTAAAAACATACCTATAAAAAGGATGTCTGGCGAAACGTGACGGTAGTTTGCCGAACACATTGATTTTGGGAGAATACATTAGAATCATTTCCGCTAGTGTGTAAACCATTTTGGAAGTAAAATCTGAATCAATAAATTAATTTTGTCTATCCCAATATTGCCACAAAGTAACTGACAGCAAATTAAATTCTTTCTTCCCCTTAGCAACAAATAGCTAAACAGGTAAAACAATGAATACAGTTTGCCCACGATGTTTGTGTTGATGAAAAGAATACGGAAAAAATATTGGTTGTTGCCATGTCTAATCTTCCGAATTGCTGCTTGTGTTGGTAGTTTTCGTTTTAAATTATAAACGAACTTTGTAGATTTGGCAAACCCTGACGGGCAACATTTTTAACACCTGTTGAAATAAAAAGTGATATGTATTTTCATGTTTTTTCTTTCTGAACAAATTAAGATAAATAAACATTTTTCTAATTTTGTCGAAAACGAATCGACCGATTTTAAAAATTCAAACATCAAAATAAAGGACTTCGAAAGACAAGCTATTACTCGATACCCCTTGTCATTTAAAATTTTTAAGGCGATGGCCCTGATGGGCAAAGGGTGAAAGGGGGTGAAGTAGCTTTTGGTTAAAAAGTTGTCCCCCTTGATAAATCTTTTGAGGTGTCTCGGCGCTTTTTTCTTTCAATCAGTCGTTTTCGATAAATCCGCGGTGGAAAGTTTTCAAATGAACACCCTATATATATATCTCATATCGAAATATTATTTCACGATTGCAAAGAATATCTCTCTAAATGGCGGCGGTTTTTGACAGGAGAGTTACATAGCTGATTGTTATCTAAGCTGTTCTTACGTAACCCTCTTACTTCCTAGTCATCTTGAACCACCAAGGTCAGTCGAACTGGGAAAAGCTTCTTTAGGTGGATTGTTCTACAATCTCGATACACTAGGGTCAATGGCAAGTTTTGCATGTACGAAGTTGGACACGATTAGGATCTGAGGATACATATCGCACAGCAGCATCGTTGAGGAGAGCTCTGAGGAGCAAAGCTTATTGACATAGCGGTAGAAGAGAGCAAGATCGCCTACGGCCGGTCGGTGCGAGAGGGTCCGGAGATTGTCAGAGAAGAGTCATCGATCAGTCAGACAGCCCTCCTCTGAACAGTATCGAGCGTGGGTAATGTGATCTAGGCAGCAGCGCCCCAAACATGTGAGCAGTATTCCAGGCTAGGTCTTATCTGGGTCTTCTCCTTATATGGAGAAGTACTTCTTAGCCTTAAACAAATAGTCCAGCTTTTTCCCAGCAGGTGTCGCTGTTTACGATTTTTGTTCGTGCCAGATCAAGTCCTCGGTGATCGGACCAGCCGAAATGAAAGGCTGGTAGGACTCCGCCATTCATCGAAACCGGATGAGTGCTAGGGCGCTTCTTGTTGGTCAAGGTACAGTACTGTATTTTGGAGACATTAAACTGTACTAGATTTTTGAGTCCCCAAGCAGTGATAACCTCCAGGTCTCTCGTCAGCGAGGAAGTCGCTGCTAGTCTTTTCTCCAGCTCAGTGGCAGAGATGGGCTTGTAACTCTTCTGCTAGTCTTTTCTCCAGCTCAGTGGCTTGTAACTCTGAATTCCTGCATGTAGAGTGCCTTCATCAGCAAAACTGTGAATCTGATTGATCGTATAGGAAAAGAGGTCGTTAATATGTAAGAGAAACAATGTCGGAGCCATGACCGATCCCTGGGGAACACCCGTTGTGGGGTGAAGAGGAGAAGCCGTCAATTACGATGGTTATCTTGAGGCCAGATAGAAAAGTTGGTGACCATCTTCAAAGCTTCTCTGTGAGGCCATAGGATGGAAGTTTGCATAAGACGGCAGCATGCCACAGCTAATCGAACGCTTTCGTAATATCAAGAGCTACGAGATGAGCACGAGCATCACCATATGACTGTATGAGTTTACTCCACAGTTGCGTGTTGTAAGCTAGGAGGTCTCCCGTGTAGCGCTGGTGCCGGAAATCATACTGTCTGTCGCGCTAATCAAACCGTGACGGTCAATGTGCTCCAGAAGCTTCCTAATTATACACCTCTCCATCACCTTAATTGTAACAGAAAGCAGAGCTATAGGCCTGTACTTGTAAGGGTTGGTCTTAGATTATTTTTTGGAATGGGCTAATCATGAGCAAATTTCTAGTTTTTCAGGAAAGTGGCGGATTCGTAACATGTCTAGAAAAAACGCAGAAGAACTGGAGTAAGTCCCGCTGCACATCTCTTCAATACAACGGCAGGAATCATGTCTGGACTAGAAGCTTCGTTGATGTCAAGCAAAAAGAGTCTTTCGGTCTCATGCCTGAAAGTTACTTACCGCATAGTGTGTAGCACGCGTTCGGGAAGACGTCCATGGTGGAGTTGGCAGCAAGGATCTTGGCAAGCGCTTCCGTCTTAGCCTTTCAGACGGTTACAGCCGTGGAAGGCTACCATTTGAGAAGTTATCTTCCATCTGCTTGGCCAGCGTTCAGAAAGACTGGTTGTGATTACTCTTTAACATTATCCTGTGCCCAATTTTTACATCACGCTGATATTTGTCATTGTGAATCGCTCCGTTATATTTGTTTCTGGACTCGATATCGGCTAGTCCTCTACAGTAGGGTATTCTAATAAGTCACTTTCACTGTATGAGAGATGTATTCCGCCATCCCAACGTGGATAATTTCGTTTATTGGCGAACATACAGCTGACCCATCCGAGCTAAAAAAACCTCTCCAAGCAAAGGTGGAGAAAAAGTCTGTGAGCCGCTCCCACTCGGCAGACTGCGCCGATGGTTTCCGTGACCTCGTATTCGGGTTGCTAGGCGACGAGGTGCTTCTATCTCTTTCGAACATACATATCACGCTTCTCTCTCGTACACATTACGATGTCAGCCAAATTTGAATCTCAGCGTATGTATAAATGAAACAAAATTCTATCTATTCATATCTTTTATTAATGGTATATTTTGTAAATCTCTTAAAAGCCAATATGAACATATAAAATGTACAGTAAATAAATGTATCAAGTACAACAATTACTTGAAAATACGCTAACTTGTTAATAAATTAACATTTTGCAATATAACACTTAATGACATACATTTGTGTAAAAAACTTGTATTCAATATCTTCACATTTTCACTGGTAAGATTACTTAAATTATATTACATGCAGTATGTTACGAGGATCACAGGACCATAGGACGTAAAAGTGACAACACTGCCCTGGAGGACATCTTTTGAAAGGAGTAGCATCGGTGTTTCGGGACAGTGTTGAGACTTACACTCCCACGATGCTCACTGTGTAGTACTTGTGGTAACAGACTGTATATATGTTGGCTCGAACCGCGTTTCTACTATCACAAACCGCAGGGCATTAAATATTTGAAGTTGGTAGTGGACTTTCTCGACTACGGAGTGATTTATATAGAGGATTTTTTTCCGAGGAAAAGATGTACTCTTGACATTCAGTTTTTGAAAATATCTTCTTGCAAATGTCAGTTAGTGCGCATTATGTAGAATGTGTATTTCAAAATAGAAAACGATAAAGGCCAGCATTTGGAAAAATAATTTTCAAAAAACCAATGTAGCAATGTCATGGATTTGTTTGATAACACACATTGTCAGCCACAGTTGACTGCTTTTGGTTCTTTATGCTTTTCAAAAAAGTACCTCTAAATGAATCGCCCATTACGAGATGGACAGAAGCCAGTTACTAGCTATTCTAGCAAGACACTATCCAAGTCGGAACGAAATTAGAATGAGAATCCAACATAGAGTAGTAATGTGAATTTATTTAGAGGTACTTTTTTCAAAAACATAAACAACACAACCGATCGATTATATCGGGTCATCGTTAATATCAAACAAAAGAAGCATCCAGGAGACTCGTTTATTGAAAAATATTTCTTTAAATATTAGCTGTCACTGTGGGTAACTCGGTCCATTTTGGTATTATAATTTTACATGACGTGTCGAGCGATCTTTAGGGCGGTGCGTACCAATCGAAATGATTCAAAACTAAATCAAATATATGGAACTGGATACATCCATTCAAAACTAAATCAATGTTAGTGAAAACATATAGAACTGGATACATCCGGAGTTCTGTCTAGGAATAATGAGATATTCTTAATCCTATTACAATACTTGTACGAAACTAATTACACCACAAATTCATGTTTTCGGCAGCAAACTAACTCAGTTTTGAACACTTCTGGTTCGTGCTTTCCATACTTAGAGAATAATGCAAGCAATGCCAATGTCTAATTAATCAATCGTACTTTCTTATTCACATAACACCAAACGAAGGGTCATCTAGGTGGCCAATGTATCGGTCTGAAACGAGAAATTAACTGCTTGCCAAAATGTTGTCGGAGTAAAGCCATGGTTTTATTGATGCGCTTAAAGTAGCGCCACGCTTTCTTTTAGAAGCCAAATGTTCTGAAAATGAGGGACTTAAATTTCAAGCTGCAAATAGACCGGTATCAGAACGAGATAGTGGTCAAATACCACTCAAATGCTCGGACGCGTCATCGAAAACTGGAGTTACAGAATGGACCACTTTGACCTTAGTAACAGTCGATATTTGAACGAAGTAAATATTAGTGCCTTTTTCATTGCACCTCTCAAAATGAATTACCTGTTACATGCAAACTTCTGTTTTTTTTTTTCTCGCAAAAAGTTCATCCTTGTGGCCTGTCCCCGCGCGACAGACTCACAAATAGGTACTACGGTCATGGAATGAAACTACTTTACTTCTTAATCACCGGCGATTCAGTGCTTAAGGTACCACTTTGTTGCGTGGGAATCAGCACGCACTTCGCGTCGTCGAGCCAACGTGATGATGATGATGATGGTTGTGCCACGAAGAGTACCCGGTACGAGGGTTGCGCCGGGTCTCAAGTCTCGTTCTCTCCTGCCAGTTGGTAGTGGTGCCTGCGAAGCCGTGCCAAGCGGTACCGTTCTTGTTCCAGTTCTTTTTCTAGCTCGAGGACGCGCACCTGGCTGTCCATTTCTAAGCGTTTGGCTTGGTGAAGGGTTAGGTTGGATACATCCAGTTCTTCTGCAAAGTAATAAAGAAGGTGGTTAGTAGGACATTACATACCAAGGTTAAGGTGTAACCCATTGCTGTGAGAGACCAATGATCGCATTCTCAAACGAGGTATGAATAGAATTTTTCACTGCTAATGCAATACGGGGTGGGGTAATTCACAAAAAAGTGGTAATATTTCTGGGGCATAAAGAAGATAGTGTTGAGATTATAATTTCGATCTCCGGAGTGGATGAAGATATTGACTTAAAATTTTGTACATGTAGTACTGACTTCATAGCCAATACATACAAATATGTTCGTGTCGGAAAGGCTATACTAACAGCGTAGAAATTGGGAAATTTTGACACCTACAGAAAAAAAAGGCGTCATGTAGGTTAACCCTACACTTCCAACGCAACGCCGTCATCAGTTTATAAAGGATTAAGTTAAACCCTCTGAGAAAGAAGTCAGTTACGAACATGAACAACAATGAAATTAATGGAGTCAAACCTTGCCCTACCGGTAGTTACTGCCAATCTGGCAAAATTGTCTCTTCCCGAATCAGCGTAGCAGCAGCCACCGAAGCACCGCTGCAGCGAGTTATCGTCCGTTCCATGCATATGTTTGTGCGCTGCAGTTTGGATATATTAGTCAGCCGGAATGGTACGCCAGGCGGTGAGCTTGAATAGCAGGAGTACGAGGATTGAAAAAAAATTATCTATCAACATCAAAAAATATTCATATGCCCTCCCCCACCCCCTGCCTCCGCGAACCCCCAAATTTCAACCCTTACAAATATTTTTTTGAAAATTATAAGGAATCTGTGAAACGTCAAAAAACGAAGTTCTAGCGATTTTTATTTTTCATTTTTTGGCACCAACTCCGACGCCACTGGACCGATTTTCAAAAACTACAAAACGTTTTCGTCCTTGGTATAGTACGGACCTTGTATAAAGGTTCATGCAAACCTGAGAGGTACTTCCCAAGTTATCTTCTGAGGGCTTGGGACAGCAAGTGTAGTAGCGTAGCAAGTAAAAGACAATTATTTTCTGAGCCACTGACTTTTTTAAACATCTGTTGCATTTTTGAATAAGGTATGCAAATTTTTGGACAAAGATTGGTTTGAATATTAAGGCAAAATCTGTAGAAACTTCAACCCGTTCTTCTTTGGAAGTATGCAATTGGCAAATTGCTTTTGGTGAGAGTGGTCTCTAATTGTATATTTTGAGTGTAAATTCAAATGTTCTACCTGCTTCATCAATGAGCTGCCCACAATCCTTAACAGTCGCAACAACTGTTCCTGTAGCTGTAGTGACTCCCTTAGACGCTGCTGTCAACGCTTGAAGATTCGTACTGTTTCTATCTGCTTTTACTCTACTAGCAACCACTAGCTGTGCAGTAGATGCTGCAATTTCTTGAGCAGCTACCACAAGTTGCTCCAATTTGCCGTTAGAGGTCACCACTTTGTCAGCTGCGGTTCTGCAAAAATCACGTCAAAAATTCCAAATGTCAATTTAACTTAGTTGTTCCTTACACTGTCAAATTACAAAAATGTCACGTTTTGTCAAACTTCGTTTTGTTTACTGTTTTTCATATATACCTGGCTCAAATCCAAGATAGAATAAAACTATTCCGATGCCTAACAAGTGATCAGATATATGCTAGCGACTTCTATGAGACAGTATCAGAACACGAAAAGAAATGTAGAAATCCGCTTTTAAAATAGTTTGTTTTTGGTTCTGCTACTGTATCATAGATGGGATCTTCAATCCCTTTTTAGTGCCTCTCTAACGTCTTTTTCAACTGGGTCCCTTCAGGCATTGATCAACATCTCGTACCTGAAGATCCTATGAGACAGTTGTTATTGTCTGTTGAAACAAACACTCTAATTCTTTTCAATGCAGATTTCTAAACTATTTTTCGTGTTTTGCTACTGTCTCCTAGATAATGCTACTGTATTTCAGGTAGAATACATTAATCGGTGGTAAAACTCATCACATGCTCATGATCGCTCAGTAACAGATAGAGACTAGCTAGCACAAAGTTGTGAAAATCTTCAAAATTGTTTTTGAAATAATTCAAAATCGGAATAAAATTCTTGTGGAAAGTATTTCTATTATGCAAGTTTTTCTTAATATAACCAACATTGAAGCTCGAACCGTTTTTGAAAACGCAATCCTCGTCTTTTGCAAATATATTTTAAAAGCTGCGGCAATTACAAAGAAATAAGCAATGAGTTGACGTATTTCTAACATAACTAACCGCTCTGATAACATCAATATAACTCCTCTAGTATGATAATAATGGTCAATGCTTTCCCAGGATAGGATTAGCGAGAAAATGGAAAAGTTGCTAAAATGCTAAAATTCTGAATTTTTCCAGACCTTCAGAATTTGAGCGCGCCTCCAGACCGAACCGTCCAAATCAGGACTTTGAAATTTTACAAAATGTGTAATGCCTTCACATGCCCTCCAGAAAAAAAATTGAGCACAATCTGAAATCTGATCCGCCAAGGCTGGTCATTGAATCTTAGTTTTGACCCAATATTATATGAATATTATGCTTACAGAAGAAACTTGGCAGCCACAGCAACTGCTTTGGCAGCTGAGATGAATCCATCTGTCCATTGATGATTCCTTTTGTAAAATTCTTTAGCACTCGCTGTACCCTGCGAATAAACACGTGTTACCTAACACTCATCTAATAATTAACAACACTCCACAATGGAGAAGTTTCATGATATTTAGAAATAAATAAGTAGTAACATACTAAAAAATATTACTGAAAAACGATAAAATCAACCAGTGAAAACATAATCTATTAATATTTAAAAATAAAAAAGTTATACACTTTTAATTAGTTTTCTCGGTTACTAAGGTACTTCATGCGCGAAATTACAAACAAAAGTTGTTATAAATACTCTATTGCTCCAAAATGTACGAGTACAATGATTAAAACAAATAAGTATTTTTTCCATTTACCTTCGCATGAAAACAGTAGAACGTTCGGTGATTTATGAAGAACCAAACTAAATCAATGGCTCCGCTCGCGTGGAAGTACTATAGGTTATACGTCTTGAATTAGTTTGAAGGAGATTAGTTTCAGAGAGAGTAATGCAATAATTACTTTGGTGATAGATATTTTTAATTCAACATTTTATTGCAACAATACATAAATGTGAATGTCTCTCCAGTATATTAGCATCAGGTCTGAATCACACTAAGAAGAGAGGTAAACATTTGTACACTTACTAATTTATACCCCAAAAAACGTTATGGGTACGGTTTTCTGCGAACTCCTCGTCTAAGAGAAGTTTTAGGGAAACAAAAGTAATTTGTCGATAACCTTAAGTTGTTTAGAAAAATGATACCACTCTGAATAGTGGCCTCAATTATACCTGTCCCTAAGATCTTAGGAATTGGACCTATAAGCTTATTTTCCGTGCGTTCATTAATTCTAGAAAAATTATATAGAAGATATATAGACTATACTTGAATTAAAACATCCAAGAAATAAAAATCAAGACGATCAAGCTAAGAAAACGAATTTCGAAGTGCACGATGCAAATGCACTATACCCTTACTCATTTCGATCGGATCAGCGTCTGAGGGCTTCCGCGTTATACACGTCAAGTTCTATTGAGCAGTTTGGGCTGCAGCCCGTGAAATAGATATTTCAAAGTTATTTCCCGGGATCAAAAACCGTCTATGTGCTATTCCAGACTAAAGTATCTCTTTGAACCAAATTTCATAAAGATCCGTTCAGCCATTTTGGCGTGATTGAGTAACAAACATTAACACCTTCTCTTTTATAATATTAGCAGGGATGTCTTGATTTAATAAATGGATTAGAGGATCTTCTTATAACGTATAATCGTATAATTTTAATACTATGCCATATTCATTAGAGCCATTAGTTCAAAAACGCCTTCGCAACAGCAGGTTTTGATACCCGCGGGTTAATAGTAAGATCGGACCTAAGGATCTCATTTAGAGATGTTCTTTGAGGATTGAGTGCTGCTTGAAGAACGATCTTTCCTTGGTTTTTAAAGAAACCACATTTACTTACAAATGTTTGTTGTTTTTTAGCTGTAACAGTTGTCATTACAGGTTTTCAAAATTTGGAAAGTTGTCGAAATTTGCACGGTTTTCCACATTTTCAGCTTTTGTCAAAATTTTGTAGATTTTGAAAATCCTGAAATTTTTTAATAACTGCCATATTAAGATCCAAAATGTTGAATACTTTGAAAATAAATGTTCGCTTAAAAACGAGAGGTCATTCCTCACACGATACTCAATCCTTAAGGAAGGTCAGTAAATGTTACACTTAGGCGCGATTTTACTATTGACCCGCGGAATCACAATTTGCTCCTGAGGAATAAATTCGAGCAATCAAAACGCGTTTCTGAAGTATTGGATCTAATAAACGTATTCGTTTTTTCTAAAACACCTCTCAGAGTAGCGAAAAATTATATAATCTGAGTAAGAAAATCCTTTAATCATATGTGGAGCGGCATTAATAACAACTTTGTGTAATTTCGCTCATAATAACCATGCAGTAACTTAGTAATTAAGAAAACAAATTGGGCGGAGGACGGCAGGTCGCATTGCCAAGTGTTGTCTCTCTACGTACAAAGGGTACTATAAAAGTTTTGGAATACAGCTCTATTTATTGACTTCGTTCAAAGTAATTTCCACCATATTAAATACACGTCTCCATCCGCCAAAACCAGTCCTTAAACCAGCTCTGCCAAGTTTCACCCGGGAGTGCGGCACACTCGTTGTCCCAAGCCCTCAGAAGGTCATCATCGCTAGAAAACCGTTTTCCTTTTAGCTTAATTTTTACATGGGGAAATAGTGCAAAGTCGCAGGGAGCAAGATCTGGACTGAAAGGAGGTCGCCCAATAAATTTCAGTCCAGTAGTGGTCAAATACTCGGTGCAGGCTTTGGCGCGGTGAGATGGAGCGTTGTCATGGTGGAGGTACCAAGTGTCCATTCTTGACTTTGAGTGCAGGTTTTTCATAGACTTTAGGCAGGCACTGTTCCGTGTACCACTTAGCTGTGACTGTCTTCTGTGTGTGCAAAACGACACGCTCCACAACCCCGCTCGATTTGAAAAATACAGCTAACATGTTTTTCTTTTCTGACAGCTACGTGTAGGTCATCATCAAAGACCCAAACTTTGTTCTGAGCCTTGGTCGGCACATCGTAATAATAGAGCCAAGTCTCGCCACCTGTCACGATGCTGTTCACAAGCCGAGATTGCCCTTTATCAAACATTTTCAGCATATTTTGATTTTGTTCTTATCTGTTTTTTTTCTTTAAGATAGTACATAAATTTCTGTATTGTGTTACCAATCGCTGAATGATTGGTTAAGTGTAACAGTAGCAAATGCTAAACTTTGCCAATCAGTTAGTGTATTTCCAAATAAAGACGACTATTATTATTATTATATTTCGGTACCAAGTCGTACGAGTCTTCTGCTCTTCCGTCAGACTATGCGGTACCCACAGAGAACAAAGCTTCCTTACGTGTAAGTGGTCATGCAGAATTGAATGCATTGATAGTACATGAAGGTGTAAGATCTCCTCTATCTGTTGGTATATCACTCTCCAGTCTTCGTCGAGCATTTTCTCCACAGCAGTAATCTTTTCCTCTGTTACTGACGTTCGCGGCCTTACTTCCCTCTAAGCGTCCTCCACAGTAAATTCACCTCTTTGGAATTCTCTGTACCACCTGAATATAGTCGTTCACTGGTCTATGCTTAAACCACGCGTAAAGTTATACCGTAAAACTGCCCTTGTCTCACTACGTGACCACGATGCCATAGTTCGTACTTTACACTGTCAATGAGAATGAACAACTAAATCAACAGAGGTGCTGGTGGCTACTGTGCACTCATGGACATGTCTCAACATGCAGCTTCCTGCGTCCGTTTGTTAAGTTATATTGCAAAACTTTTATAGTACCCTTTGTATATGCGTTAGTATGTCCAGCTGGCCAGCCGCTATTGTGACATCACACGCCGCTTTCAGACGGAATAAAAAAACTTTGAAAGTATAATCTTCTCGTTTTTAGAGATAAATCGATAATTTTTTCCACACTTTTGTTTCATTTTGCTATATTTTCATCTGAACTAATAAAAAGAGATGTACCATTGATGTTAAAAAACACTTACTCGACCCTGTCCGACGATTTCTGCCTGTAAAAACCTCGACTTCTTTACCAAAACTCTGATAGCCTGCATCAGTGTCGTGCATGAATCCAAAATCTTTTCATTTACTTCTAGTTTGATTCCGGAATCGGCGGCCCGAGAATTCGTCAACATATCCTAAAAAAATAAACGCATATTTGAATATTGGCACACTTTTTCAGTGGCCTGCGCCGCTGTCGCGCCGTAGAGCAGCACCTCAACGTAAGTCTGTCTGACATTTAACATTACCTTTAGGTGGCAAATGTCAACTAAGGTTGACAGCCACAATAACAGCTGATTATCCATATGACTCTGATGGAACTCAGGGGGGAAAGATTGAATGGACTGAAATGGGACGAGATACCTCAAGCTAGATGAAGCACTATTTCATGTACCGTTCTTCTGTGTCATACATGCTTGATACGTTGACGCTTCAATACCTCAAACATGCTTAGAATTTCAAAAATCTAAAACTTCGACCTCTTCGACGATGCGATACAAGTACTTTGAGTTAAGGTGCTAATCTCCTCTAATATCATTTATTTTAACAGTGAGTAGATCTGATCAAAAGAAATGTTTTTTTCCTTTACCATTTTTCTGGTAAAATTAAAGTAACAAAGTTATAGCCCTTTGGAAGTTTGAGTACCGCCCTGTCTCAATAATAATATTATTATGTGCTCGTGTTTGGCGACAACGGATATAATTCGCCTTATCGGTTCATCGCATCGGAAACAAAAAAGCGAAAGAATTTGGAACGATGTTTTTACAATTATTTCATTCAGTTGTATACAGTCAGTGTCAGTCGGTAGTGGATAGTGGTGTCTGTTGCGTGGCTCAAACGAAATAAAAAATGGCACATGTTTATGCGGATCGGTTTCCCAATCGAGTGCAACCAACCCCTCGTGCCTTTGTTAATGTAGTACAACGGGTTCGTGAATCATTTGACTTAAGACCTCACATATGGACGGCATGCCGGTGCTCCAAGACCTCACGATCAAATACAGGTCCGCACTGAAATACTTGTCGGGAGGATACTTTATAAAACAAGGTAACATTTTTTTTTTTATTTTTTTTTATTTTTACACACATTTTGGTTTATCTTCCTTCTACAATCATTATCTGAAAATTAATGACTCAACTTCAAAGTCACCCTGTATAATCCAATGAGGTGAATAAATTACTTTTAGGGTGGTTCAGACAAATATATATATTGGTTTACAACGTTTTTCAATAATCAACCCCAAATTGTAAAAGTATCAAGTTATTACGTATCAAATAAATTGGTATAAAAGTAGGGGTACCTCAAGGATCAGTACTAGAGCCGATTCTACTTTTTGATTTACATTAACGATTTAATATTAAAATTCATAGAGTTTGCTGACGATACCACGATACTTTGACAAGACGCATATGAAATTAGGACAAACATTTATAGTGACATACAATCAATCAAAAAATGGTGTGATAATAATTATTTAACTCTTAATGCTATTAAGACAAAATTTGTGACATTTAAATGCTCCCATGATTTCATAAATTTAAATAATGAATAATTGATACACAAAACAGACATCATCAACTTTTAGGACTGACAATTTATTGATCATACATTTTACTAATCATGTACATTAAGTTACTCAACTAGCAGATTTCCTTTACTATAAGAACAATTAGTCACAACGTACGGGAAAGCAGAGCCTTAAGCAGTTGCTTTGACTTATTTGAAAGTAGATTGAGATTTGGTATTCCCTTTTGGTACGTCTGTTCTTAAAATTGTTTGAAAAAGTGCTTTTATTTCTAAATCTTAAATTAATGACTGTCATATTGTATATTTTGCATCATATCATATCATATCTTATTCTCAAAAATAAATCTAAAATTTGAGACATCAAATATAAGTTACGATATTAGACGAAAACAAGATCTAATCAACACTTGTGAAAGACTCAATAATGTACAATGGTCTGAAAATTTACATGTGATCATGGAGATGGATCAAAGGAATCAAAGATTTAAAGATAAAGATATTCTGCTGTGAATTTAAAAAATGTCTAATACGTAAACCGTATCATACCATGTGAGAGTTCTATATTTCAGTTACTACTCGAGATCCACATATGTAATTTTGTCAGAGTTTAATTTAAGTTAGCTTTGTCATTAAGAATGCTTGTATTCGTCTGACAATAATGCATACATTGCATTGATCTTTCGTTTTCTGTGATGGATCTGTTGACGCCAGATCTGTACGCAGAGTCTTATTTTGTTGTATTTTAACGCTATTAATTTTTAGAAAAGTTGCGATATACAAAGGCATTTGTGACCAAACGTTTATACTGCTTTAAATGCGTATGAATGTAATAATATTAAGATCATATTTTTTATTTCATCCATTTTTGTTGACATACATGAGAAAAAAACTGACCTGTATCCGATTTGCAGCCTCTTCGATAGCTTTGTCCATTTCCAACATTTCACTCTCCAACATATCAGCCAAGTTTTCAGCCTTTTCCCCTAGTAGAGACACGTTTATACTGTCAGCTAAAGAAGCGACCTCTTCCAATTTTTCTTTAGCTCCATTCACGTATTTTTCCGTGTTGGTGTTTTCTCGAAGTCCTTTTAAAACCTTCAGAACCAATTCCCCAAGCATTCTACACGCTTCTGCCATTTCTAAAATATAGAAGAAAATAAGCATACGTACCACGGTACCGCCAGCAACATACACACACAGATAACATACGGTGAGGTTCGAATTTGACTCACTTCATAATGTGTACGAGAGAGAAGCGTCTAATACGTATGTATTTTAAGAAGAGTGCGCCGATGGCGTCCGTGACATTTTTAGTCGGGTTGCTAGACAACGAGGTGCTTCTGTCTCTTTCTAACACACGTATTGTACGCTTCTCGCGCTTCTCTCTCATACCAATTATGACGTCAGTGGTATTTGGTTTTCGGTGTATATTTCGACCGCCGCCGTTAGGTGTCTCTGACCATTGTCGCAGTCTATGGGATTTTATCGACATAATACAGGTCAAAGCGCCATCTATTACCAGAATCGAGAGCTGTACAGTTCGAACCGATAGCTGCTTGTATACTCTCTCAGTGGTCAATTATGGTAACAGATGGCGCTTTGCGTTGTTTTATTTCGATATATCTCTTGCTATGTTTCTATATGCAAAACTTAAAATACATCCCTCGTATAGAATTTTCTTTATCGTCATTGAGAAGGGTTCAAAATATGAAGTCTGAGTAATAATTACGAGGGAGGTTGAAGGGTGATTTTTCTTTGGAGGGTTGTGTCATGTTCAAGAATAAACAATTTCCTCACAAGGAAAATGGAATCTGTTTTTTATTACTTCTACGGGAATTACTGTAATATTGCATGGCAATATCGCTGTGATGATAATAGTGCGTGTGAAAATCCAAATATAGCATACGGTTGGACATCTTCTTCAAAAAAATCTCAATCAAAGATAGAACAGGAACCAACTTACTCTCTCCAAAAGTGATATCAGGACTGGCATTACAAGTAGCTCTGCCTTGCAGGATATAGATAGCGTGCCTGTGCGCTATGCTACTCGCTGTGGTGATAATCTTTGAAGGTTCTTTGGCAGATAGACTTCTCTCAAGGCACTCTAAGCATCCGTTGGTCAAACTGCGCAAATAATCGGGACTGCAAGTCAAAGCTGTTAGCGCTGGGTTATCCAATTCATCAATAGCGTGTTTCAGAATATTCTCACTGTTTGATACAGAGCTGGAGACTAGTTCTTGGAGCCTGTTTTGGAGTTCTTTTTGTTCTGTAACGAAATATGTACGGGGTGATAGTTTAGAGAATGGATCCGTACGCAAGCGACCGCCTATAGAAACGGTAGGTTTCTGTTCTTGACTTAAAGCGGTTAAAGTTATTGTTTTTTATAGGTTTAAATGGACTCTAGAATACTCTTAAAATATGGCGACAACTTAGTTGACTCTGTACTTCAGACGCTACACTGTCACAAGTTAGCCCTTCTGAGAAAGTTAGCCATATCGGCATTCACCATGCACAGTTCACGTAGCCCACAGTAGTGTGGAAGCGATTGACGATGTATGACCACCGACGAGGACGCTTGTCCATCTGGGGACGACATCACACGTATCGACACCTGACTGTAGGAGAAATTTATAAGTTTAAAGGGGGGGACATCTATGATGAGTGAAATATGCCTTATATGTGCGTAGAATTACTAGGGACTGGAGACGTATAAATATGCCAACACAAAAAAATTTCCAAAAATGATCGTCTGAAACGTCAACAAACGAAGTTTGGGCGATTTTTATTTTTGACCTTTCTCCGCGCCACTGGTCCGATTTTCAAAAACTACAAAGCTTTTGCGTCCTTGGCATAGTAGTAAAAATTTCATCGAAATACAAATGGTACTTCTCAAGTTATAGGCGGTTATAAGATTAGTGGACAGACCGAAAGACAGACAGACAGACCGACGGAAAAGAGTTACGTAGTTTTTCGTGACGTGCATGTCATATAACATCCAAAAAACAATATTTAATTTACCTGCCCCCCGGTAGACGTGGGAAGTAACACTTGGTTTCAACTTTTTCAGAAAATTATCGATACAAAATATATACTGAGTGCATGCCTCATCATATCCCTTTACTTGAATAATGTAAAGAGTTCTAGAACAGTAAAACAGTAAGAGCCCATTTTAAACTGTCTCACCATTGCCGAGTTCCTCTTCCAAGTTCATCAATCTACTACTCAATTCTTCAGATCTCTCTTTTAATTCTTCTTTCTGTTGCGTTATATTTGACAGTTCTACCTTCATTGCGTCTCGTTCTCTACACGCGTCATTCACACTTTTCTTCAGTATCTACAAAACAACAATTTTATGTACTCGTTTTTATTAATCAATTAAGGTATTGCAGCTGAAGAAACCCAATTAAAATAGGCATTAATTTTTTTGTCCTGTTACTCGAATACAGTAGTTGGCTATCATTACACAGAATACCTTAATCAATGGTTTAATTGAGTGGGGAGCTTATCGCGGTGACTATAATATCGAGCCACAGCGTTATCGTATTCATTAGCCAAACATCGCGTCCATATCAACCGCCTTAACAGTGCGTAAATAGCGACGTGCATTTAGCGTCCCTGTATATATATATATATCACATAAACATACCTCAGTTTCCATATTAAACAGCTCCTTATCCTTTTTCAACGCAGATAACTCTGTAGTTTTCTGCGTTTCACTCTCTGCCAGTCTTTGTTTTTCTAACTCTAATTCGTTGAGCCTTTCTAAGTCTTTCATTGTACTTGCTAATTTTTTCTCTACCTCTGCTTTCTAAAAGACAAAAAATAACAATGAATAATATTTTATGCATACAAAATATAAAAAAAATCATACAATTCATAAGTAAGGATTAAATTCGATAGTTTTTTCTTCTGAAAGATGAATAAAATATACCTCTCTAATTTTTTGTATATGTTCGTCCCTTAATTTCACGTACAGTTCCTTTAGTTTGTCAAATTTTTCATTCTTCATTTTTTCTGAAAAAAATGTCACGTACATACATGTATCATCCTATGAAAGTCATGTTTTACATTCATTGTCAATGTATGCTATATTTATACAGGGTGTTTCAGAAAGATGGTCCAATATTTCTAGGGTAGAAAGTACGTCCAAAAATAACGAAAACAGTTCTTATGAATATGGGTCCAAAGATGCTCCCCTTCGGAGATACAGGCTGGTGAAGTTTTATTTACGAAATTTAAAAAAAAATGTCTACGGAACAGGTAAAGATAGTAAGTTAGGATTTTAGACGTTCAGTGAGCACATCACCAGCAATAAACACATAGGGCCAAACTAAACCAGGGACGTAGAATCTGGGGACCCCTAATATGAAATATTTTCTACGCCACTGGCCTTTTCGGAAAAACGAAGTGCCTTTTATAATAAATCATTCAATTCTCCATAAATTTTATGTCTTAAGAAAGTTTTGCCGGATTACTCGTTTAGGAGATATTTAGATTTGAATATTTGAGATAAAATTCTAAAATATTCTTATGAATAGCCTCCCCTATTCTGAAAACACCGTGAAGCTTGATATTGGAAACACTATATGGCATGAGAAGAAAGCTATGGCACCTCATTAGAACAATAATTCAATAATATGTGTGCCTTATCCTCAATCAGTAGCATAAAAGCTTACCATTCATTAAACCTTGTCTATACACGTCAGTGGTTTCCATGGTATACTTCTCCTGGTATTACCCATGTTAGATTATCCTGTTTGTCTAAAATGACATCTAGTAATTGTGGAACCAATCAATTTGAGTGAAATTCTTATTATTCTACTTCTGAAATTATCAGCCTTTATTCTCGAAATTGGGATTTCGGATTAAACTCAACAAAGAAGAGATCACAAATCGTTAGCAAGGTAGGTATTTTTCAAAGAGTCAGAGGGTCTTTGTGGCGTAGAGCACGGGCTTGTATTGAATCCAGAAGTGGTCAATTTCAACACCTTTAGGTTGGATGTTGTAACATTTTGTTTGTTTGTTTGTTGAAGATTTATTTAGTATCAATGCTACAATGTCAATTTTGTATAATTATTCATCTACACATTTTTTTTAATCCATTTTCTGTAATTTTACATGCTTGTCTATTAAATTTACATCACTATGCATTTTGAGTATTCATAAGGTTATTTTTTAATTTCACCTTAGACATTTTTAAATTGGCGGTAATATATGATTTTTTAATTTGAATATGAAAATGAGAACTAAATAACATATGAAATTTTTCACATTCAATCACTGTAGTTCTTCTAACATAGCACATTTGTTTTTATTTAAAATGATTCTCATGGCTATATGTATTTTGTAGAACTTGTAATTTTGAGAATGTTTTCATTTGCTGTAAACAAGATGGTTGAACAAAAATAAAAAATGGAGAAGAATTATAGTGTTATATATATATATATATATTGGAATACCTACTAAGATTATGGGAAACTCCATATAAGTAATTTATCTTTTTTGATATTTTTGAAATAATGTATTCATAATGCTCGTGAAACAGTAGTTTAGTATCCACATACTCGTATATACCAAGATATTTAAATGATTCGACTTGTCACCTAAATGTTTCCCTGGATGGACATACAATAGAGGCATATGTATTTTATTTTATTAGTGTTTAATTTAAGTTTATTAGCATTTAACCAATTCATATTTTTTAATATCATTATTTAATAGTTCTAAAGCAGTGTCCAAATGCTTATGTGCTATATATATATATATATATATCAATGTAATGTGGCTCCCCTACTGATATAATTTTAACGCTTGACATACAACTTTTGTTTTTTTACTTCTATTTACTAAATAATTTTGAAAAATGTTTAATACTGATCCTTTAAAACCAGTGATGCAATTTCTTTAACAATTTTTCCCTATCTATACAGCATTTATTCAGCATTATCTTTTGTGCCCAATGTTATGTCCTTATAAATATAGAAATAACCGCGTTAAATTGTATCAAATATAATGTTTATTGTTGCCATGTTCAATTCTTATTAGCTTTATTTATTTCTGAAATAAACGTTTTCTTTGTTCTTTCTTTCTTTCTTTCTTCATCTATAAACAAAAATGAATATGCAGGCAAAAGCACAGGAAAGGTTTAATGAACGGTAAGCTTTTTCGCTATTGATTGAGGAAAAGACTCGCACATTATTCAAATGATGTTTCAATGAGGTACCATAGTTTCTTCACATGCCATATAGCTTGCTCAATATCAACTCTCATGGTGTTTTTAGAATAGGGGAGGCTAAACCTTTTCATAAGAATATTTTAGGATTTTACCTAAAATCGTCAATCCTAAGTATCTCCAAAACGAGTGATCCGACAAAAATTCCTTAGAAGGCAAAATTTACGGAAATTTGAATGGTATTTCATAAAATGCAGTTCTCTTCTCCGAAAGGCCAGTGTATCTTGGACCCATATCTATAGGAACTTTTTTTGTTATTTTTCTGAAACGTATTTGTCTACCAACAGATATTTGTTGTAAATGGATCTTATCAAGCCGTAATACGCCGAATCATGATGTCAAAACCACGCCCTTCAAACATTTTGCTGGGTTCCACGTTTGCGAGTTTCTCGGTGTGTTCTTTGAAACAATGACCCACATTATCATAACCTTTGCTATAACCTATCCGTAATAAATAATTGAAAAATGCACTGTGAAATATCAAAAATGCATCAGTTATTCATTTTTCTTATGCAGCCTCAAGCCGCTTTATACCAAAAAAAAAAAAGGTCAGCCGGTCAGATCGATTGCAAGGGTCGGCAAAGCCTACACAAGCCAAGCCAAAACGAGCTATCTGCACTTTATAATTACATTAGCAATTAGAACTACATATATGAACACCAACAATATTAAAAAAACTTTAATGGGCACGTTAGTTTCTAAAAATGTTACTCACGTTCGGAGTCTTGCGATTGAGCAACGGCGAAAGATTGATTCAACAGATCCTCTTTAACTTGCCGTTCTTGAACCAGTTCGCTCTCTTTCGTCGCTAAGTCAGTCTCTAAATTGGTGATTTTCTCCTGCAGTTTCGTCACGTCCCTTTCACTTTTTGACATCAACGTGTTAATTTCATGCCTGAAAATATTTTTTTGCAAACGGTGTTTGTCAAAATATTGACATAGATGTCATTTTGGTCATCCTAGGTCAAATGCAATAGGTATACATAGTGTTTTTTTAAGAACCGGTATTCGTAAGGCGAAGGCTACGCGTTTGGTATTTAGTGATGGTAGGGATCATCACTATTTAAGCTACATTTCTAACGTACACCGTGCCATGACGGACACAGAATCTGATAATAGAGTACCTATAGATGTAAAAGCAGGATCATCTAAGAAACGTCCATACGTCAAACCTGGGCAAAAATGGCTTAAAGACCTCTAATAAATAATGTATCACAAGAAACGTACCGCCACAGACTTAAAATAATTAGAAAAATCTAGTTTCTAATCTAAAATTGGACAAAAATGTATATGTATTTTCTTGAAGCATAAGAAGAGTAATACAAAAATATACTCATATATCGCAACACAACAAAAGCGAAACAAAGACGTAAGAAAAGCACTGAGGCCACCGAATACACACTCAGTTCACTGAGCCCACTGTATTCACTCTCAGAATCAGTAAATGTTTGCCTTGAAGGTCTCCATGCGCCTGCTCTCGTAGGTTTATCTCGCACTTTTTACTACAGCTTGGCCAAAGGCTACCAAGGCTAGAAAATTATCTTTTATGTTGAAATCCCTTGATGATGTATGACTTTTACTAAACCTATCATTGTAACTGTCTGTTAACGTTTATAAGCGATGAAAATTAGTATGTGTACTGCATGTTAGTATTTGTGAGCCGCTTCAGCAAGGTGGACGTCAGAAATCCAGCTTAACTGATCTTCTATTCCTCATTGTCCGTCAAAGCGGTCTGTGGGAGCTTTGCTATTGATATCGAAGGTCAGTAGGTCTGTCAGGTCTGGTTGCCCAGATACCAGATGAAGATCAGGGAGAAACAAAAGGAATAGAAAAAAAAGTACGGAAGGAGGAAGAGCAAAGAGGAGGAAGTGCGTCAATTACAGGGGTGCCTTGGTATTGTTCTGTTCTGCAAAACCTGCAGACTACGCTTATGCGTTTTGGCGAGAAGACTCCATGGTGCACATGCGTAAGTGATTGCCGGTACCATCTTGTATATCCGAACTTTGTTCGTCAAACTAAATTTTGAGGTTCTATATAGCTTTAGGGTAGAGTTGCCAAAACGTAATCCGGAATTTAGTTTTTACGCTTCAGTGTGATTCTGCCAGGTCATCCCCCTGTCAAGAGTGACACCGAGATACTTAACAGAATTTACCCATCGTATGCGAGCTCCGTTCACTGACACCTCAGGCGGGGCGCCGCTATGTTTTTTAGTACAATACGAGTAGATAGCCTGCGTTTTCGAGTAATTAATTTTGATTAACCACAGATCTGCCCATTCCAATATCTCATCCACCGCACGTTGTAACCTGTCGTGAACCAGATTCCCGGAACGCGACTGGGCCACCAGTGCAGTTTCATCAGCAGGGACGTCATGCGTGAAAAGCGATATAGGATTGGTCCAAGAACCGAACCCTGAGGCTCTTATGGGTCTACTGTCGACAAGACATTATTAATTGTGATATGAAAGTTCCTACCTTCACCTAAATTGCACGTCAGGAATCACCTGGCGAGCTTAGACGGAGCTGACAGCAGGCTAATGGGACAATAATCCTGGAGAAATACCGTACCCACTTTCTTTGGAATCATTATAACTTCTGAAGTCTTTCACGTCGAAAGGAGGTACTGGGTTCTTAGCATGGCGTTGATAATAGCCACGAGATAAGTCAAGGACTTCCAACTTCAGCGCCTTATTAGTGATTTTATCCTACCCAGGCGCTTTACGCACCTTGAGGTCTTCAATATGACCTTGAAGCAATGCTGGTGTGCAGTGCGGAACCTCGGGAGATGCCGCTGATGTGCTATGCAACTCTTCGGTTGAAAAATCTTGAAATCCTCTGAGGAAGCAGCTTAACTGAAGTGTAACAGTGAATTTCTACGTAACCTTACATACAGGGTGTTCGGAAGGTCGATACCTAGAGTGATAGTACACCCCATTTGGAATACATTGAGCCACGTATACCTTAGTAGAAAGTCGAACCATTTTAAAGTTTAGCGCAATTTTGTGAAATCCTCTAAAAAAGCTAAAATCATGCAATAAACCATCGCTTGCTTAATAATGAAGAGCAACTCTTTCTTTTAGTTTTAACATTCACATTGATGTATAATTTTACTACACAAGTAGTTTTCAAGTTATCGAAAGATCGCGTGAACGTTATAAAAACTAATGTTAGTATGTTGAAGAACTGGTTTGAGCAGTGTGCCCTTTCCCCGTGGTATTGCGTTGATGACATAACTGTCAAAAACGGTGAAAAGAACGATGTTTGAATACATGCTTTCGGTGTCTACAGTCCCTAAATGAATCGTTTCCTCACCTCAACTTCTCGCACTGGCTCCTCAAAAATTCTCTTTCATTAACAATCTCCTGATGCACGGCCATACTAACTAAGTTTCTATCTTCCCCGCCGCTACCCGAGTCAGTGGTGTCGATAAGGCTTCCCTCAGAAGGAGGCTCATCCTCATGATCTGGCTCAGGGGGCTCCTGAGGTGCGACAACTACTTCTTGGGTTACGTAGGTACGAAAGTCGCCCATTATCAGGAAGTTCGGGGGATTCTAGAAAAGAAGAACGATTTGTTCCGAGCATAATGATTCATTAAAACTAAGTATTCATGCTAGATGGGGCTAAATCCGTGGGCCTATCCATCTTAACTTTTTTTATAATCATCTTTGCTTCATGCTTCTTAACATGAATCAAGAGCTTGCTGGATTGCCGAGTGGTAACCCAGTTTTTTAATCATTTTGAGCACACAACAGTAACATTTATTCTAAAGTTGTCCGTTTTCGAGTTATAACCTATTTAGAATCTGAAAAACCCTAAAAATGCCAATTTTCAATAATAAATACATATCTTGTACCATATCTTGTTTTCCACCACATTCCTTCCTTGTAATAGCTGAAGATCGTTAGGAATTTCAAAATTTCCCATAATGTACTTACTTCCCCACTCGAATCTATTTCAAATAATTGTAATAGAAATTTGAATGTTTACACTATGAAATGGTTTCAACAACATACAATTTTGACGTCATATTGTCACATGTCATAAATGACAAAAAGTAGTACATTTGCAAGACAGTAGAGCCAGTAACATAATCTGTATACAGGACGTTATTCCATTTATGCTGATATTTCACAATATACTACCACTACAACTACCTAGTATTACTAATAAAGGTGTTTAAATAATCAAATTGGTGTCCGATTGGTGGTGCCATCTAGAAAATAGACGTAAAGCGTGGATGAGCATATAATATGTATCTTCATCCAAGTGCTTATCTTTTTTATCTTATCATATTTTTAAATGATACGGCAGACATGGCGGAAAGCATTTATTGAATCACTGATACCATCGATTACACTTTATTTTTCTTACACTCAACACAAACATCATATTCTTATTCTCTCAAATTATATATGTTTAAGCTGAATTATCAATTTTTTATCATATAATTTTATTTTAAATTCGCGAAAAATCGGCCTATGAAAGATTTAATCAGTTAAACAATTTGACGAGAATACTGAAGCGGCAAAACAATTTGAAATAAAAGATTGTTGCATAAAAAAAGTGTCACAAATAAATACTTAGAAGAGAAATAAGAACGAGCGATACTTTATATGGCAAAGTATAGATTATATGGGACAATAAGATACTTAAGCCATATTTTTTATACCGAAGCAGCCGCGTAGACAGAAGATTAAATACCAAGGCACCGTGGAACTTAAAGAAACTTTGTTGATCCGATTTTTGAACTGCCTAAGGTTAGTCGATTGTTCCACAATCTAGATAGCCATGGACAACGGAGCGGTCGCAAGGGTCAGTTCTGCATGTCTGTGAAAACCAAAAGCCAATTTTGGTCTAAGAGACAAGGTTGAAAAGCGCTTTAAAATAACGTAATCTCAAAATACCTATCAGGGTAAGCATGGTAAAAACTTTAATTTAGATACTTGCGACCTCAAAAATTATAATTTTTATCCGTGTTTTTAAGCACTGCATACACCCATTTTTAGGGCATTAAATCGCTTCTAACCCAAAAATGTTCAGCTTTAGAGAAAAGATAATGAAAGCCTTTTTTGTTCGGAATGATCCAAATAAGTTGAAAAAAAACTTGTTACTACTCAGAGTCACATATATCATATTTGCCCTCTGTATCATTGAAACAACCATCGACCGCTATCCGTTAAGCGCCAATCTTGAAATTTAAGTGGCTTTCAGCTTTCCCTTCTTAACATAAGGATATGTGGTTCTTCAAAAACGTCATTTAGAGATTAAAGCGGCATCTATTAGCGAATTGTGTTTTTTATTCAAATGTGGATTAGGCACCTTATTGCCCCAAGCCCTACAAATTACATGGCAAGATTTTACAAATTATTAAATATATATGGATCGGGAGGCGCTGTAGGGATGGCACCACCAACACTGGTTTCGCTGCTTGACTTAGCCTCAAAAAAGGAAATACAAGTAACCAACTCTTCCTCCATGACACTAACCTCGGGTAATGGAGGTATAGCAATTAAATCCTTGAAGTACTGTAAGTTGCTGGTGCTCTCGTAGAACTTCCTCAGTGCGCGGAACTGTTTCAGGAAGCGTTCCCTGTGTCCTTGGAGTGTATCAGGCGGAAGTGCCATGTGGAGTTTGAACATGATCTTGACGCAGTAGTCGTACAATTTGGACGCATCTTGAATGCATGGAATTAGAGGGGCCAAGCGACATTGGCCAGCGCTTGTCATCGAGTTGGAACGCGCCATGTTGAGGGAACCAAACACTGCAAAATTGACGCAGTTACGTCATCTATTTATTTACAATAAAAATAACAGTTGACTTATGTAAAAAACACTAAAAAATATAGCATCTCCCAGTAAAAGTGGAAAATTAACCAGAATGCGCTTCGAAGATGGTATAGTAACAGAAATAATACTAATTGCAGAACGGATGGGGGATTCAAACGTATGCCACATGCAAGTTTATAATTGTTTACATCAGCAATCTTTCAAAAATGGTTCTAAAAGAATGTTTCAACATTATTGGAGAGAAGTTATTATTGCTAGTGAATCACTGTTTAGTGTATACCGAATTTTCTTCGAAACTAAAATGTTCTACATTTACTCCTGTTCCAAAAGTTCAAAATTGTGAGTTATATGCAAACATGTGGTCAACTAAGCTTCTGACAGATGTCGATAAGCTCTTAGAAGGAATCATTATATGAAGAAATCATTAAATATATTGAAGAAAACAATACACTGACAAAATATCAAGCAGGATTAAAAAAAAAATATTCTACCGAAACAGCCATTCAAATGGTAGTAGAAGAATGGACGTGAAATATGGATGAAAAAAGGTTTACAGTAGCATTGTTCTTGGATTTCAAGAAGGCATTTGAGAGTAAGGGAGAAATTGTTAAAGAAATTGCATTGCTATGGATTTAAAGGTTCAGTATTGGACATACATATTACAGAATTATTTAATCAATAGAAGTCAAAGAATTGGCGATACACTATCAAGCATTAAAAACATTTCTGTAGGAGTGCCACAGGGTAGCAACTTAGGCCCATTACTATTTATTTTATATACTAACGATATTCCTGATGTTTTACAACACTGTAATCTAAATATTTGCTGATAGAGCTGTTAAATAATATGAAAAACATAATTGAATGTAAGTAAACTCAAATTAAACACAAACAAACCAAAATGTAAGCTTATGGGAAAATAAGAGGTGTGGAATTATCGCAAAATTACATCGAAAATTTTCAGTGACTATTTCCCTCGTCTTACTTTCTACCAATCACAAATGCCCAATTTTGGATTACATATGGTTTCTAGATGGAAAAATTGTATGACAGTACCTGTCAGGAGTTTTTCAAAACAAACAAACAAATCTAACGTCATATAAAATTTGATTTAAAAAAATGCGTCAACCTACTTCACTCATATTTTCAATAGGCTGAATCTGTTGTGATGGTAGCTACTAAAGCGAAAGTAGGATAAATTTGCCCCTCTTAGACAAAAAGGTAACTAGGAAGATGGATAACGAAAACCTTGCTAGAATGTATGCTCACTCAAGTACGATATATCGTAAAACCATATAAAATGAATCTAATATTTTTGTTTCACTATGTGTTAATATTATATCTAAGAAGTGCATGATATTACTAGGACACGAAACTCCTTTATTCCTACAAACTTTTCCGTCCGGCACTGCGAAATTCCATCAAAATTCGATCATTACTTTCTAATTTCCAGAGGACCAAGCATTAGCGGACAGATAGACCGACAGACAGACAGACCGACGAAAATGATTGATATTGTTTTTCTTAATGTATGTAACTGGGCATAACAAGCTTTCCGCTTCTGCATTTTTAGAGTTTTAGCGAGTTTTATTTATCTAATAATGATTTCAAGCTCACCTGCCTCTTGGAGTTCCAAAATATGATCAAGATAGTCAAACATTTCCACTGTCATTTCAAAGCTGAAAGAGAAAAGAAAAGTCAACAATAGCTATTTATCAATTAGCATAGGCCGCACAATATGTTGCGCGTCAGCTGTTTAATCATCTGTGGATTGTTAAGCTAGAATTATCCTGGAGAAATGATTCTCCGTGCAAAACACAAGGACTAGATTCAGGTTTAACACGAAATCTACCGAAAACATTCTCAAATTCTTAAATAGCATATTTCTGACATAACGAAATCCACGAGTAGAGTAATTTGACTCCCCCGTTCTTCATTTTCAAAACCGAGTGGAGCTCGAACAATTTTCAATCATCGGCTAGTTTTTGTGTTGGTTTACCGTCTACCGAAAAATTTCGCACTAATATATCGAAAATAGGCCCACTATACATGGAAACACTGATTAGATTGAATGATCTCGCAGCGTCCATCAACATTGCAAGAAATCTCGAGACCATCAGAAAAATGTGATTGTATGAATTCCAAAGTTTCATTTACCGTATGGTCTTATCATGTTGGAAGAAGAATATTATCCGATTGGGGCCACAAAATGTTTATGTTTGCTGAAACCCTCACCACTACTGTAAACTTCATGAAAAAATTGGAGTCAACTTCCCTAGTACGTTTCCGGAATTCTGATGTATTCCTCCATCGTGTAAGATGTTTCATAAGAAATTCTCGAGTCTCTAGATGGCGCATGCGGATTTCTGAGTCAAGTTGTTCAAAAATGGCAACAAATTTAAAATATCAGGACTTTGCGATGTATGTGATAATTATGTTCCTTTCATTTTTGAATGGCTCCCTTGGCACTTGATGTTATAATGATATGTCGTTGTCTGTTTGCGGTAGTTTTTCACGTCAAATTTGAGAAATTGTTCGAGGCTACTATTCACCATTTTCCATGATAAGGACTTTTTTTTTTTTTTTTTATACTCCAACTACCACGAAGGCCTAAGGCCTAAGCACCCATTGGGTACCGTGGGGCTATGGGGGATACATGGGAAAGGGGGGACGCCACACGGACTCTGGCGAGGGAACACGTGTGCATGCAACATGCACACATTCTGGCTCCGCCTACGAGAACCGCCGGGTGGTACCTCCGCGTTCGACAGTCAGAGACCATCTACCACCTACGGACAATCACAACATCCATGGCCAAGAGAAACATTTCTCCTGGGACGGGACTCGAACCCGCACAGCGCACGGCGGCTGATCAGGAGACCGAAGGGTCTACTACTGCGGCCACCGCTGCTGCCTAAAACAAACACACAACATCCATGGCGAAGGCGAGATTCGAACTCGCGGCCCGGCCGACCGGCTGATCAGTAGCACGACACTCTGACCCACGCGGCCAACCGAGGTGCCTAGAAGACTTCTAGAAAAAGGAATTAAAAGGTCAGATAATGAGATTAAGTGTTTTTGGTCCAAATGTAAAGTAAATTACAGGAAAAAATATACGTAGTGATTGTGATATGAGCTTTGAAGGGAGTGTCGAGGAATTACCAGATATACATACGAGGTCTGTAAATTAAGTGATGAGACTTGAAATGTAGTGGTCGATCTGACAACACTGGAGGCGCCGGGCTTCGAGGGATGACATTCATTAGAAGTTTGAACTCGCTCGAGTCATTTGGTTGTCCGTATCGATTTTTTTTTTGAAACAGTTTCTCCTATTGTGTTCTAAAAATGAGTGACATCAATTTCGAGCAACGGTGAGCTTTAAGGTGTTGCTTCAGACTTGTGTACAGTGATACGGAAGCTCTTGCTAAACTTAAGCAGACCTATGGAGCCCAGGTTCTTCGGTGGCATTTTCAGAAGGGAGTTAAATTTGACTCACACCACCGTTCATCAGATTAAAAACAACTTGGTGTTTGCATCACGATAATGCTCCTTGTCACACAGTAACATCAATAAACGAGTTTTTGACCAGTAAAAACATTCATGTGGCTCCTGATCCCTCTTATTCACCTGACTTGAGTCCTTGTGACTTTTTTCTCTTCCCGAAGTTAAAAAATCACCCCATCCCCCATCCCATTTAGGGACAGACGTAAAAAAAACAAAAGGCTGTAACCTACTCGCTGAAGGCTATTCCAGCATCGGAGTTCCAGCAGTGCTATGAGGAGTGGAACAACCGTCCACAGCGCTGTGTGACTTCAGAAGTAATTAATTTGAGGGTGACAATATACACCTAAAATTGTAATCAAATTTGAATAAGATCTAAAAAAATCAGTCTCATCACATAATTTACAGACCTCGTATGTCTCTTTTTGCGCGTGGCGTTCGATTCATTTATACATATGTATGTTATATAGCCGAATAACGTAGTTTTAGACACTATGGTTCAATAAAACGAAAAACTACTTACTAATTATTTATATCATTCCCAGCAATGCTCTCTAGTTCCTCAGCGGTAACACCAAGGTGTCCTGGAAACCTTGGATTCCTCCTATGGAACTCCAGTTTGTTGATCAACAGTGCTGTGTACAACTTGATCATTCTGCCATAGCCTTCACGTAAGTGGCCCCACAATTTGCCCAATGCATCCAAGTCTTTCTTGTGACGTTGGCTATCCACAAGGCATAAGGGATGACCTTCTCGAAGTACCTTATGTACTACATGGCACAGCTTCCAAGCGACGATCCTGTCATCCATAGAGGGTAGCCGAAGAGCGTAAGCCCAAAAAACTTTTGCGCTCTGAGTATGAAAAGTGCCAATGATCGCGGATCTGACATGTTTCTGCTTTACCGGGGTTTCGTTACCGTTGATAGCCTTCTGGAGTGCTTGAGCCTACACAAAATAGAAAAAAAGTGTTCAAAGTTCTAATCTATTTTTACAAAAAAGTTTCGACAATAAGCGTATCATTTTTGATCCCAAGCTTTATCTAAGTGCTACAAATGAACATATTTAACAGAAAATATCACCCAATGTCAATGAAACACCACATACACATTTATACGTCACCAATATGAAGAAAGAAAGGCACAATGCAAACCCGGGTATTTTGTTTAGTACGCCATTTGAAACAATAAATGGACATTCTATTTACAATAGGCCATAGGCTAAGTTGTAAAATTAGAGCGAGCTTGAGTGGAGACAAATATAAATAAATTGACTGCGCTATAACACCGGGTGCCGGTAGTTGTAGCCGTTGTTTAGTAGCAAATAAATACAAATCATTGTCGAAGTGGATGAGCATAGGTCATTTTAAAGATAGTGAGCGCTAAACTAACTTTAACGCCCTAGCGCGTTATTTCGATTTTGCAGTAGCGTGGCAGTCCTTATCGAAATAACAAAGCTCCATTAGGTACAGAGAATAGGAGAGGGCTTATTTCGTAATTCAGCGTTGATTTCTAAAACTGAGTACGCTTAACTAAAATAATTAGAATTATAGAAACGTATTGGTTAAAATATAATAGAAATATGAGTTTTAGATCACAGTTAAAAATAAATGGAACAACTAGGGTGTATTCTAAATTAATTGAATTCTCCTGACTTTTGTTATACAAGAATAAATCCTTTTTTTTGTAAAACTGGCCTATATTTAGTTAATCTCATGCCATTTCTACAAATATCAACTTTTTTGAACCAGGTTTGTTTTAAAACACTCAGAATTAAGTATTTTATCTCGTCCAGCATTATTTTTCCCTGTTGTGGAGAAAAACCTACATACAAATCATGTCAAAGTCTAAATTTTCATTAAATCCCCACATACCACCCTCTACTGTGGGACAGAGCATCAAGTATGATCACTCTGCCAATTTGTCAACTACTGGCAATTTTTGAATGGTAATATTGTAATTCGCCCTCTGATTTTTTTTATTTTCGTTTTATTGCAGTTATAATGGAGGAGAGTCAGTTTTCGAAGATATCAGAAAATAGAAATATATAGCTTGGATACAAAAAAATGGACAGGTTTGATGGTAAATGTTAATGTACATTTAAGTAATGAATGTAATGAGCACCATTGACTGTTATGCATGCATTTTGTCATAAAACATTTTTTAACCTACAATAACCGCTCGAATGCTCGAGGTTTCCTTAATTTCGGAACTCAATTCTGTTACTGCGGCCCTAATAAAAAATTTAGTGGATTTAGGTCCAACGATCTTGGTGGCAATGAAATAAGGCCGCGCAGCCTGATCCACCTTTATGAACGTTGTATTTTTGTAATTGAAGTGGTCTCAATCTGATCGAGTGTGATATGCTAGAGTATTACTCAGTATTGTCATGTTGCAGTAGATCTTGATCAGAATATTTTGAGTGACAAACTCACAAACTCAAATGAATGGTAGAAGAAGTGGATTTGATGTCTTGTTCCTAAGTTTTGTAATTTTTAAAAGTCAGTAGTTATTCAGTGCCTCTTGTTATTTGTATTTTGAGTTCTATAGTTATTTTCGCGTTGAGTTTTTATTAGCTATCTAGTTTTTGTCCTTGGGAGTTGTTTCATTATGCCCAGGTACGAGTATACGCTTAGCGAATACCCAGATATGCATCTCCAAAATGTTTTATGGCCCAATGTAGGTCATGCGTAACAGTCAATGGTGCTCATTACATTGATATCTCAAATCTAAATTGTCATTTAACGTCAATCCTGTCCATTTTTTGTATCCAGGTCATAAATTGTTATTTGATATCTACGAAAACTGACCCTCCTCCATTTTAACTACAATAAAACAAGAGAAAAAAAAACGGTAGAGAGCGAATAGCATTAATACCATTCAAATATTGCCAATACTCGTAGTTGGTCAACTTTTTCGACAAATTGGCACGGTGTCGGTGATCGTACTTGATCCTCTCACTCTACAGGGTGTTGAAGTCAGACGTTACAGGGGATGTTAATAAAAATTTAGACTTTGGACTAGATGAAATGCTCAATTGAACTCAGTTGTTTTAAAACAAACCTGATTCAAAAATGGTGATATTTGTATAAATGACACGGAATTAACTGAATCTAAGCCAGTTTAAAAAAATGAAAATCTCGTAAACTAGAGCTTTTAATAAAAACAAAATTTTACCATCTAGTAGACTATGACGTGACCTATCTACAGTTGCAGGATTATCCTTAAATTTCTGGACACCCTGTATAAAATACAATGTGGAAAGGTACCTTTTTGTTGTAATTCTCCTGGTTTTGTGGTCACTTGTCGTTCTGTGATTCTATGAATCTAAACCTATTCATATCCAGTTAGGATAAAATATTACAGAAACTTTTCTGTGCAGAAAACTAACAAGCTTTTGAAATTTTAGGGTTAGCTTCAAATCAAAATCTAAGCACCCTGTCATGACCGTCAATAGTCAGTACCGTCAAATTACCACTGTTCACTTTAGTGACCATAAAAAATAACGTAACGGAAGGCTTCATGATTCGTTATTTTTGTTATACGGACTCTCTAAATATGGAATAAAAAAGCGAGATTATAGGCTGTAACAAACGCCCTCTACATACTAAGTTGAAACTACGTTCATAATAACATTCCTTAAATAGTGAAGCAAACTTGAACTCCCTGTATCTAATTAACTATTAATTTACTAAATCATAACTGGTTCGATATCATCTTCACGAGCTCAATCCAAAATCGCTTTCGATCGAAATTCATTAGTATTATTTTTTATTTAGAAACTTCTTCACTTCAAGTTTAATAACCTCAATATATGTACTATATATGCTTTATACACATCCATAATAAAAGTATCATCTATTCATATTTGCGCTCACGTCTTTTTTATGGCTGTCTCTGTACACATTTTTTTAAATCACTGTTCACTGCTGTGCTTGGTTCAATGACTGTATAGTTGCACGACGTTGAATCATTATTTCAATTATTAAAAATTAAGTGGTGTACACGTATTACGATCATTCACCGTCCTATTTGCTTACTAGACTTTGGATTTCAACGTACACCTTCTAAAAACGTTCATTATAGAAATTCACAGTTACGATAACTGTCTGTTCTTTTAAATGTAGTACTTCTGTTTATATTACGAGTAGGTATTGGAGGAAGGGTAATCGGTCAAAATTAAGCAAGGCGAGCGCTCAGGTAAAATTTTGATTGTGAATATGTAATCAATTACCTATTCATATTTTTAGTTTTGTTAGTTTTACAGCAAAACAAAATATAACCAATTTTACTAATAGAGTTTATAATAATGATTCCAAAAATGTATAATATGTCATACATTGACATTCCCAAACCTTAGTTATTTCAGATAAAGGGAATATCCTAGGTGGGCCTTGGAATTATCAGATATTTATCTGTTTCGTATACCAGACCAGATCTCAAATTGAACATAATAACAGTTTGGAAGACTGGGAAGAAGGAAATAAACCGAGCAGTGAACAATGTATAGATAATAGCCTACAAAATAACGGACAAGGTTTTGAACATCTAATAAGATTTACCTCTGCTTACTTATGATTATTATTGTTATTGTTATCAATAAAACTTTCAGGATTCAGGTTTCACCATACCTTTTTATATCTTTATAATGTTCGTTCCAACAACAAATTCAAGGCCAACTAATGAAATATATGTCTGAATTTAGGACTGAACACTCCAATTAAATGTACCAAATTTCAATATAGCGACCATATGAAAAAACAAAGTTAATGATGGAAGTCGAAAGAAGAAACCTCGAATTGAAAATGTGACTACGCCATCTTGTAGAGGAGAAAAAGTGACACTGAGAACATGTTATTTACTTAGAAATCCCATCTTAAGTGAAGTCAGGAAAAATAAAAAATGATTTTGAGATAAATTTGGAATACCAAAACAAATGATAACTTCAAGGTCTACCTAGGAAATTCCCTTTCTTGAATTACCTAGGGTTTGGCAATGTCAATGTATGACATATTATACATTTTTAGAATCAGAATTAAAGACTCTATTCACCTGTTTCAAATACCAATATGGCGCCTGTAAAAAAGTAAAGTTGATGCTGGAGGACAAGAGACGAAACGTCATATTGAAATTCTAATTTTACCATCTTGTGAAGCCGAAAAAGTGGCAATGTTAATGAGCAATTTATTTTGAAATTCCACTACAAATAAAGTCAGGAAAAAATTAAAGCGATTTTGGAAAAATTCGGCATTTTCCGTCTCTCTCCGGAAGTACTTTGAATATCGAAACTTTCTAAGCGGCAATTTGTTAATTGCCCCCATTTAAGCGGCTTCGTATATCTTACCGTTTCCGAGATCGCAATGGTGAGCGTCGAATTTGAAACTCCCGGTATCAATGCGTGAGAAGTACGTAGCCGATTTAAGAAGTATGTTTATCAAATAAAGGACATTATTTATTAAATAGTCTGCACTTGGAGTCGAACAAGGTCTAACTGCGTTATAGTCTGTCTATAATGTCTAAGTTCACCGCATTAATTGCAAAATTGCCTAACATTTCGCAAAGAGTGCACGGTTTGCAGAAAATACGTGAATTAGCAAACGCTTCCGACTAAACTTCCTGTTACCGTCGAAATAATGTTATCGCAATCTCTCAACTACGTCCGATCACGCGATGGCAGTGTAAAAATTGGCAATTTCCTCAAACACTTGAAAAAAAAATAAGGAAATTTCACACAACTGAACCATGAGAACAGCTTCCAACTGTACAATCGGTGTGTGGTCCTAAACGCAATTTTTCTTAGTCCCAGGCCAAACGTTCTTTAACGATAACGGGAAACCATTCTTACAGGATACGATTTGTTGAATACTTCGACCAATTGCAATGAAGTTTCTTCAAGCACGCTACTCGTTTCTCATGAATTTGATATTCTGATATTAAAAAGTAATTTCAACTTCTCTTGCGCATTGCATACTTTTATCAAGCTTATTATGACTAAACTTTCCTTTTAGTGTGGGCTAGGTCGATAACTCGGTTATTACATACAGCTTGTCTGCGAAAGGTTGGGAAATCTCGAAATTGGAGATACCACAGACCAAAATATGTGAATTGACTCAAACATACCTTAGTCCAAAAGTTGATAGTTTGCGAGATACAATACAAAGTTACTATTTTATTTTCTATTTTTCCTTATTGCTTGAGAAGTACCTATTTCAGATTTTGGCATAAAAATCGGTATAGGGAGGTTTTCTAGTATGAGAAGCAATAATCCGTTATTTTTTATGGCCAAACTTCTAGACTTACAGCACTATTTCGGTAAATAACTTATCATAACTTTTTCGTGCTACCCTGTATACAACAACTGACCGAAAAATCTCATTTTCTCATATTTCCACAACAAAAAAGGTTCACTTGCTAGAAGTGTATAAAGCTAATAGTTTTCGAGATATCTGTTTTTAAAAGTTCCAAAGCATTATTTGTATCATGATGATAAAACATTTTTATAACATAATAATCAAGTTGCTTTGGATAATATCTGAGTAGCGTTACTATGGTTTCTAATGTTTGTCATAATATTACTTTAAACTTCATGAATAAACTTTAAGTTGACAATAAGTTGTTAAACATCATGGAGTACACGTTTGATGATTATTCTGATATGCATTTAATGTACGGATTGGCAAGATGTAATGCTTTAAAAACAAATATCTCGAAAACCATTAGCTTTAGACACTTCTAACAAGTAAACCTCTTTTGTAGTGGAAATACGAGAAAATAATATTTTTCGGTCAGTTGTTGTATACAACGTAGGACAAAAAAGTTATGATAAGTTATTTACCGAAATAGTGCTGTAAGTGGTGCCCTCTAGAAGTTTGGCCATATTAAATATTGGATCCTTGTTTCTCATACTAGAAAACCTCCCAATGCCAAAATCTGAAATACTTCTCAAGCAACAAGGAAAAATAGAAAATAAAATTGTAACTTTGACACCCTGTATCTGTAAACTTTTGGAATAAGGTATGTTCAGGTCAATTCACATATGTTGGTCTGTAGTATCTCCAGTTTCAAAATTTCCCAACCTTTCGCATAGTATCATGCGTTTTTAAAAACTCAAAAACCAATCGTACAAGCGCCCATAAAACATATATCAGAGAAAAAAACTTGTGAAAAGGGGAATCAAACAATGTGAAAATATACAGGGTGTTCATTTTGTATTTTCGACCACCCTGTATAAACTACCAAAAAAAGGAAGTAGGAAAAAGCAAGTAGATAGGGAAACATAGGATCATTTTTTGCTGACGAAAAATTCGATACTCCAGCTATAACAGTTTCGGATGTTGCCAGTTATTGAAGTTGAGTATCTTATTTGATAGGTTGTCCAATATATAGTACATTACATACTCATGGTTGTGTAAATGTCATATTTATATGAGTTCTTTATTTTATATTATTAATTTGTTTTACTCTGCGATACCGACTGTTTTACTACAGTTTTCTATTTTCTGACATGTTCTATACCATCAACTGATGGTCTACCGAACTAATAAAGATTCTGATTCTGAACAACTCAACAATTTTAAAATAAAACCCTTTGGTATATTATGTAAAATTGCTTCATTTGGAATTGACTATCCAAATCTGCAATAAAATTTACGGGGTTCCATTTAAAAAAATATATGTTTGGTTTACCACGTAGTTATGAATCACCCTGTTGGCGACAATTTTTGTATTCAAGTTTTTTGAAACACCATACGTATGAGTTATGGACCGAGCTCACACTGAAAAATCACCAAGTATGTACGTTATTTAGACACAGGGAAACCTAAAAAAGTTATAATCATTGACCATTTTAAAATACCACACTGTATAGGTCTGGAGGGGCCAAAACTACTGCATCTACTCAGTCGCATTAACCCATCAAAACCTGGCGTGACCATTTGGTCACATCAACAGACGCTATTTCGAAGGTCGTTTTAAGCAAATCTCTGTACTCTTTTCGGTGCTTACTTGAATCAACCGCATATAGATGGAGCGCGTTAGACGTTCTGTTAGCCTCAACCCGTTCGCACAAATATTCAAACAGACAACGTGTTTCAAAGTTTAAGACAATTATCTTTTCAAAATAATGGAGCCGAGGTGGGCGTAAGTAATCATTACAATTTTTACTGTAGAATCTGTTTCATATTTAAGTGATGGTATTAATAAATGAAATCATAGCAAATAGCATAACATATGCGTCACTCAACATAACCTATACATTTTCGCACTGTCCATGGCTAAATCTGCTTGTTACCGAATGGTCACACTAGGTCAATACGTTAGCATAAATTCTTGTTTTTAGAAAGGGCTTTTCGCTGCAACAGGCGCTTGATATGATCTTCAATGACGATGAGGATGAAGTACCCGACATATATATAAGCCCATCAGAACCAAATGTGCTAACTGATGAGGACTCGGCAGACGAAGATGATGGTGGACTTATAGATGATCTTTCAGGAAGACAACTGTTATCAGATGCTGAGATCCACGTCCGTGGAGTTGACCAACCGACTGGAGCAGATCTGGAGGAAGAAGACGTTGTTGATGACTCGCAACCTCTATCAGAGTTAGGCATCGAAGCGCATGAAGAGCTACTGAGAACGTTAAAGGGGAGAAAATATGACAAGAGGACATGGTTAGATGGAGATATGACAAAATCGTCTCATTTTCCTGCACCGGACTTCTCTGAATTTCGTGATATGAGCCCAGCCGGTTTGTTCGAATTATTCTTTGATGAAGGTATGATGCTGTACATTTTGGAGGAAACAAAAAAGTACGCCTTATTTTCGACCTGTCCAGATCCACAGGTTACTATGGAAGAACTTAGATGTTTTCTGGCCATACTTATCGTTTCTGGTTACAATATTCTTCCAGGAAAAAGATTTTATTGGGATTCTGGAGAAGACATGTCCAATGGCATGATAAAAGAAGCGATGCGTCGGGACAGATTTATTCAAATAATGCGGTTTGTGCACTGCGCTGATAATACCAAAATGGATCCCCAGGATAAAATGTGGAAGCTACGTCCTATTATCACTAGGTTACAGGAATCCTTTTTAAAATATTACAGGCCAACAGAACATATGAACTATGATGAATCCATGATAAAATACTTTGGTCGACATAACCGCAAACAGTTCATTAGAGGAAAGCCAATTCGATTTGGTTACAAAGTGTGGTGCCTGAACTCTGAAAACAGCTACCTTGTAAACTTTGATATCTATCAAGGTAAATCGCCACGACCAAACGAACCGTATGAGGCAGCTTTTGGAAAAGCTGCGGCTCCGCTTGTTGTTATGCTAGATAAGTTACCTACACGGAACCTGCCTTACCAACTTTATGTAGATAATCTTTTTACTAGTTTCAATTTACTAGTCTATTTGAAAGAGAGGGGATATGGTGTGACAGGAACCATAAGAGAGAATCGAGTCCCTAAAGACTTTCCTCTTGAAAAGAAATCTATGACTAAGGCAAATAGAGGAACTTTGGTGGCAAAAATTGATAAGGAGGATGGTATCATTTTGATGAGGTGGATTGATAACGCCGTTGTCACGGTGGCCTCAACTTCCTACGGTATGAATCCCATTCAGCAGGTCAAAAGATACTCCCAAACAGAAAAGAAAATCATACAAGTTCCACGCTCACATGCAATTGGAATGTATAATAAATATATGGGTGGGACCGATCGAATGGACGAAGATTTAGCCCGATACCGAATAAGCATTCGAAGTAAAAAATGGTAACTGGTCAATACTAACCTGGTTAGTTGATGCAGCTATAAATAATGCCTGGATTCTGTACAAATGCTCCGGAAGGCAGTCAACAAACTTGGATTTTCGAAAAGAAATAGCCACTACTTATCTCAAAAAGTTCAAAAACAGCCCCAAAGGAGCTGGTAGACCATCGACCAGCAAATACAGTGTATCACTGAACCGAGTCTCGGACGATATAAGGTATGATACTGTAAATCATCTAATTGAACATGTCCCTAACAAGAAACGTAGAAGATGTGCTGGAGAGGGATGCTCATCTGTTGGCCGGACACAATGTGCAAAATGTGGAGTTGGCCTGTGCGTCGAGTGTTTCGTCATATTTCATAAGCAATGACAATTTTATTGTTTTGCCTCAATGACCTAGTGTAACCATATGGTCACAACAAGTAATTCCTATTGTATGATTAGAAAAATATAAACTCTGTTTTTTTATAATTTTATTTCCATCAATCACCCGTACGAGCGCAGCAAATGCAAAAAATTTTGCATTACGATAATTCCGGCTTTGATGGGTTAAACTAAAAACAGTTCAGCCGTTCAACGTATGGTTCAGCTCCCATTCCTAAGCCACGAACGAACGGACAGAAAAAGGAAAAGATAATCCCCAGATACAGCAGGAAGCACTGAACGTGGAAGCATTTAAATGGGATTTAATTTGGGTTGACACTCTTCATGAATATACCGGGGACGTTCAACTATTCATCCCGATTAATTTAAGCTTGCCAATACATCTATTATTGGCCAGTATTAAATAGGAAGTTAATACCTTCTAAAACCGACAACACCATTGAAGATAGCCAACTATGTACTGTATTCCGGCATCCAAAAAGGAATCTCAAAGATACTAGTGCCATCTATGAGACAGTAGCAGAACACAAAAATGCCGTCAAGAAGGTTGACTCTGTACTTCACACGCATCGCCGTCATTAGTTCATTTAGGATTATGCGCAGCACAAATCAGTCTCTCTGAGAAAAAAGTGAGTAGCGAACACGTATAACAGCGAAATTAAATGGATCAAGTCAGGCAAACAGGCCCATACAATTAGCCCATGAACCTTCTTTCCCTGGCCTGCCGGTAGTACAGTCCATCTGGCAACGTCGCCCCGTCCCCATACCTGATCGCATGACGCGCCAGACTCAGCAGCGCGGCACCACCTCCGTAATGGCAGACACTCGTTGAGATCGTGACGCCCGATGGTGAACCCAGAGAGAAGAAGCAATGACGCGTATCAAAAAGTTGTCTCAATCATTCTACTTTTTATGTGCAAATGAACGAGAAAAATTATCTGTGAAATATGTCTCATAGGTGCCCAGAATTGCCTGGGTTGGAAGCGTATACCCTACAGCCAAAAACCCCCACATTTTTTTCTGAAATTGATCAGAAATTTCTGAAACGTCAAAAAACGAAGTTTACGCGATTTGTATTTCTTCCGTTTTTGTCCGTAGCTCCGCCACCACTGGTTCGATTTTCAAAAACTACAAAAACTTCTTGTCCTTGGCATAGTCGTAACATTGTGTAAAAATTTCATCCAAATCCATATTAAAGATGGGCCAAGGATCAGACCGACCAATAAACAGACAGACCGACGGAAATGAGTGACATCGTTTTTCGCGACGTGCATGTCATGTAAAATCCAAAATACATAATACCTCAATTTCGAAATTTTTCGCGATTACAATTCTTCCCCACCAATGACGAAGTAAAATGAGTTTGGAAATCTACTTTAAAAAGAGGCTACTGTCGAATAGACGACGCTAGGTTCTTCAATATATTTTGCATCTCTAATGCCTATTTTAACTGGGTATCGTCAAGCATTGATTAACGTTCCCCACTCAAAGATACTAAATATAGTCAAAATCACGAAAGATGACTATTACGTCGTACTATAAATTGTACTGAAGTAATCAATGGACGTACGTCGATGATAAAAATCTCGAGTCAGAAACATAATGACAACAAATTTATATTATGATTTTGCGAAGTATTTCACTGATTATTTTTACTTTTATTTTATTTCATGGTTTTGAGTGATACTTTAATAATAATTTTAGTGGGAAGTTTTTGTTTTGAAAAAACAGTTATGAGTAGAATACCTTAAGACAGGAACACCAAAGACCAAAGTATTATTCGAAAACAACATAACCTGCTTTAACATAACCTAACTATTCATCTTTCAAATATGATTGATCATGCAACATGAAAACATCGTCTGTCTTTGTCGGATACATGCAAATTAGCAATACAGTTTGTTTAGACAATAAAATTCTGTTTGTCTCTGTCTAACATATCAGAAACTTCATTACATATATTCACAAATCGCTGTCGTTTGTCTTTACTACAGACTAAAATGATGACGTAATCGTCATCTTTCGTGATTTCGACTATAGTAGATCCAAATACTCTAACTCATTTCAAAGCAGATTTCTAAATACATTTTTGCGATTTGCTACCGTCTTCTAGATGGCGCTTGTATCTTTCAGATCCCATCTAGACTATATTCAGGTAGAACGCGTCAATTAATACTAACAATGAGCTTTCTAATATGACAAGTAAGGCATTTAGATAGTAGATACTGACCCCTGAGAAAAAATGGTTATGCACAAAAATCATTCATTATTTTTGGTAGTTGGTAGCTCTCCAATGCATGGGTTTTGGAAAATATTACAGGATTACAACTTCACGTCGTTTACTTCATTTTTAAGCAAAATCCATTCGTCAACTATTTACTGATGATGAAAATAAATGAAAGACTGACTTTTCACGCAATGTGATAAATCGGTTTAAAACTTCCTAAAATATTTCGATTACGAGCTTCTTACTAGAAACCCAAAAATTGTCAAAGAAGGTTCAAATTTTGACCCCTCTATAAACTTTTTTTGACTACAGTCAAAAATTATTAGGACCTCGTAAAACATCGAAAAAGGGTGTTTAAGAACGTTTCGAATTTTTTTTGATTTTCACTTGGAACTTTTCGTCGCAACTGGAATAGTTTTCAAAACTCACAATGCTAATTTATCTTTGGTATGGAATGTTTTCACTCAGCCTAGAAATTATCAGAAACTCTAGTGATGTCAAAAAAAGACAAAAAGCAAAGTTCGAAATATTTCGTATTTTTGTCCCGTAGCTCTATCGTCAGTGGATTGCTTCCTAGTACCTATAAAGCTTTTTCGTCCGGGGCAAGGTAGTAAATGTAAAAATTACGTTAAAATCCGAATAGTATTTTCTAAGTTATCGACAGTCTTTCATGAAAAATTGGTTTTGGAAATCTTTCACGATTACATCTCTTAACGATCAGTTGGCGTATATTAAGGTTATCAAACATTAAAATACTTATTGCACTCTTATGAGTGGGTAAAAGTAAAAAAGTAAGTCTACAAAACCATACTCCAGATATGTTTACGCGTTAGTGTATCTACAGACTACACGCTACTTATATTGATTTTTTATATAAAACAGAATATTAGCACTAATAAAATAAGTAAATGCGATATCCGAACCACGGGTAAATTGCGATACATAAAACTTTCTACCGATCAATAAATTTCATTATAAACAATCAATTGCTTTTATGATATACGGGTAATGTAATTTCAAAACTGGATAATTGATGATGAGTAATGCAAAAGAGGAATACCAGAGGAGAATGAGGATTTTCAAATATATTCATCGCATTCTGCATAACGCAATAAGACATAGTAGGTTCAATTTTCTTACTGGGCGATGTGTATTTTTTATCTCTACATGAAAACATCCGCTGCAAGGACCCTACAAGATTTGAAGACCAACATCCAGAAATAAATTGCCAACATAACGCCTGCCATGCTTGGAAGAGTTATGGCAAACTCCAGAAATCGGTTTACTCAGTGTACGGAGAATAGAGGACGTCAACTATCAGATTTTTTAAAAAATTTAGGCAATCGCCTACATTATAAAAAACATGAAAAATGTTTCATTTCATACAATTGGTTTTATTAGGTTTTGAAAGAAGTTATACAGCCGCACCCTGTACTTTCAGTGTGACGTGAAATGTACGCAGAATGTTGTCCAAGCAGGAATATAAAATAATTTGCCGAAATGTATTATTTAAAAAATAGCCCACTTACTTGCTTTAGTGATCACGCGAATTGACACCCATTGACTTCTTGTGGGGGTATCCACGTAAATACTCCGCGGTATGTTGCCAACTTAAAGAAAATATCCGTTGCATCTAGATGACGTAATCTTTAAAAAATAGCATCCTCAGGTGATTCTTTCAGGAGGGGCTTTGCTACGTTTTTCCTTATATCAAACAGCAATAGTATTTATCCAGTTAAATCTATACCGATCTGTAACTTGGAACTGAACAAATATTTGAATCTATCCAGAAAGAATGAATGTTGAACTGATAGAATCGCAATCGTATCGGATTATTCGAAATAAATATCAGATAGCCCTATTTTGTTGATTTGTTGGTGGAGGTCTACGCTATCTGACCACCTACGTAGGCGCGTTTTGAATGAGACGTCTATTTAGTAAATGAAGAACGTGCGACATTTCTCGTCATCAAATGAAAAGTAGCACAACTGGTCCTTAATCAAAGCATTTACTTATAAATCATATTGAGAACGATTTATTTACAAATTTTTATGACATTATAGCTTTTGAGGAATCTGTTTTTTTTTTTGATAAGCCTATCCTTCATTTTCATTAACATCAAATTCTTAATGCTCATTCATCTCAATTATCGTGTTTAGTGAAATCTCCCTTCTGATTGGTGGTGCAATAGCAGTACGAACTAAAGGACCGGATCCAATTTTCATAAGCTTACTCAAAAACATGACTCATATATCCTAAAGTTCTTATCCCCACATTATTTTTTGTCGGCATTCGGAAGAACTAGATACACAGAAAGTGCTTAATTTTGAGTGACCGACGAGACAACCAATACGATTACCGTCGACATAACTCAAAAAGATTTGTTTTTTTTTGTATTCTCTAGTACGAAAATAAATGTTGGTAGACGTTTTTGTGCACGGTCACAATTTAAAGACCTGTTTGAAAATTATAGAAAAGTTTAAGAAATGATGATAGTTAGCTGTTGGAACATGTGCCATTTTGCAAATTATTCAAAATACTCTCATACCATTTTCGTCTTAGTTATCAAAACAACAATGTCCGATTTTAAAATTTCCTACTCTGTATACGTAAAGTAGAAATATGGTATGATACTTGACATATGTTTCTTTAACATTCATCCATTAACGTTTTTGCAGATGGTGTCCTAGATAGAAATTAATAAATTATATTTACTCTTAAAAGTAGGATTACTGGATCTCAAATGTAGTTGAATATGCTTTTGTTGATCCATTCAACAGGGTGCGGCAGAGAGGATGGACGGTTTTAAAAAATCATAAAATAGTTAATTTTTACTCGAAAACAAATTTATTCATGGAATCAGGTTCACAAGGAAATAGCAGTTGAGACAGTCAAGTGTGGAAAATCACATCAGGCATGTGGTGGCCAAAATCGTTGATGCAGTGCCGGAGGCGTTCTTGGAAGTTCGCGTAGACCCTCTCCAACATCGCTCTCTCAACTTGGGCGACTTCTACGCGAATTTCGCCCTTCAATTCGTCCAGAGTTCGGGGCTTGTTCGCGTATACTCTAGCCTTGAGGTGCCCCATAAGAGAAAATCGCATATGGATAAATCTGGGGACCGAGGAGGCCAATGAACATCGCCAAACCTGGAAATAAGGCGACCAGGGAAGAGAGGGCGAATAACGTCCATGGATGCTCGGGCTGTGTGGGCGGTCGCCCCATCCTGCTGGAACCACACACGTCGGATTGGAACACGTCGCCGTCGTAATTCAGGGAGAAAGAAGTTGGTGATCATGTCGATGTAGCGCTCTGAGTTCACGGTAACATCACGACCATTACCGTCTTCGAAGAAGTAAGGGCTAATGATGCAAGTTTGCGATACAGCGCACCAAACCGTTACTTTTGGGCTGTGCAGTGGTCTTTCGTGTAACTGTTGCGGATTTTCATTAGCCCAATATCGACAATTCTGCTGGTTAACCATGCTGTTTAGGTGAAAGTGGGCTTCATCAATCATAGGCGAAAACCCGGTGCTACACCGTCCAAGGCTCCATAACGACAACTGGTAAAATAATGCTAGGATCTCACGAGTCAAACGGCACCCTCCCCAACTCTCTCGTAGACGGAAGCGGCGAGTACTACCCATCCCAAAAACGTCCGTCCTCTCTGCCGCACCCTGTATGTTGGTCTTGGAAATAACGGATCTCGATGAAGTGATTTAATGTTTTTCATGAAGAATTAAATTTTCATCTGAACGATGTTAGTAAAAAGATTGACTAGACTTCAAGGGTGATTCTAAGAAGAAAAGTTCATATGAAAATAAGTTTCGTCGTAATTCGTCGACTTTTAGCTAGAAATCCCACAAGCAAAAAATAAAGGACTTGAATCCAACTATCTAAATGGCAATGACCAGTCGTGGCTTCGATTTAGTTAAACCACTGATATCCAACCATATACTGTATACTGGCGTCCAAAAAGAGATCTTCAAAATTTTAGCGCCACCTATGAGACCTTAGCAGAACATAAAAATTAATTTATAAATCTGCATTGAAAAAAATTGAAGTGTTCGATTCTTCTATTGTCTCATAAATGGCGCTAGCATCTTCAATTTTTGGCTTCTCTAATACTTTTTGACTATATTCAAGCATTGATTTAGGTATTCTACTTGAAGATACCCAGTTAAAGTAGTCCTTAGATACGCCAAAAAGGGATTGAAGATCTTAGCGCCATCTATAGGTGAACCAAGCACTAACTAACTAACTAACTCTTTTCAAGGTTGATTTCCAAATTCATTTTTATATTCTGTTACTGTCTCACAGATGGCGCTGGTTTATTACCATTTTTACTTCCCACGCATAATAGCGAGAAAGAATTGTAATCGCGAAAATGTTCGAAAATGAGATAATATGTTTTTTGGATGTTATGTGACAAGTACATCACGCTAGGATTTTGATGAAATTTCCACACGAGATGACTACTATACCAAGAACGAAAAAGCTTTGTAGTTTTCGAAAATCGGTCCTGTGACGGCGGCGTGAAGGGCAAAAAAACGAAAAAATACAAATCGTTACACATTCCTACTTTAACGTTTCAGAGGATCCTTGATCATTTTCAGAAAAAAATGTAGGGGTTAAAAATCGGAGGTTGGGGGTTGTAGGGGGGAGGGTATGTATCATTTTTTTCAGTTGCTCTCAAAAAACCTTGAAGAAATATCTGTAGACGCGACACGCGGTCGATCGGGACAATGCCAACGTTTATGCGTTCAGCACTGTTGACAGACAATCAATACTTAGGGCAGGGAAGAAACCAGCTTTAGCGTTATCAAATGGGTTGGGACTATGGAGTATGAACTGATAGTAGAGGCCTATTTGGCTGACTTGATCTGATACATTTTTTTTGTTAAACGTTGTGCGGAACGCCGGGATACAGTATACCTATAGTTAGCTATCTTCAGGTAGAATACGTTAATCAAGGGTTAAACTTTCGACGATCATGCACATCTGTTGAATATCAAAACATGCCAACAAAACCGGCTAATAGGCAACGATTTAAACGAAAAAACTAACTCTTCATGTCTGACATTCTCAATCTTGAAACTTTTCTTCTTTGAATTGGCCAAAGAATCCCCATTTGAATTTTAACACGCTGTATATGAAAACTGACAGCAGTTCGTGGGAAGTAACAGCTCATGTGAGAGTATAGCATAAAGCCAGCCTACTTAAAATATTTTTTCTAAATGTAGAATAATTCACAGACAAACTCAAGTTGAAGTCAAGTCATCGTTGGTTGTCAGAGCGGTCCGTGGGACCTTAGCTCTTGAGTCACAGTGTCAGTTTGTAAGTCTGTCAGGTCTGGTAACCCAGAAACCAGACAATTTTAAGGAAAAAAGGGAAGGACAGGAGAGAAGGAAGAACGAGAGCGAAGGGGAAGAAGAGAATCTTTTAGGATAGGCAGCGTTTAGGCATTGTTAAAATCACTTCACAGATTTTGATATGGTCTAAAGATATTCGATTTTTTCTAAAGATTTTGTCAAAATGCTCCAATTTTGGAACTTCTAAGTTCCCGAGTTAATTTTGATTACAGTGCGAGCCGCGGCCTTTTGTGCTTGCGAACTTGCTCGACTGTGTAACAGACAAACTGTAAACATCTCAAATGAGAACGTCAAAACATGTGATTCGCATGATTGGTCATCTCCGTTTAACCTCATTCTTGTCAGTTTCGGTTTCGGTGGTAATAATCTCTCAAGATCAAGGTCGAAATTAACATAATTTGGTAATGATTCCATTCGTCACGATAATGAAATGACTAAAACGTTTTTCTCGCTGACTGCTGTGTTATGCAGGAAGACTGAAATAATCATCAGACAAAAAACAGGCGTCAAGTAGGTTGACTTTCAACGCAATTCTGAACAAATGGACTTTGAGTATGCGTATGCAGTATCTATAGTAGTATTTAAGTCAATCCCCCATGTTTTTCTAGCCGATTCAAACTGCATAAATGTTTAAAATTTCGTTTATTATACGACATTTCGGTCTCAACGGTCACCTTTTTCTCAAGGCAACTTTTGGGCACTCTGATATGTGTATTATTTGACGATCGTGGTTTGCTTGTAAGTGAATAACAGCATGTTTGATTTAAAAAAAAATGAAAATGAAATTATGCACCATGTATTAGCGTATAGTTTAGTGCGTTCTGGTATATTGACTATAGTCGCTGGGCATGAAAACTCTTACAGGTGATAATTCTATAGAATGAATATAATTCTGTAGCTCAGAGGTAAACAGTCTTAAGTCCAGTTTGATACAATTCCTAGTTAATATAATTATTAAATTACATTATTTTGGCTTATATTGTAGCAAACAATCGTAAGCATCAGATTGTTGGTTTTCAACAGTTGTAATTATAAAAATGTGATTCAACCATTTAAACTTTTGATATTTTTACTTGATTTGCACATTAATCGAAGCATTGATTTTTCAACTTAGGACTATTTACCTCTGAACTACAGAATTGTTTTGTCAAATTATTATATGTTTTTCATCTATGGTGAGTGAAATATGCCTAATAGGTGCGTAGAATTACTGGGGTTGGAAGTGTATAAATACACCAACGTCAAAAAATTAACGTATACCCTCCCCCACTAACTGTAACCCCTCAACCCCAATTCTTTACCACTACAAAAAAAATTCCGAAAAAGATCAGGAACATGTGAAACGACAGAAAATAAAGTTTGAGCGACTTTTATTTATTTTGTTTTTTGCCTCCGCCACCACAGAACCGATTTTTTTAAACTATAAATAAAGCTTTTTCGTCCTTGACATAGCAGTAAAATTCATCAAAATCCGAGCAGAACTTTCCACGTTATAAAAGGGCCAAGGATCAGCGGACAGACAGACTCACAAAAATGTGTGATATGGATTTTTATGATCTACATGTCATATAACATCCAAAAAACAAAACATCTCAATATCGCGATTACAATACATCCTCGCTAGTAGGCATGGAAGGTAAACAATAAATTTCTTGTAATTTGTTAGAAAAAATTACATCGGGTTATCGTCCGGCAACCTCTTGATTCATTTTAAGGGCATCCAACAAAGGTGACCACGAGAAATATCAAGCAGAAAATTTCTACCACGAATGCGAGGTTATCGTTTCGTTAAATACACAACTAAACTTTTGTATTATTTTTCGCTAACACTCAATAAATATGTTATTTACCAGAATAAACCCAAAAGCACCAAGCTACAAAACACACGTAACATGGACGGCACTGACGAATCTACTCACGTATTTCTCCAAGTCCCTTGGCGAGTACTCTCTGGCCATATTTACAAAATTGCATGCAAGGTGTTTTTGATATTAAGAAGGTTTAGAAGGAATATTAATGGGAAGGGATTAAAATGGCATGCAAATCTGAAAAAAAAACAAAAACTGTAAAAGTAAGCTCATGCTTCGGCGGCCTTGTAGCTATGTAGCTATTTATAGTAGGAATAGAAACAAACATTGAGACATTATCGGCTGAAGCGGCCGCTTTTTCGTGGCTGTCCATCGCTGAAAAGAAAAGATGATTTCTCGGACGGAATATGTCCCATTTCAATAATTTTTACTCAGCTTCAACGGAGCAAATTAATATTGTATTACAATTACAAAGTCTATTTTTCATACTGCAGCACTAGGAAAAGCCTACTCAAAGCAAATTGTTCCACGATCTCGCCACACTAGGGGTAAAGGAGAGGGCTAGTTCTGGATGTACGAAGGTCATCACGCTTAGGATGGGAGGCAGAATCCTGGCGCGTCTACCTGGCAGGCTCATCGCGTGGCGGCATCATGGAGGAGAGATCGGAGGAGCAAAGCCCGTTAACACAGCGGTAGAAGAACGCTAGATCGTTGCCCGCCTGTCGGTATGAAAGGGTCCCGAGACTGTTCGTTAGAGAAGAGTCATCGACCAGTCGGACAGCCATCCTCTGAACAACATCGAGCATGAAGAATGAGGGAGAGGTTATGTGGAGAAAAATACTCCTTAGCCCTAAATAGATAACCTAGGAAAAATCCCAACAGCTATGCGACTGATGAGATGTGTTCGTACCAAATCAAGTTCTCGATGACCTGGACTAGCCGAAATGAATGACAGAATCGAAACCGGATGATCCCTAGGGCGCTGCTTGTTGGTCAAGATATAGTACCGTGCTTGGGAAGTATTAAACTATACCAGATTGTTGCATCTCCAAGCAGTGATAACTTAAGCAAACAAAAACTTCCTATATTTATTTTATACAAGCTGACAGAAAGGAAGCCGCTGCTAGTCTTCTTCTCTAGCTCATCGACAGTGATCTGCTCTGCACTCTGAATGCCTGCATGCAAAGTGCTGTCATCAGCAAAGCTGTAAGGCGGACTCATCGTACAGAAGAGGAGGTATGAATTATTATCACAACCCAATCATGCACTCAATAAAGAATATGTTGTCTTTTCTAAACTAAAATTAAACCAAGTCACGCACTCACCCAATTAGACGTCACTATAATTATAAACAATAACCACTTGATACTAATACTACTATAATCCAGAGATTCTTCAATTGTTTAACCTGCAATATGGATATAGTGCCACTGGTGGATAGAAAGCGCAAGTATATTAAAAATTGTAAACAACTTAAGCAAGGAAGTTTGTTAAAAAAACAAAATATTCATATATCAGATAGTTCTAATACCGACAATGATGATGTTTCTACCAAAGCTATTTCCTCAAAGTTAAGTAGCTTGGAGAATTGTGAAAAATGTAATCAATACCTAATTGCTGTTAAATGTTGTTTAAATATGTTTAATATATACGTATAAGAATTAAGAATACAACAGGTCCGAATTAAGACTCGGTATATACTTTTTGTTTTGTACAAGCAAATTTCTGTTAAACAATCGCATTGAATTCTTAGATATTATTACAATTATTACATAGGTATACTTTATTTTTTAGATGGCTCGTCACAGAATTAATACACTAACAGAAATGTTATTAGTGCTTTTAGTTCAGGGTCATCCAGTTTTGCCCTATTCACGAGAAGACAAGGAGATAGAGACGATGTCCAACTAAAATCGCGTCTGGATTCATTCGTTCTCAAAACAACATGTAGCGAGAAGAAAAAATTGATATCTAAGTAGCACGTTTTGTTTATGCCAAAAACTGTGTTTTTAGAGCAGTGGAACACCCCGAGTTTAAGCGGCTAATGGAAATGTTGCGTCCAGGATATCAGCCACCTAATCGTCAGCAAATAGGAAACGAAGTTCTTAGTAACGTATACACAACTTTACAAGCAGAAATAAAAAAAGGAATTAGGTAATAAATCAGTCAATAGTGTGTGTGTCCGCAAATGATATTCAAGAAGGTAAAGTATATCTAATTGACACTGAAGACAAAAGTCATACTTCTGAATGCTTGTTAAATTTATTAGTGTTACACAGATTATAATTGTAATGTCAGAAGTATTGTGACAGATAATGCTGGAAATATGACTAAGATGCGTGCAAAACTAGCAAAATGCGATGGAGCAGGTCTAGCTGATATACACCTACTTACTTATGGGTGCTCTACACATATTTTAAATTTATTTGCGCAAGATATTCAGGTGCCTACTTTGAAAGAACACATAAAGAAAACAATAAAGTTCTTTAGAAATGTACATTTCGCAGCAGGCAAATACGACAAGTTGTTAGATGGAACACTTTAGCTGAGTCTATTAAATCTTATCTAGAGAACTGGCACATATTATCAAAATTTTGTTTAGAAAACCGAGCTGCCATTGATATTCATATCTCGGAAGAAATTAATGATTTAAATTTAAAAATAAATGCCCAGGACTATTTAGTAAAGTCAAAATAAATAGCAATTGCCCTAGATAAGATTCAACAAAATGACTGTACAATTAGCGAATGCACAGAAATTTGGATAGACCTATTTGCCTTTTTTAAGGAAAATGAAAATTTCACTGATTCAGATAGACTAAATCATTTTGTAAAAAGGTTTCATATGTCTATGTTTCCAGCACACTATCTGGCAAATATATTAGATCGTCGATTCCAAGGACTTAAATTGAATCTAGGGCAACGCGAAGAAGGTCGTGAGTATGCCTCTCGTTATTATCCTGAAGCGATGGCTTTTATTGTAAGTTATCGGGCAAAAACATCACCATTTAAGGATTATTTCAAGACAATTTGAAAGGCCTCACACCACTTGTTTGGTGGAAGTCCTTGAAAGATAACTTGAATGAAGTTACAGTTGACCTAGTTCACCAGCTTCATACAGCAGCTGCTTCATCAGTTGGGCTTGAGCGTGTTTTTTCCTCATTTGGGATAATCCACACCAAACTTCGTAATAAGTTGGGCACAGAAAAAGCGGCAAAATTAGTCACAGTATTTAAACACCTAAATCAAAGCGTGAAAAAGTAGATTATTATTTTTTTTTTACTTGGAGTTCCATAAAAAGTAGTGAAAACTAAAAATGTATTCTATGTACATTTTCCATGATATATTTTAAAAATATTGATCTAAGGATTTTTTGTTAAATAAGATGGGTTGTATACTTTTATAGAAATTTGTTAAGTAACTAAATGTTATTATACAAGTAAATACATATTCATGTTATATGATTATTCTGCTGCTTGTAGTGTACTAGTATTAGAGTTCAATGCAGTTTATTAAGTTCACTTGTTCGTTAAGAAACAGATTTTTACCACTAGTATTAGTTACCTAATTTCATGTTTGATTAATTAATAAAAAATTAAGTATATTTTTAGTACCTTTGGGTTTTAACCTATGGTGCTTTTAGTTTCGTTTTTCAAAATAAAATCAATTTTAATCATACTTAAAAAAAAAATATAAAAAAACTTGAATAACTCACAAACGACAAAAAAACAGTGATTAAAACAAGTTTTAAGCAGTTTAAAACAAATTGGTTTAAAACACCTTCATCGTTTTAAACATTTTGATTAAAACATAACTCTGTAAAAAAATCAAATAAAAATATTCCGAAAAATACTTCCTCTTCAAGCTAGCTATTAAGTATGTTGTTGCTTGTTACCAAGCGTGATAAAACATCTGTGAAGGCTGATAACAGATAAAGAGTCATCAACATTACAGGTTGGGTTTATCACATCCTATCAAACAACATATAGGTAATTGTTTTTTTAATGTATGTTGACAATGGAAGTAAACTTACAAGGTAGTGCATGCAGTCTTTTGTCCGTAAACGAGATGGCGAAAAACAAAACCATACACATTCATTATTTTTGGGACTGGTGAGACTAAATTTAAGGTAAACAATTAGCCGCTCACCAAATTAACATTAGATTGGGAATCTACGTTCATGATTTTCTATCAGGATTTCTAGATTTTGAGAGACAAAAATTCAGAGCATCCTGTCAAAAAAAACAAACTTGCATCGACAGAGACATATTGTTATTAAAGCTACAAAGATATGGTGTAAGAGGAACTGCACTGGAATTGTTCAAGTCATACCTCTATAATAGACAACAGAGTGTTGAAATTGTTAAAGGAGGTCAAACTTACAAGTCAAAAATTGAGCTGACTTCAACGGGCATAGCACAGGGTAGTATACTTGGGCCCATTTTGTTTTTTAAACGATCTCTGTTTTGTTACTAGTGGTGATGAGAGCAAGCATAAAATTATCTGCTATGCTGATGACACAAATTTAGTTTTGGGTGGGACAAGTGTAGAGGACCTAACTGCTAAGGGGAATCTCTTATTCAGAAGTGTGAATACATGGTTTTCTGAGAACAAACTGGTGCTGAATAAAACCAAAACTGATGCAACATTATTTAGAACTAAGCAGAGTAAAGTCGTTAAGCCACAATGTATTGATATAGATGATCATCAACTGCAGTTTGAATGATTGATGAATTTTTAGATTGGACAACACATGTATTCGAACTCCTGAAAAGGCTCAATTCCATTTGCTATGGTTTTAGAGTAATATCAAGATATCTAAATGATACGGGGGTGTTTAAAACTGAAAAAATCATGCCTATGTATGCCATCTATGTGTATGAGTGTCTTATATTTTTTCAAAAATAAAAATTTATTTGAGCTTAAGGTGCAAACTGTTTATGATACTCGAACAGTCAATGTTACCTATCTGATACACAGATTATCCTCCACAGAAAAAAGCCCTATTTACATGTGTTTAAAATTTTTTAACAATCTACCAAATGAAATTAAAAACATAAACAGTTTACATAAATTTAAAAAGACTGTTAAGCAATTTCTAGTACAGTCAGAGCCTTATACAATAGATGAGTTCTATGGGAGTTGTAATAGTTTAAGATTGTAGCTGTTTTATAGTTATGGTGATAGTGACGCAACATTTCATTTTGTAGTGGCTATACAATTTTTGTAAGTCATTGTACAATTTGGAATATAGATTATTATTATTATTATATTATTATTATTATTCTAATTGCTTATGGGGCAACAATAGATGTACGCTTAGTGACACTTTTTCACATGGTTAGTATAAGAACAATTAGTATGTCTTTTAATACGATCTTAAAAAAAATGAGTCCAATATGAGGCCATTTGTTTGATCCAAAGTGGCTTGGCAGCTTGGCTGAAAAGCCCATTTTTCTCAAAAAATTAGTAGCAATTGTTTTTGAATTTTTTTTTTATGTTAAGCACAATAATGGCTTCAACTTTTTGCTGTTCTTTCAGATTTACGGTTAGGCATTTTCTGGTAAAAAATGAATCGACGATTTTTCACCTTGTAATAACAAATTAACAGTAACAACGGTGAAGGTGCCATTTTGGAGATAATATACGCGAAAAACTGACATCAGATTCGAGATCTACGAACCCTATTTAGTGAAGAATCAGCTTTTGGTCGGAATTTTAAGTATGTAAGAATTCTTGAAAATTCTCTGATAGTATCACTTTAAACATTACAGTTTCTCAACCCAACATTTTTATTACCGTCTTCCCTTGTCACAAGCGAACGAAGTTCGCTAATGTGGGGTAATTTGAGACGCTGATATCGAAATTGGCCAACAAAACATCCAAAGTGTCGAGGAATCTTATTTGGAATAGAAAAATGGGGCTTGTGGAGTCTCCTATAGAACTCAGCAGAAAGCTGAGATATACTCGTGGTTTGCCCGAGAAACCGGGGCTATTCCGCGTTTACTCTCCATCTGCGCACACAGGGCCTCGGATTAATGAGGGATCCCAAATTTAAAAAAAAAATCCTGGCAGTCCAAGAACAAGGCGACTAGGAATCCTCACATTTATGCTTCCTAGAAAGAGTATGGACGAGGCATTAACTCATAATTGAAGGCATAAGTAAACTTACAAAATTTTTCAATATGCTTAACCAGATGATTCTTAAACTTATAGGGATGAATAAACCGTATTTCGAATTTCGACAAAATAAAAATCTTGGATCGACAAATTGTGAAAATAAACCATACAAACAGTGGGAAATATCATGCTTTATATGGAACTTGTGATGAAATTAAGGTAATCATTTAGGCACAATATGTTTGAAAATTAACAAAATGTATTGTCCCCTGGCATAATCCATTCCTGAGTTCACTACAAATATATTATATGAAAAGAAGCAAATAATTTGTATAGTCGCATAAAAACACGTTTTAGTTGTTCCTAAAAATTGTGCCACCCTCACTTGGTGACATTCAAATTGCATATTTTCCTGTAGTTGTGACAATTTCACGATTTGACCTTGAACAGCCAAAAATCAAGAAACGACGGTTTGAAACTAGTGCGATTTGGCCTACTGAAACCAGAAACGTGTCATTTGCTCAAGTAGTGTCGTCAGATACCCTTTTGCCAGTGTTCCCAGTACTTACCCTGGTACTGGTAAGTTTATCTCTGTGAATTTCAATAGTACAATATGGCAATTATGTGAAAAAAATGATTCTTAAATACCATATACTTTCTGCTTTTGTATTTTTTTTACAATAAAACATAATATTATAAACAATGAAAAGAATGGCTGCAAGCCACATTCAAAAATATGTCTGGCTCACAAACACAACTGTTATCCTCAGTGTCTATCAGTCCTCAATTTTTACAAGTCTCTTGTTTCAAAACCGATGGTACTGATGACATTATTTTGGTTTTGGTCGAAGTATTGTAGGTCAGTAGATCTGTCAGGTCTGGATGCCCACATACTGGACAAAGTTGGAGATCTGAATACCATATATTCACCCATAATACTAATATAGTGATACTTTCTGAAATTTCAAAAGTAAGATAATATGTTCATAAATAGCCAAATGTCAATTTTCAAAATGGAATAATAATACAAAATCGTTCATTGTGACAACCAAAAAATATATTTTTATAATTATTATGAGAATATAATAGTTCAATCATGTTCAAGGTTTTGGACAAATTTTCATTGCTTTAAAATCAGAATTATCATTTGACGATTTCCTTGACGTGCCATCTCAATATTTTAAAAATTCTTGAGAACAATATGTATCAATTTGAATGCGTATTAAAAGGAAGGCGTTTCCCCAGGTGCATAAACAAAGAAAAATCGAATGAGATCAAGGCGCATTATTCATTCATCTCAAGAGGTGCATGCCTAGTACTAGTACCGTCTAGAATGATTCATTCAACCAGACAAGATTTTAAATCGATCAAAGCGTGATTTACTAAAAATAGCACGTCTAAACTCCGACCGGAAATCCTTAGTTGGTATCTTCTGCAGCTCCGTACCTATCTTTGGGTATTATCTGTTAAAAGGGCCTTAGAAATGCCTATAAAAATGTAAATCATGCACGATTGGTATATGAGATAATCGCGTACAACACACCTGTGATTTTTCGAAGTTCTCCCTCTCAATCTCAAGGCTGGTTTTTCTCGGGTGCAGCACTTTGGGCAGAGACAGCGAAGCCATGGCTCGTGTGACCATTCATCAAAGTCCCGAATTCAGGGCCCCCCGAAAATTAGGCGTGTTTTGATTTGGGAATTGGTAGATTTGAAACACGCACACTTCCTATATACTGGTTCCAAACAAACTGATTTTTATATTTTTCCTTCCAGCTTTTTCGGTTTGGCGTGTTGGTAGCAGTGACAGATTGTCACAGTGACATAAGTACAGAAATCTATATCTTCTGTACTATATTTTAATAGATCCTAAAGTCTCCGTAGGTAACTATTTAGTATTTTTAATGACAGATAGCAGCACCAAAACAAGAAATTGTAGGTCGTTTCTAATTAACATGGTATTCAATTTGTTTGAACTAAAATACAATTTTCTAGATGGCGCTGTACTGCATAACTCAGTCGGTAACTATTTACAGAAACCTATATAAACATTCTTAGTCGGCACAATACAAGAGTCTGTAATCGCTGATTGCTGCTTACTAGATGCTGCTAGTAAAACATTAGTAATTAAACTTTTGAACGGCAGTGGACAGTTCAAACACCCGACGCCTAGTTGCCGGATTGTGCAAATTTTCATACTTTTAACTTTTAAGACAAATACGCTGTAGCCAGCTCATTTTAAACCTTTGGATTTTTGAAGTTTTAGTTTTTGACCAAGTAATGGTATATTGTTACTTCCTACTCCTCTGGGCGAGGAAGTATTGTAATCGCGAAACATTTCAAAAATGAGATATCTTGCTTGGATATTATGAAAAACTGTCACTCATTTTCGTCGGTGTCGGTCTGTCCGCTAATTCTTAACTCCGCTATAACTTGGGAACTACTGGTCGGATTTTGATGAAATTTTCACACAATGTTACTACTATGCCAAGGACGAACAAGTTTTGTAGCTTTTGAAAATCGGTCCAGTAGTGGCGGAGAAAAAGGCAAAAAACGCAAAGAATAAAAATCGTCCCAACATCGTTTTTAGGTATTTAGACGATCCTGGAGGTTCCTGATCATTTTGCCTTTAAAACTTAAAACCATATAACTGACGTTGAAAGCTGTGTAGGCGAATAGCCTGAGGATTTTCCACGCTCCATGAACGGAAATTGTGCATGTTGAATATTCCATTTCGGTTAAAGATGGATTCATCTGTCCATAAGATGCTATCGAAAAAAGTTTCATCCTCTTCGCACCTTCTCAACATATTCTCACAAAATTCAACCCGTTGTTGATAGTCGCTGCATGTTCTCCGACCGGAGTATTGTGTGAACTGAAGTATGGGATCTGTTTCTGCTTCGGGCAATGGCTCTGGTGCTTATTGAGGGATCTCTCTCGGCTGCTTCTATTATATCTTCTATTTCTTCTGGGCGTATTCTCGGCACTCCTAGCTGACGATGAGTGCTTAGTATGCGGCTCTCCATATATGCATTATGGACGCGTAGTCGGGATATACCGCCGGTTGTGGTCCACCTCTTCTAACCACATACTCCCGATACATGCGAGCCGCTGCTCGAGCATTTCCTAGTAATGCAATTCTGCATAATCTCGCGGAGAATATGACATGATTCTACTAAGATATCAAATAGATGCTTAAATACAAATTCCGCGCTGGACCATTGCCTGACTTAGTAATTTCGTTCGGATCGACGATTGAACGATCCCGCATCTGGAATGTCGAGTTGAATGCCCAAGCTCATTAAGCTGATTTGGCTATTTACGTAAAAAATCCGCCATTTTGATTTTACAAAATGTTAATACACACAGTATCAGTCGCACTGCTGGGACGAATCTAGCAGTACCTCATATGTCAAAATCCATCAAGTCGTTTTTTTTAACCAGAAATTTTCAGTGTTTGTTATACATGGATTGGAGTAGTTTTTACAATAAAATTAATGATGAAATACACAACGTTTTTTATTTGGGTTCCTTTGTCAATTCTAGTTACTACCTAAGTATTTTCTCAACTGCTTTCAAATTCTTATATGGACTTCGGTTCTTTAAGGATAGAATAAACCACAATGTTTACAAAGTTCATGGTATTCGTTTATTCAAAAAAAAAATATAAGTATTTACATCAATGCAATTTACAATATTCACAGAATATTAAGTAAAATACTTATTCTTGCAAAAATTAAGTTTCACGCATTTGCTATTATCAAATTTTATGTATTACATTTTTTAATATCTATCCTATTATTATACGGTGTGGTTCAAATTTGGCTAACGTCGTAATGTGTACGACAGAGAAGCGCGAGAAGCGTGCAAAATGTTAGTTAGAAAGAGTGCGCCGATGGCATCCGTGATATCGTACTCGGTTTGGTAGCAAAGAGGTGCTACTATCTCTTTCTAACACACGTATTGCACGCTTCTCCCTCGTACACATTACGACATCAGTGGTATTTGGTTTTCAGTGTATATAATCAAACAATTTTAAAAACAAATTTCAAGCAAATTGACGTTCACTGACCACATATTCAACATGAGATAAAGTTATACAACAAAAATCAAATTACAGTAAAACTATGCAAAAATATCACTGGTTTAGAAGTAGCGACAGAGTTATAAAATATGCTTTTATCAGTACGGAAAGGTTTGCATCAAAAAAGCGTCCTACTACTCTAAATGCATTAAAAATGAAGGAAGCGCTTTTTGAACATAAATGTGTCGGTTTTGTTTTGATTCGAATACATTTTTTTTAATAAAATATGGTATATTACGCCATTCTTCCTCGGTAAAAATTTTGAGATACCATTTTATGCTATTCGCGGTGGTTTTCATATCAGCTAAGTGATTTTTAGAAGAAACTCTGAAATGTTTGAGAAATGAATCATTTCCGAACAGTACTTATTCTTAAAGCTAGAAGCCAGATTATAAAAGCAAAGTACTTAGTGATATGAAAACGACCCCCTCGTATTGTATATCTCAGTTAAAAGCACTATTAGAAAAGGTATGGTGGCATATCACATACTTCAAATTTTATGTACAAAATACGTACTGGGGCATTTTGTAAACCTGTTCATTGATACTCTTGGTATTATTGAAGGCAACTGTACATGAAATCACCAAGTTTATAGCACGTACATTATGGTAATCTACTGCTTCGAAATTTGAATGATCACAAACACAGATTTTGGGAAATCTTCAAATTAACTAAACATATTCACATTTTGAATATAAAAACCCTGATGACAACCTATTAAAGGGAGTATATGTGTTGCCGCGTTGTCCACGAAAGGGACATCGTTGCCAGATGGACAGTAACTGTCGGTAGCTGTGGGGAAGAATGTCTATGGACTAATTGTATGGGCCTATCTGATTAACTTGATCCGATTAATTTCTCTGTTGTACAGGTTCGTAATTGACTTTTTCTCAGAGGATTTAAATTGCGCTGGACTTATCCTTTTATGAACTGATGACGGCGTTGCGTAAAATGTACAAAGGCAATCTACTTGACGTCATTTTTTATACTGAAGTGGTCGCGCAGGCAGAAACCTAAATACCGAGGCATCGTGACTGATAACGTGGTCCTTTTGGAATTCCAATTCGATTATGCGTAGGTCCATTTTGAGTGATATTTGGTGAATAACTCGAGTAATGTTGATTCCTTTTCTCAAACCTACTCTGCTTTATATATAGACGTACCTATGGGACCAGCACTATTTTTTCTTTTCAAGAGATAACTTTCTATGACAGTGTTTCTGAAACTTTTTGTAGAGAGGGGAAAAGAAAATTTTTTCAAGGAGGACACCTAAAAATGACCAAAGGTCTACACAATAGTGATCGAGAACCATCGATAGCCTATCGATAGTTAATACCATCAAATCAGTGGCGGCTCGTGGCAAAATAAAACAGGTGTTCTGCAAATCCGAACTTACCTATTTTTTATATGTCAGTTCGATCCTGCGCTCCTTCTTGGCAGCAAATTTGTCAATCACCTTCCCGTTGAAATGGTCGAAATAAATTCCTTTTTAATGGATAGCATCGACAATGCTGTAAGGCGATCCTGGGTCATACTATTTCGTCTTGATTCTTTTCAATGTTGAGAAATTTCGCTCAGCCTCTGATGTTGACATAGGAGTTGTAACAATAATTTCTAATAGCTTTTTTGTTTCTGTTAGTGTTTCCTCCAAACTATTTTGTATCAAAGATTTCAAAAGAGACAGAGTTCCATGTAAATCTCGGCAATGATTCCGTGGATAAATAACGGACAACTCTGTCTTTAAACGACTTTTTTCTAATTCGGGATAAGCCAAGCAGGAAGTTTCCAACTTGTCATCAGGAAACTTACCACAGTATGCTCCAAAGTGTTCGGGGAAAAAAAGGGATGCGGCTACCAAATGATCTATGAATTGAAATCTGTCATTTGCAGAATTCACTATATTGTCGCATACTTCTAATGCGGCAACTCGGTGATCGTGACTGCTATTATTACGTCGTCTCCTTTTGTTGCCTTGGCGTTCAGTGCAAATACTTTTGGCTTCATTTATTATGTCATCAATTTTATTTCTCACATCGACAATACATTTTTCAAAATTATTAATATCTGTTTGAACTTGCGCTGGCTCGGTTTTTCTCTTCTGCAACTGGCTGAACAAGATGTCGACGTGAGGCATGACATGATGAAACAATGTCAACCAAAACACGAAAACAGAATCGTTTAACATACGGCGAATACCGCAAGCTGCATTGCAAACGGTTTCATTAGTGAAATTTTCTTCTATTTCTTCCATGCATTCAATGAGTGATTCTCTGTTCTCAAACGGTACATTTATTGATCGAATATTAAAATTCCAACGAGTTGTTGCTCCTTGGGGAATTTTTCCCCAAAATTCTGTTCAGTACCTCTACGCGTTGAGGAGCGTTATTAAAAAATACGGGAATATCTTTCAAATCCCCAAAGAACACCCGAACTTGAGCATTTGCGGAAGCAGCTTGGGACATAATCAGGTTTAACTGATGCGCATAGCAATGCACATAGTGAGCAAATTGATATCTTTGTTTAATTTTTGCCTGTACTTCAGCATTATGTCCGCTCATTACTGCGGCTCCATCATAGCTTTGTGAAATCAGTTTGTTAGGGAAATTTCCTATTAATGGATCTACGACGCTCAAAATATGTCTTGTGAGAGTATCAGCGTCACATTTTTCGGGATTCATATAATTCCAAAAAACGTTCTACTGGTTCGCCGTTAAATACGTATCTGAAAATTGTTACCAGTTGGGTTTTCCTCGAAATGTCCGTTGTTTCATCTGCTATTATCGCCAAATACGAGGCTCTGTTTTATTATTTCTTCATGACAAACATCAAGAATACAATCCAGTAGATCGTTTTGTATTTCTTTCGAAGTTTTGATAGAACGTACCTGTTTTTTGTAACGGTATCATTGCTGTTGTATATTTCTCCAATATGCTGAATCTAACTGAGCTCTGATGTTAACAGTCCCCAATAAAGCCAATTCCATCGAATTATGAAGATGTGTTTTAGAGTTTTCATGCTTCTTAATTTTTTCACTCAGGTGCACTAAATCTCTAACACCTACCTCCGGCCAAGCTTTGTCACCGCTGAAAAGTATGCAAGGAAAGCAGAAAAGGGCATTCTTCCTGTTGCACCCACAAATCCAGTCATTTCTGGTGTAAATCTCCTTGCTGAAATGCCGCGTATAGCCCTTGCCCCGACTAAAGCCCTGTATTTCTATAAATATGTCCGGCAACGGTCGACCTAACACCTTCAGCTCAATTTTTTCTCCAAATGTGTATTTCCAGAATCATTTCACGCTGATAAGTCTGTAAATCACATCCATTGTCTTGCACTGCCCTTCTACACAGCAACAGTCAGTCAGTGAGTCACTAGTCACTCAAAGTAAGATCCAAAATACCTAAATAAAAAAAATCATCGCATTCAAATTTTAAGCGACGTCACGCGACAAGACCAATATGCCAATACCGCCGAGGACCGACCGACCAATCAGATATCGTACTTGGCATTAGATCTGTACGGATCTGTATAACGTGCAGCACATGCTTATGCTTAAATCGCGATTTTGTAGAAAGAGAAAAAACCAAGCGCGTGCGGCTTGTGTCGAAGTAGTGCACAGACCCTTTTCAAGTGGTCCATGAATAATGTTACGCTGCGGTCGCGACGAAAATGACAAGTACACAATTGGTCGATTATAATGCTTTCTCAATACAAAACAGACTCGACGCCGTGTCTTGCGGGGGCAGCGTTGCCGGTATTGTTTCTATTTGTGTGATAACATGGAAAATAAATAATGATCAAATTACTACTGCCTTTTTCTGTTAACACAAAAGTTTTGGCAGTTCTGTAGAACTTAAGGGCCAGCCGTCCTGCATCGAATGCTATCGATATTACATTTCACACCATCGATAGTTTTCGATAATTATGTCTTTATTACTACGAGGGGCAAGTAAAAAGTAAGGTTCCCAACGCTGTAGCTCCGCCGCGCGTGTTGCTAGGCGAAATCCGGCGACACCGCCGTGTGCGTCTGTTCCCCCACTTCATTCCTAGCGGCCGGGGAGGTCGCTAAGACGCTCAGTGCCGGCCTGACAGCCGTTCGAGATGGAGCCCGCAATCGCCGTCACCGCCAGGTGCGAGATCCGGGCAGTGATCCGTTTTCTCAACGCCAAGAAGTTACCGCCTGTTGAAATTCATCGGCAGTTAACAGAAATTTATGGGGAAGCTTGCATCAGGGTGCAACACGTCCGTAAATGGTGCAGGGAGTTTTCCGGAGGACGAACAGACATTCACGACGAGCCAAGAAGTGGAAGGCCATCGGTGTCCGACGACGTCGTGGCAAAAATCGACCGTCTTCTCCAGGAGGATCGGCGAGCAACGCTTCGGGAACTGGCTGAAAAAGTGCCTGAGGTTTCAGAGAAAACAATCGACAACATTTTGACTGAAAAACTCGGTTATCGCAAGGTGTGTGCGCGGTGGGTACCGCATATGCTCTCAGAAACCCACAAAGAGAACCGCGTCAAGTGTGCTCGGGAGTTTCTTCAGCAATGTGCCGAGAATACCGAAGAATTTTTGGACTCTATTGTAACGGGAGATGAAACGTGGTGCCATTACGTCACGCCGGAAACCAAACAATGGCGCCATTCCGATTCGCCCAGACCGAAGAAATTCAAGCAGACGCTCTCCGCAGGAAAAGTGATGGCTACGGTTTTTTGGGACCGTAAAGGCGTCCTTCTCGTGGATTTCATGCCTACTGGGACCACCATAAATTCGGAAAGATACTGCGAGACACTAAAGAAACTCAGAAGAGCCATCCAAAATCGCCGGAGAGGAAGACTCACGAAGGGCGTTAGGCTCCATCACGACAATGCGCGCCCACACGTCTCTCGCAACACCAAAGCCTTAATCGGACAATTTGGCTGGGAAATCGTGGAGCAAGCTGCCTATAGCCCTGATCTTGCCCCGAGCGATTTCCACTTGTTCCCGAAATTGAAGCAACACCTGGGTGGACAACGCTTCGCTACGGACGAAGAGGTCCAGAATGCAGTCACCACGTACCTCAACGGGTTGGCGGCGACGGTTTTACAGGCAGGTTTTCAAAAGTGGATTTCTCGACAGCAAAAATGTGTAGAAAAATTTGGCGAGTATGTAGAAAAGTAGCTAAGAGACCAAGCTTTCAGATGGTGTAATTTGCAATTTCAATAAAAAATGTCTTACACCTGAAAAAAATGTGGGAACCTTACTTTTTACTTGCCCCTCGTATTTACCAGTTTCCATAAAGTAAAGACATTCAAGTTTTATTTTTTTCATCACGACTAATCGGTTCTCTAATGTACGGTTAAAATAAATAAGAATATTCTTTTACACGAGCTTTATGAGCTGTTAAACAACCCGAAATATGTCATTATTGTCAAAAACATCAAATGACGTATCAACGCTGTCAACGTCAACTGTCAAAACTTTAACGTCACCTTCAAGAAAACTGCCAACAGATTTTTGCATTTGCATTGCATTTTGCAACATGGAGAAATTTATCCAAAGAGATGGCAAAAAAGTAGCGAACCAAAAAAAAGTAAGTACATGTTAAAATATTTAAAAAAGAACAAGATAGTGAAAAGCCTTTAAAGCTTATACAAGAGTGTCCCACACGTTGGAACAGTAGTTACTACATGATTGAGCGTATTTTGAAAATCAAAGAAGCAATTGAATACCCCAGAATGATAAGTCGGTAAAAACCACTTTTTACGAAAATATGGTTTTTGCGAGGTTCGAATCATGTAGACCTAATACACGTATTAGAGTGAGAATTGAACATATCCGCTTAGTAGTTTTACCAGTAGATGGCGCAAATATATATCCATTTTTGTCATTGAGAATGAAAACTCGGTATATCCGGTTTTTACCCAGTTTTCATTCTAAGTGAAGTCTCTAGAGTGTTTGTTGCTGCGTTGTTGTTTTTCACTGGTTGACTATTATTTGCTAGCATTTTCATGATGTCTAGAGACAGTGATATCGAGGTAATGAGGGATGATTTAGACCCAGATTATAGTGATAGTGCTAATAGTAAATTAAATAAACATCTCTGGAAAAGTGTTCAAAGGAAATCTAACCTCAATAAAGGACTAGCGTATACATCTAAATCTGGAAAAAATATGCCTGCAAGGCGGGGTTATGAATGTGAAACGGACGTCTGCAATGCGTGTGACAGATTCAAGAATCAAATAGATGCGGCGGAAAATCCAGAAGAAAAATCTCGGTTGAATCAAGAACACTCTCTACATCAAGCCAAAGCGCAGAAATTTTACGACGACCTTAAGCGGTTCAGTGAACAAGCTAAAACGGACGAAAAAATGGATGTTATTAGCTTTGACTATCAACAAAATTTGCCAGTACCTGTACTTCCAATAGGTGATATTTTTTATAAAAGGCAGCTTTGGGTTTATAACCAGTGTTTTTACTTGGCATAAACGGGCCATTCTTATATGTACATGTACAATGAAGTCGAAGGAAAAAAGGTGCAAATGAGACAGTATCTTTTTTGAAACATTATGTAGACAATGCTGTTGATCCTTCAGTTGAGACCTTGTACTTATTCACTGATAACTGTGTTGGGCAAAATAAAAACATGGTTGTTGTTCAGATGTTATCTTCGTTGGTCGCCATTGGAAGATTTAAAATGATGTACCATCGATTTCCTGAAAGAGGTCATTCGTTTCTACCATGCGATCGCAAATTTGCTCTCATTGAAAAGGAAAAACGCAAAGTCACATACCTTTACTTGCCGGAAGAATGGTATTCAAAAGTTGCAAGAACCTCTAAAACTTTTACTGTTGTCAATGTACTGCCAAGGATGATAGGGGACTTTCGTTCATATTTCCAATCTTTTTTTAAAAAAAGCATAAAAACTTTACCGTCTCAAAATACAAAAGTTTTAAATATGAGGATAAAAAAATCACCGTTTCTGTATGCCACAATATTGAAAGTCTAAACCAAACTTTCATTGCATTTAAATCTAACGCAGATTTACTTGCTTTAAAGGAATGGAATGTAGCTCAACTCTACACTACAACCCTTCAGGTTAACCCAAAAAAACTTCAAAACTTAAAGGAACTTCAAGATTTCATTCCTGCAATATATCATGGATTTTATAACTCTTTGGAAACATCAGAGCAACAGCAGGAGGAAAGTGAAACCGACTGATCCGAGAGTAGTGATGAATAAAAAAAGTTATTGCTAATCTAATTTGATATTTTGTAAATACAGAATGACAACTAGGTATATCAGTCTTTTATTTATTATTTTTTTCTAATATAAGTAATATTAAACAAAAATATGAGCTCAAAAAACGTTTCAAAACACTTTCAATAAGCATTTAAATAATAACTTGCAGGTAAAAGTACAACTAGTTTTATTAAACATGTTATTTTCATCTCCTGTAAAATTACCTTTTTGGTTTTTACCGAATTATCATTCTGAGGCACTCAATTGGTAGAACATTGCTATAAGTCAGAAAAGCACCTCAATCTCTTTCTGTAGATGATTGTGTTTTAACAGAATTAGTAGAAGTATTAGAAATTTATGAGGAGGCAACAAAAAAAATTCCGGTATTAAACAAAATTACTTGAGCAACCAACTATGTCATATATTATTTTTTTGGACTTTTGCTGGTTCCAAATATGTAACAATATCATTAGTAATTCCAGTTTCTATAATAATTTAAAAATAACTTCAACAAATATGGAGACAGACGATGGAAGAAAATTCAGAAAGGGGCTTATTGACTCAATTATAATTAGATTATTTCCATATGAAAACAGAACCGTGGCAAAAATAGCTTCATTGTTGGACCCTAGATTCAAAAAAGAAGGCTTTCGCATTCCTGCGAATGCCTCTGCAACCATAAATTTGTTAGATTCTGACATGATTTCCATACTGAAAAAAAAGGAAGAACAGAAAAAAACAACAGGGGATCAAAATCAAAATATATCTGTAACAGAAAAACCAGGCACATCGTGTGCACTTTTTGCTTTTTTACAAGAAAGGATTGATTTAAAGATAAAGTCCTTAACTGCAGACGTGATCATCACCAAAAGACAGTATTTAGAATCTATAAACTCTGACCAGGATACGGACCCTCTTTTATATTGGAAGGTAAATTACAAAAAAAAAGTTATTATGATATGACAAATTTATCATTATAGATCGCAGGACATGGATTATCTCCGTTAGACGAGTGTGCTGCCAAATATTTGTGTATCCCGGCAACTTCAGTGGAATCAGAAAGATGTTTCAGCACAACAGGTCAAATAATCACTGAACGACGATCTCGCCTAAAGCCGGCAAATGTAGATAAGCTAACATTTCTACACAAAAACATTAAGAACTATTCCATGTACCAGCAGTAATTTAAAATTCAAGAATAAATATGTTATTTAAAGAGGTCGATTTAGTTTTTTTACGTCTATGATCTCCTATAAAACATAATTTATTTCAAAAATAACTTAATATGTAACTGCTTAGTTATTAATTATTATGACTATCGTACATTATCGATAATAATCGATGGTCAAAGGACTGACAATCGATAATTATCGATAGTGCAGACTTTCGATAGTCCTCGACCACTACTATAAAAATCATGCTATATTTGCAGATTTTAAGGTCTGCCCGGATTCTTAGGGGAGGAAACGGCAATGGACGTACCCGCAATGGGAAAAGTTAATGGTGTGACATTACATGATCTAGGCGGAAAATTTATCGGCACAAAAACGCTCGCCAAATTGTCATAGTAAAGCCATGGTTTTATGGGCACAAATCGTGCTACAAGCAGTGCCGCACCGTCTTATTAGAACGAAACTTTCTGAAGACTATGGGCTTGGCTTCAGTCGTCATTATGGCGCGATAACGGTAGGAAGCGTCATTAGAAATTGGAAATTCAGAATAGACCACATTGATCCCGTAAACGGGCAACATTTCGAAAAAATAATCTTCAAAACCGAATGTCAATGATGCTTCTTGTCTTCAATAATACAGATAACCCGACAAAGCTGACCATTCTTTTATGTTTTTAGTGGTCTTGGTGATAACATTTACATCATCAATGTAACAGATTACACAAATAGCATAATACTTTTTAGAGCTCATCCCTCAATAATGTGTACCGATTTTTCGAGGGTGCCAACTTCTTAAAAGTACTTTCTGGCGGTTTCGTAGGTTGTTTTTCGGCCTCAGTCTGTGAACCGGAAGCTGGACCATAATGGAACTCCCTGTGCAGCTTGCCAGAGTACAAGTCTTGGATGAAGCTTTTCAGTTTGCCAGGGTTTTCTATGTCCTGGAAAATACGAAATTATATTATATTTAAAATAAAACAAAACCAAAACTGTTTTTAAGGCGTCACTGCGTCATCCATCTGCAATAGGGACATACATATAAAACGCATTTCTCGCGTGTACCGTACTGAAGCGGCATAGGGACACAAATGCTAAAATGCAGAGTAAATTTCCTAGTGTATAAACTTTAACAGACAGAGACAATGACAGGTTTATCAGAAACCAACATGGTAAAGAGATTCAAGATCGTTTTCTAGTCTTGGTAACCTTTGGCGAAGCTGCATTAAGAAGTGCGACATAGACCTACCTACAGACGTTCAAGACAAACATCTACAGATTTCTAGCTATGGGCAGAGTGAATACAGTGGGCTCAGTGAATTGAGTCTGTACTCGGTGGTCTCAGAGTTTATTTAACGTCTTGTAGTATATGAGTATATTTCTACCATTAGAGTTATTTCTCTCACGGCAGGGTTGCAACAATTTAAATCATGATTTAGATCAACTGAATGTGTCAGTTCTAATCGTGATTTAAAACAAATCGACGAATCAAATAACTGACATATTGCTCCAGTTCTTTCGCGTCTCTTAGAGATATCTTATGAATCCGGCACCTTCCCAGAAAACTGGAAATTATAGGCTATAGGCCTATAGCTTTGCATTCTGTTATAAGTAAGGTGATGGAGAGGTGCATAAATCGCGAGCTTCTAGACTACCTCGCACGACACGGCTTGATTACCGACAGGCAGTAGGGTCTCCGGCACCAGCGATCCACAGGCGACCTCCTAGCTTACGTCACGCAATTGTGGAGTAAACTCATCCAGTCTTATGGTGAGGCTCATGTCGTTGCTCTTGATATCACGAAAGCCTTCGATCAGCTATGGCACGCTGCCCTCTTATGCAAACTTCCATCCTATCGCCTCCCAGAAAAGCTTTGCAGATGGGTGGCTGACTTTCTCTGTAGCCGCAAGACATCCGTCGTAATTGACGGGTTCTCCTCTTCATTCCACAACATCAACGCGAGTGTTCCCCAGGGATTGGTCTTAGCTCCGACACTGTTCCTCTTACATATCAACGACCTCCTTTCCTACACGATCAACCCAATACACAGCTTCGCTGATGACAGCACTCTACATGCAGAAATTCAGAGAGACCCGATCTCTGCCGATGAGCTGGAATAAAGAAAACTAGCGACGAGAGACCTGGATGCTATCACTACTTGGGGACGCAACAATCTTGCGCAGTTTAATGCTCCCAAAACACAGTACTGTACCTTGACGAACAAAAAGCGAGCTAGTGCTCATCCCGTTTCGACGGATCTGGCATGAACACATCTCGTCAATAGCGACAGCTGCTGGGCAAAAGCTAGGCTATTTGTTCAGGGCTAAGAAGTACTTTCTCCGCATGACCTTCTCACTCTATACAAAGCCCAGATAAGGCCTAGCCTCGAGTATTCCACACACGTTTGGGGTGCTGCCGCCCCGACTACATTATTTATGCTCGATGTTGTGGAGAGGAGGGCTGACCGACTGATTGATGACTCTTCTCTAACAGACACTCTCGCACATCAACGGGCTTTGCTCCTCGCCGACGCGCGATGTACCTGCCAAACAGACCCGCCTGACTTTAGCCTCCCATCCTAACCGTGTCGAACTTCGTACATCCAAAACTGGCCGTTATCACCGCTCCTTTGTCCCGAGGGTGTCGAGACTGTGGAACAATCTACAAGATGAAGGTTTTCCCAGTTCTACTAATCTTAGGCAGTTCAAAAATCGGATTAACAAAATTTCTTTGGGATCCTCGTAGCAGCCACGGAGTCCCATCATTTAGGCTTCTGCCTGCGCGGCTGCTTCGGTATAAAAAAAAGTTACCTTCCTACTGGCGAATAGTAAAATGCGCAAATATGACGATAGTTATGAATACAAAAATTTAGAGAAATTAAAAACTGTTGATATTCCTGGCAATATTACTGACAAGAGCCCTCATTCCTGGCAAGTGTCAGTAATTACTCACAAAGTGGCAAAATGACTAGGAGCGAAGAAATAATCCGTATCCCGTCAACCGCTCATTATAAGGCGAAATCATTTTCTTCTTTCAACAGAAATACCGCGACATGCACACGACATGTCAACACAAGTTTTTTGTCTCCGAGGACATCTTCTTACTATAAATCTAGACAACACATATTTTTGAACGCATAGAGAAAAATAATAAAAATAGGTTATTTCAAAGTTCATTATTGACATATTTAAGGGAAAAATCAGCACAAATTGATAAAAAGCGTGATTTTTTGCAACACAATCTCACATGTTAGAAGACGATAGATATTCATGTTTGGCTAACTTCAGATTAAAAACAAGATTTTTGGAATGATTTTTCCCCGTGACATTTCAGAAATGGCAGTGCAGTGCATTAAATTTATACTGCAGAACTTGGAGAGCTTTATTCAGCAATTGTATTCAATAAAGATTTTCAAGGAAATAGGATTTAATACTATTTATTACGCTATTTTTTCCTAGTTTCGCCTATGGACCTTCGGATTTTAAAAACGTTTCCTAGATGATCCTGTTTTTAGCAAGGTGGACGTTAGAAATGCAGTCTTAGACAGGTCGCATTTCTCTACGTCATTACTAGGATAGATCTGGAATTCATTAGCGAATAGGCACCCTAAAATTTTTGGCTAAACTCTCAGTGTGGAGGATATTAGAACAAAGATCATGATCACTCTATGCTGATTTTTCCTATTATTTACGAATATACTCAAAATTAGCTGGATTCATAAAATCTATTATGTTTCTTTACCTTGTAATCGGGAAACATGTACATATGCCTGAAACTGTCGATTGCGATCAAAGGCAGATCTTTGGAGCTTTTTCCTAAGTGGTGCAATGGATGTGAAAACTTCTCTCCGTCAGCCGTCAAGAAGTTGATGTTTTCTGGAATAACAAAAAATGACGTCAAGTAGGTGGATTCAGCACAAGTTAGATCCTATCGAAATAAGACACCCTTATTGGCCATATATACAGGATAAAGGGTAGTTGCTATGCTTTCGTTCGTTGTCCCAGAGACTTAGCCTGGAACATCATGCTCATGAGTTGCCAAAAAGACACGAAACAGCTGTCTGTAGATGGCTATCTGTGGCCAAATGGACTAAAGCAGCATGTTTAAATTAGACCATATCAGAAAGAAAAAAGTTAGTTACGAACATGTATAATACAGAAATTAAACGGATTAAGGGTGGATTTCACAATTTAACAAACCATTATTCTGAACCAATAGGGTACGAGTACCAAACAGTCCGTTAAATATAGCCAATCAGCCTCAAGATCTCTCCGTCAATTTTTTAGCAGCAAATAGCATCAAAGTATTCAAAACAAAACACTGTAAAATATAAAGTGACAGCTTGCCATTGAAATCTTTTCAGTTTATTAAATATTATGAAATTATGTAAAACTGAGCCAAAATTTTTAAAAATGCTTGATGTCTGAGTAAAATCTATTTTTTCAGATTAGCTGAAGGTTTTTCCATGTTTACTGCAGCTTTTGAAATCCATATGTGATTATATCACCTACTGTGTGCTTATAGTTTATCCTATATTTGCTTGCACTTCCAAACCCTTACATGAAAAAGCCTTTTCACTCAAATTTTTGTTAGGTGTTGCATTTCAACACATTCATACACTTCTTTCCAGTTCCTCAACGATATTTTAACCTCACTAGTCCGAAACTGTTCAACAGTTTCAACATTCATACATACAATTGCAGTTTTTTGTTTTAATTTCAGTGTATACGTATAATCAGTCGCACCATCGGTGATGGTACATTCAACATAACCACGTATTTAGGGGTTGATACCAGCGCGGCTCTCGTTTTTTTTGCTCTAGGCATAGCCATCCTCAATTAATCCCACAAAAAAACAAGTCCAAGGCAGAAAAACACACCCGAAGACGAACACCAAAACAAATCTCTACCGCAAATTCGTCAACAACTCAAACAGATGATTCACCGCCTGGCTTTGACCGTAAATCGTCCTGGAACTCGAGACACCACAGAATTATTATAATTACGTCAATACGAGCATAGAACAGTATAGAAAGGGCTATCCAAGGGTAAGACGAGTTCCGAAACCACCCGCATCATGTCAAAAAATGGCTGTGACGTCACCAAAACGTTTGACCACCACTGGAAATCACTAGCTAGTTACATCTGGCGGCGTAACACGTGGAGGACACTGGTGTAGAAACAGCTGATCCTTAAATTCGGTTACGTTAAGTCGTGCATGAGCCCGACATTATTTTTAAATAATTACTAATAATTTTAGGGCTATGTCTACAGTAATTGCATTATGCACCTCGGAGATGTAGGGATTAACATGTTTTACACATATCGGTGTTTTAGGATGGGGACGACATACTGTTTTGATTGCTTTGAAGATATTCATTAACCCATGAATTTATAACAAATGATTACTATTATGATGTAAAGAGAGATGAGGAATTGGTTGGAATACATTTTATATTCTATTTTCTTGCAAATCTGCACAATTCAACAGGTATGTGTAGCTATAATGATCACATATACACACAGTATATTGAACTTAACAAATTTCGAGATTGCCATGAATTAACAAACGACCAAACCTGCTGCCAAATTTAACAGCTAGAAAATCGACCTATTATTTCTCCCATACCCATTCGCTGAGGGGATAACGGATGGTCAAATGTACACCTATAACATAAATCAAAATACCTATTTTCTATGTACAAAAGCATAATGTTGGAATCAAAAAGTGGTCTTGTTTATAATACAGTCGAATTTTCACGATTTTAGTCAACATTTTAATAGAAATCAGTGATATTCTGAGACCTTTGACAGCTTCCGTCAAATTGCATTTCGATAAGGTATTTTCCTATTGGTCCATAATAATAATGGTGAAATCGGCCCTAAGTCCCTCATATAAGTACGTAACATTCTTTCGCTGCACTTCCCGTAGTACCGTCCATCTGGCAATGTGGCATTGCCTCTCCTCAATAAGTTTTAAGGGCAAATGTACGGGGAAATCAATGATGTGTGAAAGATGTCTGCTATGTTCGTAGAATTATCGGGGTTAGAAGTGTATCAATCTAGTAACATCAAAAAACTGCGATACACCTTCACCCACCCCTCAATTTTTATCTGGATAATCTGAATAATTTTTAGAAAAATGATCACCTTTATCTGAAACGTCAGAAAACAAAGTTTGAGCGTTTTTTTTTTGTTTTAGGTCTTTTTCTCCGCATCCACTGGACCGAAATTAAAAATCCTCTTCGTCCTTGTCACCTAGGCATAGTAGGAACCTTGTGTAAAAATTCCATCCAAATCCGAACAGGCGGTTCAAGGCTTAGCGGACCGACAGACATACGGAAATAAGTGACATCGTTTTTCGTGATATACCATCCAAAAATCACAATATATCATTTTCGAAATTTTTTGCACATACTTCCTCGCCAGTGTGGTGTGGGAAGTCACAATTGCGTCAAATAGGTTCCAATGCAATGCTGTGATCAGTTCATAAAAGATTGTGTTCGACTGAGAAAAACGTTAGCTACGAATATGTATAACAAAAAACAATGCCAGTCAAACAGGCACATAGAATTAAAAATTGCAAATACAGCATGCTTTTATGTAAAATATTTAGTGGATCTTTAGAATTTGGAAATAGGTGTTGGAAGCATGTACGCTCTCACAAAAAGTTACATCTTGCCGATGAACGACCTTCCCCCTCTCCCCTGAGAAAAAATCCTGCAAGCGTTTATGAACGCTGCTATGTCTAAATTCGTGTAGATGACCCATGGCAGTAAGGCAGCTACTACCGACTTAGACACACACACACTCACACACACATCCATCTCGATCAAGTTTTAAGGGTAAATGTACGGGAATATCTATGATGTGTGAAATAATGCATAATAGCTGCGTAGAATTACCGAAATTTGAAGCGTATAGATATTGAATACTAACGTCAAGAAATTGAGATATATCCTCAACCACAACCTCGAACCCCCGATTTTTAACCCCCAAAAAAATGGATCAGGAGCATTTGAAATGTCAAGATACAAAATTAGAACAATTTCTATTTTTTCCTTTTTTCCCCCTAGCTCTGCCGCCAATGCTTTTTCAGTCCTGAGCAAAAAAAAGGTACGTCTTATTGCTCCCAGTCGGCCATACAAAAGATATGGTTTGAGTTTGAAAAAACGTTTTCAAAAAACCTAGCATATCTATTCAGCAAGCGAAATCGCACAGAAACCCTTTGATAGGCGAAGGAGTGGATCACTCAGTCGAGGAGATACGCAAACAATCGGGACCGCGACTCGCACTGTGAACAAAATTAAAATCATATTTAGACATTCATAAATATAGAAGATTTACACCCAGATAAAATAATTTCTTCAACTTGTTTTTTAGGCAATGAGATAGTCTTAGATCAAGAATGAAACGAAAACATTCTCACGAATTTATTGTACAAGTGACAAGAAAAAAATTAATGTGTTGGGCCACCCCGCAGCTGAATACACTCCTGTACCCGTCTAGGCATCGACAAAATGAGATGATCGATGTCTGGTTGTGGCACCTCATTCCAGACGACTCGAACTTCGTGAATTAGCTGTAGCAGAGTCTGTGGCAGATGGTGCAAAGTAGATCATTTTCCATATATGTTCGTTGGGTTTTAAATCAGGTAAACGGAGTGGACACAGCAAAACATTAACGCCGGCTTCTTGAAGAAAGTCCGTAGTACGACGAGCAATATGGAGACGTGCGTTGTCTTGATGACAAAGGACGTGCGGACGGCCCTCTAGATACGGCAGTAAAGTGATTTGTATGGCATCATTAACATAACGTGCAGCAGTGATATTGCCTTGAACAAAGAGAAAGGGTGATCGGCTACCATAGGCAATAGACCCCCAAACCAAAACTTCAACAGTCCTGTGTACATGTCTCTCAACAGCAAATCCAATATCACTCCATTGTCCACGGCGGCGTCTTACTCTTCTACGACCATCGTGCGTACCTAGACAGAATTGCGATTCGTCGCTGAAGATGAAATTATGCCATTGTGCCTCCTAATGTTGCCGTTCTCTGCTCCAGTTCAAACGTTAACGACAGTGGTCCGCAGTCAGAAAAAACAAAAATAAAAGGTTGACATTGTTGCCACAGCATGCGTTAAATATAGTCATTATGTTGCCAAAAAACAAGTTGAATAAATTATTTTCTTCTGGGTGCAACACTTCTAATGTCACTGAGAATAGTGTTAAAAACCAAGGAGACCATAAAGGCGGCCTACAAATGTAGGCTCTTAGTGGGCCAAGTTTCATTTGCTTGTAAGAACGAGAGATGAAAATGAGAATTTTGCCTCATAAGTCACACATTTTGAGGTTTCCTCCGAGAAACTATTGAAAAACAGTAATAGATTCTGAAACCGTCAAAAGAACCGAAGGAGTAGTAAAGTAATACTTTACGCTCTTGCTTCAAAACTGTTACTTACGTTTTTCGCTAATCAGCTCCGTTTGCACAATCTCATTGTACCTCTTAACGCTCGCCTTATCTTCTGGCGTATGAAACAAAATCAGGAACGGCAGCCCCTCCTCCGTTAACTCTTCAGCGTTCTCGAACGTTATTTCTCTGACTAAAGGAACGCACTTTTGCGATGCCCAGATGTGAAGTTCGTCAAAACTCGTCAAGCTTCCTGGATAGGTTTCATCCAAGTCGTTGGAACGTTCTTTATCTGGCCTTTAAAAAAATCATTAAGCATATTAATTTTAAACAATACTACGAATATTTTGAGCAGAGAAAAATTCAAATATGTTATTTAAATGGATTCGGATTTGATTAATTTGTGTAACTTTCTACTGGTTTAATGAATGAGATAACATACCTGAACACCACAATAGGTTGTCCAGGAGGATGCATTTGCCTAGAAGCATCTTCAAATCCCACGTGAAACTGACATTCATCTTTCATATTTGTAGCTACACGTCGGAAAATACTGTATTCTGGCTGATCTCGTCGATCAAAATAACCTTAAAAAACGCAAAAATAGTTATATTTATTAGGTTGCATTGTGGTCTTTCAGCGTCAAGTAGACTGATTCTGAATTTTCCATTGTGACAATAGCTAATAAATAAATGAATGAGAGAGAATCTTGGAATGTCCATTACGATATCGAATATGATTGAAACTCGCTGCAAAAAAATGCGTCAAGTAGGTTCCCACCCAACGCCGTTATCAGTTCATAAAGGAATATGTTCAGCACAAACTAGACTTTGAGACAAAAGTCAGTCAAACAGGTCCATTAAATTCGCCAATAGATGTTCTTTCCCGGTAGTACGTGTGAAAACGTCACCTTTCCCCTATACGTAACCATGTCAGACGTGATAGCGCGGTCAGAATCATTATGCTGTTACAAGGCCGGGAGCAGCAGCCGCGGCCGGTAGGTATGCCATCTGACTGCGCTGAATATAGAATAATGTCGAAAATATTTTTCCAAGTTTTAAGAGCTATATGGAGAAATCTACGATGTGTGAAATATGCCTAATAGGTCAAAAAAAGAAGTTTGAGAATTTTTTTAGTTTTTGTTCTTTTTCTCTGTCGCTTTTTGACCAATTTTCAAAAACTACAAAGCTTTTGCATCCTTGGCATAGTACATTGTGTAAAAATTTCATCGAAATCCGAGCAGTACTTCTCAAGTTATATGCGATTATATTATCGGACAGACAGACGGAAATGAGTGACATGGTTTTTCGTGATGTACATGTCATATAACATCCAAAAACCAATATCTCATTTTCGAAAATTTTCGCGATTACAATACTTCCCCGCCACTAGGCGTGGGAAGTAAAAAATCTGGGGTTCTGAAATTCAACTGTAATATATTTTTTGTGCTGATATCACTAAATCAACCTGCTTGATATGATTAATTCCACCTACTTGTCACCACTTTCAAAATCGTGGTCCATTACAAGATTACCAAATTACCATACAATAAAAAACTAAAAATACTTAGCATATATTAGTTTTTCCAGTCATTCTTCACTTGTGAATGATGTGATCTCTAATTTACTCTATCAATTGATACCTATATTCCACTGAGTTTTGATCAGTAGGGTCTAAAAGACCTGTTAATCTCCGATCAAAGCAAAACTTCAAAATATTATTGATGTTTTTGAACAATAATCGGTTTCACTATCTTATAAAACAGAATATTTCCAACTAAATACAAAATATTTTTTCCACTCTAAATGCAGTAATTTTTTATCATATCTATTTTAAAATTATCATCAAGGAGCTCATAATTAGCTCGATATGTTTACAAAAAAATTAAAATGGAAAACCTGCAATGTTATCAGTTACTTTTGCACACAAATGTAACATTTATATTTACCTAAACGGTATGTTACTTGTATACTAAGTGACATATAAATCCGAACACCCAGTTTAAATGGTTTTATTTTAATAAAATTTTGTATAAGTACTTAATGAAGCATAATAAGTAAATGATAAAAATTTCAAAATGATTGCACTGCTTTAAAGCCCTTTGACCTTTAATAATGTGTGGATGCACCCTGATGGGCTACGCATTCTCCAACGCGCCTAGGCATGCTTCTGATCAGGTGGTCAATGTCCTCCTGTGGTATCTCATTCCAGGCAACCACCAACTCCTCTCGAAGTGCTTCTAGAGTCTGAGGAGGACGTTGCAAATTGAGCAATCTCCTACCCATCATATCCCACACGTGCTGAATTGGGGATAAGTCGGGAGATCTTGGTGGCCATGGTAACAATGTGACATCATTATGTTGAAAGAAGTCTATTGTGACTCTTGCAACATGTGGTCGGGCATTATCTTGTTGGAAAGTTGGATCTGCCAGGGTGTCAAGATAGGGTAAAAGATGGGGTTCTAGAACTTCGCGGATATAACGCTGCGCGTTCATGTTACCTCTGATGAAGATTAAAGGTGACCTGGAACCATAAGCTATAGCACCCCAAACCATAACTCCAACAGTGTGAAACTGTGGATTCCTCCTTTCCTCCTTTCACAACGTCGTCTTCTAACCCTGACACGACCATCGTGCATGCCTAAATAAAATCGAGACTCGTCACTAAAGACAATACTGTTCCATTCCTGATCCCAGAGTGACCGTTGTCTGCACCACTCAAGGCGATTACGTCGGTGTTCTCGAGTTAAAGGGAGGACCCAGTGTGGCCGGTATGAAAACAAGCCAAAACTTCTCATTCGTCCGTAAACACTTCGCATGCCAATAGGTCTTCCGTGTTCTGCAAACCATTCATTTGCAATGGACCTGGTAGTGGAGAAACGGTCCTTTAAGGCCAATAATCTTAGGCGGCGATCTTCACGGTCTGTTGTTCTACGGCGGCGTCCAGTGCCCCGTGCTCTTTGCGTACGGCCTTCTCGAAGCCATGCCTGACAACACCTAACCACAGTGTCTACACTTCTTTGCACTCCAACTGCAATTGCCCGAAAAGAAAGTCCAGCTTCCCGAAGTCCCACTATACGGCCCCTATCAAACTCACTAAGTTGACGAAATCGTACAGGTCTCCGTACTCTAGGCATCGTAACCGATCGTAAAGGATGTCAAGAACCAAAATCCGCCAACGTTGATTCTTTACTGCAGCTGAAATATTCATTTTTAGAGCGTTAGTGAATTAAAAAAAAGCAGTATAAAAACCGGAATGTCCAACTGATAAGGCTGAAAATTTTTTCACTTGTTATTTACAGTAAGATAAATACATTCACCAGCTTTTATTAAAATAAAACCATTTAAACTGGGTGTTCGGATTTATATGTCACTTAGTATAGTTCAACAATATTTATAAATAATTTGCTTATTACCTAGTTACCTAGGAAAGGATTATAATCGCAAAAAACTTGGGAAGCATTTTTTCAATCAATAATGAGAATCATTCAAAATGTGAATACTTTACCTATAATGATTCTCTTGTTAGTTTCTAGCTCGCCCAATTCTTTGAGCTGCTTGAATTCCTTCACAGGATCCTCTAACTGATCCTTAATAAATTTTTTGAAAGCCTCCACTGATCTTTGCCCTCGGTACTCTTTTTTTACTGGTAGACCATTTCTTATCACCTAAATCACACAGTATTGGAATAAATTCTCTTATACTGATATCTATCGAATAAAAATGCACCGTTTTTTTAAAATGAATTTTCATTTCTATGTAAGAATATATATATATATATACTATTCTAATTTTTTGCAGGTATTATGTGACTTTGAATGAATGGATTCATATTCATTATATTATACATTTACAAACTACTGTCAACTATGTCATGCACAGCACAGCAGAAAATATGGTATATGGAAATACTAATTCTATTAGAAGAAAATAGTGCATTGTTATTTCTAGGCTAATGAATACACAAATCTGTTTACATTTTTGAATATGATTATTTCTAAATTGATATAGGTAGTAAAGTATGTATTGTTTACCATAATAGTACAGTGAAATGGAGTTTCTCAATTCAACCCTATTTCTAAAATATATTGGCCCTCAAAAGACTTGCAAACCATTGGAATTAGGAAGATAAATGGTGCGGAATGAAAATAATCTGGATTCTTTAATTACTCAGTGACATCATTTTATGTAATTTGTTAAAATAATAACCTGAAATCAAGATGAATCTACATTTGATGAGTGCTCATTATCTTCTGTTCATAAAAATCATTAAGGAAATAAAATCAATTATAATAAAGATATATATCCTGCCACTACTTAGATCTGCATGGGATTCCAGCAGCACATTGGTAAAATGATGACTCAGAACACTTATAAATTTGCACTGTGCAGCAGCTGTAAAAATTAGCTAGTATTCATAACAAACCTTCAAGGTGGGATACTTGGTGATATGGAACCTAGAGGCAACTGATGATTCTTTTTCACAGTCCACCTTTCCCATAACAACTTTTCCAGCTTCTGGAAAGTCCTTTGCAACTTCTTCAGCTGCCTCATCATAGATGGGCATCAACATGTTGCTGAATCGGCACCAGTCCGCATAGAAGTTTATAAATACTAGCTCATTCGAAGCTGAAAGGAATACTTTGTTTACACGTAAAAAAAATTCTAAATATAAATTTCTCTTTTGATACTAAGCTATAGTTCTTTTTATGGTTTTGGCATGTCACAGAGCTCTTAGTATTATTTTCATATCTCCATCTCCCTCATAGATACATAAAAACATCGTACCTTTGAGAGTGGAAGTTTTGTTTGTTGAAAACTACTACTGCATCAATAATTTTGTAATAATGTATGAGTATTCTTCAACTATGCAACTAGGTTTGACACTGTCAATATGTGACAACTATCTCCATTATACACTGTAGTAATGTCAGGAAATTCAATAAGTAGACAATGATGACATTCTGTGTTAAAACTGTAGAATTACCAGAATAAAAGAATGGCCCTCACTATCATTTTCATGTGTGCACACACGGCAGCTGTGTTAAAAATTGATTTGTGAAGTGTGCTTTCATCCATGATTAATAAAAATAGCTACAACCAACACATAGATAATCAATCCTTTTCATATAGCTTTACTGACTTTGTATCACATTGATCAAGGACATCGCCAGGGTGGGGGGGAGAGACTCTGAAAAATGTAGTGAAATGCAAATCAATAAAATTCCTAGGTACACTCAGTTAATGTGTTTGATCCCACACATCGAAAAACTAACAATTATAATAATTATAATATAATAACATAATTTAAGTTTTATTTATTGTATAGCCAAGAGCTCGTGGAGATTCAGACATTGGACTTTATACTGTTTTTTACACAACCACCATACTACTTGTGTAAAATTTATACATTTTTTACTCATCGTATGAACTTGCACCACTCAGTGCCATTGGTTGGCAATGTCCTTGGCATTGATGATGTAACCAAAACAGTAAAAAGAACTATGGATCACGTAATATCCTGGGTAGGGACTTAAAAGCTAATCAGCTATGTGCCAACTTGCAGGTTTTATAAATAACTTCTGTTTTCATAGATTTCAATACACTTTTTGCAGGTGCTTTTTTCCCTAGGTAAATCAGGTGTATAGATAGTCTAGGCATCCCAAGAAACCAAATTCTGCTCCACCCACAACAAGATGTTTGAGGATTAATGCCCCAAATTGCATTACCAATTTTCATTTGCTGGTAACAAAGGAAGATGAAAATGGAATTTTGCTCAATAAAGTCCAATAGTTATAAAACATGATAGTATCTGCTGAATTACATTATGATGGGCAGCACATCTTGTTAAGATTAAGTCCATTAGACTGTATGTGGAATTCCCATATGTTCTCACGCATTATGTTGACTAGCAACTATGAGGTATCTCATAGGTTGTTTACCTGCTCAGGACGCCAACTCGCCAACTACGAGTTATCTTATAGCTAGCTATCTTCCAGTTGGCTATGATTAAATTAGATTTACTTTTGGGACCAGAATCTTTGAATATGCCATGGCCATGGCAGTCAACGTGTTAAGTAAATATAATATTCATAATTACACTTTTTAAGAGACAATTGTGAGATTCCTTACCTAAGGTCATATCTATGTTTTGCTGGGTTAGTTGTACAGCCCCACTATCTGTAGGATTATTGAAAACTACAGCTACCTGAGAACAAAGTATAACTGTAAACTACATCGAACAGTTTGAACTCTATTTGCAATCACAATACATCCATGTTTTATCACACTTGGTCATCAATATATCACCCATATCGACGAAAAAGTAATTAACATATTTATGGAAAAAGCTAATTGGAAAAATACAAGTACCGGAAATTCCCGGTGCAAGATACGTACCAAAATAAATAGAAAACAATTAAACCTAAACGTTCCTATACACATTAAGCTCTGCATTTTATGTGTATATGCGCTGCAGGACAAACAGCACTATTATTTATTGTAAAAAAGACACTGCTAGAGCCGCATCAACATTTGACGATTGGGGAATATTTTTTCAACGTCATACGTCATCTATTTTTATTGGTATTGGACGTCACGACTGTCATTCGGAATATGATTGTCAAATGCGAGAGACACCTACTGGGTTGACTTTGAACTGAGACGTTCTATTGAGTTAATCACTGCACTCACAGATGACACTAATGTGGTGGTGACATCTAAATTAATATAGACCGTTTTCGTTTATTCTCCAAAATACCTAATTAATTTTCTACAACTCATCACAAAACTTGTATGTTTTACAATTACCATCCACAGTCTAAAAACTAATTTTAATTTGAGATAGAATGATGGAAATATTTGAACGATATGCAGTGTAATTTGCTTATTTGCCGTTTACAAAATGTTTTCATTGGGGATATAGCTCAGTGGTAGAGCATTCGACTGCAGATCGAGAGGTCCCCGGTTCAAACCCGGGTGTCCCCTATTTTTTCCAATTTGGAAAATAAGATATTTTTTGCTTACATATAAAATCTGATCAGATCCTCGTACCGAAGACGGATTACTTTATTATTTTTGAATCCTCAATTTTTTCCCACACCTCATATATGTGAAATTTTAGGTAGGTTGACGTGAAATTGATTAACAATTAAAAACAAAAATTTACACTGAAAAAGCTACCTAAAATGCTTTGGATTTCATTAATGGATGTTTGAACACTATTTAGAAAGTTTGGCAACATTAAAATGTTAAAATTTTTATTTCGGGGTCAAAAATTGCACACTTATTTCACATCTTGTTCTTCAGGCATGACTCAAAAACCCTAAATACCTACCTAGATCGGGGCAAGTGAAACACGGTCCAGAATTTGTTTAAAAAAATTGCCTAAGCAATTTTTTACGCAGTTTTGAGCCTGGCAACAACCATATTCGATAAGAGGGTCTTTTTTGAACAAGATTATACAGGAAAATCGAATCAGAATATTTTTTCAAACAGATGCGAATATACCTACTTCTTGGACTAGCTGTGATTTTTTTAAAGGGTTTTGAGGATATATAATTTTCAAAATGTCTTGTGCATCCCTAAAATATCAACCATAATTTATGTCTAATAAATCTAGTGCACAGATTACGAATCTGATGTCAGTTTTTCTCTAGGATTAGCCAAAAAGATTTTTTGGTGACCGTATTTGAAATTCGCGACCCAATAAAAAGTAGGCTCCCCGAGTAGCAAAAGTCTCGTTCACTCTCGGTACATTTTCCTACATTATATTTTCATTTCAATTGCTAATATACCCCCTCTCGATTGCATCATCTCAAATTTCAAGTAAAATGTAAAATGTGCAAGAACCATATTAGGAAATAACTGCATCTCAGTATGTAGGTATATACGTATACAGTGCATATTATACACAGACTTTAGTGCGTCGTGAAGAGGAGCCCCTTCAGCCCTACACTCTACACTACTTTACTATTTACCACAATTTTCTAAGCTGTTACGCTGCTGTTACAATACCCCAATCGATTGCATCATTTTAAACATAACATCTGTGTTTTCCCTCATGACTCATTCCATTATCCTAAATACAAGAACAATTCCCCGCGATGAATTAATAATGAATTTTGAATTCACCGCTACGATTCTGGTACACCGATTGGTCAACGCCCGTCTTTGTACTCTCCTCCCAGCCAATAGATGTGCACCACATAGCTGGCTGAATGAAAGAAAAGCCAAAGGTCGATAGTCCGTGCGACGTTATCACGTCTTGCTTGAAAGCATGGACTTTGCGAATATCCGAATTTCTTTCAAGAACTTAAACGGTTAATGAACATACATGTTTTTAACAAAGTTTTCACATTTCTCGAATTTAGATTCGTTAACTATAATGTATATGGGGGTCTCCCACATGGTACAAAATACTGATCACGATCTGGCCCAGTTGCCAGGTTTGAGATAGACTTTTTTTACACCGAAGCAGCCGCGGATGCAGAAGCCTTAATGCCAGGATACAGCGGCTGCTCCCAAAAAATTTGGTTAATCCGATTTTTGAACTGCCTAAGGTTGGTAGAACTGGGAAAAGCCTTTTCAATACAACGGTAGGAGGTTTGTTGATGTCGACCGGTCTTATGCCGTGGTGGAGTTTGCAGCAAAGACCTTGGCAAGCACTTCCGCCCCGCCTTGATCTCTCAGTCAGTTACAATCGTTCCATCTTGACACGTAAGTGGTAGAAGGCTACTCTGTTCTATCTGCTTGGCCAGCGTCCAGAAAGACCGACTGGCATTGCGCTGAGTCATTACCTTGTGCCTAACTTTTATATCGTGCTGGTCTTTGGCATTGAGGATCGCTTCTTTATATTTGTTTCTTGTCTCAACGTCGGCTTGTTCATTCTCTACGGTGGGGTTTTGTAAGAAGGTTCTGTGTGCCTTAATCTGCTGCTGACGAGCAGTGTCACACAATTTTTTTTGACATTATGCTGTTTTTTTCTTTGACATTATGTAGGTTATTCTACAAGATGTTAACTTAGCACTTAGTTGTACGTGTTGCCTAAACGTCATATGAGGCTTGTTATCAACCTTTGGCACTGATGTGAAGTAAAATCTGCTTCTGAGATGGCATTACTGGAGGTCTAAGCTGTAAGTTGTATGTGTTGGTAATAATTATATTAGGTTATCTTCTCTCAAATACACTTAATTGAGATTCAAAGCTAGAAATTAGTTGCGCATCCACTTTTTCTTATCCATTCTGGAAATTACATATACATTTTTGCTCAATTTAAAAAATGAGAGAGATAAGAAATAATTATATTCACTGTACACTGTCGAATTGCAAGCCATATACATGCTAACAATAATTACACACAACGCGGGTACGGTGATCATTTCTCGTAATTCTCCTCAGTTTTTCGTAATTTATCACTTCTTCAGAAAGCACAACATATAAATAACCCGTCATATTCAGTAACGATTTTCTCACACAGCAAATATCACTGATTTTATACACATGCAGACCAATACAAATAATCATCCAGATGCGATCTTGCTATTCAACCAACTTTATTCTCAGAGATAAAAACTACAGACCCGGATCACTCAGCCTCACAAAACTATGCAACCAATAATGCGTAGTTTAGTTGAGTGATTCCTCCATAGATGGACGTTCACAACGATCCTAGTGAGCAAACGTGGAATGACTGTTTGCGCTCTAAAAACTACCTAGTCTGTAAGTTGACATCTTATAGGTTTTTTTTTGACGTTTTATAGATTTTTTACATGATAGCCGTGCGGGGAGACAGGACAGCAGTACTGTAACGGACAGGATGCGTGGCCAAAAAGAAATCGAGCAGGCTATTGGAGTGTGACGAAACGCGGGCAGAAAAAAGAAGGAGCTCTTCAGCAGCTGCACGACCTGCTGCCTCGTCCTTTTTTGAGCCCAACCAAAGCTCATTATGGGCATTGAAATCACCGATGCGAAGTACCTCTGAAGCGGGGTGACTGATGTTCGGGAAGTCGATCTTGACAGCGAGGTATTCAAGTAGGTCATCCCACTTATGGTCCGAGAGACAGCGATAAAGGCAGCAAATAAATTTGTAGGATGTTTTGGAGTTGAGGAGAAATCCACAACTCGCCCGTGCTTTTTTAGATTGGAGTGCAACTCGTAATTTGGGAAGCTAAGATCATTAATCTGTGCAGACTCAGAAATTTTTGTCTCCGCCAAGAAAAGCATGGCGGGACGCATAGATTGCGGTTAATCCCGCAGATGTTCGTGAAACAAATTTTATCATCCCTCGAGCCCACCCTCAACCCGGACATTCGATTGTGGAGTGCGTTTACGTCCGGAATTCTTAGTACGCGAAGGATCCATCATCATTTTCTTTGTTAGAGGAAGATAACTAACTGCGTAGCTTGGGTGTGGCAACATGTGGACATTGTTAAGACACCCTGGGAAAAGCTCGATCGACTGGTCCTTGTCTACGACCTTCTTTTTGCGTGTTAACGATGTTAATTAGACCTAAAGTCGCCGGTTGGCGGACTTGTACCGCCACCCAGCGGTTTATAGTGAGGTATTACTTAACGCGTGTACAATAATCGAACGGGAAGAAGTTGTAAACTGAATACAACAACTTGCGGAACAAGCATTTGGCACAGCCCGCTCACAGAGGATGGGATCACTTCGACTCGATGGATGTAACTTGAGTTTTCGTGAGGGGAGAGTCAAAAACGATTGTGGAAACTCCTGATCCGTAGGTTATTTTAATCACCCAAACTTTGCAAAGCAGTTAGTTAATTCGAATATTTTAGGTTGGAATGCTTTGGGATGGGATTGTACCGACCTTCGGATTTTAGTATTTGTCAGTGCTGGAAATGTGAGAAAAATAATTCCAGCTAGGGACCTAGAAACACACCGTGTCATTTTTAAGTTTTTGTCTCGCTTTGCGATTAAATATGGAGATTTCGAACCTTGTTTTAAAGCTTCAAGAGCATTTTTTGTCGTTTGGAGAGAGATATACAATACATGAATGTTTATTCTGTGATGGGCCACAAAATATGGAAAGAAACGTTACTTACTAGTGAGACACATATGATTACAATCATGTTCATTTTTTATCAACTTTCGTCCAACATTTTTTTGATCACGTCGCTTCACAAATACTAAAAACACACGAGATTCTTTTTGATACTGCAAGAAGAAAATTTTAGGTAGATCCTTTCTTCGGGAAAGCATGGTTATTATGCTGTTTTCAAGCTCTTTAAGGAGCAAGCAACATTTTTTGCGGTATTTCTTAGAGCCCGCGAATTCGAGAGGTCTAAAGAGATCCATGTAACTTGTATTATTTTCAGTCTATATGTAGAAAATATAAAACCATGTAAATTCCCCCAGAAAAGCTAGTTGCCGGTTAGGGTCTAAATGACATTCCTTTCAATAACTTGCGTGGCCTGCCACTTCCAAACTCAGATTGAAATCTTATAAAAATAGTAGTAGAAGTAAGAAAACGTTAAATTAGAAATTGAAGGCTTATTTTCTTAAGTTATAATATGTTAACCAATATTCATGTTTTCAAAAACATAATTATGGAAGTCGGACATACCACCTCCATGATTTTTTTTATAAAACAACTCAATTGACTGGGCTTCTATGAACTGGCAGCTCTACAAGGATTTTTGTCGCGTCAAGGCGGCAACGCGGTATTTCAACTTGCGTTGCAGAATCTAGTAAAAGGATGTTCTAGAAAGGAAAACTGAACAGTTTTTGATCGACATTTGAAGCAAACGGAAGTTAAACGGGAACAGACAAATAGTCTAGATCTAGATCAACTGATAAACAAAAATTTATAAACAAAAAACAAACAGTAGATCTAGCAGTGAGCCAAGTGAAAATGGCTGCTGCTGTGGCTTCAATTTTGAAATATTTGGAAAATAACAATCAGGATTACCCGATGGATCAGAACATCGAAATACCGCATCAGAGGGCGAAAAAAAGGAGACTGGACCATCTGACATGGGAGGAAAAAATACAACGGAAGTGAGTACAAGAATGAACTTTTCTCATTTAAAAAATAGCATTACTGTTTTGTTTGAAAAATATACTTTCCACAGGAATTGTGCATAATTATACTACACACACACACACACATATATATATATATATATATATATATATATATGATCGTGGATAATGGATGTTTTGAAAATTTTGCTTTTTGTGAGCTTGATTCTAAAATTTTTTTTTGGCCTGTGGTGTCCACATTTCCGGTGGAAAGAGCCGAAATCTTGTATGGATCCATATTTTTTTCAGTTGTAAAGTTTTGACGTGGCGTCTACCAATTCTTTGTAAATGTACTTTCCAGAAAGTTTTTTTTTAATATACCCAGTGTTTATTTTGTGGTTTTATGGATCCCATTTTTGTTTAGATTAATTATTTACTACCTTACTATAATTTTAGGTATATTTTTTAATATCGTTTTTGATGAGCTTATGTTGCATATAAACTAGTCTGTGACATCGATTGGTCAATGATTTAGGAATTCGATGATCAGTTGCGTATCGGTACTGAAAATTTGTATGGATAGCTAGCTATTTGTGGATTGAAAGCGGAAAGTTCTACTTTACCACTGGAGAAGTCGTTCAATGTGTGCAACGCGAGGCCAATCGCTGCAATATTTCGAGAGAGTGCAAGTTCGCAAATAGTTAGATAGGGTGAATGTGCCGGAGGTCGGACAGTTTAGACAAAAATGGAATACACAGTGTAATTTTGTGTTCAAGCTAACTAAACTGTTTTTGAAGGTGGTCATAGATGTTGTAAACTTTTCGCCGACAACTATACATTGCTTATAGATATTCCTGTAATTTGGTAAAAAAATATTAATCAAGAAGGTGCTATTTTGCCAGTACTGGACGCCTGGACGGAAGGTGCTACTAGTCCGCGGCTAGTTGCCAATTGTCGGACAGCATTTTATTGGCTAGTTTTAGGGCCGTATCGTCAGTCGTTCCTACAATTGTAGAATGCCTTTATGGCCTTGATTTTTATAGTCTTTCCTTTACTTCAGAAAGGTTGGGGTATTTCTAGATTTCTATTGTCAGCATCAGCGCTCTCCTATTGTCAGGCTAATGTTTTTTCTTTAATTGTAGAAAATTTCAGGCTATACAGGGTGTTTCAGTTTATTGTTGCATAACTTTAAGATTCGATAGAACTTTTAAAAATTAATGCATAAAGTCTATATAAACATGAGTCGAAAAATGCGTGGCTTCCGAAATTCAGGGTGTTTAAATTTACTTTCTAAAATAGTTTTTTTTAAATATTTCGAACAATATTTGATGTATAACAGTGTATACAAGGGTTTTTTGGTACGACAAAACGAACCATGGGCATAGTTTCATTGTAGCCGCTAGACGGCGCTCTCTACTGTACCTGTAGTGTATTAAAATGACCGAAATTTTTTTCTTAGTGCAGTGTTTTGCTTTTTGAATAAAAAAACTGATTCTTCGCACTTTTCAACATAAAAAAGCTTTCCTGTGAGTTTTTGTTATAGTTAGCCGTTTTTGAGATATTTCGATTTTTAAGGTTCGATGCATTTTTAATTATTTATGAGAAAATATTTTTTTTTTACATTTTCGATTTGGGCATTACAATTAATTAAGATGATTGTTTAGATTGTGTTTTTAAACACAGCAATAATTCCTAACTCCAAATAAACAAAAAAAAACAGAATATTAATTTGTTTAATTTTCCAATATTATTTTTAACAAATTAAATTAATTATTTACAACTAAAATGCTATTGGATAGTTAGGACAAACATACAAAATCTAAAGTAGTTGCTTGAAATGTAAACCCAATTGTTCAATACACAATTCACATCTACGAATGATCGAATGTGGTATAGCATTATTCAAATAAGGCCTTGTTTCATCACATGCATTCCTGATTCTGTCTGATGGCATATCTCTTGTGGTTACGGGAGTCTGGTACACTTTTTCTTTTAGAAATCCCCACACAAAGAAATCTAATGGATTTAGGTCAGGGGATCGTGGAGACCAGGCGACTGGTCCTCCAAGGCCGATCCATCTTTCTGGATAATTTTCGTCCAGCCAGTTTCTAACTATTCTCGAATAATGAGCTGGACAACCATCAAGCTGGAACCAGGCCAATCTTCTTAAATCTAACATAACATCATCCCACATATTTGCATGTTCAGCCTTTAAAAATTCCAAGAAGGTCGTATCATTTAACCTTGCAGGCAAAAGGTAGGGTCCAAATAGTCGATTACGGTAGATACCAATCCACACGTTCACACTAAATTCATGCTGAAAATTTCTTTCCCGAACTGCATACTTTCAATTTCAAAAATATATATTTGCAGGCACAGCCTGCTTCTATTTCTTCGTTATTTTATCATAAATAATTAAAAATGCATCGAACCTTAAAAATCGAAATATCTCAAAAACGGCTAACTATAACGAAAATTCACAGGAGAGCTTTTTTATGTTGAGGAATCATTTTTTTTATTCAAAAAGCAAAAAATCGCACTAAGAAAATTTTTTCGGTCATGTTAATACACTACAGGTACAGTAGAGAGCGGCCTCTAGCGGCTACAGTAAAACTATGCCCATGGTTCGTTTTGTCGTACCAAAAAACCCTAGTATACCAATTTTCACTGTTATACATCAAATATTGTTCGAAATATTAAAAAAAAACTATTTTAGAAAGTAAATTTAAAACCCTGTATTTCGGAAGCCACGCATTTTTCGACCCATGTTTATATAGACTTTATGCATTAATTTTAAAAGTTCTATGGAATCTTAAAGTTATGTAACAATAAACTGTAACACCCTGTATAACAGATGATATAAATCAAAAGCATGAACAATTTGAAGCAAATAGATATTTATAACAAAACCTCATGATAGAGCGCTGACACGGAAGAGTAGAAAACGATGAAAATCAAGGAGGTCATATCCTACAAATTATTGTAGGAACGACTGATCATACGGCCCTTGGACAGAACTGTATTTAAAAATTTGTGATAGTAGATTAGAAATTTCAAATCCGTTATGTTGTTGAGATTTTGAGGAACAGGAATTAAACGAATACTGAAGCTTTTAAACTTTATCTCAAATACATATAAACTACATAAAAATGAACTAGAATCTCATTTCTCCCTTTAATCCGGTCCTGCACTGTCAACTTTGAACTACCATACTGTTTACATATTTCAGTCAATTTCCCAACATTTCCCACAGGTTTAACTGTCTGCTTTAACCTGCCTTCACTATATATACATATATTTTTTTCTTCGTATGCACTCCCGAATGAAATGAAAATGTGAAATTTCATTTTGTAAGCTCGTGAAAAAATGGCTGGAAAACGGAAGTGTCCAGTTATTGGCATACTATGAAACTTCTTTCATTCCAGCCACTGGCCAACATTATTTGTTATCTTTCGCTGAGTGTCCACTAGCTGGGGCTTTAGCCGTATTTTGGTTTGTTTATTCTAAGAGAAAAGTTTCATAGTATCTGTGGTTAGATAGAAAAAGATAGATTGATAACAACACGCCATTTCAGTAGCCGGACACTTGTCCAACTATTGGATTTTGACTAGTGTGATCCAATTTGACCACAAAATGTTGAAAGAACATATAAAGATTAATTTATTTCACTTATTATGAATGTCTCCTCCATATGTAACAAAAACAGCATTTATATATTGTCGGCTGACGATTCCATTTGCCTTTGTGTCACCCACTACCCAACTGAGTAAAATTGAGGAATTGAATGCATGCTGTTTTGACGCGCTAATAGTGTTGTCAATATGACAACTGTGGATGTAAAATTTTTGTAAACTGTCACAAATTAGTTGATAAAGCTGGTACCAAGTTTTTATCAATAATATAATATTTTTGGCCGACTATACTGGTAGTATATGGTAGGTTACTGGCACATTCACCCTACATACCTAAAGTTTGCACTCAAATTGTACAGAAATCTTTCCCCACAGCTAAAGCTTTTTAATTTAGTCCATATATTGTAAAATTGCAAAAAGTATTTTCATCATTATTACATAATTATTTACTATGATATGCATAGGCATACGGTTTTTTGGCGATATGGAAGTGTGTCATCGTTAGTCCAATCGCAACCAGTAACGAACTCTTTTACTATTTTGCCGCTCTAGATCGGCAAAGCTGTCATTTGCGATCGGTCGTTGGAAAACTTTCAAGTTTATATTGCAAACTACGAGCTTACACGTACCTTTTTGGTCGATTATAGAAAAACATATTTAAAATTGTAATATCCAAATTTGGAAATATAGAAGAAATCATACATTAGTACAATAATAATGTGAGATCATCAGTAGGTATATTACGTAATTTTTGTTGCAGATTAAATAATAAAAAACAAAATCATTAATTCTTATCAGTTTATCGCTACGAGTTATTCGTCTGATTGTGATGTTTTCACGTTGTTACTATATGAATGTGACAGGAGATAAAAATATATTGATAACAGTGTACAACCTTGATGCTATTTCGAGCACTATATCGACTCGGACTTCCCGACAAAAACTGAAATGAAATATATTAATCCAGTCAAAATAAAAATTTAGTTTGCAAAAATTCACACAAAGCTAAAAATTCGTACAGACCTTGAATCTTATTTTATTTAGGTAGGAATGTTGAAAATACCACGTTTTGTCATAGTTCTCTAAAAGGGAAAGAGATACCACAAATATGCCTTATACAAGAATAAGAGTTCAAATATTAAAAGTTGTTTAAGTATTTTTATTCATTGAGTCACCATTCTTGAGATTTAGTGATGTGAGGGCTCTCAGATACTCTTATGCTGTTACGCAGCATTATATTATGTGTATGTCACAAAACATATACACTGTACACACACGGTGTATGCCATCGACACATCATTTATACAGGGTGTGTCAAAGAAAGTGTCAGTGATTGTTCTAAAAATGCATTCCAAGAGCAACCAAAGGTCGGTATACAAAACATGGGGAGTTTTAGATCCGTGCATCCTTGAATCTTCATCATTTGCAGCCGAAAAGAAATTCGATCAGTTCTTCAACCACATAATTTTGTAGTGCATATCGTCGACACGTTTAGCAGCTACGAAATTAATATACTGTCCTCTTGTCTGTAACCTATAGAGTTGAAAATGTTATGAATCTTCATATTGTGCAGGTTATATCTACACGTAGAACTCTGCGACTGATTGTTCGCAATTTTAGAATGACTGATGATTATTTTTACACGGAAACATATTTGCTATATAGTGGGTCATGCAATTCCGATAGATATGGTGAAAATAAATATCGTAGCATTGATTGACGTAGCCTACCTGAACCATATGCATTGTGTTTCGGTTCCAAAAAGGAGTCTGAAAGATATCAGCGCCATCTGTTTTTTTATATAGAAGCAGCGGAGGACACATCCGAGTTTATATTGTGGGACGAAAAGGGGGACCGCTAATTATCATTAGGTATTCTTATCACTACAACAGTAGGCGTAAAAGTACGACGACACTATTGTGTAGTCTTTTTTTATCTAGCTTATTCTTAAATAAACTGACAGTTTTTGCACCGACTGTTTCTTCACTAAGAGAGTTCCACGTGTATATCTCACACGATTTGAAATGAAATTTCTCCGCATCAACTTAGATGTATTATCTTTTTCTATTTTTCTGGTATTTAATCTGAGATGAGGATTCTGACTCATATTGAATATTTGAAGGGCACACGAGTAGCAGCCACTGTTGATCTTGAATGTCTCAATCAGGTCCCCTCGTAATGTCAATAACGTCGGATATCTTGCGGCCGGAAAAAAATCAACCACCCACCTGTAGGAGATAGTAGCAGAACATAAAGATGAATTTAGAAATCTGCTTTAACAGTTAGAGTATTTGGTTCTGCTACTGTCTCATAGATGGTGCTATGATCTTTAATTCCTTTTTGGCGCCTCTCTAATGCCTATTTTAATTGGGTATTGGACATTGATTAACTTGTATTCCACCTGAAGTGTTTATTCAATTTTTGTATGTTCATTAAAAAAAGCTCCAGTTCAATTACTATTTTTTAATAATAAATAGTTGTTTTTAGTGACTAATAAAATGTATTTTTGTTTCAAAAATGGTGCTTCTGAGCGAAAAACTTCAAGTAGTAGATCATAATAAGCCTGTTTGACTGACTCTTTGTTTCAGGAAATTGAAGAACCGTGTGGCTGCCCAGACATCTCGAGACAGGAAAAAAGCAAAAATGGAACAAATGGAGAATGCTATCCAACAATTGTTCTCGAAAAACGAGTCCCTGATGGCAGAGTGCGAAAGTCTCAAATTGGATAACCAGCGATTGTCTCAGGAGAATCAGGAGTTGTTCAACAGGCTGAGAGCGCCCTGTGTTAGCTGCAGTCAAAACCGGTAGGAATCTGAAAAAATATCCAGTAGTTTGACTTATAGACGAGACGAAAATCTTGCACTATTGGGAGAAATGATCAGGGTCTATGAGAGGAGTTTCCCGCTTTTAAACTTATAATAACCCAAATTTTAAATTAATCGCATCTATGAAATTTTTACATTTAAATACAAATAATACAAAGTTGGGACTCCACCGAGCGTATAGGTCAGGTCACAATAAGTAAATTTTCCCAGTAACACATATACCAAAGCCTTGAGAAAACCGAGATATTAAGTTCCGAGAAGCCAAATAAAACATGCTGACCCTGCTTTCCTCCGATCCTACGTTTTGTGATTCTATGACTATGTGAGTGAGTATTCAAATTAGGTGCCGCACATTCCTACATCAATTACCTAGTTATCAGTTTAATGTTAGCTTACTGTGTCTTCAAGATCCTATTGATTTTCCGCGAGTATTCAGAACGTCGCCATCGTTTTCAATATTTCCATCAAAGCTGCCTGCGTATGTTGCAAATTTAGGAAAAACTTAACAAAGTCGTGTTTTTGAATCGATCAGTAGTTACAAACAAAATATGTGACAGGGCAGTACTAGAAATCGTTTTGAAATTTTTTGGGTACCCTGTATTTTAGAATACATGTATTTGAAAACTTTCATCATCGTTTTTCTTTTTACTGTATTACTCAGTTGTTTTTTAAAAGTCTAATAGACATATTCTGTCGATCGACAAGTGCACAAAATACTGTCTGTGCTTGCCCGATCTGGCAGCAATGAGCGTGCCCTGTCTGTGGTAGCCTCATTTATTTGGAGCTCTGCTGTAATACAGTTTGTCATAAATGTGTAATAACTTTATATACTAAACTATATAACATTACCTCACCAAAACAAGAAATCTCATTACACTCCAACCATAATGCGACCACTTTGTTTGTGCATATCACGTCGCCGCGCCGTCTGCTACCTGGTTTTATGAGTCTCTCGGATCCACTACCAAAGCTCCAATATTACAACCCCGTGGCGCGCGGCAAGTCTCTTGATTTTTCCAAGTATTAAAGCCAAATGTACGATTCATCTATGGTCATGTTATGGCTTCATCCAACAAACATGAATGCGAGGTTTTCAGTCTCGTCCAACGCATTATTTCACCTGTCGGATGTTATATATTATATATTCGTTATGATTTTTGTTACTTACTATTTGCAGGTCTGTCGCGTGCGAGGCTCCCGGATCGACAGCATCCGCCTGCCCGACCTCCTCGTCGGCGCAGGACCGCCTCCAACAGAGAGGCGGAGCCACGCACTCAGCAGCGGCTTTGACGGCCACGCCCACAGCGGCGCCAGCCACGCCCACAATCACTCCTCGCTCCGCTCACCTGTTGCGTGCCCTCTCCCGGACCATCCTTCTGACATGCCTTCTCTGCCGGACCTCTTCGACGAGTTGGAATGCCACCAGGCGACCGGGACGGGCGGCAACGGGCCGCCCATCGACGGGGCGGAACTCGAACAGCTCGCGCAAAGCCTACTTAGGGACATCGCCAGGGATCTTGAGGCAGCTGCACAGAAGGTTGAATGTCATGTAAGTTGCGTATGAATCCATTTCAGATTTTAGTTTACGGTGCATTTTTTATTTTGAGATAGGATCAGTGTCTATGAGCGAGGTTTCGGCCCTGAAAACAACTCGGATGTCAAGTTGATCGTATCTATAGAATTTTTACATTTAAATATATTATAATTCAAAATTGGTTTGAATATTTGAGGTGAAATTCGTATTAAAAGCTTCAAACCGTTCTACTTTCTGGATGTAACGAATTTGACCAGGTGTGGCACAACGGCTTCCCCTTCTGGTTCCTAAAACTTTTGAAATCCTTCTTTGTGGGTAGGCAATTTCGGAGCAAAGTTAACAATGCTTTGTCGACAATACGGCCCATCAAAGCCGGTGTCCCTCAGGGTTCGGTTCTTGGACCAATACTTTATTCACTTTTATCTATACATAGTCAAGCGGAATCGCATAGCAACCCTTTGTTGCGTGAGTCAGTACACTACACAGTCGAGCAACTTCGCGGCTCGCACTATAAACAAAATTAATTCGTGCGACCTTAGGTCTAACACAAATTAATTTTTTCTTCAACTACCAATCTCTAAATTAATTTTAGGATCAATTTAAACTTCTCGAATAATAGTTAGCAATGCCAACGCACCCTTCAAATTGACGCACTCCTTTCTTCTTTGCTGTCCTTCCTTTCTTCTTCCCTTCTTTTTCCCTGACTTAGTCTCGTATCTGGGCAACCAAACCAGACTTACAGTATACTTTAACCAAGAGCAAAGGTCCTGTACTGCTCTGATAAACAATGACGAATAAAAAACTATTCTATTTTAAAAATACGTAGTTAGTGAAGTTTGACATTGAAAATTGGTCATGTTTTGTGTCTGTTTTTTCTTATAGATTTGAAGAAGGAAGTGTTGCAACCATGCGCTCATATAAAATTAGCTGTCAAAATGAATGAATTTTAGACATAACTACCAAAATTGCAAACCATCAACATTTAAAATTAAGAACTAAATAAAAAGAAAACTGTTTGAAATACATATATTCTGCAACATTTGAACGCAACAATTTTGTAGGTACGACAAACTTGAAATTTGAGTTAATTTCAGGGCCGAAAAACCCCCATATGGACCCTGATTCTTTTTTCATTTCGTCTGTAGGTAGCTATAATTTCCAAATTTAATTTTCGACAAATTTTATTATCATCACTTATCTGGAAAATCCACATTGTGTGCTAGACCGTAGTTACACGTGTTACCCCTCACGAGTTTAATTGTAAATTTAAATAATATATATATATATATATATATATATATAAATAATTCAAGTATATTTGTCATATTTTCTACTAATCTTTATTAACATATTTATTTTCTCATTTTCTAGATACTTTCATGAGTTCATTGTAAAAACTTTGAAAAAGTCTTATGAATTAAGGTGATTTTTATAACAGCAATTCAACACTATTAAATAAAAATAAGTGCAAATTGTATTTGTCTATCAATAATTCTGGAACCAAAAGACACGCATTTTCACGTTGAATGGCTTTTTGCATGGTCTAAATTTTTAAATATCTGTGTTGTGTGATGTTTTTTTGGTTTTGTTAATGCTACTAAAAATAATAATCTACAGCATTTTCTGGTAGCAATATACAGTATGTTACCACTAAAACTACAGGCTGTCCGACATAGTACTACAACTGATCGATTACTTGACGAAAAATTTGACGTACCTATCACAGTTCTGAAAATTTGGGTTTGTAGCATAACTAATGACAGCAATTCGGCTAAAATATTCTCAGAATAATGTTCGGCTCTACCAAAATGAGATATCAGCTTGCTTATTTTAAATAGAACACGCTGTTCAAGTGTTAGCCAAGTCCAACCGTTTTTGAGATATCTCAAATTTTGTGTATAAAATGACAAATGCAGGCCAACTAATGCCAGTTTTCATCATATTTTTGTATTTGCCAGATGCCTTGTAATGGGTTTCTTATAGTGAGGGAATCAATTTAGGGTGGTCAAAAACAGAAAATGAGAATTGGATTTTACGAAACCCAAAAAGTATATTTTTAAATGGATTTTTTTAAAAAAGTCATCGTATTAAGCAGTAAAAATAAAGTTAATTGTATATAACATTGTTTACTTAGCAAATTTATAGTTTTCGAGAATTTGACAATATTGTTTTATCAATTGCTTAAATGCTCCATAAACATGAAACCGAGAAAAATACGTTCAAAGGTTGAACCTCAAAATCATTTGTATAGATATGTCAAACAAAAGTGTAGGATTTTAAGAAAAACTATCGTATGTTACTGCCGAAAAACTTTGCAAATGAGTAGGGAAAATGACGCTGATTCACTAGGTATCTATAACCAAATTTCCGAAAATTGCAGATACCCCCAATGTGCTTAGCGCGGCAGTATACTACCCATGCATTATAAAATTGATTAACATATGAAGCTACCCAATTCAACTGAAAGCCGTGACAGCGTGAAAATAATCATATACTATATATCGTAGCGCCTCCAAAAACTTATGTAGCTTTGCCATCTCTCGGATTGTCGCCGCAGGTTGGGCATCTTCTTGGAGGATACAGTAATCAGTCGTAATAATAATGGTAACACACTGTATTTCCTGAACCACACTGGGTGTCCTGAAAGTTGAGACTTTCCTTTTCAGAAACAACTTCGTTTGAAATTTGCGGTAAAACAGAACCAAAAACGTAAAAAAGAGATTGAATGAAAAAATAGTCACGATTTATTTGATACGGCATTTCAAGTACATGCCCTGTCACATATGTTTTGTTTGTTGTTTCTGGTTGAAGTTGTCGCGGTTCGATTCAAAAACACGACTTTGATTACTTCCTAAATTGGCAACATTGTCCACCCAGATGGCTTTTGCACGATATAAACAAACCTATGCAGTTCTGATGAAGATATCGAGGATGACGGCAATATTCTTAATACTCGAGCATCAATAGGATCTTGAAGATGCTCACAGTAAAATACCATCAAATCTATAAATACGTACTTGCTATATGAATCTGCAAATTTCGGTTTTCAAATGTGGTTTGTTTATTAACTAGATTTGCCTACACACCGCGCGGCGCCTGATTTGGAACACTGCCTCGCGTAGTCAGTTTTTCGGAACTTAATGTCTCGGGTATATTAAGGTTTTGGTATAGGTATGTGTTATTTGGAAAACTTGCTTATCATTGCCTGACCTATACGCTCTGTAAATGAAAGTCCCCACTTTGGGGACACCCTGTATAATCTAGAATCTGAATCTATTAATATGAGGAGTGCTTCTTCACAGATTTGATGATGTCAAACAGCACCTATACCTGTGTTACAATACACAACGAAACAGCCCTAACGAATTTGCATTTCGGTTTTTCAGGAATCCGAAGGAAATCGACAAGATAGTGATCGAGAAATGGTGGGGTCGACATCAACGCAGCTGGAACCCAGTGGACGTGAAATCTTAGATCAGAATCATCCTACTTCTGATGTCGCGTCGCCCTCAGACCAGGCGCAGGTCGTCGAGTCCAAAGAGTTGGAACACGACATCTCAGAATATCTGCTACTCCACCATAATTATGCCGCAAAACCCCCAACCAAGAAACAGAAGACATCCCAGACAAAATTCAAAGCTATCAGACCAAAAATTGACAAGTCGAGGTCAAACCACAAGTCTTTAGCATCAAAGAAAAACGACTCTCAGGATGTGATCTATGGAACTTTGGATGATAACACCAATGTGATCACTATCTTCGTTGATGAGAATGGTCAGCCGATCAACGAGAATATCACTGATGTGGTTATAGAAGATTCAAGGAGTTCTGACGACAGTCAAATGGCATTGAAAGAAAAAAATACGTTAAAGGTTCCATCGGAATATAAACCAAGTGCTTCTCCAGTTTCAGACGTAGGTTATGAATCGCTGGGTTCGCCGAATAGCATTGTTGAAGACATTTGGGATCCTTGCGTTTCAGAGCTCTTCCCTTCTTTGATGTAATAATATTGAAAACAACTCCCAATTATTTCAAAACTTCCAAAGATTTAGTCGGTGAAAGTTTGCCAGATTTTAAATGTTTCCAAACATGTTTTTGGACTTAAGACATGCGATTGAGATTCTCATCTGACAATACTGGATAAAAACCTAGTTTTAGTTCAAAATGATACTAAACAGTATTTTGGAGGAACTCTGAGACGCTGGTGTCTCTCAAGTGCTTCCTTAATGTTGATTTTAAGTGAGGTTAAGTTATTCTGTTCAGATTTTTCTAGTATCCATGGTGATTTAATTTTTGTTCGTGCCGAGTTTTGTCGCATTGTAGACAGAAATCGGCTGTTAAAACAAAAATCTGAGATCACTGCGTGAAATATGAGTTCTGAGAATCAGATTAAGTTGACTTAATTTATTTTTGTATTTGACGCAACTTTTTATACATAGATTCTTTATTTAGCATAATAAAGTGTGAGTAGTAGTTTAAAGGTGGTTTTACTTTATAACACATTTTAATAAACTTTATTTGATTCGACAAAAGATACCAACCGAACCGGTTTTTTGCAGGTATGAAACATGGCAGAATAGCGATGTGCTATCAGAATAAGAGCACAATGCAAATATGCTCATTATGGAAGTGTAAAAAGGCAGTCACATGTACGCCGCTAAACCTAAGCTTCTCGCAAAAAAATGGAGGTAGGATCTGTTAAGATGAACATTCGCCATAATTTTAACCAAGATCTCTATAATGAATGCGGGCGATTTTTTACGTCTTTCAGGCCGAATTTGAGGTATAAAGTGGGTCGATTTGGATCCGCTGTTAATCCCAGCGTGAAAACGAAACCGAATTTGTACCTGATTTACCTAAGAAAACCTCACTTGGGGAATTACATTAAAGAACAGGCCCGGCGATGCTACGAACAAGCGGAATCGTATTGCAACACTTTGTTGCGTGAATCAGTGGACTACATCACAGTGGAGCATATTCGCAAACACTCCTGGCCGCGGCTTGCACTGTAATCAAAATTTACTTAGGCACTCTTAAGATTATCAAATTATGCAGGATGCCCAGTGGGAAAGTTCACTTTTTGATTTAAGAAAGAAAATACAAACTTAATTTAAAGAAAATATTTATTACAATACCATAACTATCTAAAACTGCAATGACTCATCGATGGTCACGTGAATACTAAACCACCGGTAGTCAGGTTGTCAGTGGCGTGGTATAACTTTTTAATGTGGGTTCACTTGATTTATTTTATATGTTTTTAAATGGTTTGAAAGACGGTATAGATGAGAAATTTGTAGATTACCTTTGTCAGCTTTTTTTCTGGTTATCCATGAGCTAATAATTGAGTCTACCTCTCCTCATTCGTCGTCGCTTCCACTTCTTTATGAAAGTAATAAGCTGTCATTATCGCTTTCTTTGCCAAGATTGACTATAATTGGCTCCATGGTGGTGTCGATGTTGTGGTCAAGCTGCCACATTTTTGTTTCTTCCTTCACAACATGACGGACAGCATTCTGGCACGCTTCAGGCGTTACTAGCTGTATGGATCAATCACAGAGTGCATGCAGTTGCGCAGGCCCTCAAGGGAGGACTGGCGCACGGCAAGGGAGATTGTCACCTTCGAAAGGACGGTATGGGCAGTAGATTCGTTTGCCCCATACAAAAGTCCAGGTCTGGACGGCGTATTTCCGGCCATGTTACAGCAGGGACGGATTTCGGTTGTTCCTTACCTGTTGAATGTGTTTCGAGCATGTGTGGCCACGGGCTTCACACCTAGAAGTTGGCGGCAGGCTAAAGTGGTATTCATTCCTAAACCGGGCAGAGATAGATATACTGGCCCGAAGGATTTTCGACCGATTACTCTTTCATCTTTTGTGCTTAAGACCCTGGAAAGGATAGTTGATAGATACCTAAGGGATGGCCCACTGGAAAGGTGTGTCATTCATGCAAATCAGTTTGCATACCAAGCTGGAAAATCGACTGATCTGGCCTTACACAATCTGGTTGGGAGGCTGGAGAAGACTCTAGATCAGCGAGAAGTGGCACTCGTGGCCTTCTTAGATATTGAAGGTGCATTTAATTGCACCACAACCGACTCTATCAGACAGGCCTTGGTTAGACACGGGGTTGGATCAATCCTAATAGATTGGGTCCTCTCTACTCTGGAGGGTCGGGTAACAACATCTATGCTGAATAACGTAAGCTGCAGCGTGAACGTAGCTAGAGGCTGCCCTCAGGGTGGAGTTCTGTCACCCCTACTGTGGTGTATCGTGGTGAACGAACTGCTCGTTAGGCTCAACAGTATGGGTGTCTACGTGCAAGCCTATGCTGATGACGTAAGCATAGTGGTTAGGGGGCGTTTCTGTAGAACAGTCTCGGAAATTATGCAGGGCGCTCTGCGCTCCGTGGAATCGTGGTGTAGGGAAGTCGATCTTTCTGTTAATGCTGAAAAGACCGAGCTGATCCTATTCACTAGGAGAAGAAGGCTTGACGGACTGGTCATGCCTACCTTCTTTGGGACTAGATTAGTTTTGTCCCAGTCAGTGAAATATCTGGGAATTATCCTGGACTGCAAACTGAACTGGAGAGAGCATGTGGAACACAAGGTTAGCAAGGCTCGCAATTCGATGTGGGCTTGTAGACGTGTTGTCGGTGTAAGGTGGGGGCTTAAACCCAAAGTGGTATACTGGCTCTACACGACGATAGTACGTCCATCTCTCTTGTACGGCTCCCTGGTCTGGTGGCCTTGCATTAGAACTGAGTCAACTAAGGCCAAACTCAATAAAATTCAGCGTTTGGCCTGTATTAGCATTACAAGCGCAGTGCGAACAACGCCATTGAGTGCAATGGAAGCTCTGTTGGATCTCCCACCGTTGGATCTGGTGATCCGCGGTGAAGCGAGAGTAGTCGCTCATCGACTGTGGAGTCAGGGCAGCTGGGCTTTCTTGAATCCGGTCAAGGGGCATACTGCCATATTAGTCGAATTAGATAGGGAGGACCCCGTCCTTCTAAGCAGGGGTGATCGTATTACCCCTAAATATCGCTTCAACCGCAAGTTCATTGTGGAGTACCCAACGAGGGAGGAGTGGGACGCCGGTAGCCGAGGACTCTCCGAAGTGAGCGGGCAGGTCTGGTACACGGACGGCTCGGTCACCGAAGAGGGCTCAGGTGCTGGGGTCTCTGGACCTAGAACTAGGCTATCTCTGCCTCTCGGTGAGTACACCACCATTTTCCAGGCGGAAATCTTTGCGATTCTGGCTTGTGTATCTCACATTCTGGAGGAGGGTGGGCCTAGGAGAAGAATAACAATCTTATCCGACAGCCAGGCTGCAATGAAAGCACTAAGTGCATGTAAGATTACTTCGAGTCTTGTATTGCAATGCAGGGAGGCTCTGGATTGCCTCGCAGCGAGGCATCCGGTATCGTTAATATGGGTACCGGGGCACGCTGGGATAAGGGGCAATGAGACGGCGGACACTCTGGCGAAAACAGGATCAGCCAGCAAGCTCGTTGGTCCTGAGCCAGCTCTAGGAGTAACCGCGCATAAAGCTAGGAGGAAAATGGAGACGTGGGTTGCAAGACAACACTCTCAGAAATGGAGAAGTATCTCTAGACATCTCCGCCAGGCACGAGAGCTCATTGAAGGGCCCAGTGCTAAGGATGGACGCTTCTGCCTATCTCTGGGTAGAGCCAACCTAAGGTTGCTGGTGGGACTGTTGTCTGGCCATAACACGTTAAGGCGGCACCTGCACGTGATGGGGGTGGCTGAGGATCCCTTATGCGAACGCTGCGGAGTAGAGGAAGAGACCTCGGCGCACGTTTTGTGTCGCTGTGAAGCTCTGAGCTACTATAGGCAGACTATACTGGGGTCCATTACTTTGGACCCTCAGGACGTAAAGGAGCTTGGACTCAAGGCGATTCTCAACTTCGCTAAAAGGGCGAGGCTTGTGATTTAAGTATTGTAGAGGTGCATAAGGGCCCGCTTAAGCGGCCTATGCACTGGCTCCTTATGGTGGCCGGGATGCCTCTAAAATTCAAGATTCATTCATTCATTCTAGCTGTATGGAATTCTCTAGCAAAGCATTGACGTCTGGTAATTTAGAAGTTGTGTTATGGCGCGCAATATAACCCTTCACTTAAGCCCCTATTGGGTTCAGTTCAATGGTATGGCGGTAAACGTAGGTCAGTGACTCCACAATGACGGGCCATCTCATCAATCACGTCCGCAGATTTGTGATATTTAAATGTTTCGTACAGTTCCGCTTTCACACATGAATCGTCAAATGGAATGCCCTTTTCGCGCAAAATTGCTGCATCTCACTTTTTCGAGACTCCATATTTGGTTCAAGTTCGGCTCGAAGACTGTGATAAGAAGCATTATCCATGACGATCACCGAGTTGGGTTCAACTGGCTGAAGCACCCGTTGAAGCCATCTCTTGAAGCAGCTGGCAGTCATTTCGTCATGATAATCACCTCCTTCTTAAATACGAAAGTCGAATTACATCCTTCTAAAAAGCCTCTAATGCTACCAATATGTGTAACGATCAATCTTTGACCTTTCTCTGGCGGAGCACGAAGACCTGTTGATAAGTCTTCAATGTTTGCTTGTCGGTTACTTAGTACATTTTTGTCTATCCTGTTTTTTTTAATTGTGTGACCTGCATTTACCAACGTCTCGTCCAAATAATATAATTTTCCGCTCTGTCGTCTGTCGTCTATATTCAGTTATTGCGCGTAGGTATTTTCGACGCTACGCGACTATTTCAGGTTTCTATATCAATCCTGACTTCCGATTACGCGTTTCGTAACGAACATTAAGTTCGTGCAAGGTTTTCCTTAATACTTCGACGCTCACTGGGGGTATAATGTCATTACTCTTAATCTTATCATGTATATATAGCCTTAAGGATTGGTATCTCATCTCTAAAAAAGAATGAATGTTCGGTTCGTCTTAACGCTATTTTGCTGTCGCCATTTAGTTTAATGGCCGTTCGTCCCTTCAAATGGAACTTTAGTTCAGCAGTAGCTCCAGATTTCTTCTGTCCATGTACCACCCTGCGAATACTCTCGGACGCCTGTCATGCTTTCGCAACGCGTAAGTGCATCTCCCTGCAACATAGTCCTGTTCAAATAATTGAAGACGTTGAGCACAAGCTTCCTACTTGTTCCTGGCTTCCAGTGGTTTCACTCTCAGTCTCACCCTCCATAGTTAAGGAAATATAAGAATAACCCGAACAATAACAACAGAAATAACCAAACAACAATTCTGCTAACAACAAACAATATCACGCGGTAACTAGACTCTCAACGAAACAAGTTCCAAGCTCTATTAGTCTACGCCAATGTATCGGGCCCTTGTAGCGTGGAAGCGTTGTGGCATCATCTTATTTCAGGACCGGAATCAGTTTTCATTCTTCCTTTCAGTTTAATTATATTATATATATAATTAATAATATTCATGCGCGTTTCTTACTCGT